AACTTTTTATTCAAATGTTGAAGGGAAGAAAGGATATTAGTATGATAGCTGATTCTGCTCTACTTATTTCAAAAATCTTTTGTGATTAAAAAATAATTACTCGTATTCTTAATTTTCCTACTTTAGACCAAAAGTTTTGTTTTCGAATGAGGGCAAGTTCTTTTAACTCTTCTCCAACGTTTCTCGTACCATTGTGAATGTTGTACAGGTTTAGATACTTAAAAACCAGAACGTGGTGTTGCTATTAGAACCCTAAGAATAAAGTTATTTAAAATTTATATACCTTTGGGCCACTATTTTTCCGGCTTTGAAGAAAACTTGGAGGTTAAATTGTCGCCAAAGTTATGCATGTTTGATTTGAATAATAAATAGTTAAAATATTTTATATATTTTTTGTTTTATACTTCAATTGTTCTCTCACCTTAAAATTGTCAAGTTACATTTTCAAACTAGTATCTACAGAATTTGCTCATAAAATTGAAGCAATAACTTCACTTTATTCTTCGTGCGTATTGTGTAGAGAGTTGTTAGATAATAAAACTATACAAGATTTTACAATTGTTATCAAATCTTTTTTTTTCATATTCAAAGCTTTCCGTTTAAAAAGGGATAAAATTCTTTTTTAATACTTTTTAAATAACTTCGGTAATTGAAAAGAGTCACTAGCGTTAATTACTTCCATTGTCATCATTAAAATGTGTAAAAATTACACTATAAAAATTTTTATTAGGTTTCTTCTCGGTTCATTCAATTACTTAAACTTGAATTCAGTCAATTAAAATCTATTCACATTTATAAAAACGTTAAAATTTGTAATAATATTTATAAAATCTTTATTAACTCTCTGTGTAGATTAACAAAAAAAATATATCAACTTCGTTTAATGCTTTTCAAAAAAGTTATGAATTATTATACTCAAAGAAGTGAATTTATGATCACATTTAAAGTCATAAAACTATATAAAATCCTTAAGTAAAATATTTCCCATATTTTTTTTTATAAATCCGTCGTAGGAACAATGATTTTAAAAAAAAATTCATTGAAATCGGATGATTTTTCGATTTTCTAGAGCCAAAAAATGAGGAAAACACGAAAATATAAAATTACCCATAATAAAAGCACTTAACATATTTCATTAAAATTCTCGTATACCACCCAATGCTTTTTTGTATTAATAAAAAATTCCTCTGCTCTCGTTATTACTTCCAATTTATTATTAATTGCATAAACATTAATCTCATTGTGATTTATACGTTCACTTGTGTTGAAAAAAAAAATTTTTCCAACACCCTGCTATTTTTTAGATACTCAAAACATATAGTAAAAAAAAAATCTTTACTAACTCCTGTGGATAAAAGTTTATCACGAATTTGAAATAAATCTCTGAAGACAACTTAGTTGTTGGATATAAAGAAAAAGAATGTTTTATAATACATGTGTAGCGGTGATTGGCCGTTATTCCGGTGTACTAACGATAAATTACTACTTATTTATAGAGTAATACATGGATCACACGGATTATGAATGTAGCATTCATATGATGCAATATGATTACACAAAACTCGATTTTTATTTATGCTTTCATTTAATTCTTTGCATTATTCAGACGAGATATTCTCGTGAACTTTTTCTTCTCGAGTTAATTTTTCATAACCACCAGTGTATTCAGAATAATAAATAAAACATTTATGTAAACCTATCGGATTATCATTGATTGTACATGTTTGATAGCAAGTAATGCTTGAATAAATAATTTTTCTTCTACAATTAAAACCAGTAGATTTTTTGAAATGCTTTCATACGTTATAAAGTTATATAATTACAAGCATCTGTTGAGTTTATATAGAGAGAAATTAAACCAAATATATCTATATATTTGAAATAAAAAATAAAAATAGTTTAGCATAAATTTCCATTGAATAAATATTTTCTTTACAAACTTGCATTCTTGAAGATAGGAGTTATGATATCCTGGATAGAACGTTGTGTAAAAAATTTAATTGTTGAAGAATTTTTAATGAGCCTTGTTAGATCATAGTATATGAATCATATCAACAACATTTATTCAATTAAAAAACAATTTTAACAAAAACGCATGACTGTTGCTAATGGTTTTTAAAATGATTATTAAAAAAAAATTTTTTAAATATAAATGATTCAACCTCGAAGTCATGTTTTATGATAACTTAAAAACACTACAATTGCTCATTAGTTGTAAAAAATACTAAATGTTGATGATGCTTAGGTTTTCGATACTATTTTGATTGTTTAGTCAAAATTTGTATTGTTGACTCTAGATGTTTAAATCAACAATCGTGATTGTTGGATTGGAACAATTTCATCTAGTTCATTTTATCCTACACTGAATCAACGTACAGTCAAACTCATATTTTATTTCTGTAGCGAAAAATTATTCAATGTTGAAAAAAATAATTTTATTCCTATTCATAAAAATCTAGAAATCAATGTTCTCTTGTTCAAAAAAGTTTATTTACTTGGAACTAAAAAATTCCTGATGTTAAAACATTCTATTTTATATTTTTCTATAAATGTAAGAACAACTGCAGTAATTGATTAAAAATGTACATTTCATTTTGTATTAATATCAAAAAATAGTTTTTTTACGAAATTAAATATACTTTGATTCCATTTTTTGACACAAAGTTAATTGGTCTTCCTAAAAGAGTATCTCTATATTAGCTTTTACTTTTTATTTATTCATTTAAATATCAATGAATACACAAAGAAACAATTAGTCCACTCATTCAATGAATCTAGTCATTTTCAAATACGAGTAGATAAAATAATAACTAGCATTTAAAATTTGCATTTAATCAATAGACATCACTAGTATAATTACACCAATGGTTGACAGCTCATAAACTCAATAATTAGCTACATAAGTTAGATACAGATCAACAATTTTATTACACAGATTCCCCATAGGACATGTTTACCTGTCAATTATAAGTTCTATATCAATCACTGCTTCTTTATCATAAAAATAATTTGTTATTCTCCAGCAATCCATTCAACTATCTCCAACCTAATATCTACACAGTCATCATTATTATCTCCATAATTTACATTCCCAATACCCAATTACACCTAGTATTTAACCACAGTCAATTTAAATCCAAAACATTAGTACAATTAAACTGCTCATAAATCTGTTTATAAGTCTTTTAGTATTTCCGTCAGTATTTTTAGCAACATGTCAAAATGCCTGAGTGTAATTCTAAGCATGAAATAGGTATAACGGAAGCAATAAATATAAATATACATATTATACCATCATCCATAAGTATTAGAATGAACAAGCAACATCGTTGTGATAAAAATAATCAATTTATTTTCCACTGTCCAGTGTTTTTGCTTGACAGCATCAGTTATCCATTGGCATCATCAAAGAGTCTAGAGAAAGCAAAAACTTTTGGTGACAAAATATCGTGAGAATAATACTAAAGGACATCAAAATGCTTGAGAGTATTTGATAAAGAGAAATTTTTGAAAGCTCTTTAAAGTTTTGTTACAAGTCGAACTTGTGATGAAGTGCTTATTATAGACTTACATCAACAGTAAAAGATGAAAAGCCCTGGAGACTATTAATCTTAAGACTTGAACCATGAGAAGAGAAGCTGTTGGCGGCTGAGACACCCTCCGTATTATCTCTCTTTTCCTCACTCACTCATCTTCTTCTTTCTCGCGGACTATGTATAAGTGATATACGAAAAGCTTCATGGAGCTGAGAGTCACGAAACTCCATTATTTATGATGATATTACCAACGATCTAGAGTATTAATAAATAAGTTGGACAGAAATGTATAAATGTCTAGTGTTTCTGTTGTGTTTTTTTTTACGTTGAATTTTTTTTTTCACACACGTATATTCGTAGTATCAAGTGATTATTATCATTTTCATGCCGGAATTTTTATCTCTTGTATTATAATTGACTTTTCTACTTCACTCGCTTTATTATTTGCTCGATCAAATAATTTTTTATTAAAATTAAATTTATCTTGTTTTTAATTAAATTTAACAATGAAAAATTAAGTTAAAATAAAAATTATTCCAAAACATTAGCATTGTTTTTAATAACAATTATGTATATTTTTGTATAATAAATTTATTTTGAATAAAATTCATTTTATCAATAAAGTTTGGATTTTTAAAAACGAAAATCTGTAGGTAAAGTTTAAAATTTGCAATTAAAATAAAAAAATATATTTATTTATAATAGTGATAATTAAAAAAAAAAGCATGTAAAATAATTGAGCAATGAATATCTTTCTCTTAATTACGAAATAGAAAAATGATAAAAATGTTCATTATCATTATCATACTCAGTCATTAACTGCCTTGACACTGATCTTGAATGCAAATTGTTTTACCCTTGAAGGCATTTTAACCTCTAGAGAATTAATATATTCCAAACAAAAACTAGAACATATTTAATAATATCAATTAATAAGAAAATAAATAATTCATCAACTCTTTATCAATTACATGGACTAATTAGTAAGAGCATAAAAATGGATAATTAATCTTTTATCACAACGGTCAATATTTAATTCATATTCACTGGTGTATTAGCGAGGTCGAGTGTAAAAATTCCATTGTGCATTTTTCTTTTTTGCGGTCCTCAACGTGGCGATGCAAACTGTGACATCAGTCAACTGAATGTTACCCACAGGATAATTGACCTAAATAAAACAGCAAAAATAGAGATTCATAAATTATGTCTTCTCTTTACTCTCACGTGATGAGAGTGGTATCACGTGTGAATGTATGTGTATGCTTTTGAAGTTTCTATGTATATCTTTTCTGTCCAAGGTTAATCTCTTTTGTAACTGTTGGTCACATTTATCTCGGTCCACTCGGTAGTTTTTTAAATTTACAATGAATATAAACAAGTCAATTTTTCTCCAACAATATTATCCATTATTATTTTTATGATGCTCTAAACTCAATAATAATATATTCATTATTTTTATTTCAGATCAAAGCAAAACAAAGCCTTGACGAATGTGACAGGAAGATTAAACGAAAAGCTGACGTGAATCTGGCAAGTGTTACCGATCAGTCGCATCATTGGTGCGTCAAGCGTCATCTCATCAAGAAGGATGAAGGCCAGTCTGATACGAAAACTCGTTGGTACATCAGTCACTTAATCGAGCATTGTGTAAAAAAAGCCGAGAACAAGCAGAAGAAAGCTCGTGTCATCATTCTCGTCGCCGTCGTCGTCGTCTCTGGTGAGTCGAGGATGGCGACGACGTCGGATCCGTCAGATGCCTCGTCACTGGATACTAAATCTCTGACAGAGCTTTACATCCCAACTGACGAGTTGTACAATGAAACTAATTCCAGTTACATTGCACCAGATTTGTCAGTTGCATTCACCAAGGGTTGTTTCCTTGGTTTCATCATAATTGCTGCAGTATTTGGCAACTTACTAGTTATAGTATCAGTCATGCGTCACAGAAAATTGAGAATAATCACCAACTATTTTGTGGTATCATTAGCATTCGCTGATATGTTGGTAGCAATGTTCGCTATGACATTTAATCTGAGTGTTCAAGTAACAGGTCGTTGGTTATTTGGTTATTTCATGTGTGATGTCTGGAATTCTCTGGATGTTTACTTCAGCACAAGCTCCATCCTACATCTGATGTGTATCTCAGTCGATCGTTACTATGCAATTGTTACACCACTCAAATACCCCATCAACATGACGAAGAAAGTAGTAGCATGTATGCTATTAGCATGTTGGATATCACCGGCTGTTATATCATTCGTTCCTATATTTAATGGGTGGTATACGACCAGTGATAATAACGAGTATCGTCATATGCATCCAGAAATCTGCGAGTTCAAAGTGAACGGAGGATATGCATTATTATCATCCAGTATATCTTTCTGGATACCATGCACAATAATGGCGCTCACATATTTTGCTATATTCAAAGAAGCTAACAAGCAAGAGAAACAAATGCACAGTCGAATGGGCAATGCAATGCTTCTAAGTCATAGGCCAAGTCGAGATTTAAATAATTTGAATGGTGAATTAAACAGTGGTGGCTCATCAAAAACACTTACGCTCAATGAACTAAATACAGATCACTTGCATACACCAACCAAAGATAAAAATTTGATCAAAATGAAAAGAGAACATAAGGCTGCCCGAACCCTTGGTATCATCATGGGCACATTTATGCTTTGCTGGTTACCATTTTTCCTCTGGTATGTGATAACTAGTCTTTGTGGTAAACGTTGTGCCTGTCCAGATATTGTCGTCTCTATTGTCTTCTGGATTGGCTACACTAACTCAGCTCTTAATCCACTCATTTACGCTTACTTCAACCGAGACTTTCGGGAAGCCTTCAAGAACACACTCCAATGTGCGTTTTGCTCTCTCTGTAGAAGAGAGCCTTTTGACCTCGAGACTTTGGACATTCGCCGACCGTCCTTGAGGTATGTTTTAGGATTCTTCAGGATCAACCTTTCAACTTGCTAAGTAAAATAAATTTTGTTTTAATACAAAACAGGATCCTTTTGTTTTGATAACTCCATCAAAAGAATCATCAATGAATGAGCATTTTTGCTGATGCAGACAATCAAAAATATTTTTTACTATCGTTTAAAATTATCTCTCTGCTATTATTCTACTAAAAATTATTTTTATACTCTTTAGATTTAAAATTAAATGCTTGATAGAGATTTAAAAAAAAAAATTGATTGCACAATAATAAAAAGAAAATAATCTACTATTTTTGACAATCAATATTTTTCCTGTCCTAGGTATGATGATCGCACGAAAAGTATGTACTCGGAGACCTACATAAAACACAACGACCGAAGGAGATCAAGTGAATACGGAAGTAGTCTCTGAAACGAAACCAAATTTAGATTTTAATTATAAATTATTATTGCCGTGCAATAATTCCTTATGATATTATTTTTCTAATCCTAGTAATATTTATAAATATTTTTTTTGTTATGTCAAATGTTTTTTTATTTTATTTATCACTGTTAATAACTACTCAATTTATTACAATATACTCTCTATACCTTCATCGAAGGTTCATTATTTATTTATTTATATTATTAAAAAAATTGTTAATTAATTTTTTCGTAGTTAAAATTTATACAAATATTTATTAAAAACCAGAACAAAATCATACTTTATTACTGTTAAATAAATTTAATATTTATTCGTAATAAAATTTTTTATATATTTGTTATTTGAGTTTTAGAATTTAATAGAACAATAATAAATTTAAAAAAAATGTATATCTTTCATCAAAGTCTTATATATATATATAAAACAAAAAACATAATTAAATATCCAAAAGATAAACTTTGTATTAAAAACTCAATTCTTATTATATTGTGAGTATTATATTTAATTATAATAAATAAATAATAACTGTCCAAGGCAATATGGAACGTGTGCTCAAGAGCTAAGCCATCATCGTTCATAATGAGAACGGAATTTATAATAATTACGTACGATCAAATAAAAAAAAAAAATGTACATAAATATATTTATGAAAAATAATGGGAATATTTGAACAAAAAAAAATTAAGTTCCCTTGGAACGAGACTGGCCTGATATATTTATACTGCAGTAACTCGAAAGGAAATAGAAAAAAATGCTAAACGCTGTCATTTTTAATTATATTTAATTTAAGTAGTATGTGTGGTCATTCAAGCAAGTATGTATCAAGATTACATATGAATGTATGCGTATGTGTATGTATATAAAAGCAACAAAAAGAAGTGGAAGTACATAATTGCAGTACTGAGTATAACGATGCAATAATACATTTACATTCACGTGGGAAGACATTTATTTGGTGATATGATGAATCCCTCTCTTCTACCGTATGTTGCAAGAAATGAATTTTGAAACCCAACGGCTGTAGTTAATTAAACTTTCGCCATCAACTGTACCAAGTGTCCATGCATATTCGTCAACTACTTCCACGGCTTCCGCGACAACTGATTATTACACATGTTGCCAAAATTTCATTTGTCAACGTGCCAAAAAATGCACGCCAATGTTACCTAAACTTTCGTGTTACTACGGTTTATTAAATTATTAAATACGGAGAAAAGAGAGATTGTGTATGATTGATTGGTCATAAACATTTGTAAATAATAGTGTAAATATAATACATTATCGTACAAATATGAGTATAAATGTTCATTAGTCATGTACCATTTAAAAAAAAGTCAGACATAAAATGATCAAGTTTATTAAAAGGATTATTTATTTAAACAAATTAATTTGTTTTATTATTTTTATTATTAAATGTCACGATATTTATCAACTCATATCAACACTCAAAGAAAAATCCATCATAATGTCTATGAATTTTTTATTTTTTTTTAATATGATTAATTAGCATTTTTCTCATTTTGCGTGCGTATAAACAATCAAATGCAATATCAAAGATATCTCGCTATTCTGAATTTGCTTGAGACATTTATTAATCGTTTACTATAAACGATTAATGTGTTATTTACTCAACCGTGTTTAAGTGTGTATAGGTGTCTTCTGGATTAATATATATTTATTATCATGACAGTAAATAATGAATAGGAAATAAAATAACAATAAATTAAATAATTAAACGAAAAAAAGTATATGTGTATAAGATACGCTGGATAAAAGTATTTTTCACCAAATCAAATTTTTAGAATTGAAGAAAATAAAGAAAATCATTCATTCTGAAAACTCTTAATAAACTAATATATGTGATAAAACATAAGTAATTTTAATAAATAAATTTAAGGCTCGTAATAAATAAAATCTTGCTCGATAAATGAAAGCAAATAAATAAAATATTCAATACGAATATGTTATGTTTTTGATGGCATTATTCTGTCTAGATGAATTAATTTTAAATTTTAAAAATGATTACTTTGAAAACAATGATCAACTTGTCTCATATAGTTTTCAAAGGTCTGAGATTTTATGAGAAAATATTAGCTCATAACAGTGAACTTGCGAAAGAATACAGAGAAAAGTAATAAAAAAAAATCAATAAACCAAGAGAATCTGGTAAGTCTTAGATACTTATGACTTAAACCGTTTATTTAGAAAGCACTTTGTCCGATAGCCATGTCGAGTGTTTAACAATCCATCACCAATATGCTACAAAAGGTCATTAAATGTGCTCAAGTCCTTTGATATACTTAAACTCGCGAATCCTGTTAATAATCATTTAACTTTCAAGTGGTTTTTTTAATTAGCTCAGTTATGTGGATTTTTTTTACTGAATTTAATTTCTAAAATGCAAAAAAAACTTTTCTAATTACAATGTTATTTTATTGAATATTAATAAATATAATTAATGTTGAAATTTTAATGTATAATTATTTAAAAAAAACAGAGTTTAAATTTTAGTTATTCTTAATTATAGATGAACTTCTTAAAGAGTCATCAATGAAATACACATTTTTTAGTCCAATTAATATCTTAATTTATATTTTAGACAATTATATATATATATATATATATATATATGGTGAATAGATTAACAGATGGAAATTATCCAAAAGATAACCAAATACTAAACTCTTTTAACATGAATCAATTTTATATACATAATAATTTATAACCACCAAGTCCATCTTTTAATCTTAATTATCCATTTCTTGGTATATTTACTCTATTCATAATATTTGTGCTCTTTCTTAAAACAAACCTATTTATATTGAAAAAAAATGGCTAATTAATATTTGTATAAAAATTATTGATTGGATGATTAAAAAATGAATCATGCAAAAATCCACCGAATAAAAGCTAATATAAATAAATTCCACCATCCTATAAAAAAAAAAAAAGGACAAATCAAAAACTCACTTGAAATAAAATCAAACTATCATTCCATTGAAATCTGAACCACAATGTGGTTCTATCGATTAAGATTAGTTACAGAAAGGTATCTCGTTAATTTCCCTCGCCCTCTATCCTCGTACGAGAAGGTACCAGCTGGAGTTTTACCTGCATGCCAGTACTGCACGCGAATTAGTGGTTTGCACGAGATGCCTCATACCAAAGAAATAAAAAAATTATTCCGACCTTCTCCCTTCTCGGACACTCTATAAGCTATCATATGAGGGAGTAGGAAAATTTACGTCCTTCATCATAACCAATGTACACAAGTTCACGAATAAAAAGCCTATGCGCCAAAGAAAGTTTTCGAGAAGTCTGCTCTACTATTGTGGTTTCTAGAGTTACAATAAAACTGAATCAATAGGAAGAGAGAACGAATATATGCCAGAGAAAAAGACCAAGTCAAAGCTGAGAACAGGAAACTTTCCAACTTATCTTCACCTGCCATTTATTAAACATCAATTTTATGCAGACTTTAATATAATTCAAGCAATAAGTATCATCAACAAATAAATTACAAGAATGAAATGATAAGTTACAGTCTTATCAATACCAATAAATACTTGAATTTATTATGAACGAATCATGATTAATTTTATTCACATCAATAAAGCTTTTTCCTAGATGATGAATAACAGCACAGATTAATTCATCAGCCTGTAAACCAACTGACATTCCTTTAATTATCAGTTAATCATAACTGTTATAAATTTGTCTAATTATGTAATATTTGGAAACATCAAATGTTTCGTAATTGGGATATGTAAATATTTATCATAGATATGATTATAGCAACGAAATGTGGCTACATGTACTATTCCCTTTAACATCCCTTACACCAATATGCTATCTGTCGTAATGCTGCCATTACATATCTGTTCATATAGAAATTCCACTATTTCTCATTATACATACGTATATATTATATATGTGTAACTTAATTCTGTATATACAATCATCGAATGAGAATGTAGGCATGGAAGGCAGTGGAGCTTCAATACTATCTAATTGCATATACATACAGTCCAAATAATTTGAATTTGTAAAATTGAGTCAACAATGAATACACAATCTAATCAGAAATTCCAATAATTTTATATTTTATTTATTTATTTATTTGTCACTTTTTTTTTTTTTTTTTAATTTTATTTGAAATTTTACATTTTTGTTGGAGACCACATGTTATTTCTACGAATCAGTAAATGAGTGGACAAGTGATTTTTTTAAGCATGCAATATTGTCGTGAGCTATGAAAAATAAGTATATTGGTAATTACCACGTTGCAGTTGACCTTTTACAACACGTAATCCTTACACATATATAATATGAATTTTCAATGTCATGAAAAAAAAATCAGATTATACATGACATGAAAGTGAACATATGAAAGTACTTGAAAAAAAAAAAATTATTTAAATTATCTTTTTAACACATAAATATGTAATAAATCATTCAGTTAAATCAAAATTTCATTGATTGTTATTTATTTTTTTTTTTATCTTCAATTTTACCTTCAATAATACTTATGTCATTTTCATTTAAAAAGCTTCACTTTGATTTGTGGATTTTTTTCTATTGAAAGATTGAATAAAAGGTTTCTTTTTTACAAATAAGATTACTATAATAACCTTGTAGCTTCATGGAGTTGAATAATTGTGTGATCAAAGAACAACTAGGGTAAACTAAACAATGATTGACATTATGAGGACAAATTTTGGCATCATCTTTGATACTTTAATTAATTATTCTTTCATTAAGTTTAAAATGCTATTTATTAGCAAAATTAATCCAAAAAATTCTGTATTATTAAAATAAAATAATTTGCCAATTATTCATATTACAATTAGTCAACAATAAAATTATGTCCATAAAAATAACTATTTATTGTTTTTAATATTCATTAAAGAATATAATATTTCTTCACTTTTTTATATTTAAAATGTAACTGATCAAATTCAAGTAAATTTTATTTAAATAAAAAAAATAGACAATCACAATGCGATTAAGGTCGAGCAGATTACGAGCCTTTATTGACGGCACGAAATAATTTTACCGTTAAAATAAATCATAGATGATAATTTATATGTACATCTATATATGACAAAGAAACTATATATGAATATAATTGCAGTGGGGAAATCAATTAACGCATACTATACGCAATAAAAAAAGACTAATAAAATTTAAATGTCCTGTAAATAATGAATGTATAATAATGATAATTAATTTTAAAAAAATCACATCACTGTAAAGTCATATCTCATCTTACTATACAATAACTCATAATAATTTATAATTTAAATGTAAAATTTTATGTTAATTTATTTGTTATAATTGATTTAAGAAAGAGTAAATTTTCCGAATAAAATTCTTTTTCTGAAAAAAAAATGACTAATCTTCTTACTTCTAATTATGCAACACATAGTTATAATCCTAAAAGCTATATAAGTCATATCTCATACCCACTGTAATTTTTATTAGAAAATTTATCATATAATTCTTCTAAATAATATCACGTTAATTTTCCATTTATTTTTAAAAGTTCATTGATTTGTTAACCATATTTTCAACTGATAAAAATTTACATTTAGCTTTCTTTATATTAGTATTCATGTCAATAACAACAAATTGATAAATATTATTCTTTTAAGATATTGAAAATATTTGATCCCCTAATTCCATCATCAATCTTTTTTTTAAAATGATTACTCAGTTTTACAAAAAATCCCTTTTAAAAATGTAAGCTATCAAAAAAATTACTCTCTGTATCAAACATTAATAAAAGCTTTTATAACTCCATTAATTCATTTCAACGTTCGACGATTTCATGATTGAAAAGTCTTAGCAGAAGCAAAAAAGAACTTCCCCCATCATTTTTCATTTCTACCTTCTTATTTTTTGCATTATTCTGACAAGTGGATAATATCTGACAGTGCAGACTACTCAAAATCAAACCAGAGATATAATTTTGGCCCCAGGGGTAGTATACATGTCACCAAACGAGGGCTTAGAATGACCTGATCCTGCTAAGAGCCAGAGGGAGTGAGAAAACTGTAGTAAGGTGGTTGCGCATTGCAGCAACCCCAATAGTACAAACACTGACTCACACTTCACTTTGCTTACCTCCTCTGCCTCGTCCTTATTCTTTACTCATACACATACCACATATAACGCAGTCGTTATAAAGTGGCCCTGACGCAAGCCTGCAGTTACATGCTTGCACGACTTGTACTTCATATCTCCACATAAGTGTCCGTAAAGTAAATATTTTTCACGAACAATTAGCATTGAAACACGTGCTCATATTCTGATCATCAAGGAATTGATTCATCCAAGGATATCCCTTGGTATTGAATAAAATTTTTCTCAAAAACTTGCAATTAAAAAATTGAGACAAAAAACTCATTTGAATAAACTTCTAACTTTAAGATGTGACCTTGACCGACACTGATTTGAAAAATAGATTGAGTTCATGCAATACTCTTAAAATTGATATCTTTACATAGTAACGTGGTTTTTTGCACCTTGAAAACTGTAAAAGCCAAGAAAAAACACCTCAACTCTATCATCAACACTGAAAGTGTCAATTTTATCATAATCGACATGTAAGAAAAATTGTAAAACTAAATTGAAAAGATAAAATAAATTAATTTAATTATTTTTAAAAAAATGTAAAAAATAGTTAGAGTAGTAGTGGATGATGATAGCTTATTGGCAAGGAATAATGCAATAGTTGATAAAAATCTAATCCCTAGCATACTACATTCGAGATTGAATAATCATCAAGTCCTCCTCTACCAATACTATGATGATCTGTATAAATGCTTTAATATTTCTGACGTGTACATATTCAACATGAGTACTTCCTTCCAATCCTACAGAACACTTATTTTTTTAAGTCATGATTCAAGCAGGATATCCAAGCCACAAGCCTCATTTCTCATCAAAACAAATTAGAAATGAAATCAGAGAAGACAGCTTTGATTTCCCAAGTTTGATTTACTATTCCAATTGCTAAATGATGTAAAACCAATTTAAGGAAGACAAAACACCTTAAGAGGTATCAAACTCTCCAGAGAAATTATTCAGGAATAAACCACTAAGTTTGTATTCATAAATCTGACCTTTTTCTTGATAACTATCTAGATTTGTATTCAATGTAGAGCTTGGTTTTGCTTGCTTCAAATTGTTTCATTCATATTAGAAATATAATATAATAAAAGATCATCCAATCAATCCATGATACCAGAGTACCAGATGGTGATCAAACATCAATACATTTATTCTTAAGATGTGCATCAACCAACATCAATTCTATTTATTTGGATTCAATGAAGACAGATGTGCTGTTAGAGGTATACGTAATGGCTTTGAATTCATGTAATCTTGAAGAGAAAATTTGCCAGAAAATTCATGGTTTCGAGATACATCAACCAGCTATTTATGATGTATAAGCTCAAAAGCTTGATAGACAAAAGAATTTTCAGCTAGAAGCCAATTTCAATCTTAGTTGAACCGTAAATTATGATGTAGATATTTAATTAGTAATTAGAAAGTTAAATAGAGCAGAATTAAATGATGAAAAATTACTCTAAAATTATGATCTTTAGAAATATGATTACAATAAAAAAAACTGATTTAATCAGATTTATATAGTAAGTTTATTATTTGGAGTTCTAATTAAAGTAACGTTTCAAACATTGAACTTTGATCAACAGTTCCCCTATTAGAACCTGAAAGCCCTTGGCGAGACACGTATCTGTGCAACAATAAATTACTTAGATTAGTGTCTCAAACCGATACGATCATTTTTTATAGCTACTGAATAATAAAGTCTTACTATTTACTTATAAAATGTTACAATAATTCTTTCAAATTTTTTATTTATGAGAAACAGATTATAAATAGGAAATTTCAGAAGATAAATTTTATAAAGAGTGAATAACTCTAAAGACAGCAAAATAGTTGAAAAATTTTTTGATTATCCAACACATCAATAAATTAGTTATAGTTTATCAATCGTATTGTTGATAATTACTATAAAAAAAATGTTTTGTAACCATACAACACTACTGAACCAACAATGCAATCTCTAATTAATTCTTAGGTTGTTTCAGAACATTTATCCATGATTATTAGAGTAAAAATGAAATCTATTTTGACTTACCTATTTTTCGGCAAAAGGGGAAGAAAATATCCTAGGTAATTGGTGCAATTAATTTCTGTTATAAATTCAATGTAAACAACAGTTCTTCATAATTCGATTATGATTTTCTAAGTTGTGTGTATTTGAAGTATTTCAATGTTGAGATAAAATACTTTTATTTAAAAGAATAAATAACATGTTTATAGTCACTGATTTATAAAGTACAGGTCATAAACTATTTTCAAGTTGTCTTTATTAATCAAATTCATAAAAACATTGATACTTGTTACATTTCTGTCCATTTTACTTATGCGCCATTGAAGTGTATCTTAGCTATCGACTGTGCATCATTCTGGAATCGTAGGTATATTACCGGCAAAGTAATTTTCGTAAGTCGGTAAAAGCTATTATTTTTCTACAGTCGGTAAACGCCCAAATACCTTCTGATTTTCATGAAATCTTTTCCTGAAATTGCACAAAAATTTGCAAAGACTCAAGAAAGACCTCTTGTATGATCATGTGACCCGGATATGAAATAAAATTTTTCGAGAAACAAGTGATACAAAAGGTCGTTTATTACACTGTAGGTTGATATAATAAATCGATACTCTAAAAAAAAAGAATCGATTGAAACGTTTGTAACGATCGTTATACTTGTGATAATACTTGTTTTAGTATTAATAAAATAACTTTTTTTATAAAATAAATAATAAATAAATGGAAGTTTTTATATTATAATTGAATTAAAAGCGTAAAATGTTTAAAATATGTATAAAATGTTGTTTCGATACAATGACATTTGTTTGAACAAATTAGAATGTTACAAATGTTTAAATTCAATAAATTTGATATCTAAATTGTTTAAAAATTATCAAAAAACATCCAAACATAATTATTGCTTTTGAAAACCATTTGTTTTGTCGACTGCTATGATGTTATCGACTCTCGTTTCTACTCACCTCTATGAATTTTTACATGGTTAAGTTTACTCAGTCGTCAGTTGCAACAGGAACGGTATCCAAACAAACGCTCCAATAATCATAACCAAGGTAACGCTAGAAAAACTCTACCAGGAAACCCATAAATTAATCAATTTAATCCAATTTTTTCATGAAGAATATCAATCTGCTAGCCACCAATTATGTTTAGTAACAAATCTTTTGAAACAATCAGTTTTACATCAGCTGTCACAACAGAAGCGTAAGTGAACTCAAAAGAAATAATTCATTATTCATAAACTTCATGTATTATTTATAAATATTTTTTATCGACGACAACTTTAGATCTTCTACATCTGAAAGAGTGCAAACAGATGAGGTCAACTTTAAGGATGTGAACGTTCAAACATTGGAGCACAAAGATGCTCAGGTATAAAACAAATTGATACCTTCTTTCTAAAGTTTATAATCACTAGGGTTAACTTGATCCTACTGTATTAAGAATTTTAAGAACTAAATGATCTGTCAGTATCATGTATTTTAGACCCAGATTAGTTCAGATGAAATGGAGAAACCTGCAATAGATTATGATAAGTTAGCAGCATTTCTCAGAAGGGTCACACCAGGTGTATTGGAGTCATTGGATGAGATTTATGACAACAATGCGATTGACGAGTATGAATCTGTAGTTCATAAAGATTCAGTACCACCTGTTAAGCAGCTGACCAGATTTTCAACAATAGAACAGTCAGAAACTAAAAGTCAGGTAAAGCTCATTATTCAAATTTCGAAGGAATTGAAAATTTACCTTACTTACTTACTATAACCTTTTTTGTAGTATTTGAATATTATAATAGAACTAATGTAGTGATAAAATCTCTTTATTAAACAGAAAAAAATAAGTGCATTGAAATGGAGTAAGAATGGAGGAACATTTGCAGTTGCTTACAGTGCATACATCCATGAAACTTGGTGTAATCATCAATCACTCATCGAATTCTATGAATTTACGAGGCATGATAAAATATTAGAAAAGCCTATTAAAAGCTATGAGACGAATGCATGTGTTACGTGTTTAGCTTATCATCCCGTTGAACCTTCAATATTAGCAGCAGGACTGTACAGTGGTAATTATTTATTTTAAAGTCAATTTTTTTACAAAAAGACTTGGGAAATTGATTGATGAAACCCAATAGGTGATGTTGTCTATTGGAATCTTATTGAAAGTGATATAACTCCTGTCCAAGTTTGTACTCATGGAGATGTCGTCACATCAGTAACTTGGAGACCAAAAACTATGAGGGAACCTCCTTTATTGATATCTTCTAGTTCTGATGGTTATATTCTCTTTCACAGGATGATTGAAAATTATACTGATTCAACACTCGATAAAAGGTATTTAAATAGTAATATTTCAATAATTAAATATGCAGTGAATTTTTTAATCGTGTGTATAATTATACTTTAGGTTTAAAATAGTTAAGGAATATAATCCAGCAGAAAACAGTCGTCCACCAAGTGCTGGAGGACGTCAAGAACGAGCAACAGAACCTGGATTATATATTACATGCTTGGAACTTTGTTTAAAAAGTTTTGAAAATTTTATCGTTGGTACTTTGTGTGGAGGCTTATATAAATGCAGTATCAATGCTACCTCACCAATACAAGGTTACTATTCTTCAGATCAACTTCAATAATTAATAAAGTTAATTAGTTTTTATGAAAACATTTATTTTTACAGGCGATAAAACACTTATTGATCCAGTAATTTTTGAATATGAAAGATGTGATGGAAGTATTACTTGTATTAAAAGTTCATTAACATTAGATCTATTTGTTACGAGTAATACTTATAGAGAAATACATATTTATAAGTTAAATGAGGTAAGATATATTGCAAATAACTCCAATCATTGATTTTCTATACTTCCAAACTATAAAGTAATACTTTTTCAGGCGTCTCATATTCATATTATTCCAATGGAATACATGATAGTTGGATTGAAATGGTACATAGAAACACAAGACTTAATTTTAGCATATGGAGCTAATTCAACTATAAAATTCTTTCATGCTTCAAGTGGTATTGTTTATCCTGACTTAAAAATACAATCACAAAGCAGTGAAATCAATAACGTGGATCTTATATTAAAAAGGTACTAGACACATTTTATCTTTAAAAGAAAAAAATCGAATCCTCAAATATCTATAAATTCATTTTTATTTGTTGTTTAGAGACGCAATTGTTCTATCTGACATACATAGCAATATAGAAGTATGGAAAATACCAAAGGAAGTGTGCTTATCAGTCTAAAAACTTTAATGCTACAAGTATTTCAATCACATCAACTAAAAAGACTTATTTTCTATTTTCTTGGAATATTATAAAAATCATTGAAAATAAAATTTGTATAAATAGATAACAAAATATGCTTAAATTATTCTAGTATCATCATCTTCAACTGACTCCATGGAAAATCCAACAAAGTAATGAAGAAATATCCTTATGAACTCCTATTCTAAGAATACTGAAGTAAAGTCTTTCGCTCCATTGCAAATAAATATCTGAAACAAAATAAATTTAAATAATCATGTAATCGTAAAATACTTTAGATATACAGGTACCAGGTATAATGGATCGTATACATACCGAAGCTTTACGGATAATTTTTACCTGTACATAGTTATCCTTATATTTAGGAATGTAAAAGATGCGTGCATCCTACTGGTCCTCACAGCCGTTAATTATCACCTTGACAATAGCTCAGTCATAATCTCGTAAATCCCTCAAGGTTGCTTTCATAAAGTTAGGTATTGATCCCATGCTGAATTTCCGACAATTATCCTCAGTAAAGTAGATTCTACCTGTCTTCCATAAACTTCCGAAACAAAATGGAAGACATGCTAAAGTTTTATGTTGTATAGTCCTTAAAAGGACAGTTTTAGAGTTTTTTCTTGTTCTTAAAAGAACATTTTTAGAACTTGATAAAGTGTTCCACAGAGTGAACTATTTGCGGGCCCTGAAAAGGGCCCTAAAAATTATTGCCAATAAGAAAAAAAAAACGGGATACAATGTTTTGAACAATACAATTAAAAAGAATACAGTCAAATTAAATGAAATACAATGATAGACAATTTTTTCTGTAGTAAATTCGAGCCATTCAGAATTAAAAAATATTTTTTAAAATTGTTCCAATCGTTGTAATAATTCAGAAATAATTTTATGTTCCCGTTGTCAATTTTGTTTTTTGATATTCCACACCCAATTTCCATAATCACTGGTTACTTGAATACATATAATAAAAATAAAACAGAAATAACTATATTATTTTAACTGGCCCGTATTTATAATTTGGCGTATTTTAAAATTAATCTATTTGCTTGATAGCTAATGAAGATAAGGACGGTTTATAAATGCTTTGCACGTGAGTATGTGTTTTTCTTCTATGTTGTAAACTTCTCATCCAATTAGATGTTTAATTCTAATCCAATATAATTCGATTATTCCACTGTATTGTTGAATAATTCTATAATAATTTTCAAGTTTTTCTTCTGATTTATCCATTAAATAAAAACTCCAATATTTCGAAGTAAAAACAGCACCAGATTCTTCGGTTCGACGTTTATTAATTGCATTTTAATCTATGATTCGATTTCTTCCACATTTTTCTCTTCTTACTCCTCTTGAATTAAAAACGGGGGTTATTTCCAATACAAAGATTAAAGACCATCCTTTTGTTTCACATATGTGTAAAATAACAATTACAGATCCAGTCATTTTTGTTCAAATTGAATAAATATTGTTTTTTTTTGTATTTTTTGTTTTTTCAATGTTTTTCAGACTACGATCGCTCCTGCGAAATATTTATCACCTACAATTTACTGGTTTCCTTATTACACTTCTAATTGAATCAGTATATAATAATAAGAATAATAATCGTAATCATAATAATAATAATACGGAACGCTCAATAGAAAGCACTTGATTTTGTGTTGATGGTAGTTAATAACATAATTGTTACTTTCATATTTTTTATATTCATCTTTTCCTTCTTATCTTATGATCTCATGTTTCATTGATTTATTATCATTATATCTAAAATTAATTTTTTCTTTTATCACGCTATTGAACATTCCAATCATTCAGTGTTTCATTTCGAGCACATTTAAGTAAAATGATAACTATATAATGCGATTGATGTTAATTCTATTGGTACATTTTATTTGTTTTATCTCATAAGAAAACTCGTCATTAGAGCCATAAAAAATTTAGATTTTTTGCTAATTTTTTTTCCCTGATTACGTGACGATATTCACTTATATTTTGAAACCTATTATAGAGAAAATTCATGCACTATATAAATTTAAATCACCAAGATATTTATTTTTTTATTTTTAATAATCATAAATCGATTGACGAATTTTCAATTCAATCAAGAATATACACGATTGTTTCTGATTTTTTTTTTGTATTTTTTTTAAACATTTTATCAATCGTTGACTTGTAATATTCTTGTTGTTTTTGATTTAAATAACTATGTCTTTTTGTGCAGAAGACACAATTAGAAAAATAAATGTACACATTTTCGCATATTTCCCATAAACTGACTTGTTCATTTGAAAAATGTGAATAAATTAACATCTCTTTTATCTCTGTACACATTAAATTCCGTCTTAAAATATAATAAAATTAAAAAACATGAACTATTCTATACCACCAACCATTTTAGAAAAAAAAATTTTTTATCACGCAATTTAAAAAAAATTTTGTATTATCTAAAATTAAATTAATGCTGTACGTATTTGGTAATATTGATGAATTTTTTTTATAAATTTCATTTGCGCGAGTTCATTACATTCTTGTGAAGAACTGTGTGTCTCTTCATGTAATTATTCATTAGTCTCTTTAAATTGATACCTCGTTAAAAAATCTCATTAATGAATAATATACATTATGTATTACAATATATACATTTTATTTTTTTTTTTAATAACGGAAGAAACACACTGATCTTCAACGGAGAAAAATAAAATTTATTACTATGTACAATTCGCTTTTTTTACAATTTTTTTTTTTTGACAAAAAAAAACGAATTGTATGAATACCGTGAAATTCTTTATCGATCAAATTTTTAACATCTAAATAACTGTACTGTAATATAAAGAAAAATTATCACACCTTATCTTTCCATCCTAGTTATTTTCGCACATAAATCTTATAATTAAAAATTTTGGACTCATCCACAAGAACATATCAATCGCATCATGCCCATATTAATTTTTGTAAGTTGATTCGTGTTATTTTTTTTTCTATCGTACAAATAGAAAATCCTACTGGATTTGGTATTTTATTATAAAATTACATCTTTTTACTCACACATTGTATTGTCATTCAATTACATGTATTTTCCCATTAAATTAGAAATTACTAATTACTCATGTGTGTGTTATTAGATGTAATTATTTGATCATTGATTTTCTGTTATTTATTTTCATATTCATTCTTTGTTTTATAATCCACAAATCATTTTGCAATTGTACACGACATCAAATATGATTTATAGATTTATTTTATTCATTATATAATACTTGCACAACAGAATCACTCTACGTTTATTCGGAAAATTTAAAAAATAAAATGAACCCAGTGACAAAAATATAAGAAAAAAAAATTCTATAATTGCAACTGAATATCTTACGTTTACTTATAACAATTATTCCTCGAATGTTTATCGACAATTTATTTTAAAACAATTATACAGTACTTGAGTACTTTTAAATAAGTTATTTGTCATATTTATAACAATTTTTTTTTAACAAATTTGCAGAATAAATGGCCAAATTGATTGCCACAAAAAATATTTCTTTAATTAACATATTAATTAATCATATTCATATCGTACTATTCAATGTGGAATTTGTTATATCAATCAATCGTATAGATATGTAAATATTATACATCAATATGTGTATATTTAATTTGAGTTTTGAATAATCTGAATGATCCGTTAATAATCAATAGTACGTGTAGAATAATTTTATCATCACAGTTAACCTTGTTTTATTTTTATAAGTCAATTGATCCCCTCAATTTTCATACCATTAATTATAATTTTATATGTACTAAAATATTGAGGATTCAATTATGTAAATAATGTCAATAATTTTTATAATTATTTCAATGGCAATATCATAAAAAATTCAAATAATTTACTTAAATTTTGTTTAAATAACAGAATACAATGAGAAAAAAAATAATTCCTCTGTAAATTTTTCACTAAAATACATTTTGTGGCATTGATATATTAATTTACAGCATTCGAAGAAAAATTGATATACATAAAAAATAAAAGTATTATGACTATTATTATTGGCAAACTACGAATTTTAGTTTTCATGAGAAAATCAAGTTAGAAATAAAAATAGTATAAACTAATTGAACAATTTCATAGTCTTTGATGATTACTCTTCAGAGCATGAACAATATCAGTTTTTCATCTCATGTACGCGTTTCTGTATAAGTGTGTACATAATAATATTATCATCTAAATACATATCATTACAACTTTGTACACAACTTGGTAAAATCATCGATAAACTTTATGACATATATGTATTTGCGAATGACGTTTCGCTACATTGAAAAAATCCGATTATATCTCCTTTATATATCTCTTAATGCATAAGATATATTATCGTAAACAAAAGTATATTCTTTCACTCAATTGCTTTTCATTTTTTCTTTTTCCTCATGTGCTCATTTTTTCACTCATATTCAAAAATTTTCTGCATACAAATTATATACACCATCACATACATATCACACATAATTATTTGCACACTCACAGACTCGCTTCAATCTTTCTACATTGTCAATGACAAGACTCACAGTCACTGAAAGCGCTAGCGCCTTCTCACATTCAAAAGTTTCTCAGGCATAATTTTTAAAAATTTTTTAGTCAAAAAAATGAAGTTTATGAATATAGACAAGATGATTAATATAGGCTTTGATCAATATCACTTGCAGCTTCTTTATAATTAAAAATTACTTCAGTATTGAGTCCAACAATTTATGGATATCAAGCTTGAACATTAAGTATCATTTTCAAATGATTGGAAATCGCACAATAATTTTGAGATCGTTGACAGCTATTGATGAGTCTACTGGTCCAGTGACTTGGTGGTTTCGGTAAACTAGCTGGTGATGGTGGCTCCGAAAATTTAGCTCCCGCATAAAAACTATTTGTTGGACTACCGTTTCCTGAATAATCAGTTCTGAGTTGTCCGCTGTTTTTTCCACAGCCTGGACTACAACTCAGTCTTCCGGAATTATATTTTACTTGCCTACTATTACTGCTGAAGTATGTCGTTGATTTTATTGTACCATTTCGATACTGTGATCGTTTACCTCCCGTGTTAGGCGACCCCTGTCTCGCCACTTTATTGTTCATTTTCGGTGTCGAATTCGTCATGGTTGATAACTTTTTTTAAATTAGTATTTCAGTCCTTACACGTAAAATTTCCAGCTCTTCACAACCAGTGCCTAAGGAAAACATCAAACCGAAAAATTTTAAAATTAATATCCTGAACAAGAGTGAAAACAAAATAAGATTAAAACTCCAATAATCAACTTCAATTTAAAATCAGCGCGTATTAATTGATATAAATAAAAATATTTTTTCTTTAAATACGATAAGAGAGAAAGAGATAAAAAAACATGTAAATAACGGTTTGAATACATCTAGAAAGTCATTGTACTGAAGAATAATATATTGATTACTGAATGCTTTCACCTTGTTGTCAAAAGAATAAATAAGAATCATGGATATCTTACCTTCACAGAGTAAATTAAAAAAAACCAATGCGCTTGAGAGTCGTCTTTATGTCTCCAAATATACATGTAGACGCCTAACTGCGCAATAATCACACAATGTCGCAGATGGGAGGGGTATAAGCGACGCGATTAAACAAAGATACAAGTAAAAGATAGCAGATGTATAACTCTTATAGAGCAATGGGGCGATTTTCACCAAAGATCTTGTGTTTTTTGAGCTCTCACTATCTTCTCACTCTTATATATGATAAAATAAATGATGTCCAACAATTTATTATCACTTTTTACTGGATTATTATGTTACCGAAGATTGTATATATATTGTACGTTGCTGGAAGCCTTCGACTTATGTCGCAGTAGGTACATAACCCAGCTGGAGGTACACAAAATGGCCACCGCTTGGCTTGGCTTCTTTGTACTTTCTCCAACGGCAGATGCTCCAAATATTGCGATTAAAGCTTTCAATTCAACGATCTTTTATAATTTACAATTTTCTCAGGTCAAATAATCAAAATAAAAATAATTACGGGATAAAAAAAGCGCGCACAAGCACACAATGTGACACACGTAATATTTTATTATGGTGGCCAAGAACTTGCTTGGACGCGCAACGAAATATTTTTCTGGATAAATTTTAACAAAAAAAATAATTTCTTTACACAACTATGATAATGAGCAATATAACTTTGATAACGTTCTGCAATTAATATGCATTCCAGCTCTAAAAGTTAGATAAATCACTACAACTGTGAGTCGTAACTCGCACTACACTGTCTCACACTCTTCTGAAGCCTATTTGCGTTGTGATGATCGTGACAACCACTCTTTGTACTATGACGGTGGCTGTTGGTGGGAGAACAAAATATTCCTACTCTCTCCTTCCGACCAATAGCAACAAAGTTTTCTAGGTAGAATGTTGCTCCGTAATAAGTACACACAGGGATTTTACACTGTTCTGTTCTATTATGTTTAATCGAAGAAGACCCAAATTTGAAGGAATGAAAACGACCCCATTTCCAGGTAAAGTCCTTCCTAAAATTCCCAATTATTAAAAATTTTCAAGTGAAGATAATTTCAGATCCTTAAGTTGTAAAATTGAAAATTTAATTCTCATTCCTCTTTCCAGTAAAACTGTTCATTCTATTCAAGCCTCAGTGTCACCTGTGCCATTGAACCCAAGCTTCTCCATTGTAAATGAATATAAAATTAGATGGAAACTCGTTATTATACTGGTAATATAAAATAGAAAGTTTACTCCAAAATAAAAATTATTTTAGTGACGACATTTTAAAATAATAGGTAATTTAGTTGTATATAATATTTATCTTTTCTACAGAACGATCAATACGTGAGAAATATTAATATTTATGATACAGAAAAGAACGATTCTTCAACTTTACCTAAATAAAAATACTCATATTTATATTAATAACAAACATGAAGGTCAGCATAATAATAATAATACTTGTAAACAAGGCTGCTCTTATTGTTAGTCTTATAAAATTTTAAAATCGCGAATTTTACCGCTATTTATAAAAGCAACCAGTCAACATTGAGGACACAAATGGCGGAAGTGACGTTACAAGTCTTCGTGAAAAAGAGGTGAGGTTGATAATAAAGAAGCACAAATTATCGACAGATTGAGGTAGTCTCTCGAATTGTGATAGTTGCCTCCAGTCACCTGATAATAACCTCCTGTCAATTGCTGTCAAATAATTAAAAGTTATTATATTATTGTTGTGTTTGTTATCGTCATTATTATCAATATCAAATGTCGATGTTGTACGTGACAAAATTGTAAAAAAATATCGTTGTTTATGGCTATCGAGCATTTTTATGCATTTTAATAAGGATACTTTCAATGGATTCTATCAGCTGAGACTCATTTTTCACTAGTTGGCCTTGCAATGAAAAATGCAGTAAGATTTATTTTTTATACTTTTACTACTTGTTTTAATATTTATAAGGTTAACCATCACTTTCGATATGATTCTAGAATCTACGTCTTGTTATGAGTCAATAATACTATATGTGTGTGATCTACACTTTTCAATGAAAGTAGATGATGAAGTTTGCAAAAAATTGACTAGTTGTATGTTATGTGATGGGGTATGTAAAAATCTTTGTAATATGGATCATCACATGGTCCTGCCTTGTAAAAGGCTTCAATCTGTTTCCCCAAACATCACCAAAACAAGTCCCGTGCGATAAAACTAGGAAAGTATTCACCGATTCATGGGGTGTTATCAGTGATGGACCTATGGGGTCTAATTATACTCAAGATTCTCATTGTGAATGGCTTATTAAAGGTAAAACTTGCATTTCTAATTATAACTTGGATAAGATGCATTTTTAAATTAGCTTTTGTATAATAGAGAAATATTAATGTTTCAGCAAACAATAGTAGACAATTTATAACATTAATTTTCCGTACTATGGGTACGGAGTGCAGTTATGATTATGTTTTTGTCTATGATGGAGATTCTTTTAGATCACCTTTATTAGGTAGTTTTAGCGGAAAAACCGAACCTCAGCAAGTAACATCGTCATCTGGATATGTGAGTTTCTTATTAGCACAAATTACAAGATTCATCACTTATATAATCGTTGTATACATAATTTATTTTTTACTGATACTCTTTTTAGATGTTAATTTTACTATACAGTGATACCAACTATGTGTTAGATGGATTTCATGCAGAGTTTTCCGTAACAGATTGTCCAAATAATTGCACAAAACATGGAAAATGTATAAATAATACATGTTTTTGTGAAAATGATTGGGGAGGGAAGGATTGTTCAAGAGAACTTTGTCCAAATAATTGTAATGAAGCTGGAACATGCGGTGTTAAAAGATGTCAATGTCGAAAAGGTTTCTCAGGACAGTCATGTTCTTTGCATGCCACTAACCCAGATGGCAATAGGTAACTTTTCCAGCAGCTGGATTTATTTTATTTATGCAAGGAGATTTTTAAACCAGTAACATCGAGAAATTTGTATAATAACAACCTAGAACACTTTCTCAACATTTTTGACATTTATTTTATTTTTAATTATTAAGAGAAAAGAATAATATCAGTATATAAATGTGACAAATTAAAAAATTAATTGATAAGTAATGAAAATTATATTAATAAAGTATATTTAAACAGGTGGCATTGGCTATCTCATTCGGAAAGCGGTATGACTCCACGAGCAGCTCACACAGCAGTTTATGACAGTGAATCTGATGCTCTTTATGTATTTGGAGGATACAATCTCAATTACGTTCTCAGTGATTTAGAAATTTATCGTTTTAACACAAGTCTATGGGAAGATGAGTATGGAGCAGTATTAGAAGGCGTATCTGCAGCTGAATATTTAGATCCTATGCTTTTGGCAAGTGAATTGGAGAGAATTGGCACTGGAGCCGAAGAAAAATATGGCATTTCATCAAATTCATTTGTTTGGAAACTTCTTTACAATATTAAAAACAATAGTACGTTTAATTTGAGAGATAAACCTTCCGATACTGACCAACATGGATGGAGAGAATTTATCAGTCATGATTATCGGAATAGAGATAAAAGCAATCGTAATACAAGGGGTAGTGAATGGCGAACAAATACTGAAAGGATTGAAAGAAGACATCGTAGAACTGTTGAATTGATTTATTCTCATCCATTATCGATGAGATACCGAAGAAATTCTGATAATGATGAAACTGGTGAAGAATGGCAAGAGAGAATGATTGACAACACAACCTCTGAAACTGCAGAAATTAATGATGACATTGATTCTAATGAAAGAGAACCCTCTAAACCAAGTCCTAGATATGGTCATGCAGCTTGTAAATATGAAGGAGGTTTTGTAATTTATGGAGGTAAATTAACTAATGGATCACTATCAAATGAACTTTGGTATTACAATATAAAAAGTAAAGCCTGGACTCTTCGTGCAAGAAAATCATCTTTCATTCCACCTGCATTAACGAGACATACTTTAACGTTGGCTGAAGATAGTATTTATTTGTTCGGTGGAAGTACAGTTGATGGAGAATTTTCTTCTAATCTCTATAGTATAAAACTCAATTTATCAGATCCGCTGGGAACAAAGTTTGAACATTGGAAACAAGTTAGAGCTAGGGGTGGTAAAGAATTAGATGTAAGGGTCGTTGCACATTCAACTGTATACCACAAAGCAACTAATTCTTTGTTGGTTTATGGAGGAGTTGTCGCGAGTGTTGCCAGATTCAGCAAGTTATCTGATCGGATGTTTGTGTTTCAATTGGACAGAAAAGTTTGGTCGGAAATCCATTATCCTCGAGCGCATTTAAGAGACACCTATGTACCAAGAGAACGTGCATTTCATACTTGTAATATCATTGGAAACTATTTAGTGGTTTTTGGAGGATATTCTCATAAACACAATAAAGAAGAAATTTGCTATGATAATCAAATGTACTTATACCATCTAGGGTGTCATGTATGGGTTAGTCATGAAGTGTTTGGAACAAGTGACCGAGAATCTGGTTACCCAAAACAACAAGGAGTATTTGCTCATGCAGCTAATGTTAGAAATGGTAACACCTTGTTATTGGTTGGTGGATATCATGGTAATGTTAATGCTGATCTTTTAGCTTATACTTTACCGCCAATGCTTGCACCAGGGGATGGTGATTATACAGAACCCGAACATCTGTGTTTTAAACATAAAACTTTCACTGAATGTTCAGCTAATCCTGAATGCGGTTGGTGTTCAGCGGATGAAATTTGCTATGGAAGAACTATCGGTAGTAATTGTACAACTAATTTGCAAACTTCAAGATGCCCTGGAGTATGTCCGGCTTTAGGTGATTGCCATTCTTGTTTAATTCATGGTCAACCTGGTGGAGGTTGGGGTACAAATTCTCGAGGTAAAAGTTCAATTTCGAATAAACTTAACTTGGGAACTTGTACTTGGTGTGTACAAAATGCTAGATGTCATCATAAAGATGATAATTATGGAGTTTGTGGCCTTCGAGATGATACCCTTTCCCAAATACCTGGCTGGTGGGGTTCAAAAGGAACAGAAATAGTTAAGGTTGAAGAATGTCGTGAGATGGATAAACGTCCAGGACTAACGTTTCTTAAATATAAACCACCAGTTAATTTTACCCAACCTGATTCCGTTACTATAGTAAATGCTACGACAATTGATTTCAACGTGCCGTCCATGCAAGGTGCTAAGAGTGAGTCTGGTCTTGGTGGAGAAATGATAGCTAGATTAACAGGATTCCTTAGACCACCTCAAGATTTTTGGGATGAAGCTGCAGAGGCTTTAAAAATTTGTGTTAGCTATAATAGCGCTACTTTACGTGTATCTCATAATAATGAATATAAGCCATTAGAATTAGTTGCTAATTTAACTGCAGAAACTTCACAATGTATTCCAACTAAATGGCCAGATGGTAATAAAATGTCACTACAACCAGGTCGATATCTTTTAGATTTTGAATCTAAACGCATGGTCACAGCTAACTATGCTTATCCAAGTAAAATGGAAATAATTCACAGTGGAAAAACAGAAAATCCAAAAGTGTTCACATTTGAATACTTAGAACCTTTTCAAAATGGCTCTTGTGATCAATACAAAAATTGTCTTCATTGTCTGACCGATTCATCTTGCGGTTGGTGTGATTTGAATAACAAATGTTTATCTAGAGAAATCAACGAAACTGAAAGCTGTATCGCCATTATCGATCAAGATCCATTCACTGGTGAACCTATTACTGAATGGCGATTTTTAACAATCACTCCTTCAACATGTGCCAACTGTTCTAATTATATATCATGCGAGTCTTGCGTTAATACCAATCTTTGTGAATGGTGGACAGAAGATGCGAGATGTGCCAGAATTGGTAGATTACCCAATAGTGTTCTAAGTCTCGATCAATGTCCTGTACCTTGTAGACAAAGATCTAATTGCACTCAATGTCTAGAAGAACGAGGAAGATGTGTCTGGTGTGAAGCAACTCAAGAATGTTTTTCTTTCTCAGTCTACACTTCTGAATATCAATTTGGACTATGTCGTGAATGGATGGACCAAGCTGGACTTATGGGTGTAACATCAAGATCAGAACCAGGATCAGGAAATTATCAATGTAAAAGTTGTAGTAGACATACTAACTGTACTAGTTGTTTACACTCATTGAGTTGTGGTTGGTGTTACAGTTTGGATAATCCAATCACTGGAGTTTGTGTCCAAGGAGACTTTAATCGTCCTCACGTCAATTGCAGTCTAGCGATTAATGATTACGTTAATGAAACAGCTTTAATAAGTGATTCTGGATGGGCCTATGCCCAATGTCCAGATGTTGATGAATGTGATCTTGGATTACACGATTGTCATCCAAATGCAATTTGTACCAACACTCATGGTAGCTATAGTTGTCAATGCAAACGTGGATTTAATGGAGATGGAAAGGAAAACTGCACCAAAACGTGCTATGAAAAATGTGTCAATGGATATTGTAGTGAAGCACCAGACTACAAATGTGAGTGTAATCTAGGCTGGACTGGACCTGATTGTCGAACAAACTGTGGTTGTTACAATCACTCAACGTGTGTAAATAGCGTTGGAGTTTGTGATGAATGTCAAGATTGGACCACTGGTAAATATTGTGAGGAATGTAAAGCAGGAAGTTTTGGTAATGCAACCACAAGTTTAGGATGTAGAAAGTGTAATTGCAATGAGCATGGAGATAAAGAGTTAGACTATTGTGATCGGCAAACTGGAAAATGTTTCTGCAAAGACAATACTGAAGGTGAAATGTGTGAGATATGTAAAAAGGGTTACTATGGAGATCCAAGAAATGGAGGAATGTGTTACTACGGATGTATGTCTCGTGGAATTCTTACTGGACATAGCAATGATAAACAAGGTCTTGGAAGTAGACATTCTCAACTGTCTCTGTGGGAAAGTCACCTAGCAGGAAGCCCAACACGAGAATGTTTGTGGATTGTTCGTCCACAAAGTGAATTTATGTCCGAGTCAATGACGACAAGCATACCAAGTATAATACAATTTACTATCAATGAAGATATCAATGTAAGTTGTCAAGAAAACAGTGTTTATGTTTATGATGGATTACCAGATTTTGTGTCGTCAACGAGTAGCCATCAAAGTCAATTACTTGGCGTTTATTGTACAGAGAGCACCAATTACCCAGTAACCGTGGAAGCAAAGTCAGGTATTCTTACCGTCCATTATAAACAGCTTGATGAAATTGAGGGATTCAATGCGAGCTACGTAACAATGACTTGTGGCGATAACTCTTGTCCTCCAAATCGTGAATGCAGGAATGGAAATTGTTTGTGTAAAATTGGCTTTGTAGGAATTAATTGCGATATTGAATTATGTCCTAACAATTGTACCTCTTCCAAAAAACAGGGAGTTTGTGATAAGAGCTATGGACATTGCGTTTGCGCGGCTGGATTCGGAGGACGTGATTGTTCAATAAAATTAGAACCACAGCAGCTGGTATTTACTGAGCTCTTTAATTCTGAATATCTCGCTGATAATCTAGATCATTTACGCAAAACTCTACCAAGATTTGGCCATAGTTTAGTAGCAGATCGTCGAGGAAGTCTCTGGATGTTTGGAGGATATTCACTTAGTCATGGTCCGTTGAATGATATCAGATTATTTGACACAAAAAATAATACTTGGATGCCTGTCACAGTCGAGTCGACATCTGAAGCTTCCATGCCTCAAGGCAGATACTTTCATGCAGCGGAAATAGTTTATAGTCGTCAGCAGATTTATGTTTACGGGGGATTGTCAATGAAAGAAGAAGGCATAAACGGCTTATCAAATAATACACTAAGCGACTTCTGGAAATTCAGTTTACAGAACCAACGATGGAGTCTAGTAAAGCCGAACCCAGTGAACAAAGTTCCACCACCACTTGCTGGTCATACCTTAACACTCAGAAGGAATGGAGAATCAGAAAGTTTGATACTAATAGGAGGATTTAGCCCCAAGTATGGATATTTAGACAGTGTTTGGGAGTTTAATCTTGAAACTGAAGTTTGGTCGACTTTTACAACCCGAGGCAATGGCCCTCTAGGAGTTTATGGGCATTCCACTGTCTATCATAGCAAATCTGACAGTCTATATGTTTTTGGAGGCTATACATATTCAGTAAATCGTACATTCATTTCAAATAAACTTTATGCACTTAATTACAAATCACATTCATGGTCTGTTCTTCCACCATTTGAAGATGAATTCACTGATGGCGGTAATCTACCCCAAGCTAGATTCCTTCATTCAGCTGTTACAACTGATGAATACATGGTTATTTTTGGGGGTCGTCAAAATCCCTATAACGCTAATGATTCACTAATAGCGTATCAGTATGCTTGTAATTTATGGATTCGCTTAATTACCAAGGATACAGAAATAATTGGTACTCCTCCACCACCAGCATACGCCCACGCAATGACTCACGCTGATCCTGAAGTAAACGCTATTTATGTTGTCGGTGGCTTCGATGGTAGTATTAACAGCCATGTAACACAAATAACCATTCCTGAAGATCTTTGTAGTTTATGGACTGAAAAGTCAATATGTAGAAAATATTTTGGATGTTCATTTTGTTCTGTTGTCACAACTTCTGGTGAAAGTGCATCATATTGTTTCTCAAATCAGTTATCTAATAGAGATGACAGATGTGATATTAATGTAACTCAAGCTCAACGTTCTAATGGAATTTTTTGTAACTATGAATGGCTTGCTAATAGAAGGTGCCAAAATTTAAAAAGCTGTACTGAATGTCTAGCTCAATGGCCATATTATTCTGATGATGAAGAGCCTGTTTGTAAATGGTGTACCAATTGTCCACATGGTAAATGTATTCCAGTTGACAAGGATTGTGATGAGCAGAATAAATGCAATGTTATACAAATATCCACAACAGATGTAGATCAATGTGGAGAACGACAATGTCCAGCAAGTGATTGTGAAAAATGTAATAATCTTGAAGAGTGCGTATGGACTCGACAGATTCTTAAAACATCAGAATTTGGAATTAAAATGACTAGTGAACCAATATATGATTGGAACTGTGTATCAAAAGATATTTTTGAACGATCAAGTATCAAAATGGCAAGTACCGAGTGCGAAAAACGATGCAGCGATCATAAAGATTGTACCAGTTGTTTAAAAGGAACAGGTTCTGAAGGTGGTTGGCATGAATGTAGATGGTCAACACAATTAAATGAATGTATTTCACCATCATACCAACCACTTTATTGTGCTGGTGGTGTCTGCGGATTAGTTTTGAAGAATTCAGATGTTCAACAATGCCCCGAACCATGTTCTGCTTTTAAACAGTGTAGTACATGTCTTAAACATTCACATTGTGGATGGTGTTCTCTTGATTCCGCCAATTTAACGGGCCAGGGAATATGTACAGAAGGATCTCTTGAAGCCCCTACTGATCATCCGGCTGGTGGTACTTGTGAAATGCTCTATAACCAACTTAATCCGTCGACTGAGTTGCGTAAGTATTCAATTAATGTTTTCAATAGATACTGTAATCACTACAAATCATTTGATTATTCTAAGTCTCTTTCATTTATTTTTAAATACTTCTTAAAACCCCTCTTTGATTTCGTTGAGCCTTTAGTTAAGCCGCTAGTTGTATGAATGTTTTTTCAGGAGAAAAAACGTTTTCCATTTTTAACGTAAATTGAGATAGAAAAAAAAAATCAATAATTTAAAGGACATGAATTTATAGAGGACTCTAGAGGCTTTATCACATTTTAAATTATTTACCCCATATATATTATTTTTATACATTACTTCCGATGTTACTTTATTTATAGGAAGTTATAAATTAAGACTATGTCCCTTTTATTGGAACATTTCTATTTAATTAATTTTGGTATCTTACTTTCATCTAGTATTAGGGTTATTCAGATGGGAAATTTCCCCGGCTTAATAAAAAAATATTAACTTTCTTGTCAAAGTAAATGATCATAATTCCGCTTTTAAATAAGACTCAATACTAATGACATCCTATAATCATTGACCTTAATACAAAAATCAATATTTTTTCAATCAAAATAAATTAGAGATAGTATAAAGCAACTTACTTATACTGAGCAAATTCCCCCCAGTGAAACAGTACTATTGTTAAGAATGAAAAGGAGCAGTGATGTGATATTTAACTAATCCGATTTGATTCTTTCAGCTATCACAACAACTTTATTACCATTTGAATTGGAAAATACGTACGATGGGCAAACAAATGAAACTTTGGTGACAAAAGAACCTACTCCACCACAAGTATTTTCGTGGCATTATGTCCGTTGTCCTCCAGAAAATGAATGTATCAATGGTCACCATACGTGTTCACCTAAAAGTGAAAAGTGTTATGATCGAGAAGAAGGTTTTGAATGCATGTGTGGTGATGGATATAAAAATGAAACAACTTGGTCTGTCAACGAATTTAACAAAAAAACATGTGTACCAATGTGTACACAAGGTTGCGTAAGAGGAACATGTGTTGAGCCAAATGTTTGTCGATGTGACTTCGGATATGTTGGTGCTAACTGTTCAATTCAATGTCAATGTAATGGTCACAGCAATTGTGCAGGTCCAGACAAATTGGATGAATGCATAAAGTGTCATAATAACACAATGGGACCACAGTGCGATAAATGTGAGCCACTGTATGTAGGAAATCCTGCTGATAATGGCCAGTGTGTTCCATGCCTAGAATATTGTAATGGACACACGCGTATTTGTATAAATGAAAGCATGACAGTATCAGATCCCAATTCCGTTGATAGGATGTCTATTGAATTGCTTACCAAACAATTGGTGGAAGGACCTGTATCTAAAGCTAAGTGTGTTAATTGCGGTAATAATACAAAAGGCGATAAATGTGGGGAATGTGTCTCTGGCTACTTCAGAGGAACCGAGGATCTTAGAGATGTTTGTAGACCGTAAGTACCATATTTTAACGTAAATACTGATGATGGTATTTTACTGTGATAAACTCAAATTACTGTTGGCAAAGGCTTTTATTTTCGTTTTTGTTTTATTTACACTCGAAAGCTATTTTTATTATCATTTTATTTTATTTATTCAGTTTCTTAATTACCGAGGTTTTAAAATAATTTCACGTTAGTTTAAAAATAATCTTAATTAATTGTCACAATTATTTGATTAAATTATCAGCTTGATATTTATTTTTATCTGTCGTTTTTTTTTATTTTATCACTTGCCGTGACATAGAATAAATTATAAAGAAAGTTTTATTTAGCTTTCCTATTAAGTTATATTGGAGTTTAATGTAATCTTTATCTTGATTTAATAGACTTTATAAAAATCAAAATAAAATTCCAAAGTCATTGTTACTTTTTATTAATTGCAATTAACAAGTTAAACTGACCATGTTCAAAACCATTTATGAGAAATAATTATGATGCTTGTAGAATAAATTCAAGTCTTATGAATTATTCAAATCGGCTTAAATATAAATTCACGAAGAACTTGAAAAAAGTAGGCTGTTTCCTTGCGCATATTTACTGGAATTCATTTTAAGTTAGGTGATTTGATATGCTTTGAGTTAAAATAAATACAAATGCATTAGATTCAATGAAAAAAAAAATACCAGGTGTTGTGATACATTAATTAAATATTCATCATTAAATAATAATAGAGACTCAATCTCCCAAATGATTTGGCTTCTTTCCTCCGCATGTCTATATAAATAAATTCTTTATTTACTTAAAGCTCAAATAAGGGGTGTAATAAATTCAAATTAATTTTGTTAACTGTAAATAAATTCTTCCTTTAATGTATCCTTGGCTTTACTAGAGCTATTAAATAGACTGACTCATTTACAACACATATGCTTTCTAGAAAATAAATAGAAGCTTTATGATACAACTAGAAAATTGCAATTTTTTTAGATTCTAAAATTTTCAATGATGGTAATACATTTTTTATAATTAAAATATGACGCTTATTTTTATTAAAAAATCTTTTTTGATAAAAATATGTAAAAGTGATATAAGTAAATTTATAGTTATAAATGCTATGAAAATCATATTTAACTCGACAATATTGTGAAAAAGGTTTTTTAGTTTTAATTGACTTATTGAAAAGTAAATAAAATAATTTAAACGACAGATATTTAAAGCTAACATATATTTACTATGAATTTAGATCACAAATTGCATATTCATAACGTAAAAATCATTATCAACTTGCATTTATTGAATATTTTTTTTTTTTCAATGAAAAGCTTGGTTTGTTAGTGATAAATATTCACTTGTATTACTCAAATATGAAAAAAAAAATATTTTTATCGTCGTTTTACTATTTTAAAAATATTTTATTTGATTGCTATATGAAGCAAATTTTTTTGAGAAATACATACACAGATGCTTGAACCAATTCAATAAACTATATCATATTTGCAATCAAACAGATTAAAACGTTTTATTTTTATTTCAATGTTTCTTTAAAAATATAATCTTGAAAAAACACCTTCTAAAAATATTTTCTGATAGTTTCTGTTAGAATAAAGTATTCTTACTTTATTTACTTTTTTTCTTTTTTTAAAGAGATAAAAGAAAAAAATGTTTAAATTTATTATTAACTCAATATTATTTTGAAGAAAAAAGCTTTTACATAAAAAAAAAATATCATTTTTCAGATGTGAATGCCATGGACACGGAAATACGTGCGATCCAGTAACTGGTGAGAAATGCAATTGTGGGAATAATACAGAAAGCGAACCATCATGCACAAGTGGTCCATCAAAATCCTCGGTCACAGGCGGAACTCCATGCTGGATGTTACAATGTAGTCGTTGTCGAGAAAATTATGCAGGTAACCCGACGATGGGTCATCAATGCTACAAGACAGTAACTGTTGATAACAAAATGTGCTTCGATTCGAAACTAATCGATGAGTGTAAGTTGAAGCCAAAACCGTTGAACCCAGGCCAAACAGTATTTTATATGGTTCAACCTCGATTTATGAATGTCGATATTAGAGTAATGGTTGATGTAACTCAAGGTGCACTAGATCTATTTCTAAGTCCTCGTGATGATTCATTTGTTGTGACAATTAACTCGACAACAGGTTATCAGGATGTTGAATTAGACCGTCGATTCAGATGGACAAAAGATCATTATGATAATTGGTTTGATGATCATTTGCTTCATCGTGTTCGTATTGTTGAATTTAACGCACACTATCCAAATGTCAACAATACGACGGAAAACGATCCAACTAATTGGAACTCCGGCCCACAATATATTGTAATGGAGCGTTATGCTGACAGTCTTGCAACATTTGTTACAATCGACCATAGAAATACATTTCTTGTAATAAGAAATCTAACAAATCGTTTGGTACTTACATTACCACAAGATAAGCATGAATTGGGCTCAACTAAATTTCATATCGCTTTAAAAGCCATTGATACTCCTTATCCAGAGATAAATGGTAGAGCAGCTTATGGAATGATATTCTTTCGACAAGACCAATTACATATTGATTTATTTGTATTTTTTTCTGTATTTTTCTCTTGTTTCTTTTTATTCCTGGCTGCATGTGTTGTTGCTTGGAAAACGAAGCAAGCAGCTGATTTACGACGTGCACGAAGAAGACACGTTGTTGAAATGCTTCATATGGCCAAACGACCTTTTGCATCAGCGACAATACTTTATGATCGTGATGGCAATGAATGTAGTCCAAGTTCGCCCCAGCGTAAAGGAAGGCGTAATAAACTTATCAATTTCCATAGTGACGTAAGACCAGTTGCGGTTGAACCTACTGATGATGGTGTTGCTGCTGTTGCTACTGTATTTATTCGATTACCTGGTGGACAACATGCACCTGTCAAATTGGCACTTGGTAGTTCGTTAATTCTATTGACAAGAGTATATCCGGTTAACAGTCGGGTCTTTTTAAGACGTAGAAATAGTCACGCCCTCAGTTAATCTCTTGCAGCTTTTATATACTTTTTATCTGTTATTATCTCGTTGTTACTTTACGCTGGTATTAACAATTTAAGAGAGAAGTTATTCAACATGTTAAAAAAGATAAATGTTGTAATCATCGACAGTTTAAGACTGAATCACTGGTTTTTTTTTTTAATTTTTTGTGTCAATTAAATGATTTATTTTAAAACTGTTTTTAAATCAATTTTTAATGAAGCTCAATTTTTTATCAAATTTGTTAATAGTCATTTTTTAATGCAAAAGTAAGTAAAAAATAGGATTCAAGTTAGTAAAAATGACGTAAAAAATCAAAATATACAAAATTTTTTATAACTTCAAAAATGCGTCATCAAAATAATTAGATAATTAGATTATTGTTGATGGTTATGACATTTACTCGAATTAAAAAAAAAATGTATCGATAGTAATAGCAACATTAGGAATGATATTATATATAATATTTATCTCAAACTTTACCATGACGAGACTGTATGTTTGTATATACGAAAACATTCTGTAATTATATTAAAATATTTAATATTTTATAACAAGTATTATGGAAATATTCGTTGATTAATGTTTATCGAAACTGAATAAAAATAATCGATTTTTAGCTGAAGCTCATTTGGAAACGTTTATTAAAGTAATTAAATGATTTACGAAAATTTTGTAAATATAATGTATGTGTTTGTAAATGAATTACCATTATTGTAAATGTGAAAACCGAGTATGATTATGAATCATGATGCATATCTGTATTATTTTACTCGCTGTACAGATCTGAATATTAAATAGATATATTATACATGAATATATTATAAATAAATAGATGAATATTATATTTTAAATATACACAACAAGTATTCAGTTAACTATACAAAAATCTTCCACGTTATTTTGCGTGAAACATGCAAGTTATAAAAAGTAATTGTGTATGTTCACCGTAAGCAATATTTTTTTTAAGCTAATGTGAATTTAAATAATTAATAAGTATCATTTTGGAACAAAGATCTTTTATTTAATGATATAGATTTTATGAATAAAATATAATAACTATTTCATAAACTTTAATTCGTCTTTTTATTTTATATCCTTTACATTGAGCTCACTTTCATAATACTATGATAACATCATAAACTTATACAATTGAAGTATAACAAAAATACAAAAAAAACCATCGATATAAAATATCATATATTCTTTGTATAAAAATATCTACATACAGTAAATTCTAGCATCACAAGAATTAAAAAAAAATGATTCCATTGAATATAATCATTTTCAGAATATTTAGGCAACATTAATACAATGCTTTTACTTTGTTTTAATGCATAGCATCTAATTAGTACGCAATTACCAATGTTCTTTTAAAGCTTTGAGCTATACTACTTTGATAAAAAAAAAGTAAAAATCAATGGTTCCCCTTTCTTCAATCTACATAAAAACTTCATTAAGTTACACAAATTACTACAGAAGAAAAAATTTTTCTGTACTTTACTTTAAATTGCGAATAAATATTTGAAAGTGAAAATATTGTCGTACGTGTCTGTTATATTGATCGCGTAAAAAAAGGGGGCAAAATTACATTTATTCAATGGAAGGTACAAATCAATTTTACATTCCATTACTCCGGTATATTTCTGACGATTTTGAACAACGTTATATGCAAATAGTTTACAGTAGAAACTTAGAAAGCAATAAAAAAGATTTATTATCTAATTAAAAAAAAAGTAATTGTCACTATCAATCGTATAATAGTTAAATACAGTCACGTACTCATGATGTACTTAGCTCAGTAGATTCTTTGATTTCCTGCTTTTCAAGGTATCGATCCAAATAATGAACTAATTCAAAACAAACTTCAACCAAAATCAGAATAATGATCATCCACTCCAATCGCACGTGATGTCGATCACTCAAGTGTGATGATAATAGTTCAACTAATTCGACACAATGATTTATTTTCTCATTCATAACCTGAAAGATTAGTAACAGTTGTAATTACCTAATTACCATACCAATAAGATCCAATCAAACAAGGGGGACTATGTAATGATCAAACTTTACCCTTGTTCTTTTCGTTATAGAAAAATATCCACAAGTCTGTTGATAAAGACTTTCAAGCTCATCGCGTTCCCAATAAAAATCTGGTGTATCAAGTAAATCTGAACGAAGATTGATAAGATGCCTGAGGGCAAGAAGCTCTCCCTGCTTTCTGAGCACTTTCTGCCGTGACATTTTTATTTTTCTTCCTGCTTTCAGATCTTCTGTAACAAACTCTATTGATTCAATGTAGTGGTCCAGAGATGCCTCCCAAATTCCCAGCTTTACAGATTGGGATATGGCGTTTGAGAGTGTATATTTATCCAGACTCGTTCCCTCAGAAGCCAAGTAAATATCTCCATCTTTCAGATGGCTTCTTTTCCTGTGAAATCAAAAAATAGTTGACTTAATGAAAATGTTCTTCAATTGATGATGAATTTTTTTATATTCTAAAATAAATTCGAATATCGTAAGTAATACAATGTTTTGTTCCTATATTATAATAACAGTATATATTTTATTTTACATCTATAAATCGTTTTATATTTTTGTTCCTTTGCCAGTAGTTTTCTATATTTCGATCTTTTGTCCGCTCGAATTCATCGAACGTATTTACCAACAATCTACATCAAGTCGAAGTAACATTTCTCTCAATTCCGCAATCATAAAAGCGCCAATAAAAATACAGTAAAAAGTAAATTACAAGTTCTTCCTGTTAATTTTAAATCACTTTGAATTGAAATATGTTGTAAGTGCAATATTTATAAAGAAATGTGAATCGTTCTTTTATCAATATTTGCACGTTAAAAGGGTCATACATAAAAGAGAGACTATCTCTCAATAGTAAAGCTATAAAATACTCGAAAAATAAATAGCAATGAAAAACAGGGATTAAACCAAAAAAAATAGAATATTGTTTCCTTTGAAGGAATATGAGGGTGAATATAAAAGGTCCTTTCTTTTCTATTAACTGAAATTTCATGAATTAATTGAATGCTTTTACAAAAAGAAATCATTTTCCATGGTCGTATTTTTTTCTATTTTAATTGTTCATTTACTTCATTGATCAGTCGACTCTTTGTTAATTTCATTTAAAACTGATGTTTACATCTTACACATTGGATAATAATTATCAATGAATATCATATTGGAGACTCTTTTTATAAAATCCATAAACTTTTATTCTAAACAAGATAAAATCTATGGATTTTGATAACAACTTTGTTTCATGATTTAACGATTGATATGATTATTTTTGTTATTAATTACCATGACTGTGTACATTCTTGTAAAAGGTAACACTTGGTATTATATACGTGTTGATTGGTTTATTCACCTTTTTAAGTTATATTAATCACTTTTATATGATTTTCCACTTAGGAGATTTTCATTGATAAGTTGAAGATTAAAAATAAATGATGAATTATAAGCATGAATTCGTAAAATAGAACATAATTAATTACAATTAATTAACAACAAATCAACTTGCCCAGATTCTGTATAAGTATAAGACATTATTTCACTTTCTTCTTGAATTAGTGATGAATTATAACTATCTTCTTCGTAATTTTTAAGAAATTTTAAAATATTCCCACTCTCAGGTTCTGGTGTGTTCCACATGACAACCGTTCCTGTTCGAAAAAAATACATCTCTCTAGGCTCACTCTCCACTTCATATTTTGCTACTGCGTGGATTACATCTGGCAAAGCTGAAAATAAAAAAAAAAAAAAGATTTTTAATTCCATCATTCCCATTATGTATTCCTCACGTTATTATTATTATTATTATTTAACATTCATACTTGATTGCATTAATATGAGAACGAAATAACAAAACGACAGAATTTTTTATTGTTATCTTTTTATTAAAAAAATAATATCTCTGAAGAATTAATAACTATGTAAAGCATATAAAAAGCTAATATCCTGATTCAACATCATTTATATAGTATTATGCAAAAATATAAAAAAAACTTGTATGATATTCGGTAGTATTTAGGAAACTCTATATATGTTATTTATTCAGTTAAAAAAGGGCTATCAACGGCAGCAGCCCCAGTCATAAATCCTCCTTCATTGGACGTAATTCGTTTGGTTCTCATCAAATGTCCACCCTGTTTATTATAAAATATATTTTTGTCATCACCGATAATAATTCCATAGATTCCAAGCTCAGAGACTAATTCCTTGGGCTTTAGATATGTAGGGTCACTAGCAGAAATAAAATAATTTAATTGAGGTGGGGGGTAAATTTTATCCATGAGTATCCAAGCTTTGAGCTCTTCTCTGCTTTTTATTGACTTTAAAAAGATTTTAATATCACTTCCATAAATATTATTACCACCACCTTCTCTCTGAGGTTTAAGAACAAATTTCTCGGGGTTATTTAACGCCATTTCTAGTGCGACATTTCCACTTTCATCTGCATCCAATGAATAAAGGCCTACAAATATAACAATAATAACATTAGTAGGTAGTGTGAAATCTTTTAGCTCCGATTATGAAGCTATTGTCATAATTTGAATAGATCATTTTAGTTCACTGACCTGCAAAAATTTTTGTGACGCGAACAACGGTTTCTTCTTTCCCTAAATACCGCTTCAAAACGTTGGGTTTAGCTAATGCTTGCTGGACTTTTTTTGTACCCGCCAGATGATATTGAATGGATGGGGATTTAATGGCAAGAGAACGTTCTATCAATAATCGCACGTTCCACTCCCTTTCTCCGAGATAATTTTCCGGTGCATATCCAAATCTAAAGTAGACAACAGCGACTGGTTTATCGTTCACAATCAATTCCTTGTTAGGACCAAGTTTCGCTTCAGTGGCCAGCTGAGTAAGTGTTTTCCTGATTACTTTAACATTTGGATTCAGTTGTTTGATTTCAAATTCATGGTACCTTTGATCACAGATATTTACTGTAAAATCTTCCACAATGAAAAGAATTATTGCACTGAAAAATTTAATGATCACAATTATTTGTTTGACACAATGAATTCATCCAACATAATTGAAATAATGATAAATACAATTATTCAAGGGCTTTTTTTATTTATTTTATCCATACATTAATTATCATGAAACATCTTGGATTTATCTCATTGCAATAATCAATTTTCATTACTCAATAACTAATTATAAATTCCATCATTAAAGTCACATTTAAATCGTAATTAATTAATAAACAACAATTCATCATCTAATTAACTACTCAATCAATTTTTCGCCTCCAATATTAATCCAACTCGACAAATAAATTAATAACAATCTCCATAAAAAGTGAAAATTATGGAAATTACTGTTTCCACTTATGACTCAGTAACTCTACTTCAATTGTGATAATATTCTTCAACAATTAATAATAATGCAACAATTATCTATTCAATTATCGCTTCAATTTACCAGAACATCCCTATTTGAACAACCCCTTACATCCATAAATACAATACTTAGAGCTACATTAGAAGGCTTTAAGTGAAACCAAGTGCTATTAATTACTGTCAAAGTTGGAATAAAAAAGGAAATGATAATTTTCAAGGATAATAGAAACATTCCGTTGCAGTGGAAAACATCGATTAGAAGTGAGTAATGAATTATTGTGAAATAAATAGTTTTTTTCTTTATTTTATTCATTAATTCTAAAAAATGAATAAAATAAAATAATCAAGCAGGAAATAATGGATTGAATTTAAATAAATAAACTAGATTAGTGAATTTCAACATACCATGGGTCATTGTATATTTTCCAAGCCTCCAAAATACCATTACAAATATTATTGAGAGCATTATTTTCTGGCAAATATTTCAATAAATCATTTAATCCTAATTCATTGAATATAAATTGGTGGCATTTTCTCGCTATACACCCCAACCATGCCATGCCAGATGCTATAGTATTGATTTCTACTTGCTTTAAACAACAGAAGGGTTCTTTAATTCCCTGATGACCATCAAAACCACTTACATCCAACAGTAAATCAGATCGCAACAAACCGAGAGACACCCTTTGAATTGGCCCTTCATTATAAACTGTTTCGTAAATATCAAAAAGTCGACGCGTGAAATCGTCAACTTGAACAGTTGGTGATAATGTTTCTTTTAGAAATTGAAAGTCATGTGCTACCTTATGTATCAACATATTGAAAATTGGCTGAAGTTCACAGACATTTTCAAACTCTGATTTAGGAAGTGTTGATGGAAGGAGCGTGAATGGTGCAAATTGTATCGAATCTTTCGAAATATTTGCTATTGGACGTAACCCAAGCCCATGCATTACCGCCCAATCTTTAGCTTTTTCAATAAGCTCTTCCAATTCTTGTGATGACAGTGACAATTGGGTGCAAGATTTTAAGTAAAACTTGCTACGATTTTCCATTATTTATATAAAAAACTTTTGTAAAACTTTTAAGCTAATTTTAGACAAAAGTTGTCGTGCACTTCTTTCCCAGTTTCAAACTTCCAACCAACAGATAGCTATCTCCTAGGAACAATAGATTCTTGATAAAAAAATTTTCAAGTTAAGAATAAAAATTAAATAGTATTTTATTTAACAATTACTTAAAATATTCATGAAAGTAAGGTTGCATTTTTTATATACAGATGATTTGATGGTTGATAACTCACCCTGAATTGACAGCGTAGCAGATGTACAACAAAGACTTTTAAATCACAAATGTTATTAAAACTTTCACCATGAAATTGTTAACTATAAAATCAAGTTTTGGTCTTATCACGTATATAGCAATCCTGATAAAACCACTGGTTAACTTGGATGGAACACAATATTGAAACCAAGAATCGCATTAACTGCAAACGGCAGCTTAAAATACAAAACATTATGTCAGCTGCTATTGCACTGACGTTTTAATCGTTTTTTCCAGTCCCCTACTCAGTCTCCTTATACTTAGATAAATTGCACTACAGTGTGTGATGATAACTGATGGATATTCATATCCTTACTTCAGCCATATTCTTTTATTCTAATTAAACACCAATTGTATCAAAGCTCATTGTGTTATTGTACTTTAATACTTGAACTCTTTTCAGACACTTAAGAGCATTAACTCTTCATCTAAAATCGCATGTGCATTGATAATCACAAGTTGATGGCGCTGATAATGATGATGGTGATAATATTAATAATAATGATCATGTTGTTGGTTAAGATTTGTCACGTTCTACTTTTTACATATACCGTAAATAATCTATATGATCTAGATGTGCTATTTATATGTGTGGAAATAATCGCGAAGATGGGTAAGTAAATGCAAAAGAGGCTTAACAATGGACAGTTATGATTATTCTACATAATCCTGTATTGAGCTATGAAGATTATAGAGGACTAATGTAAATGTGATATGATGTAGATGCTCAATCTACAGTTTCACTGTTCAGTTAATCGATGAAAAAACTTATTGTATAATATCTAACCTTATGAAATCCCTGTTCATTCGATTTGATTCCATAAAGAAAAAATCAAACTGACGAAGCATAATCCACTTTCCCTATTTCTTGAACAAAAACTCCACCAATGTCAGATAAAACCACGGTTGCTATATTTTTCTACCGAAAAATTGGAGAAATTTTATTCAATTATGGTTAGAGAATGAAAGGAAAAGACAAAAGTGTGATGTAAAAATTTTCTGGGTTTCATAAACCAATGGTAATTAATTCAAGGATTTATAAAAGCTTAATTTGAAGAAGGATTATTAATTCCAAATGAAAAATTATTCTATTTGTGCTTGACAAATATTGATTGGTAATAAATCCTTTGTATAAATATTGATGCAATAGGTTTGTTGAAAAATAATGTTTATTGAAAATTATTATTTATCCGGAAAATTATTTCATTTTAATAATTATTACTGAATATATAATGGACATAGTAAATTTTAATTATATCGAATTTGTGTTATTATATCAATAATTAGATACAAATTATGTAATATATAAATAATTAAATAAATGAATAAATCATCATGTCATGATTGAAGCTTAAAAGGCAGAAAATTTATTTAATATAGATGAATGATATGAAAATATAATATGAGTATTTTTATACTTACTGTAATTGACATATTATTTATTATAAAAAATAAAGTTAGAAATCAGATTAATGATTTTATCAATCTTTGTCAATCAACATATCATTTACTTGTAATAAATTCCAATGATTTGTTTGTAGAAGTTGAAGATTAATTTGAATACCAATGACCATAATTAATATTCATAAAAAATCTTGTATAAATAAATTAAAACCACTTTCTTCACAGAGCTTTATTTAAATAAAATATTCACTAAACCCAAGAGTATTATTATTTAAAAGCATTGTGCTTATATAACACTATTAACTCACTTAACATGCAATTTAAAATACTATATGCTTCTAATTACTGCTCACATAAGTTTACTCATTTTTATGATGGATTAAAAGTCTTCATAATTGCTAAGAGTTTTTAAAAGTGTTACACACGAATCTTCCCAACACACGATAATCAAATGAAATTCCAAGTCATTTTTTTAATGAAAGGTTTCCATCTTTAACATAATACTAAAATGATAAATATCCTTTTGTGTAAAAATACTTATTATTCATGTCAAGTACTTTTGTTAAATTGAACAGTTCAAAACTATTCCAAGAACAGGATAATAAAGCAAAAATGGTTTCTATGTTCTACTAAGTTTTTACAATCATTTTTTTACATCCTTTATAGACAGAAGCTTATGAACAATCAACAAGGCTGAAGTATTTAACTCTATTGTTTATTAATAGATTTAATGACCCAGACTAAACTTTGTAAAAAACAAAAGTTTTGCTGAATGCATTAGAACAGAATAATTTACTTTTCATTATTAAAAAAAAATCCGTTAAACACACCTAGCATTAAATAATGACGATCCGTTAGATAGTTATTGTATCTTACTGATTATTGTTGGATCCTAGCTAAGACATGAATTTATTATATTTAAGTTGACAATACAGTCATGCATTTTATTATTATTTGATCTTTATCATACTTAATTACAAAACAGCACAATCCCTATATTTTTTATTATATTTTTAATAGCTACTAAAGCAAGTAATTTTTCTGAAAGGTTTTCTGAGATAATATTAAGTTATTCAATAAACCATCTACTTCTCTTGGAAAATTTCATTATTAAAATTAAGTTACCATTTTACACTTGATGGAACATTTTTCTCGAATATTTTTAAAACATCGATAATATTTATTGTTAAGAGTAAATGATGAATAAATACTGAATTTACTTTATAAGTTTTATATAAAAATATATGGCCATTGAAGCAGATAAAAATTTGTTCATTAGCATAATGAATTACTGACAAGATATAAAATTATTATTAGTTATTAAACAATTTTCTAATAAGAAATTTTTCCAGTTGGTAAATAAAACTATTGGATCTTTAATAGATCTATAATCGCACCCGTTGTCAATAAAATTTGACCTACAAACACATCTATTTATAAAGTTTAATGAATTTTTGACTTACATTTTCCTGATGTGTTTATCGGCTTAGGTGTATATAAGTTTTGTTGAATAAGTCCAGTCAAAAGAGCTTCTAATTGATATTCCTCAGCCGTCGATAGAGCTCTAACAGTCCAGAACTTGAATAAAACATTCAAAAAAACTCATTAATTCATTGGACTAAGTATAAAAATAAATAAAATCAATCAAGTCTTTACTTACCCCAGGTTGTGAAGCTTCTGTTTCATTTGTTAAAAGTTTTTTTTTCTTCGGAGGTCTCCTTTTTAATGGACCTTTGAGAATAGAACTTTGGCTAATTTTAGCATTTGTATTCATACTATTTGATACAAAGCTTCTTTGTGGTGTATCGTCAATACACACATGATTCACGAGCTTTAGATAAGACTTGAAACTTTTGTTCAACGATTGACGAGATTTGGAGTGATTTGCAAATATTGTACCAACACTTCGGATTGTGCTGAAGTTACAGATAATCCCCGATTTCCTGAATAATATACTCTCAATACAATAAGTGAACATATTGAATACCCTTCAATTGTCAACCTTTAGACGTATGCAAATAATGGGTCCATCCCCAACATGTGATTACAAGTTCGCAGCTAATTTGACGTGAACACCAAAGACCACGTACTTTTGAAGTTATATTACGCAGTGGTCAGATAGTAATAAACTAAAATGCCTTTATTATGTAATTAAAGTTTTATGACCAATCAGATAATATTTTCATTTCAATTTAAATAATCATTTAATACGATTTACTGTCAAGGTTGTATTTAACAATTGAAATAAATCAATACATTTTTAATGACTCTAAGTGCTCCAAAAACGAAATTTTAATCCATAACAATATATTTCAAATATATATTTGTAAACCATAAAAAGTTATACACTTGTACAAGCATAAATTTAATAGTAAAATATTGAAAAACTTGGTCAAAGTTTAATTAAACTACCGCATCTAACCTTAAAAACAAACTTTACAATTACTCACGTGTGCACGAGAGGGTGTGTACTAAAAGGCGGACGCATGCGCTGTATCACGTGATTGAAGCCATATGATGCGCACAAATTTACCCAATGATCGCGGTGCGCACCTGCTGTGAGTAGCATTGTATAATTAGATAACGTTGCGTGCGGTTAACTAACTGGTATATGTTGACTGATATATATATACATGAATGAATAATAATAACATATGTTTCTAAAAGTCACTTGGTATAAATTATAGTGTCTTATCGCGTTGCTAAGACTACCTATCATGAATTTAAATTTTTAAAAGACGGAAGATTGAATGGATTGTTTTGCGAAAGTAGCTGTGGGGGGTCGGAAGTAGGGGAAGGAAATTTGAATATGGCGTCCAGCGAATCCTTTCGACAGATGATGTTTCCGAGAGAAGGGCAGCGGTCGCTAAAACAAATTATGCGAATATATGCGCCTGCGCGTGCTCAATTGTCGAAGAGGACGCTCGTAAACACAGTCAACATAGTCGTGAACGGAATACGATAGGTAGATGGTTGCTGTTCCCGTCACAAAAGTGTATGCAAGCACGCGAGACAGAAGTAAAGCGGATAAAGCAGGAAGAGTGAGAGAAGAAGGGTGTAACAGAGATAGATAGTGAGAAAGAAGTATCAGTGTGTGAGGAGGTGAGGAAAAAAATCAACGGTGTGTTGAGGCTAGATGCCGAGGGAAGTTGTGCGTCTCATGTTAAGTGTAAGTTGTATTTAGTGATTCCGGAGAAATTTGTATCCATTAGAGAATTGTATAGAGAGGATCGCTTACACATCACCGGCTCTGAAGTGTGAACAATGTCAGTCTGAGCAGTACTCTTTGAGGAAATACTATCCATCCTGAGTTTTCTCGCGCGCTCTCGTGTTGATTTTACGTCGTACGACGAATATTGTGTAATTTCATGATCACTTTTCGTCTAATGAATCGCATTAGACGTGGAGTCATGCCAATAAGATAGTAAATAGGTAAGAAAGTTTTTATTTAATCAATTAAGTGTTTCATTCATGGGAAAAAGTTACGATCAAAATTGATAACCATACCACGATACATTACAAGATGAAGGTGTGTTAATTGGCCATCAATACTTTGACGGACATATCTCTGGCGAATTGCTCCAGTTGTTATACACTGAAACGCAATTTAATTCGAAAAAATGTTACCTTAACAAATTTTTTTTCGGCCGTTTTTGTTACTGTCAACTAATTAAAGATTATTTTTATTTCGACATAAATAGTGTTGAATCTCTTATCTCTGGAGTATAATTAAGATTATTTCATGACAACAAATGGGAATGGTCAATAAGACAAGCCAATTAAAATTTGATTTCAATGCTTATCTTTTCTAAATTGATTCTTCTTCACACTTTATTATCCCATTGGCAATTAGTCAATAGATGTGGCGCATGTTATAGTCATGTTAACTATCTAGACAATTCCACGTGAATAAGCATCGAACAAAAAGAAACAATATCTTTCCAATTATTATATAGTATATAAAGGAAGAAGATTAATGATGTAACCGGAACGACGGAAAGAAGGACTATTTAAGAGACAGCATTTAAAAAAACAATTTCTATAATAACTTCTCATCGTGAATCATTTAGTAGGCCAGTGATAATTGATACGCTATAATGATACTACTTGTAAAAAAATAATTTGCTCTATCATTCAAAAAGTGAAAAAAATTAATACATACGATTATAATTGCAGCCATGATTAAAGTGTACTCTTTTATCATTTGAAATAATAAATATTTTAACAAAAAAATTTTCTTCCTATTCTACCATTTTTGTTCTAGTGAAAAATAATGTAAATAAAGTTCAAGGTTTGCTGTTCAGAGAAATAAATAAAGAAAAATGTGACATGACTGATAGGTGGTAATTGCAGTAAAACTGATTAGTTCATTTAATCGGTTATTTCAGTCATTTGATAATTTCTAAGAATTGAAGCTTATCAATTCTAATATTCAACTATTCTGATAGTTTCATTTTTCTAACATTGCAGATACTAACCAATGTTTTCCGTACGTTTGGTTAGTGCGGACAGCTATCAGGCAACGCCATTGCCTCAGCTGGATCCAACGTTTTCGGAGTTTCGTGGAGCAGAGATCAAGTACGTGCCTATAGTTCGTGTGTTTGGCACTACTCCAACAGGTATAAATTACTGTAGTTTCGTTTCAAGGTAATTGAATGATGCGTATATTAATTCAAGTGCATTTTATAGGTGATAAAACATGTTTACACCTACATGGAGCATTCCCATATATGTATGTGCCATGTACTGGAGAAGATAACGCTGATGGGTTTGCCTACAGACTTGCTGCATCTTTGGATGCAGCGATCAATATATCCTTAGGATCGGCGAACTCCAACACTCAGCATGTTTATCAAGTACAAAGAATAGCTGGAATGTAAGCCAAACATTTGTTAAAATAATATGAACCGTTATTGTGAAATCAATAATTTTTTGATTACTTTGTATTTTCTTTACAGACCATTTTATGGATATCACAAGAGAGAACATCAATTCTTCAAGGTGTCCTTTTATAATCCAGCAATAATGAAAAAAGCAATTGATTTACTTCAAGTGAGTATTTTATTTGCTTATAAATTCCCTAGGCATCTTCTATTAAATCATTCATTTTTTTTTATTTATTCATACTCGAACAATTATCCATCTTTGAATTTAATAAAAGTAAACTGATTTACTTTTCTTATTTTTTTTTTCAGAATGGTTCAGTGCTAAATCAAAGCTTGCAACCTTACGAAGCACATATTCCATTTATCCTTCAATTTATGATGGATTATAATGTTCATGGAATGTCCATGATCAATTTATCAAGTGTAAAATACCGACGTTCTACGCAATCTCTTTCGGAGTTGAAGTCATCAAATGACAGCATAATTACGCCGGTCGATGAACTTGACTATCTTCCGTCGTCTGTTGAACGTCAGAGTATATGTAAATTAGAAGTAGATGCTCGAGTTTCTGATATTTTAAACAGAAAAGATTTAGAGAAAGGTATGGAGTTAAATCCGGGACTTGCAGCAATTTGGGAAGAAGAACGAGCGAGAAGAGCACAAGCTGGACTTCCGTGTGATGATTCTCAGCTCGTTAATCCAAAAAGTCCAACAAGACCACCGTATTGTCCAACTGATAGTGATGTGTATCAAGAGCAAAGGTTAAACCGTAGACTACAAATGATATCGCAAAGTGATGAAACATCACTTTCGACAACTTTCAACACTACAGTGTATCCCGCAGAGGTTCAAGACAATGATCAGTTGATGAATGCATCTAACTTGGGAACTTTTAGCGGTCAAAACTTGAACAAGACTCAACATACTGACGAAGTTACAAGTTTCAAATCTTTGGGTTTCTCACAAGAATCGAAAAATTCCCAAATGACTAACGAAAGCAGTATTTGTAAGTATATAAATATTATTACTTATATAATGTTTTGAATTGAATCTTGAGATAATTTACTAACAATGATTTATCTAATTTTCAGTGGATTCCGAAGATTTGCCGTTGGTGGATATACTGATGGGTCTTGCTCGAGATTCTGAAAAGTCAGAGTGTATTGATAATGATAGTATTTTGGGTACCCAAACACCGGTATTTTGTAATCAAGATAATAAAAGTGATAATGAAGATGACGAAACTATTGACTTTAATCTCACGTGCTTGGAATTAAATTCTTTAAGCCCTTGGGAGAGTGTTGAAAAGTCGCCTAGTCAGCTTGTTCCGGCAAACATTTTAGACATAAATAGTAAAGCAACAGAAGTGAATCTCAGTGAAAATCGTGATACTGATGCTGAAAGTCGAGACTCAGAAGAATCACGTTTACCACAATTAGATGGCGCGGGTGATTTACTGTCCAGTTTCTTAGAATCTGAAGAAGAAGAAAATGTTAAATTTCAAGAAGTCAAAAGAGTGCCTGAGTGTGAAACATCGTATTTAGATTTTGATAGGATGCGAGTTTTAAATACAAGAATGTCGTGTACTGATGAAGAAGCTTTTATTGAAGAATTAGCATCTTCAGAGTCTAGTAAGTCTGATAGACATTCGGATTATTCCCCAACGTCTCCAGACGTTCCTTGGCCATCATTCTTACCAACAGAATCAACCGTCGATCAGTATGCACTAATGGACTATATCCCTTTAGGCTCTGAATTTGAAACTGACTATGAAAACGTTTTGAGTTTAGATAGGGTGCTCTCAAATACTGCTGACTCAACAATAGGAACTAATTTGCCAGTTGAAAGCGAGAGTGTCCCTTTGGATATCCCTTTGGAAATGGTGCTAAATGGTGATCCGTGCTTCACTCAAACAGCGGAAATGGATAAGTCTGATCTAACTGAACTTCAGGACCAATATGCTAGTCTTTTAGGCAGTGCACTTGTTCCAGACATTTATAACAACTTTCGTGACAGTGATAGTGTAAATAATAAAAACTCTTTGTTAGAATTAAAAGAGAAGTGCGATCAAATGTCTCCAAATGTTCAAAACCTTCGACTTTTACGGGATGAAAAAGTTTGTAATTTATCATCTGAAAATGTTGCACCCAATATTCAAGAGCCTGATGCCAAAGTTTATAAAAATAAATATAACGACTGTAAAGACTTCAGTAGACTTCATAATGACAATTCCGATTATAATTGTAATTTAGTGGCAAGATGGGAAGAATTGCAGGATTTGCAATTTATTCCAAAACGAATACTGAAGAGGAAACGTTTTATGAGGTCAAGGAAGCGAATTTTAAGACGTTGTCCTGCGTTAAGTGACTCTATGATAGCTCGAAAGAGAGGTTGCTTCAGGCGAGGATCAGCAAATTTAGCCAACAGAATATTCTCAAGAGAAAACAGTGCTGCACACATTCCTGGTGACTTGTCAGATACTTTACGAGATTCTTTGCCATCAGAAATCGACGAAAAACCTTTATTACCTGCACAAAATGATAAAATAACTCCAACTGATCATATTGATACAACTGGTGATGCGTTGAAAGTATTTATTGATGATTCTTGGAAAATAGATAACAGAACTGATAATTTTCCTTATGTATCATCTTATGATATCAATGAAAAGTCTGATAGTAAATCTCCTACTTCAATAGAAAATGATTTTTCACAGAACATCTTGCGAGATTTTTTCCCGAGTGACCCTATGACTGATGTAAGAAGTACATTACCTGGAGTTCAGTATTCTGCATATCCTCTGGGAGAAAATGAAAACTTGGTCACTCCAATACTTGAGGATTTTGGAGAGTTAGTAGATGTACCAATTGAACAAAATGCTGTTTCAGACTTGAAATACCAATCGCATTACTCTTCCATAAGATCACATAGTGGTATACCATTTGGATTATTTAATCATCGTCATTGTCGTTATTCGTTTATTCGATCGACCTTTGTCCAAGATTATTTATTTACGAATGACTCAGTATGGGTAGTTGAAAAACGTAAAAGGGGAGGTTGTGCACGACCTTTATCATCAACAACGTGTACCAAACACTGTCGTTTACCATTTGTGCTGTTGGATAAGCTAAATGTGATGGATAAAAAAGTGAATACCAAATTTGTACCAGTTTGTAGTGATAAAATTGAAGATGTGGGTGAGAATAGTGATTTTGAAAACACTTGTGATAATAGTGGTAATGGAAATTTACTGTCGATAGAAACAGATGTTTCAATAGACGGGAAATTAGATATTCAGAATGAAATTGATACAGATCTAGCAAATAATGTATTTGATGATAAAGAATTATCAGGTGTTGATGATTTAACGTTTACACAATCAGCACAAATATCATCTACGCAAAATCATGATCAATTGGATTTAAGAAAAAATGATGGGCCTGTGATTATAAAACGAGTATTTGAAGAAATGTCTCAAGATGGTAGCGCTTGTAAGAAAAAACGATCAATTATACTAAAACTGGGAAACAGAAGTTCTATGCCAATAAAAGAAAAAAATGAAAATCATTTGGTTGAAACTTTTAACGAGAACTTTGTTCAGTCTCGTGGAGAAAAGAAAAAGCGAGGAAGACCAAAGAGGATAAGAGCATTTAATAAAAGAACGATGACAGAAAGTTTTAGTGAGAAACCGAAGATACATAAAAGAAGGGATTCTGATCTTTTGTTAATGCCCCCTACAATAGCAACAGAGAAACCTTGCTTACGCAATCAAATAATTAATAATACCTCCATTAAAATTGGTAAAGAAGTGACTGACAGTACTATAGTAAATGGAGAATCTAATATTATTTCTTCTTCTCAATCCGAGTCATCATCCTCTCATAAACGACCTGAGATTTGGTGTTCAATAAATAAAAAGAACATTGACTTGAGTCTTTTAGCATTGAAATCCCATGATAAAAATCCTTATATAAATTCAACAACAAAATTACGATCAAAACCAATTGTTATAAGACGCGTTGAGACATTATCAGATAAATACAAGATAAAAATTTCACCACCAAAATTGTATTTACCTGAATATCATTATGAAGCTGCTGAAGTTGATACAACGTCGGAAGAAACTCTATCAGAACTTGTATTTAATCAAACATCTGAAGAAAAGGAAAAGCCGTCGTATACCTCTAAAGATCATATTTCTAGTGTTTCAAAAGTTCAACGATTTAGTGACTTTGATGATTCAACTCTTGATCTGTGTGATTCTATTTACAAAGATGATGTGGGATCTAATGATATATTTGAGAATGCGGAGTCTATTGCAGAAAATAGAATTTCTATAACTGATTGCGCCAATAGTGATGAATCACAACAATATACTCCTGTTGTTGGGGAAACAACTTTTTATGCCAATAAAAATTACACAATTGATGCAATTAGTCAAGAAATACCTCAATGTCTCTTTGAAGAAGATTCTATCACAGAAAATTTACAGAAAAAATTGTTAGAACCATTTATTGAAAGTTCTTTGAATCAGATGGAGCCTAAACAAATTCAAGTATTTGATAAAATTGATCACATTGTGATGGATAACGAATCGAATGGTGGTTGTGAGTTAAATACTAATTTAAATGAACTCAATACTTGTTCCAACAACATGTTTATTAATAATTCATTAATTAATGTCACAGAATTAAACAGTTATTTATCGGAGTCCGATGAAATTGAAGAATTTACACCTCCAAGCTCATCAAAAATTTCCCGATTAATCAATAATAGAAGTCCACTACATGAATACGATTCTAGTTTGTCAAGGCCTTCGTCACCAGATGTGGACAGTTTATCGAGTTGTTCTGATTATTGTGATCAAAAACGAAACTTTGATGAGGAAGAAAAAATTAGCCAAATGATTGAATCAATGCTTGTTTTAACTGACGATGAAGAAAATAATATAGATGATATATTTGATAACGCCTATTTAGCTGGGTTATCAGAGAATGATGATTCATCTGATATACATGATGAGATGAACAGAAAGGATAATTTAGGATGTAATAATGTTAATAAAAACTCAATAACATCAAAATCGAAATATTCACCAAATAAAATTTCCATTATTCGTAAAATTTATTTACCTAAAACAAAATTGTCACATAAAGTGCTTTCTAAAGAACGAATTAGTCGTCAAAATACAAATGGTTATGTAGACAAATGTAAAAATACAACAACAAAAGAAAACGTTGATGATGATGTAGATGATATGAATAGTTTATCCGATACAAAACAATTAAATTCATTTGATTCAAATGTCGAGGTCATTAATAATAATCTTAATACTATTTTTGGAACAAAAGATTTAGACAGTATTGAATGTAATGAGGACCGACTTAAACTTGAACAGAATAATGAAAATCTACTTAATGAAACATACGAAAGCATAAAGAGCCCTACAGACAGTCAAATCTCTTCAGCTCATGAAAATAATGGTGATGATAATAGAACGGTGAATACTAAAAATGCTTGCTCAGAAAACAGTACGGAAAATGAAATTGAAAATGAAAGAAAAAGTACACCTATTCACACATTTGAAGATGTTATTACTCTACAAGATCCAGAATCATTCACAGGCCTAGAAATAACTGTTGAAACAACGACAACATCTTCAGATGATGAAAATATATCAAATACAAATGAATGTTATTCAAATGTTTTAATCGATAACCAACAATCTCAATGTAACGAAGGAATCAATCAAAAGAGCAATGGGTCAAATAATAATGTAATTATCATTCAATCTAATGATATAAACATTGAGACTAATATCGTTGATTCACTAGAAAACTGCGCAAGTGTTAAATCCGACGAAAATATTGTGAATGTACTTGATTGTGAATCGGACTGTAATATTAAAGACAATGATGATAGTATTGAAACTGGTGAAAAATTAGAAAGTAGTGAAATAACAGTAAAGCCAACTGAGCTGACGGAAAATCAAATTACCATATTGAATGAACCGGAAAAAGTTGAAAGAGTTGAAGTGCATGCAGAAATTGAAGTATCTTATGAGGAAAATGTTGGAATAAGTGCAGTAAACTCTGACAACACTTTAAATGTTTTGCAAGCTGATCAAAATCATGAAGAGTTTAAAAGCGATAATCACAGTGTTGAGTTACCCGAGTTGAAAATTCAAGATAAGAATGTAACTGACTCTCACGAAATACTTGCATTAAATGAAAGAGTATCGTTTATTCATGAGAACGAAAATATATCAGCAGACGTGAAAGAAATGTCACAACAATTCGAAGATAAATTGGATAGTGTGAGTGAAAAAAATATGGAGTGCATTAACAATAATTTTGAAAGTAATTTACAGTACGAAGTAATAGAATCAGATCAAGTAAATAATACAGAAGAATTAATGAAAAATGCGGATAATGTTTTCAGTGACGATTTGATGAAATCAGCGTTTGATTGTAAAAAAGTGTCAGTTCGACTAGTGAGAATGGATGTCAATGGTTTGAACCACTACTTGGGTAATAATAGAGGTGTTGAACTGGGTATTTCTATCGATTCAAATGGTATGAATTCGAAAAAAGAAGATAAGGTGAGAAAATCTACAATGAATAAGTCTGTTACGTTTAGTGAAGAAGTGTTAGTGTTTGAACTTAACGAAAAAGTTCCTTTAATAGATTTTGAAGCACGGGAAAGAGAAGAAGAAGAACAAGAAAGAGCGGCGGCGGCAGCAGCACTAGAAGAAAACAATGAGATTCAAATAGAAGATAATGATGATGAATTTAATGATGATACATTTGATTACAACGATGAATTGCAAAAAAGTGAAAAACAAATTACTAATTCAGTTGAAGATGAGTACGAATCAATTGTTAAACTTAATCCAATAATTACTTTAGATAAAAATGAATGTAGTTTATTGTATGAGGCTACCAAAAAAGATGATACTTTCAACAACAATTCCTCTAATCTTAATAAGTTATCACATTTAAATGGTGTGGTAAATACGAAGCAAAATGAAGTGCCGGAAAGTGAAATGAAAAAAAGAAAAAGAGTAAAATCAACAAGCAAGGAAATGAATTCGAATAAAACAATCTTAAAGAAAAAAATAGCGACGGTAGAGTGTGTAAAAAAGTTGAATCAAGAAAGGAAATTCAATGTAAGTGAATATAATAGTGTCGTTAGTAATGAACGTGCTCTTAGAGACCAGTATACTGAGGAAATGCATATTTCATCGATTAATAAAGTAGACAAGAAAGTGAAGGATATTCTAACTAAAGATAAATCTTCACTAGTGATGGAAAGACGAACAAACAAGAAACAACGCCCAATCAAGGGAGATTACAATAAATCTCCCATGGATGAGTCCACAATAAGAAGAACAGAACTAGCATGCAAACGCAAGCGAAACGTTCTACCGAAGCAAACTCAATTAAATTTAAATACAACGCAAAATGATATTGCTTTTGTTAATTCATCATTGCAGGAAGTTTGCGAGCGAAAGCCTGAGGATAATAATCGACTTCTACACACGTACCGGATGTTAACGAGCTATAGAAACAAAGTTCACACGTTAAGTATTGACCAAAGAATGGTATTTACGAGGGTAACAATCAGTAATCAAGAGTTTCATAGGAAGACGGTGAAAGAAGAATTTTTAGAAGGTATTGGACTGTATCCGTTGAAGTCTAGAGGATGTGGCTGGCAACCGGAACACACTATCACTGGTTTTATTCAGCTTGAACAACCCCGTATAATCCTGCAGAGACTTACCCCCAGTGTGTTAAAACGCTATGGCTACACTCGAAGGTTTAAGAGCAATAGATTAGGCAAGAGATTCAAGATGGACGCGAATCGATTTACTATACCAGCGTACGACGGCGCGGCGGATTTAAGCTCTAGTGATTCCGAACCGGATACGGATATGACTCTAGAGAGTCTAGAGAAACGAGTCTGTGTCTACAGACGTCGTAGAAGTACTGAACGTGAGGCTGTTGTAACTCCAAGAAAACGGAAGGGTATTCATGATGAGAATGATGCGGTAGAGAGTAAGCGTAGCACCCCAAAACGAGGTATCGTGTCATTACGAAATTCTTGTTGTTCTCCTAATAGAACAAATATGCTGAAGAGTCCTGGTTTATCAAAAAATTATTCACCATTAAAAATAATTGTCACATCGCCTAAGGTATATGGAGACGTGCCAACCGATTCTTATCAGTCACGGGACGATAGTCATCACGTTGACGATACAAACTCTGCGATTTCAATCAGCGTCACGCCGAGGAGACGGACAGCACTTCATGAAAATTTGCTTCGTGGTCGTATTACTTCGTCTTTGTCTGCTAATCAACAAGGTGAAAATTTTATGCTCTAGTTAGAATACATTAAACGGACATATATTAAATTAAATGGCGCAATTAATATTAACCCTTTTATACGGTGTTGCAGGAAGTAATGGTGGGGTCAAAAAGACTGCTAGACAACAACTGTTGGGTGAGTTGAACATGTGAGTTAGCGGTGAAACATTTTTATTTCGCTTTTCTATTTTAATTTAATAACTTTTTCACCAACGATTGGGAGAAATTCATTAAAACTTTTTTTCATCTATGCATTTTTGTTATTTTTTAGATTAGATATTCCTAGTACAAGCTCCTGTGATGTAGAAAGCATTTTTCCTACTTCAGTTGACGAATATCCCTGTGTAAATAAAAGTCAAGATATATTGTCTAATATCAAGGACACTACAAACGTTCGGAAGAATTTATTTCCCTCTATTGAGAATAATCTGCGCATCGCCGAGATTTCATGCTGTGCAACGGAAGAGCAGCATAAAGATCACATTCATAAAGTTTCGGATCAGCAAAATGATAAAGATGAGCTAGTTGAGTCTAGCGACGATGAAAATACAGTCATATTTGAGAAAAGTAGCCGAGATTTTGAGTTAAAATATTCACCTTCTTCACCAAACGAAGAACATGTCGATAATGATAATGATGATTTATGTAATGTTACCTTTACTCAATACTTGAGTTCACAGCTTACAAAACAGCCAACTTCATCAACAAATAATTGGAGTCAAAGTTCATTATCTCAACGATTATGCATAATTACTCCTAAATTTAATCCACCAACTACTCAAAGAATTATTGACACAATGGAATTGTATAAAATACCAAAGTGCAGAAATTTACAACCATTTTTTAGTGTACAAAGTGATGCGCCTGGACAGAAAGAACTTGCACACAGGATGTTGAAAGTACCTGGAAAAGGTCTAGCTGATCTACTTGTTTTTAAATCCAGCGTGGAAAATATTACAGGCATCAATCGCTGGAGAAGGATGAAAGTTAATGAGTTTCCGTCAAGCCAAGTGTTTAAATCGAGTAATATACGACAAAGTCTTGCAGGTCATTCATCCGTTGTTATTACACCTATAGTACTACCACCTTCGTCAAAAAACGTGATAAAATGGGTCAGAGCACGAAACTACCTTAAAAAGAAAAAAGAACAAGACGAAGCAAAAGAGAAAACTGAAGTTAAAGCACAAGAAGAAAAACTCAATAAGGCTCTAATCGAGCGAGGAGAAGCGAGTGAGGATTCTTCTGACTGTAGTATCATTGAACCGTCTCCGGAAAAAATAGTTGAATCGAATTTGTCCAAAGTTTTAGGCCTGAGGTCGGGAACCATATCGAAGAAACTTTTCTCAAATAACACAAGGGGTGTAGGGAAACCATTTGATTCAGTTATAGAACAGAAGAGTCCAAATAACTCACTTTCTACTGGTAGTTCTAACGTAACCGGAGAAGCTGCTCCCTCTCTATTTAGTATACTTGAAAAATCAAACTTATTTAAGGAGGATGAAGTATCAAAGCATTTGGGTATATCCTGTGGTCAAATTGAATGTTTAACTAATCCCAACAGAAGCAATGCATCGAATGAAAATAGACAAAAAGCCAAAACATTAATAACTGTGAGTATTTATGCGTCAATGCATTATTGATTATTTTCGTGAAAAAAAAATTGCAAATTTTTTTTAATACATTATTTATGATTTTTTTTTTGTTAGTATCAATTTATTACCATTTTGTGTGTGGAAGTTCACGTCGTAACTCGCCAAGATTTACTACCGGATCCACAACACGATTCTATTTCTGCGCTGTTTTATGCTGTACAAAGTGACGTACCACCAACGTCAAATATAAAACCACTGGAACATGGTAATTGCTTGATTATATTTGAAAAAATTAATTTTATTACATTCATATCACTTAACATCGAGATTTGTGATAAATTGAAATATATGGATGTCAATAAAATCATTTAATCGATTTACTGTTGACATAATACCACTCGACACAATATTTACTTGTTCAATAGTGAAATTTAAATACAGTCTAAAAGGTACTTGTAGAATTTTCCCATTATATTTTAATAAACACCTTTATTACGAAAATGATGAAGAGAAATATCATAATACTATTTCTTTATAAATTGCCATTTATCTAACATTGATGAGAAGATTAGAAGATGACTACTTTATCATTGTTATTAACTTTTTGCCGGGTATGTGTATAAACAAATTATAAAACTTATTCATTTATTATCATCAACAACTAATTGTGAATAAATACTTATCACTTATTACCGACTTTAAAATTTAAATAAAAAAAAAAAAACTTAGCTGTGTACTTATTCAATAATTGCGACTTTTTAAAGTAAAGTATAGAGTATAAAAATAACTTGAAATTGTTAATATATGTAAATGAAAATAATTGTTCAAGAATTATCATTCAAATTGTACACATTATTCTTCACAATAACAGGTTAAATTCTATTTATAATTTCTTAGAATAATCGATGAATAGAGATTCTTGAACACCTTTACCTATTTCTATTTTACTTCATTCTATTACATATACCGCGATTTATGTAAAATAAAAAAATTATGCAATGCAGAGTTAAAAAATATGAATAAATTAAGTAGACATTGGATGTGATTTAAAGTAGAGATAAGAATAAGCGAAAATCGATTTTTAACTACTGGATGTCAGTGGTGGTGATGAGAATATACATTCATTGAAGATAATATCATGGTGCTTTAATTTTGATATTCAAACATGATTAAAAAACGGTTTAGAAATATTATTCTACTTTTCATTTGGAACACGCTTTTGAAAGACAATATTATTTATTGATAAAAACCTATTCAATTTGGTCGATAAAACGAAAAATAATATGATTTAAAGGACCCTGTTCAGAACTCCATTAGATGATAATGAACAAATTACACTTTCAAAGGCTTACTTTAGCTTAATGACTGTAATTGGTGCTAAAATGATTATTTTATGTAACAGGTGTGATTGCTGTTGCTGATCAAAGTGAAAGTAAACTCGGATACACTTATGGCTCTTCTCTGCCTTTTACATTGACAGTCGTTGCTAACGAAGAAGAACTTTTCAACGCCTTCATCGATTTAGTTACCCGTATTGATCCCGAGATATTTATCGGATGGGAAATAGAATCTTTATCCTGGGGATACATTTTCCAACGAGCTTCACGGCTTGGTATCAATTTATCTAAGCGGATTTCACGGATCCCGAGTGTTCAGTGTAAATGGGAAACCCAAGAAGTAGATTTAGATGCATTGGCAGAAATGAAGCTTCCAGGCCGCATAGTCCTTGATATTTGGCGAATAATGAGAGGGGAAATCTCTTTGTTAACTTATACTTTTGAAAATGTTATGTATCATGTGATGAACGAGAGGTTTCCGTGTCCATCATTCAAAGCTTTAACTACATGGTGGGAGGCCAAACAAACACAAACACGGTGGAAAGTAGTTCAACATTATAGTACCAAAGTTTTGGGTGTTTTGAGAATTCTGGAACAATTAGATATAATTGGGCGAACGAGTGAACACGCTCGTCTATTTGGAATTCAATTTTATGAAGTTTTTTCCCGTGGCTCGCAGTACCGAGTTGAATCAATAATGCTAAGGCTTGCTAAACCGTTAAATTATATCCCTGTATCACCATCTCCACTGCAAAGAGCTAGGATGAGAGCAATGGAAGCACTTCCTTTAATTATGGAACCGGAATCTATGTTCTATAGTGATCCTGTAATAGTTCTGGATTTTCAAAGTTTATATCCCAGTATTATTATCGCTCATAATTATTGCTTTTCTACATGTCTAGGACGTATTGAGCATATTGGGCAATCAGAACCTTATGAATTTGGCGCTCATGTATTAAGGATAAATAAAAGTACTGCTATGAAGCTTCAAGGTAAAGTTAATTATGCACCTTGTGGTGTAGCTTTTGTTAAACCTGAAGTACGTCTCGGCATTTTGCCAAGAATGCTAATGGAAATATTGGAAACACGTTTTATGGTGAAGAAAGCAATGAAAGATCACTCCAAGGATGATAAATTGCTCCAACGAGTTCTACATTCACGGCAACATGGACTCAAATATCTAGCCAACGTTACCTACGGTTATACAGCTGCTAATTTTAGTGGAAGAATGCCATGCATTGAGGTAAGATATATTGAATTAATAAATTAATGACTCATTAATTTTACTTATTCATCCATTTTACATTGTTTAAATTTTAAAAATGATGATTAATTGTTTTAGCTAGGAGATAGTGTTATAAGTAAGGCAAAAGAGACTCTTGAACGTGCGATAAAACTTGTAGAATCAACGCCAAGATGGGGAGCTCGAGTGGTTTATGGAGATACTGATTCTCTTTTCATCCTTGTACCTGGAAAATCGAAAGACGATGCTTTCAAAATTGGTAATGAAATTGCTGATGCCGTTACAGCGTCTAATCTTACACCCATTAAACTCAAGTTTGAAAAAGTTTTGTTCCCAACTATCTTACAGGTAAGAGAAAATTATTGAATATCATAATGATAAGTAATTATCGACTTAGTTGATATTTAATTAGAAAAATTCCTCTTTTATCATGTAGACAAAAAAACGTTATTGTGGATATATGTACGAAACTCCAGATCAAAAAGAGCCAACATATTTAGCAAAAGGTATTGAAACTGTCAGACGAGATGGATGTCCTGCTGTTTCAAAGGTAAAATATTTCTTTTTCTAACATTTAGAAGCTTTAGCAAAATAAGAGATAATAAAAAAAAATTTGTTAACAGATTTTAGAAAAATCACTTCGGATTTTGTTTGACACAAAAGATGTTTCTTTGGTTAAGAAATATGTCACACGACAACTAGATAAAGTTTTAAATGGAAAAGTATCAATACAAGACTTGACTTTTGCCAAAGAGTTTCGTGGTTTAAAGGGATACAAAGATAAGGCATGTGTACCAGCACTTGAACTCACACGAAGATTAATGAAAAAAGACCCTCGAGCTTGTCCACGTCGAGGGGAACGAGTTCGTTACATTGTTGTTGCGGGTGCACCAAATCAAGCTCTAATTCATTGTGTTCGTTCACCGTGGGAATTGATCAACGATCCCGGATTGCGACCCAATGGCACATATTATGTCACTAGAGTGATTATTCCACCACTTAATCGCTGTTTAAATTTGATGGGGGTTGATGTCAATGCTTGGTATAGAGAAATGCCTCATCGACATATTCTTGACAATCCAGTGGCGTTGCCGCATGACCGACAGAAACAAACAATTTTTCAATATTTTGGCACCATTATCTGTGCCTCCTGCGGGCGTTCATCTAACAGAGGCATTTGTGATGAATGCATTGCTCATCCTACTGAAACACTTATCACACTAAATGAAAAGTTACGGTCTTTAGAAAGAACTATGGATCAAGTAACCCGGATTTGTCAGTCGTGCATTGGACGAGGAGACATTGTAGACTGTTGTTCGTTAGATTGTCCAGTTCTTTATCGTCGCACACAAACAGAAAAGGAATTATCTCAAAGCGTCCAAATACGTAAAATCATCGAAGAAGGTGATAATTTTGAATTTTAAAGAAAGTAATCAAAATTTCAAATATTTATAACGTCTTTCAATTTTTGTGCTTCCCTGAAAAATTGTAAAGACGTTTAAGAAAATTTCTATTGATGTTATAGTTTAATCATTCCAGCGTTTTTGTTTTTTCGGAATTGTCCTATTAGGAAAGCTTTAATATGTTTAAATTAATATTATATAAATATATTAAATAACTTATTTTGTAGAATCATCACATCATATAAAAGTATCCATTATTAGTAATTATCAGTAACTTGAAAATCATTATAATTATCAGATAGAGTAAATTTTTTTCATTAACAAAAAAGAGAACATGACAATTATAACAAAGTAAAAGAAAAGTATTATTTTCAATAAATCAAAATTTTTTCGTATATTTGTTTTTATATTAATAAATTTCATAAATGAAATCATGATATCTGATGTTCTTATATGACGTGACATAAGGCAATATTTGTATATATTTTTTCATAGTTAATCAAGGGATCACCTAATTGTTCTACATTAATATTAATTAATAATTTTCTCTGATAAAATTTAGTACATCTATTTTCTCATTTTCATTTGTTGTATAAAACTCAACAATCACCAAAGTCAGAATTTATGATGTGCATGTTGCTGATATAAACAAAACTAATTAATTCGTATTACATAAACTTTTCTTATGAATTTTATAAATATACATACATATATATATATATATATATATTTTCTTTTTTAACTGAGCAATACGTAAATAATTCAATACTTATACTACACTTCCGAAGTTCCAAAGGCTTGTATATTTGTAAAAAAAATCAAGTAATACAAAAAAAAAAAAAAACAAAAAATGAAAGGCAATAGACTCAATAAATCATTAGATCATTCATCGAATTAATTAGTAAGCGGGACAAGTAATTTTTAAGATTAAAAAATGTTAAAAATTCACTTGTCTTTGTCAAAAGTAAGATGTAAAATAATTTCACGGTATTACCTCTGCTATTATAAATAATTATTAAGGGGATACCGTTTCCAAGTGCCATTGTTCTTTATTGTTAGTTCCTCAGAGGTACTTACCGAATTAATATAAAAAAGGTTTGATATAATTTCATAAATATATCATTAATTTATACCAACTTCATGAAAATATACTAAGTATAAACATATAAAGTCCATAAAAAAAATATAAATGTAACAACCCATTTAGATTTTTACCGCCGGCGGTTCTCAAAATTATAGGAAAGTAAAAAATAAAAATTGTATCGAGTGTAAATACATATACATATAAATCTATATATATATATATATTGCATTTAATGTAAAAAAAAAACTTAAGTCTGCATATTAGATACTAATAATAATGATGAAAATATATGCGATGAGTTTTTAAATTCAGCAAAACAAATTGATAATGGAAGTAATTTCTAAATTGATTAAAAGATATGTGTATGTGGCATATTAAACAATAAATAATGAATTAATTTATATATTTGGAATCAGCGATAAACTTGTCTATGATAAAACTATAAAGAGAGATTAATAAGCAGCTAGAATTGTCTAATAATATTAAATGTAGATTTCATAACAGAGAAACTTTTGTATAAAGTTTCATAAAACCAAGTGTCCATTACGTTGTATGTATTTACATGAGTTTATCGTTGTTGCCGAGTTTAAAAGCGCAGCCGAATGAATGATTATTGATGAATATTGATGCTGCGCGTGTGATATAAATGTGGTTTAGAGAAAAGCACTGGTACATACTATACCCACTTTTTTATATATTTTATCTTTTTCATCAGCTGAAAATCAAAAGACTGCGAATTACTTCTCTATACCGCATTGCAACGCGTAATGATAGAGAGAATATAATACTATTCTAAAAACAAAAATTAGAACAAACGTAGTCCTGAACTCAATTAATGAAGAAAATACTCGTTATGTAGGTGGAGTGTTGTTTTTATGATATGCTTAAGTATCGTTATTGTATATTTTATTTTTTTTTACTGTCCCTGTTATTTGAATAAAATATAACAAGTAATAAGTTGATCTAAGATAAAATTTAAAAAAATGTTCTTTTTTTATTATTAATTAATTGTTATTTTCAAAAAAATTATGTTATTGACGATGCTATAGACATTTTAGTTATGTAAAATCCAATCGTTTTGGAACAGGCTATTAAGTAAATATAAAATATATACTTCATCATGATGTAAATTTAGTAGATCTCAGCCTTTTCTAACGACTGTGATAGAAACAATAGTTGGATTTTTTTCAATCAGTCTACCTACCAGTGTGAAAGTTAAAAAAATGTAATTCGTACATACGGAATTGGATTAAAGATACAATTGTATTACTTGTCTATTCTTGTTATTATTTACTTACCCATCAACGTCAATTTCTTCATCTAGATCACTTGATTGACATTGACGTCTACCATTTTTGACATGGCCTATTGTAATATAAGTTTTTTCATATTTTTTATATTATTTACATCACGAGTAAATATCTGTCAAAAGTTTTTAAAAAATATCGACATACTAACTGACAGTTAAAAGTAATGGAAAATAAATTCTTCATTCAAGTTGCTAAAGTTTTTCCTATCTCCTTTTGTCGATGGAAACTTTCCAAGTTTTTTAAGTCAAATATTCAAAGTAAAAACGTATTAGAGTATTTATGTGTATTCGTTAATTATTATTAAATATTTTCGTGGATTTTGTTTTAAAAAGATGTGTTAATTAAAGTGTTATTTAATCTGATAGGGGTTTACAATAAATTACGAGACTTGACTTTATGAAATAATAATTAATTTGAAACACAACAAAGAGAGATCGACTCTTCAATTGAGCATTGCAAAGGATATTTGGGATGAAATACGTTGAGATTAATCTGACAATTCAGTCATTATTTGATTGCATTGGAATTTAAACAATCTATACAATCGGTAGAATAATTTTATTAAAATATAATACGTTTGAGCTGATTACTACAATGGTAATCGGCTTAGTATAATACATTTAGTAAAATTTTAATCAATATAAGAACAATAGCATCGAGTATTCTCTCGACGAACACTAATCCTGTACTAGAGGCAATAATTGTTTTTTCAACAGATAGAGGATTCAACAGTATTGAATTAATTTTTAGATCAAATATTCTTTATAGATAAAAAATAATAAAGTTACTTTTATATCAATTTATTTAAACCATGTATGCAGGAATATACCTTTTGTACAATTTATATTATTAGATTTTTACATTCATCTACGTTTTTTATTAGATACTTGAACATTTTGTAGTAGAACTTTTATGAAAAAAAAAAAATTTTTCTTTTGATAAAGAATTATTATCCCGCAAATATGACAAAGCATTATACAGTAATTAATAAAACTAACTTTGCAATTTTATACATCATGAATAATAATTGGTTATTAAGAAGAAAAGCTATTGTATTAATTTTTAAGAAAAAGTTTCCAATCAAATGAAAAAAAAAAACTTTTTTTTAGCTTAAATTACAAAAGTATAAACTTGTTAAGCTTATTCCTACTTCACTTCATGAACAGAAAATAAAATAAAATTTTTATTCCATTCATTACACAGAATTAGGTTTTAAAACCAGCAGTTTAGTTGCAATTAAAATTTAATAATGTAATTGAAAAAAAGATCCTATTGATTTTCGAAGCAGATAATAATAAACCGAAAATAATTCAAAAAGAGAAGGAAAACCAAAGATAATTAAAAAAAAAACATTAATATGATATTACATATTTAGCTTTTTATTCAATTTCAACGTTTAGTTAAAACATTTCATTCAATAATTGGTTTTCTATAATCAATTGGAAAATACATCGAGATAAGTATAATCTGAAATAGAATGCGGTTTGATTGTTGTGCACATTTGAGTCAGATGTAATCAGTCTTAAATTTGGTTGAATACACTTTTGATCATAATAGAAATGTGTGCTTTCTTTAGAAAAATATGAATCAATATCAATTACTATTGTACGGAGATTTACTTTGAACATTATTCTTCTGTTAACTTTCATTAATAACATTATATAGTTTTATGACATTACATTTATATCAATAATTACATTGATTTACATCAAATAGTTATCGAAAAGATAAGCTTTATTTAGACAAATGTATATGTAGTTGATTATTGCCGCACTCAATGCAGGATTAAGCTACATTCAATTCCAATCAGCATAGATATTATATAATCGAGATAGTTAATTGTTACAAAAGCTCTTTAAAATACCTATAACCATCTTTTATAATTATTTGTTGTTTTTGTTTTACAATAAATTGAAAAATAATTCATTTTCTGTAAAAATCGTGTAAACAAATTGACATTATAAAAGCACAAAGTGTTGATTACAGTATTTGAAATATGACAATCATATAATTCCTAGTTTTGTTAACAGTTTACAACTTGTTTCTGTCGTTCAAGTACTTTGTTTGAATATATATCAATAAGCCTTTTTAACTCTTCAAATAAACTCCAAAATTTACAGAGCATTACAAGAGCTTCTGCAACAGGTTAGTATATTTCAATGTATGGTGAATTTAACGTTTATATTCATTAATATTTAGAATATACATATTTCTTAGGTATCATTACAACTTTTTTCCATCAGTATCTCTCTTAGAAGACATGGATTATAATTTATAATAACTATTAAATCACAAGAAAAGATGATAGATAGTGGATAAATGATAAAACTGAGTAATATATCAGACGTAAAAATAAAGATAAATAAATAGATACGCCTTAAAGACTAAAATAGAACTTAAAGTTTTAAAAGTTTGATACTAAACGAATTTTTTGGCTCTCATAAGTAGAATGGTGACGACATTATTCATGAGATTTGGAGTTATACTCCAAAAAAGAAGCAGGTGTTACAGACATCGTTAGAGAATAATACAAGAACTTTTCTCGCGAAATGGATTGGATTTTTGCGATGAGAATCCAACAAGTAGGCAATCCTCTTGTTCATGCTCTGTGATGTATTTCATGATGTCCTCAACTGCTTTGCTGACGTTAATCCGCTTGATTGCGGCTTCCCGTCGAAGCTGTTCAGTCACTTGACGTTGCTGCTGTAAATTTGTGATCACCATGTCCATAACAGCTGTATCTGACAGGCCTATTTTTGGGCGTGGTTTTTAACACTTAACAAGAAAACACAGCCCAAAGGCTTTTAGCAGAATTTTATGCGCTTTGGTAAAGCACACAACAACGACTTTGAATCACTTCACTGATTTTCTGCACTAGTGAATACTGAACTGCTTTGAGTATTCTTGATGCTGACGTTTATTTAGCTTTAGAATATTCTGGAAACTTTATTCTTAGATTGTTGATGATTTGCTTTGCTACGAACACAATTGATAAATGCGGGAGAACTGAGTAATAAAAAGCGACAATATGGCGATTTATATATGGCACGTGTGAAGTGAGTTGAAGAAGTGAGATTATTTAGACCAGTCGTACCAACCTAAATTTATTCGTTGTTACTTGAATCATTTAGGTACTCCAAAAAACAAATTTTGTTTATAAAATATCTTGAAAAGCATTCATTTTAATAAATTAACTTTAAAAATATTGTTTAATTAATTGATGTACCTGTTAGTTATCGAAAATTTTTAATAAAGAATTATAGAAAAAAAACACGAATAGTTTTTTGAAAATATTCCAATTGAAATTTAAAAAATTTATCCATTGGTAAGTCTGTTTTATGAAAATGACCCTTGTACAGCTGTGTTCATTTCATTATCTTCGTGTGTTTCATTAGAGTACATGTGACAGAGAATTAATTTATAAAAATTCAACAAAAATGGCTTTACATGTACCCAAAGCACCAGGATTCCTTTCAATGATGAAGGAAGGAGCTAGAGTAAGTAAATCCAATTATTAAACATCGTTTTCGTGATTTTTATATACCATAAATTAATTGACAAATACCGGCAATGATCAACCTAGTCATGCATTTCCTTTTAAGGACAACAATCCATGAGTTTCAATAAATTTTCAAGCATTAAATATCATAAGTTTTTTAGCTCATTGATTAGAAATAATTTTAACACATTTTTTTTAATCAAAATACTAATTGTGTTATTGTTCAGTATTTTTCAGGTCTTGAAGAAGCTGTATATCGAAATATCAGTGCATGCAAGGAGTTCGCTCAAACACTCCGTACTGCTTATGGTCCCAATGGAATGAATAAAATGGTCATCAATCACTTGGAAAAGTTATTTGTTACTAATGATGCTGGAACTATCATGAGAGAGTTAGATGTTGAACATCCAGCAGCTAAATTAATGGTCATGGCTTCTGAAATGCAAGAATCTGAAGTTGGAGATGGTACCAATTTTGTAGTTATTTTCGCTGGTGCTCTGCTAGAAAATGCTGAAGAGCTTTTACGACTTGTAAGCATCATATTAAATTATTAATATTCCCAACAAAATCATTTTTTTTATTATTGATGATTTTTTAAAATTATGATTATTCTTTTCAGGGTATCACAACTTCAGAGATTGTTATAGGATATGAAACAGCTCTCGAAAAAGCCCTAGAATTTCTCAAAACTCTTGTTGCCTATGAAATAAAAGACATAAAAAATATTGAAGAAGTGAAGAAAGGAATCAAAACAGCAGTTATGAGCAAACAATATGGGAATGAAGATCTTTTAACGTCATTAATTAGTGAAGCTTGTGTATCAATTCTTCCTGAAAAAACAACATTCAATGTTGACAATGTAAGGGTCTGTAAAATTCTTGGTGCTGGATTGAAATCATCTAAAGTTATCCAAGGCATGGTATTCAAAAGAAATGTTGAAGGTGATGTTATTAAACAAGAAAAAGCTAAAATTGCCGTATATACTTGTCCTGTGGACATTGCTCCGACTGAAACCAAGGGAACAGTTCTCATTAAAAGTGCGACCGAGTTGTTGAACTTTTCACGGGGTGAAGAGTCACTTCTTGAAGCTCAAATTAAATCTATCGCTGATACTGGAGCCAAGGTTATTGTGTCTGGAGGAAAATTTGGAGATATGGCTTTACATTTTCTTAATAAATATAATATCATGGCGGTTCGCATTCCAAGTAAATTTGACGTTCGACGTCTTTGTAAAGCTGTTGGAGCTACTGCTCTGGCTAAATTGGTAATTATTTAAATTTCAATACTTATTTATTTCGTGTGAACGATTAAAAAATTTTTAAATTATCTTTCTCTAGACACCACCAACCCAAGAAGAATTGGGATACGCTGATTCAGTTGCAACTGATGAACTAGGAGACACAGAAGTCGTTGTCTTTAATTTAGAATGTAAAGAAAGTAGAATCAGTACAATTGTTGTTCGGGGATCTACAGAAAATTATATGGATGACATTGAACGTTGCATTGACGATGGTGTTAACACCTTCAAGGGTATAACAAGAGACGGGAAATTTGTTGCTGGAGCTGGAGCTACAGAAATTGAACTTGCCGCTCATATTCAGAATTTCGCTGACACATTACCAGGATTAGATCAGTATGCTGTAAGGAAGTTCGCATCTGCTTTGGAAGTTTTCCCAAAAACTCTCGCAGAAAATTCTGGTAATCAAGGCTCTGAGCTCTTATCTAAGCTCTATGCTGCTCATAAAGAAGAAAAGAAATATTACGGATTTGACATTGAGGTAAAATTCTATCGAAAATATTTTTAAATTAAAAATTCTATCATGAAGGAGAGTTGATCAATTGTTTTTTTTTGTCGTAAACAGGGAACTGGATCATCATTGATTGATGCATTGGAAGCTGGTATCCTAGATTCATACCGAACAAAAGAATGGGCGTTGAAGTATGCTGTCAATGCAGCATGTACAATATTAAAGGTCGATCAAATAATAATGGCAAAACGAGCTGGTGGACCTAAGCTTCCGGCTCAAGGTGGCGCAAAGAGTGATGATGAATCGTAATTTTAATCAAAAAAAAGTGTAAACGAACATTCAACTTATCGTTTAAAAAATGTCTAATTCTATTTTTTTTCTTGGTTTATATTCTCAGACGCTGAGATATAAATAGACCGATGAAAAAGAGAGAGAGTTAACCTTGATTTATTTTGATTACATTCGTTTATTCATAAGCTTCATTGCACTGTATACTCATTTAATTATTCTCCACCCACGAAATACCGCGATTTTGTAATAAAATGCGAATTTTTACTGTTCTTACTGTCAAACAGAATAAATAAATGTTTAAATGAAAATTACTTTTAATAATCAACTTCACATACTCGTCTTTAATAAAATAAGAAATAAATATTTTATTCAATTACAACAAAACTAAAAATGAATATGAAAGCTTGTTTATTATTTTTCATGTAACTGAAAATTCTTCAGTAATAAAAATATACAAAATTTTAAAATATATTACGAAAAAGCTTAAATCATTTTTCATCAAAAATCTATTAAAATCTTAAAATAATATAGTGATTCAGAGGGCTACTAAATTTTATATAAAGAAAGGTATTAAATACTTATTTATAAATTTATCCGTCACTATATTGTAAACTATATGTATCTTAAAAGTCTGCAGTCCTAAAAAGGACATTATAATTCCAAGTAGCCGCAAAGATCAATACAAATACATACAAGCAAACTTTATACAAATCTTTATGCATTTGTTTCTTTTACAAAAAAATAACAATTTTTTTTGTCTCGATGCAAACACGCAACATTTTTGACGACTGGACATAGACGTGAAGGTTACGATTATTAAACGTCTAAAAATAAACCAGTCACAACTGAATTTACAACAATAACTTATTACTACCACAGTTTTGAAGTTACATTGTGTTCACTTAGTATCGATTGCTGGAGAAAAAATCAATAAATTATATAGTTTTCGCAGAACTAAAGAACACTCCCGAAAATTCTGTAGTCATTTCTTCGCCCTTCTCGAACTTACGCGCTTTTGCTACTATTGGTTAAAACCATATAAATAGCGGCCGGCATCGTGTGACCCCCAGTTTTCAAACAGACTTGATAGAGTAAAGAACAAATTGCGTATCAAAACAGTCGTTATTGCGACGTATTTTTAATACATTCATATATCGTGTATAAAAAGTGTTAATATGCCAGCAATTGGAATCGACTTGGGAACAACTTATTCTTGTGTGGGTGTTTGGCAGCATGGAAAAGTTGAGATCATCGCTAATGATCAAGGAAATAGAACAACACCAAGTTATGTTGCTTTTACGGAAACAGAAAGACTTATTGGAGATGCTGCCAAAAATCAGGTGGCTATGAATCCAACTAATACTGTTTTCGATGCGAAACGTTTAATTGGACGTAAGTTTGATGATCCCAAAATTCAAGCTGACCTGAAACATTGGCCTTTTAAGGTCATTAACGATGCGGGTAAGCCAAAAATTCAAGTTGAATTTAAGGGAGAAAGGAAGATATTTAGTCCAGAAGAAATTAGTTCCATGGTCTTGACAAAAATGAAAGACATAGCAGAAGCATATCTTGGACAAAAAATACGTGATGCTGTTATTACAGTTCCTGCCTATTTTAACGACTCACAACGTCAAGCTACCAAGGATGCTGGAGCTATTGCTGGACTTAATGTCCTCCGAATTATCAACGAACCAACTGCAGCAGCCCTGGCTTACGGTCTGGATAAAAATCTAAAAGGAGAAAAAAATGTTTTAATATTTGATCTTGGTGGTGGTACTTTTGATGTTTCTATCCTTACTATTGACGAAGGATCTTTATTCGAGGTCAAGGCTACTGCAGGTGATACCCATCTTGGTGGCGAAGATTTTGATTCAAGATTAGTTCGTCACTTTTGCCAAGAATTTGAAAGAAAATACAAAAAAGATTTGTCGAAAAATCCAAGAGCTCTTCGACGACTTCGTACTGCTGCTGAAAGAGCAAAACGTACACTTTCTTCAAGTACAGAAGCTACATTAGAAATCGATGCTCTTTATGATGGCCTTGACTTTTATACAAAAATTTCTCGAGCTCGCTTTGAAGAGCTTTGTGCTGATTTATTCCGTAGTACTTTGGAGCCAGTGGAAAAAGCTTTAAATGATGCTAAACTTGATAAAAAATCCATTAATGATATTGTATTAGTTGGTGGATCAACCAGGATTCCTAAAATTCAATCTTTACTTCAAAACTTCTTCAATGGAAAGCAGTTAAATCTTTCTATTAATCCGGATGAAGCAGTCGCTTATGGTGCAGCAGTTCAAGCAGCAATTTTAACTGGAGAAGGAAACAAACATTCTAGCCTCCAAGATGTTCTTCTTGTAGATGTGACTCCATTGTCATTGGGAATTGAGACCGCAGGTGGGGTGATGACTAAACTAGTTGAAAGAAACTCGAGGATTCCATGTAAACAAACTCAAATCTTCACGACTTACTCGGACAATCAACCGGCTGTTACCATACAAGTATTTGAAGGTGAACGAGCTATGACTAAAGACAACAACCTTTTAGGAACATTTGAATTAACCGGTATCGCCCCAGCACCTCGAGGAGTTCCTAAAATTGAAGTAACTTTTGATTTGGATGCTAATGGTATTCTTCACGTGACTGCCAAAGATACTGCTAGCGGTAGATCACGAGATGTAACCATCAGAAATGACAAGGGCCGACTAAGTCGTGCTGAGATTGATAAAATGTTGGCAGATGCTGAAAAGTACAAAGATGAAGATGAAAAACAAAAAGATAAAGTTGCTATGAGAAATAAACTAGAGTCTTATGTTTATTCTGTTAAACAAGCAGCTGAAGAGAATGGTAATAAACTCTCTAGTACAGATAAAAATAAGGTACTCAACCTCTGTACTGAAACAATTCAATGGTTGGATAGTAATACTTTGGCAGAGAAAGAAGAATATCAGCACAAGTTGGAAACACTTCAATCTCAATGCTCGCCAATCATGACCAAACTTCATCAGGCAGGTCAAGATCAAGGTCAAGGTGGTCCAAAGCAAAACAACGATGGTCCTACTATTGAAGAAGTTGACTAAATATATTTTTTGTACTTTTTACGCACATTCAGCTGAGATTTTTACTAGACTGCATATTTTTACAGATATTTATTAATTTTTTAAGCTCAAAAATATTCTTCATTATTACTTAAAAGCTTGTTTGCAGTTACGTCATTTAATTTAAAATATTCACAAGACTAAATATTTGTAAGGTAGCTTTTAGTTCAAAAAATTTTGTAAACAACTGTAGTGGCAGTATGAAAAATAATAAATAATATATTATTTTATTTATAAAAAAAAATTGTCTTATTTATTACATATAGATTATTTAATTTTTTTGTATTGAATAAAGCTTTGACTAAATTCCTTGGATTGTTCTTTGAGAATTAGATTCCTCAAATTCATGCATTTTTAATAAAAGATTAGCTACAGTACACCTCATTAGATGAAATTTTGAAAGATTCATTTCGAATAAATATTTCTTCCCTGTACTTAAGGTCCATTCCATTAGAATTGTTGGCTCCAATACGCGAGAAAGAACACTGGAAATATTTTTTAATTTTTTAAAACAATTTTTTAGAAATATCTTTGACGTTCATTTCATACCTCGAAGATATGGTGATATCTATCCTCCATCGACAAGTTTTTATAGTTGGAAAGAATCTATTTTTTTCCGATAAACTACGCATTAATATTGGACGTTTATGACCATAAAGAACTGCACATAAATCATCGATACATTCATTTTCCATTCTGCAATAATTAAAATTTTTTTTGTTTTCTTAATAATTAACAATTATTTAATGTTAGTAATAAATTCTTTTATAATTTACTTCAAATCTTGGAGAAACTGTTTGAGGTCATTGGTTTTTATGGAAGTGTCTGGAAATCGTAGATGTGTCTTCATGATTTTCAATATTACTGAGTACCATTCATCAATTTTTTCTTGAGAGATGTTATATTTTTCTGATATTCTATCAAGAATTCCATCATCGATGTGATTTTGTTCAATAGATTTTACAGCCACTGTTAAACAAAAATATTTTTAAAATTATTCATTTATTTGATGATTACTTTATTCTTCATAAAGTAAGTTACATTGAATTAATGGACGAATAATTATTTTCTTTAAATCACTGAGATCTTTAACTTTTGTTCCTAAAGAATTAGACAGTTGAATAAGTGCTGTTGATGACATTCTAGAAGTTTATCACAATAATATACTGATTTTGACGCAATTTTGTTGTTCAACACATTATATATATGTATGAAATTAATATTTATAGATAAGTATCAAATTATTTTTTTAAATAATATATTATTACACAAAACCACTCATCGAATCAGAGTAATTATTTTTAGCTAAAAACTACACATGCAAAATGTACACAGAAACAATGAACAAATGAAAACTGAGTTATCAACTGGACTCTTATCGATAAAGTGAAGAATAAATTGGTAAAACGAATTTCTTTCTTTTTCGATGCAACCAAAAAAGAAAATTAGTTTATCAATTTATTTAAATTCAAAGATGAATAAATTTAAAAAGTTTAAATATAAATTTCCTTAACAATGTTAATTTGTAGGTTAATTGTTTTCAAATGTTTATAATATATTTTTTTTTGACTTCATGGGTAATTAGTAAATGAATTATTCAATTGTTTATACAATTAAAAACTTTTAAATTGAATTAATAATTAACCAGCAAAAATAGTCAACATTGTTTAGAAAATGGCTACTGCATAGGATTGTAAATACTCAATAAATTAGAAATTTTCTCTAAATGATCATGTTTGTGATTCCATATTTTTTTAAAAAAGATAATCAAATTCAATATTGTCGAATGTGTTTGTAAAAATTTTTTTATGACGCATTTTTCTAAAAACAATCGTCTCCATATTCTATAAAGCCTTCGAATTATGTACTGAGTCGAAGATTTTATTATTTTTATCAGAATAGATCGTAGTCATTACATTTATAAAAATTATTTGGAATTGATTATTTCTACGAATCTTAATAATTTGTAATCCTGTTTACATAACCTGTTCTAATATATTTTTATAAAACTGATGTATATGATGACAACTGTTCAAAAAGATGAGGTGAACAATAAAATTACTTATTATTAATCATAAATGTGTGCGTAAATTTAAATATATATCATCAGTAGTTAGATATTCGAATTTCAATTTAATTTTTATGTCTGAAAAAATATAATACAAAGAAAATTTGTTACACTTGAATTTTATGATAGTACAATATATGTTATCTAAATCAATAAAAAGTACATAATTCAACTTTGAATAACCTTCATCGTCGGTATCTATACTTAGTACCATGAAATTAATTTATTTTAACAGCATCAAATATTTAAAAACATGATGATAACGTTTTCATGTCTCTCTTGTAATAGAGAAGTAGTGAATAAAGAGTGGGGATTAATTCCTGGTAGGAATAAATATGGACACCAGGAGACGAGTGATCAGTTAACCGAATTAATCTACTAATTTACCAAAGAAGCATCCTCAGTAGAATGATGCTTTTTTCCATATTTTTGATAAAAATGTTTATTAAAGTTTGTTTTCTCTTGATTAGCATCAAATCAATCCACTCATTAGAACTTTTAAAACATAATGAAAAACAATGCAATAACAAAGTTTATGAATATAATTTATCGAACAATTTAATTCGAAAAAAAACAGGGAATAAGTTGGATTCAATATCAATTTTTGATAATTTATTATATGAAGAATTGCTTGAATTTAACGCTCAAACCATCAAAGACATTGATCGAATCATTTTGGATAAATCACCTTTAACAATCAATTATATGGATATTTTCGTTAATAATATGCTTGTTGGAGAAGCCGTCGACGAATATGACAATGGAAAATATGTAATCAAATTCCAGAAAATAATACCTGCTAATGCCAGCGTAAATGTTAAGATTTATTTTAAAGAATTACCTCTGTTAGCTTTGTATGATCTCTTTCAATTCAATGTCTTAACAGTGACTAATCAGTGAGTTCTTATTAAATTTTTTTTTTTTTTTGTGTTCCTTTTACAAGTAATTTTATTCTTTTATAATTTTTTATTTATACAGGAACACTATTGATTCTAGAAAAACTAGCGAAGGGATATCTATATCTACTTACCTTTTAGCTGCATTTTTCTCTGGATTAGAATTTACCAAATTAATGGAGTTTACTTCTGAATCGTACCTATTTAAATATAACGTAAATACTATTCAAGAGAATTCTTTAACAAGAATTACATATGAAGCTTACAGATATTTAAAATTGTTCTTCGCAGAAAAGTATAAATTGCCAGCAATAAATCCACATTTTGAATCAAACTCCATAATCAATTTAAAAAACTTTAGTGAAATTGAAATAAAAAAGACTAAAACACTTCAAGAACTCAAGCAAGTATTAAATAAAGAAAGAGAACAAGAGTTTACTGCTAATCTTTTATACGAATGGTCTCTTATGTACCTCAATTTAATTAAATTAAATATGGATACAAGTGAATGGATTATCGATGGACTTGCTACTTATTTAAAATATTATGGAATCTCAAAGGTATTTATCATAATTATTATTAAAAAACCATTAGAACTAATAAAGTTAAATTCAATTCTTTCATAGTACGAACCAATTTCAAAAATCCATCGAAGGTTTATTGAAGATCATTTACAACCAGCTTTAGCTGCAGATGCATTAGAATCATTACATCCTCTAATAGTTACGCCAGGGAATCTGATCCCTGCCGATATTCCTCAAGATAGTAAGAAGATCTTTAATTCTAAAATGACCAGTCTTTTTCGAATGTTATCTTTGACTTTTGGACTACCTGTATTAAACCATGCAATTCAAAAATTTTATGAAAAAGGGTAAATAGATATTTTAGTTTTCCTTCATGCGTGTATTTCCTTATTCATTATATCTCATTCAAAAAATGTCATCGATTTAGAAAAAAAAGAGGCGTTACGTTAAATGATCTCTGCGATTATTTACAAAATGAAGTTTTTTTCCTCGAAGACATAGATCTTCGTTTCAGTACCAGAAAATTGATAGCAGCCTGGACAGAACAAGCTGGATATCCTCTATTGACTGTAAACGTAAAAAGTGATGGTGTTTATTTAAAACAGTCAAAATTCTGCTGGCAAGATACAGATATTATTGACGAATCAAGTGACTATTTATGGTGGATACCAATAACCTGGATTACTAAAAAAACTTTAAATTTGAAGTCAATTGCCCCTGTATATTGGCTCAATAGCACACAAGACAAGATAATGATTCCGAATGAAGTCAAAGATGATTGGATTATTTTTAACTCCGGTAAAACAGGTGAAAAATGATTTTTATCAAGCATTATTTAATGTAAATACTTAGGCAATAGTTATATCTTGAAAATATTGAATTTTTTGATTTAATTATTATGAATTGATAGTAATTATCTGAAATTGATTATTTTTATAGGGTATTATAGAGTTAATTATGACCGAAACTCGTGGAAACGTATAATGAATACTCTAAATAGTCAATCGTTTAACGATATTCCGACAATAGATCGTATGGCAATTATTGATGATGTAATAAGTTTAGCTAAAACTGGCCATGTTCCTATAGACATTTACCTGCAAGGGCTGGAATATATTCAAGTCGAAATATTTTCCGGGCCATTAAGAATAGGACTGCAAGAATTTATAAATCTTCACGAATATTATTCTGATAGCATAAATGCTGAAGATATTGACGTAAGTTATGTTTGCTAATCATCATGGTGTGTGTTATAACTATATTAGAAAATACTTATGTCATCTATGTTTGTTATCTATGAAAGAAATTGAACAAACATAGATTAATTTAATTCAATTACTATTTCAGAAATTTATTTTTTATCAACTAAAATGGGCGTATAATTCTATGGGGTATACAAAAAAACTAACTGATGATAAATCATTTATTTCATTTCGAACCGATTTGAATTTTTTAATAGATGATATTAAATTTAAAAAATGTGTACGTTCTATTCAAAATTATTGGACAAAAATTTTCAAAGATTCCAAAACTACGTAGGTATAACAATAAACTACTTTTATACGTTAAAGAATTTTATTAATGTCTTTTTACACCAACAGACAAACAATACAAAGTGAAAGTTATAATTATTGTTCGTCTTTCAATAAAAATCTTAAGCGATATAATCGTGTTGATTTGGATGAATTATCATCTCTTAGTGCAGTCGAACGACAACCGTCCGATTTATTTTTATTTTGTACCAAAGCTGTCTGGTCTCAGGAAGAGTATGATAAAATTAATAAATTAATTATTCTACAAAATAGTTTATTATTAATAATATTTTTGATTATGTTGAAGGTTCTTAAAAAATTGTATAGCAGAAATAAAACAAAATGATGGACTAAATTCACTAACGATAAAAAAAATTACCATAATATTGCAAAACATGGGAAACTGTCGAAACAAAGGGATTCAATTAGTACTAAATTATTTGATTCACAATCCTTCACTAATAAATTATTAGTAAGTTTGATATTTATTCATAAATAATGTTCAATTTTTTTATCATAATTTTTTTATTGTTTCAGTTGTCAACATGAGCAGTTATTATTTTTAGACCTTATATCATCATTTTCTCAAAAACTTATAACACCAACCACGAATTTCGATTACATAAAAAAGCTTACTGACATTGCATCAGTTGGGTGCTCACAAATTTCAGAATTTTTGAGTATAGTACAAAAAAACAAAGATTTCGAGAATACGTTTTATTTAACAAAATATGATTCAATTGTTGAATGGGTTAAAAAGAAAAATAACGAAGTGAACACATTTGGGTTTTACAAATACTTGCTTCCAAATAATATCCTCCCACAAAAGTATATAATTGAATTAACGCCTCATTTGATCCCGGGAAATTTTTACTTCGAGGGAAAAGTTCAAATAATAGGACATGTATCGCAAAAAACATCTGAAATTTTACTTCATTTCCATAATTTGAACTATCATTCAATAAATCTAGAAGTTGACGGTCGAGCTGCTGTTATATATCATATAATACATCATGAACAGTATCAATTTTTAGAGATCCAGACAAGTGACACATTAAGAGTGCCATCTGAAATAAAAATTGAAATACACTATAGAGGATCAATAGGTCAAGAAAAGCGTGGCTTTTATCATGACTTTTACATTAATAATGATAATCAAATTAAATGGTTCGCAGCCACTAATTTAGAACGTGCATCAGCCCGAAGACTTTTTCCTTGTTTTGATGAACCATTTTTCAAATCTGTTTTCCAGTTACGTATCAACAGGACAGCTGATTTTAAAACAGTCAGCAATGTAAAATTACAATCAGTTATAGAAAATAATGGTCGATACATAGATGTTTTTGAAGATACCCCAGAAATATCAACACACCAAATTGCTTTTATTGTGTCTGAATTTAATTCTTCTGATGAAGTATCAAAAAATTTTGATTGGTTCAAGTTAAATAAGTCTTTCGAAATAATATACCCTATAATTCAAACAAAAAATTTCTTCGATAGTATTGAGAAGCTAGTTAATTCTCAAGAGCCCAATAATTATACATACCATGATAATTTAGCACAAGTTAAAAATCAAATAGAAAATTATGGTCTTATTGCTTATTATGGAAAGAATGTCATTACCAATCCAAACGATGTATCTCTTTATGATAAAATTACATACATCATTGATTGGAATTACGAAATGATGTATCGATTTTTTAGAAATTTTTTAACAATGGATTTTTGGAGATGCGAATGGTTTACCAGAGCAATTTCTTACCACTTTTTATCTGTTGGTTATGAAAATGATAAAAGCGCTGAAGATGAAGGCAGTGCCTTATTCATTGTTCATCATCTTCAACCTTCAATGCTCATTGATGCTTCCTTATCAAATGATATTTTTATCAAAGAAGATTATACGGCAGAGCAAATAGAAAACGCATATAATAAATTTACTGACGACAAAGGTGTAAGTATTTTGAGAATGATTGAAGACACATCAGATTATTTAGATACAACTCGTTTCTTTCAAAAGTTTGTCAGTAATGCTGTAAACGAAAAAAAATTGCCTTTATTTTATAATCCTCAATGGGGCAATTGTCCAGGATTAAATCAATTTTGTAAGATAGTTGAAACAAGACCATCTTTAAATACACAATATTCAGGATACTCAAATTGTATTTTAAAAAATTGGATCAGTCAAAAAGGATTTCCAGTAGTTCATGTTAAAATTGAAAATAATACTGTAAATCTTTCACAAACACCATTTCGAAATAATCCTTCGGAAATCAACTCGAGATATATATGGAACATTCCTATCACCTGGACTTCAAGTGCAAATAAAGATTTTTCTGCTACAAAGCGTTTTTTCTTTTTAAAGACACAAGAAGACAGTTTTCAAATGGATGAAACTAATCAAATTGATCAGAACGGATGGGTAATTTTCAACCTTCAGCAAATTGGTTACTATCGTGTGAATTATGATCTCAAAATGTGGAATCAAATACGGAAAACTCTTTTGAGCCCATCTTACACAGACATTCACCAAAACAATCGAGCTGCTATAATAGATGATTTGTTTAATCTTGCAAAAGGTGGATATGTTGATTATGCCACAGCTTTATCAATGACTGAATATTTGATTCAAGAAAAGAATTATGCTCCATGGAAAGCAGCATTAACAAACTTTGAATTTTTAGACAGAAGACTTGTTGCTAATGTCCAGACTCATAGATATTTCAAGATGTATGTAAAAAACATTATTAAACTTGCTTATGTAAAATTGGGATTTGATGAAGAAAATGATGAAGGTTATTCCAAATCGCTATTACGTATTAATATTTTAGAGTGGGCATGCAAATATAAGGATATATCATGCATTACCAAGTGTAAAACGTTGTTTAAGACATGGATGGATAATTCAAATAATTTAATTCCTGTCAATATTCGGAGTATCGTTTACTGTACTGCTATCAATAATGGAAATGAAATTGAATGGATGCATCTTTATAATAAACATTCAGTAACAAACAGTCGAAGTGAAAAAGATAGAATCATAAAAGCTCTGGCATGTACGGAAAAGCCTGAATTTCTACGAAAATTATTATTATATAGTATTGCCGAAAATTCAAAACTTCAAATTCAAGAAAGTTTAAATATATTTTCTGCTGTTTACTCCTCGAGTGTTCGTGGAGTTAAAATAACAATGTCTTTCATGATTCAACATTATAATACAATACTTAATTATTTTAGAGATTATAATGTAATAAAGAGTATTTTAATCGGTTTAGTAGTTCATGTAACTACTACAGATTTAATCGAAGAATTTGAAAAATTTGTACAGAAGCTTGATAAAGAATTGATACCAATTAAAGAAACTGTATTGTCATGCATTGCTCAAATCAAACAAGAGGAAATGTGGCTTAATATTAATTTCTTATCAGTCTCAAAATTTTGTGAAAAATTCAAATATCTTGAAATGTCTCATACAAATAATTAGAATAATTGTTTGGAACCATAGTTTAGTGCTATGAAAATATTTATATAAAAGAAAATATGTAAATTATTTTAATACTTTATATTTAAGTACAGAATATTAGTAATTATTATATGAAATTATGCATTGAATTAATAATAATAAATTTTATGTATGATATATTACTTTTTCATACATCTTTTTATTACTTCATTGTCATTTAAAATAATATTTGTTCAAAGTTTAAGTAAAGTAAAGTACCTAAGCATTATAATATGCTCATAGTGGTTTATATGTTGTTGTTCCGTGTACTTTGACATTATTCTCATTGTCTGGATCAACTAAGGAACTCTCAGATGGAATTCTTTTTTCCAAAATCCATTCAGGTAGATTTTGTTGAGTGGGATAATGAAAGATACGATATCCCAAAGTGCCCAAGACATTGACACATTTTCTGATAGAACCTAGAATTAAATATTCGTTTTTCTGTTAAGTTGATTGATTTTTATATAATTATTAATATCGTATCTGTTTTCTAAAAAATAAAATTACCATGAAGTGATGCCTTTTTGAATTTCGGATTAATCGAGATGTCTGGAAAACGTTTTTCCAATAAATCCATTGCTTCATTACTCAATTCAGTCAAATATATTTTATTGTTTTCGTTATCCAATAAGGATATGTAGTGATAAGTATCACAAAGTACTGAGCTACTTAAGTAACCACATGTAAAGAGTAAAACAAATCCAAAGAAATATTTTGGAATTAATGCCATGTTGAGAAAAATTTTTAATCACTGGATCGTATTTAATGTTTTATAAATTCTTTAAATAATTAATTTTAATTTCTTACTGACACTTATACTTTCCGATAGACGTTCAACTACTTCAGTATCACTCAACTTTTTGATATACTTCCATGTATACACTTCTGCTTTATATAAGCAGCTTCGAAAAAAGACAATAAACTATTTAATACTCATCATTTTAAATACTTTATATTGATAAGATTAAAATAATCGCTACTAACAATGACACAAAAAAATAATAGTAATTTTTTAATATAATCATTAATATCCCTCACACAAATAAAAATTAATTTTTGAATTTTTCATTTATACTACACTTTAAATGGCTTCAATATTCTTTATCTTTAAAATTATATATGAATTTACATCATAACATAAAAATATCGTAAAAGTCATATAATATAATAGATTTAAAAACTCTTTAATAATTTATTCATTTATTAAATAAGTATTACAGTTCATTTATAAAAATAATTTTTTTCTTTTATACAGATTAATTGATAACAGGGAATTTTTGAAATTATGAAACACAATTACCACACAGTTAACGTTTTTTTCATGATAGCCTCAATGATTGTTGGGTTATTTTTTGTTATTTGATAATTGAAAATTAATGATTCATTTGAAGAAAAGTAGTTTTGTTAAAGTATCAAATGAATTAAAACATTCGAAAGAGTACAAATAATATTTCTCTTAAATTATAGTAATTTTATATTATAATTTAAAAATAAATTAAATTTTTTTAGTATTTTGTCTATTTAAATAAATACAAAATATTGGCAGTATAAAAATGTTTAAGATATAAATAGAATATGATAAATAAATAAAAATAAATATTTTTCAATTGAATGATTTACCTAAATTAATATTACATTAAGCTACTTGTTAAGTTAATTGATGAAAGGTATAATAGTGTTATCTACAATAACATTATTCACCACATAATTCAACAAATATTCGAAAATGGAATATAATGAGAGATCGTCAGAAAGAATTTCTTTATTTCCGTTTTTATCGTCTTCTCCAATCTCTGCACAACTACCATCAATATTGCCATTTCCTAGAAACATTTCCATCAAGCAATAAGCCGTTGGACCTATTAAATCAGGGAAGCCCGGAAAAGTACGTGAAGATGACAACTCAAATGGTTTTTCTTCTATTTTTGTACATTGTACTGAATTCATCTACAATAATAATTTTATTAATATTAAAATAAGTTTCTCTTAACTCCTATAGGTTCTATGATAAAATTTTAATCTAAAGTTTGATTCAATTATCAAAAAATATTACTCACCAACAAAGAGATGCAGATTACACTGACAAAGTATAACGTCTGATTCATTTTGCACAAAATTGATTTTTCTTGGATTATGTTATAAAATTAATTTTATTTATCCAAATAAAATTTTTTTATTAGGATTCTGTTGATTGACAATGATTCAGAACTTCTTCCAGGTACAGATGTACGATGCCAGAAGAGCGTTCTTCTCCGTTAGCTTCACAGGAGATGACTGAATTCAACGATTGAATGTTGTACACTTCTACCGTCAACTTTTAAATTTTATGTCACTGATTAACATCTTTCTATTTTAGACTTTTTTCTCAAATAACGTATATTAATCACAGGGTTTATATTAGTACCATTGTATACTAACGGTATTATAGGAAAAAGGTATTCAGGTCATTCCAAAGCTGCTTCTTCTCGTTAGAAAAAGATTGGACCATGTTTTTCACTGGTCACTCACAGCAATGCCACTAAATTCCATGGTATTCATTTAAAACTATTGCTTCTTTTATATATTTTTTTTTATTTTATTTTATTATACCTGGTGTAAACAAAGAAACTGACCAACGTAAAAAGAACTATTTTCAGCTTCATCATTTTTATGTCCTAGAGATCTTAAAGAGGTAAGTAACTCATGTTTAATATCCTCCTTTATATTCTATCAGAATGAATCAAATTCATTAGATGAGTAGTAGTTACCTTTTCACTTTTCCAGTCATTGTCGAAACCGTTGTCAAGATTCATTGGATTAAATATATTAGAGAAATGATTATAATCTAAGTTTAATGCACTCTGAAATGAAACTTTTAGAATAAATTATTTGTTCCTAAATTGTGACATTAAATAATAAAGTTTAAACATTATCTTTTCACTTTATAGTAGTTAGAAATTACTATAGAAAACGGAGCGTAATCATATAACAGTTGTTCATATGAATGTATAACACTGTAATTCTCTGGTGAAAAATTACAGACTAATAAATATAAATGTATAATACGTAAAAACAAAGCTTGTAATGAGTAGTAACTATTTATTCATACAATTTTAAATAATTTATAAAATAAAGAAAATTACGAATAGCTAACGATAATAATTGAAAAGCTAGTGAGCCTAATTATACAAACAAATCTAATTTTTTAATACTGATTACAAATTGATTATAAAAATTGACAACTATTTGTAATAGATGAAAAGGGTTCATTAACACTGAAAATGATTTATTTTATAATTTCTAGATAAGTTGACAACGCAGACATTAAGGGCTGCACTCACATAATGACGTTTTTTCTATTTTTTGAAACTGTGATTCAATAAATAATCACGTGGAAATTCACGTGGAAGTCATATAATCCCTCTATTTTCAACTCTGCCATATCAGCCTCTAATGTCATCAACATTGCAGCAGTTACCTTTATTCAATTTCAAAGGTAATATTTATACATTACTTGTTATCTAACCTTTTCTTTACTACTTCCCTGTCAATTTGTTTTCTTCTTTAATAATATTTAAAAATTAAATGTAGTTATTATGACTTATTCGAGATTTTATTTTAATCAAATGCAATTAGTAGAGAAATGAGAGACTGCTGATATTAATTTAGCTGCGAGAATTCACATACCCGTATTACAGTAATAATTGGATTAATCCTTAAAACGAAAATGTTTAATAAACGATAATGAATAATTTTTTATGATATTCTGTTGATGATAATATCCACCAATATATAGTTGTTGAAAGAAAATTCCTGAAAGTAAATAAATAAATTAGATAAATAATACAATAACAAATAAAATATATTACGTTTTACCTTTTTTCATTTTCTACGTCGTAAGGATTCAAAATTCAATCGTTTCTGGAACACAAAAAAAAAATCTTTTGAAAATTTTACATTTAAAGAAATGGTGATTTGTATTACAAAGTTTTATAACAAAGATTTCATAATCTGTAGTAAACTGTTATTGTACAATGTGTAACCTTATTGGATTATAAATGCATAATAGAATGAAAATACTTGAATTCTATTACTTAGATAAAAACAGTTATACTGAGCAAATGTTTTCTTGAAAAAATTGGATCTTGTGTACTGGAACAGTTCTGTTAATCGGACCGAAAATTCTATTTATTTTTCTTTTATCTAAGAAACTTAATTAACTTTTCATCTAAGATGAACAATTAATAATAAGATTATACCAATAAATTATACACATTAAATACACATAATATATTAAAGAAAAAGAAAAAATAAGTAAGAATTAAATTCTAAAAGTGTAAGGAATGTTAAAAAATGGAATATCATTTAATTTACTATTATTTATAATGAATAGAAATTTCTGTTCGAGGTTTTATGACGTTTTATAAATAAAAATAAAGAAATTCAAGGAGAAAAAGCATACATAGGAATGTCTAGACAATTTAATTCTTAACACAAACTGATCGATTCTCAATGAACAGTTATTGGACTTTATTTCTACTTTTGGAAGAATATGTATCACCTGAATAAACGAGCATCAAACTAGAAAATAAATGAAATCTTAACAATGATTTAAACCTCAGAATAAAACAAGTTTAAATAAATTCAATAGTATAAAAAGAAGACTCCAAAATCAACTTAGCATTTTAATACTACCCGTAACAATGAAAAATTCTAAGAACTAATGGTTACATAAATAATAATGGTGGTTGCAAGCAGTGACGTAGTAAAAAATGAATCATAACTAGAAACAATCTCATTTGATGGAAACAACTAGACTTGACATTAAATTAATAAATACATCGTGATAATAATAGCAGTCAGGATGAAGATTAAATCATTTAATAAAAAAATATCAGATTTATCTCTTAAAAGCGTTAATTTCTAAATCAAGGTTACTTATGTGCAGTGTACAAGAATATATTATTTGTTGACAGTGGCCAAGGATCTTTCCAGGTCTTTCTGCTCCTCTTTGTCATCCCTACCTTCTTCAGTTGTTCATGGAAAGAGAAAGCCTATGACTGAATCATTCGCTGCAGTTTATGTATGCTAACTCAAGACTGACCAGACTAGTTTTATTCAATCTGTCAGAAGTGAAACTACGCATCAGTGACGTTTACTGAATTTTCTATTTTGCAACGATCAGAAAACGAATAAGAAGCCATGAAACTGTGTCTTCTCGTTAGTTTTCTTTTTATTATTCTACAATTATCATGTAAGAATGTATAAATAAATATATTATTTACTTTTAATTTAATACTTATTGCTGAATCAGATTGCTAAACATAAAAACTAGCTTTAAGGTCAAAATATCACAAGTTGATTGGTTTTTATTGGCATTTCTCTTAATATTCATGTTCTTTTTAATTAATTAACAATATAAAATTATCACGTTTATAAAATCTGCGATGTTTCTAGATTTTAAACGTATTATGTGGATCTTTATGTCAAGTGAATATAATTTAATTGAACTCTATTTCACTTGAATCGACGTTAGACTACATTTACACATTATCCAATTTAAATTAAATGATAAATTACATTCTGAGAATATCTATATCTATAGTTTTAAGATTATTGGTGTAATAATTCGATTCATGTTCAATTAATATTGTTTTGATAATATTCTTCAATTGTAGCTCATTTTCATTTGTTTTTTTCTTCTTTTTAAATAATATACAAATTTAACAATGTTTCCAGTCTGATGGTTCTCTTTGTAAGTGATTTTATCTGCGTTTTCATAAATAAATTTACACTTATAATTTATTATACAGATATTGATGCACGTAGAAAGAGCTCTTCATCAGGATCATTACTCAGAAGAGGAAGTAGTAGCAGTACTAAAGGAAATTCAAGGCCTTCATCTGGTAAGCAATTTTCATAAAATTAAATAAAACAATGTTTGTAATAGTTTTTGCTTTTTCAGCTGATCAACCGTTAGATTTTTAATGTCCTTGAGGTCAAATAGCCATAAAATTTGATCATTAAAAAGTTTTACAACAAAACAACATAGCACTATATGACCTTCCATTAGCAGTATTTTATTTAAATTAATTTATTTCCAATTGTTAGTCAGTAATTTTAAAACTGATGTATAATTTTAATAATTATATCAAAGCATATTTGTGTTGAGAATGAAATTATATATAAAATAACTTGATTAGTGTGTTTAATCACAATGTCATTTTATTTTATCCATGCTAATATTCGCATTGAATTAATCGGAATTCTTCATTTCGATTTATCAATTTGAGTCTCAAGTTCAGATATATATATTCCAAATAGCTCAATAAATTGTTTGCAACTTTGTTGATTCATTTAAAAAATCTGTTAGCTCAAATATTTATGTTCTTATGTTTAATATTTAACGATAGTAAAAATTTTTCTCTTCATTGTTTAAATAATTAATTCTAGGAGGATCACATGGATCTGCTCCTCCATCTCCCGGCTGGAATGTTCCAAAACAACAACCATCTGTTCAAAAACCATCAGCACCAGTGAATGAGCACGTTTCAAAAACAAGTTCTTCCAATGTGCAATCTTCTAATTGGAAACCATCTGGAGGTTATAATACACAAACTGGTACTCCATATGGCAACGTTGGTTCTAATCAACACAGTCCGAGTCAAGGTTACAATCCATCTGTAGGTAGTTATCAACACAACACTCATGCAGGAGCGCCTTATAATCCAAGCCATGCACCAGGAAACACTGGTTACAACTCTTATGGAAGCCCTCCAGGCTATCATGCACCAAGCTATCATCCACCAGCAGGACACAGTCCAGGTTATGGAGCTCCACCAGCTTATAACCCATACAATCCTTCTTACGGACATTCTTACACTCCTGGAGCTGGTTATAATCCTCCCGTTGGTCATGCACCTCAGACAATTCTTGTTCAAGGCTCTTCCAGACCTGGAATCGGTCAATTGGCAAAAGAAGCATTAGTTTTTGCTGGAGTAAGTGCTGGAGTTAATGCAGTTGCAAACAGAATTATTCCAGGAGGAATTTATGGTGGCCATGGAAACTATGGAGGTTCATCTTCTAGCGGTGCAGCTAATGTACCTGCTGTGACACATACTCAAATCACTTATAATAATTATTACAATAATGGAACTGCTCCAGCATCAGAAGTGCCACCAGCTGCTGGGGCCCCAGCAGCACCTCTTCCTCCGTCAATTGCAGCTTCTGCACCAGCACCAGCATCAGCTGGACCGGAACCAAGTCCTGTTGTACCAATTGAAAGTGCTTCCAATGCTAATCCTCCTGCAAATCAACCCACTCCTGCTCCATCTTCAGCACCAGCTAATGAAGATGCCAATTTTCCAAGTCCCACAGGACAAATTGTTACCAAAACTGATATTCAAAAATTAACTGAAGACTTATTCACCAAAGATACCAATAATGCGTTCAAACATATCACGATGAACCTTCAAGGTCAAAAAATGGATGACAGTACTAAAGATGACGCTCCAGAACCTCTTCTAACTGTTAAAGATGAAGCTTATCAAATCCCAACAGTTAAAGCTGTTATTGCACTTCATGATAATTATGAACTCGATGTGAAAGTTAAGGAAACTGTGACTCCAGAAGAGAGAAAGGAAGAAAGCGATTTACTAGATCTTATGCTTGAGACTGACATAATGAAAACAACTATGAAATTTTTGGCTGACAAAGGATATATTCCTTATGATGAATATGAATTTAAAGATACATTGAAGAGAGTTTGGTTCTCACAATTTAAGAGAATTGATAGTGAACCTGGAAGCTCTGGTTTTGAAACAGTATTTTTGGCAGAGAAATTTGATAGTGAAATCATTGGATTGCATAATTGGATTTATTATGCTCGACAAGAAGCTGAGAAGAAATTAAACTACCTTGGATACATTAAACAAACCTCACTTGGAGATGTAAGTATAAAACATTATCAAAAATTAGAAAATTAATCTGACTAAAAGAAATAAGACTAAAAAATATCTGAGAAAGTGAATCGAATTGATTTTTCATTGGTGATGTCTCTTGAACGTTAAAATAGACTTTTATAAAAAACTCAACTGTTCTCAGTAGCTTTTGTATTGATTACATTTCTATTAAAATACCAGAATAATAATTACTAAAAATCTTCCTATTTTCATATTTTTTTTTTCTTCATTCAAATCTGAACAGTAATTGTTGAAGTATCAATAGGCTGCTTAAGAGATCTCAAGAAGTCAAGTTTACTCTTCAACTATTGATAATTGGGTCCTCTATATCACTTAAGAATTCATTTAAGTGTATATAAATTAATTGAATAATCGATTTTTGTGTTACAGAAAGGAGCAATTGTTAAATTGAGGTCGAGTTTAAATGATATAATTCAACCAGTTACTACAATATTTGTTGGAACATCACCTGAGTTGGAGATGGCATTATATACAATATGTTTCTACACACGTCCTAATTATCAGTGTCCAATAAAGCTGGCAAATAATGAATTTATGATCATTGCCAACCGCGTTAACTACTTTGGCAAAGATATTTTAGTCTCTGCATATCCGGAGATTTAATTTAAATAAACATCCTACACTTCATAAAAGCAATATGCTTTTAATAAACAAATATGTTCTATCCATAAGGTGCTGAAAACTATTGTATATTTAAAAAACGTAGAATATAAAATAACTACATACCTTAGTGAGATTGTGTTGATTTTTATATAACGGATCAATAAATAACAGTGGTATTACCACTGGTCTTCCATGTGCACATCGATTTGGTAGATCAGTTTCAATCCAATAAGATACTAAATCATTACATTGTTTTAAATTCAATGGGTCGCCGAATCTAATTGCCCCTAGAAAGCCAAAAATAATTTGAAAAATTTAAATAAACTGTTCAGTTAAAATACCAAAAATAAACAGTAAAATACCATGACAAGCTTCGGAAGCAATCGCATTATGTATTGTTAACGGAAGACGATTTACTCCAATATTATTACATAATTTTTCCGTAATTTCACTCAACAATTCACGTACTGAATGTGTTAAATCAATACAGTTTTTATATTTTTTTCCAGATAAACATTTAGGAATTGTTTTAACAAATAATGTAGCATAATCATGACTTTTATAATAACTATTGTTGGCGATATTACCATCACTGATAGTAAAATTGATACCAAAATTTTCTAATAAGCTACGATTGATTTGTAATAAATTTGCATAATTAATTGGTAATTCTGTTATTTTTATTGATTGTTTCAATGTGACTGATTTTAATTTATTATTTTCAGTTTTATAATCTGAAAAATAATAATAAGGAATGAAGTAGTGAAAATAATAGATATATATATATAACAATGTTATAAATAGTGAGTTATTTTTTACCGTCTATTAAATTCTCATAACGGATTCTTTCATCCATAGCATGTTGGTCGATTAATATCAACAATTTTTTGTTATTATATTCAGCAATGCAGGCAATAAATTCCAAATTTACTTGATTCAATACCTGAAACAACGAGATCGTACTTTTAACTACTTAGTTGTAATTCTATTTTTTACGTGTATTTGAATGCTTTAAGTAAACTTGTTTTTACCTTGATCTGTTGAAGTATTTTTTTATCCATTGTTATCTCATCCTTCCCACGTTTAACATTACATAGTCTAACGTCATCATCTTGTCTTCGAGGTAAATTAAATTTTAAATTGCAATTCTCACGAAAAGCGCCTGATAGCTTACGTGTTGACAGTTTATTACTATTCTTTGGTAGTAAATTGTTCAATTTTTCTGGTAAAAAACTATAACGCTTCTTGTTAATTGTCTTTAAATTACTATCATTATTTCCTTCAGAAATTTTGTCTAATTCATTTCGTGGTGATTCTAAAATCCAGTCAGACCATTCCCCACTTAAATCAAAATCATGTGGATTTACTTCAATGCAGAGTTTTTCACCATTCACATGATCATTTTCATCATCATCCAACTTATCACAGTTAAGATTATCGTCGTTATTTAATTCACTATACGACTCCAACCCTGTTTGAATGAATGCATATTGTTTCTGATTATCATTGAGATCAGGAGTATTAATTTTATCATTGGAAATATCCGTACTATCACTCTCATGATTAAATCTACTTGAGCTTGTTGTCGGGAATGAATATTTCTTCATATCACAATTAATATTAGTATTATTACTATTAATATAATTAATCATGTTATTATCATCATTATTTAATTCAGTTTGTAGCTCTGTATTCATTGTAGTGAATGAACATTGATTTTTATTATCATTAATGATATTATTATTATCTTTCATCGTATTTTTAGTGTCTTTATTATGATTAAATGCATTGTGTGATCTTAAGCTTGCTATAGTGAATGAACATTGCCTTTCATTATTTTTATTATTATTGTTCCTATTTTTAATTTCGTCGTTAGATTCTTCTCTATTTTTATTAGCTGTCTTCAAAATTGATTTTATTTTTTTATTTAATTGAATTTTTTCACTTCTTTTTACAGTAGGACTTCGATCCTTGTTTCTGAAATTGTTTTAAAAGTTTTTTAAATTTCATCTTATTTAGATAAAAAGTATTTAGAATTTTAAATAATAGTTTTTATTCTAACATTTTACCAGGTGAATGTGTAATGAATTTTCCAAAAGTTGGGTAATAAGTTCGATGAAAATAACTTCTAGATTGTTCGAATTTTTTTGTCTTCTCGCCAGAAAATTTTTTCTTGCCAAATACGTGTTTTTTATTATCATCATTAATAACAATTGAATAAGATACTTGAGGAGCTTTAGAAAATATCCGTTCGATGATACTCTTATATGTGAAAATTTTTATAAATAGTTTTGAATTACGAGTGAAATAAATGATGCAAGTTGTTCCAGAAGTTGGACGGTTTTTTATTTTCTTGATTGATGACGGATAATTAAATTTCAGAATCTAAACAATTTACGAATTATCAAATAATTGAAACAAAAAAATGATAAGGTATCACTAAAAATGAAGTAACTAGACTATTTACTTTACAGTAGGTATTTCCAGAAAGATATTTCGTCATAATCAATAGTGTAGAAGCACAAACACGTAGACCTAACAGAACTTGATGCCAATATTCGTATATATATTCATGTTTTTGGACTGACTCAATAAAATTTCTATGATCCTTATTCACATCAATTTTGTCTCCAATTAGTTGTAACATTTCATTAGGAATACCATTTCCATTGTCGATTATTTGCAGTCTTTTATTTTTGAAGTGGATTCGAATCGCAATTGAAGTTGACTTAGTCATCAATGATAAATTAACCTTGGAATTATTTATAAATAAATATTAAGAAATATAGGAACATACTGATATTTTTGAGTAATAAATAAAAGAAAAAAACATTTACCAAATTTTCTAAATGTTTTGTAAGTTCCATACTTGTTTAAATAAAGATTGTGTATAAGTTAATAAATGATCACTTGAATTCATTTGTTTCGTTTTCGAGTGCTTTTTGAAATGGAGTTTTTTTTAGGTCCATGAAAGGGCATTTATAAACGATGCGACTCCCTCTAGTGTTTTTACATGGATTACAATACATACACATATTACGTCACTATATGTGTATTATGATTGTATAATTGTTACACACTTATGAGGCAATTTTTTAAAAAAAATTACAAATTATGATATAAAATAACGTACTTGTTAATTTAAAGAGCTTTTATAAAATTACATTACATCATTTTCGATAAATCTTTAAATAATACAGTTAGCTTGATATTAGGATCAATTTCCTTCGATTTCAATTGATTTCTATGATCGTTAAGAGGTTTGGGAAGACTCTCAATTCCACAAGGAAACGGTAGTGCAAAGAAATATTTATGTTTTAAAATCTAAAATAAAAAATTAATTTTCGAATAAATTTTGTTTCATATATATAGCAATCAATACTCTAGATATGAATAGCAAACACTATTTACCTCATCAGCAGTCAATCGTACAGATGAGTTGTATAATAAGGTACGTCGAATAATATCCAAGGCTTCAGGACAAGCGTCTGGAATGATTTGCTCCCAAGGCACATTTTTCTGATACGGAAATGTGATTTTATTATAGTCAGGTAACGATTGTAATTCTGGCCATGATTCAGAAGTTGGTGTTCCTAATGCTTTCAATACTATCGCCAGCTGTTCAATATCAGTTTCACCCTGCAATTAATTGATGATTGATTTCTTAAAATTAATTATAAATATTTCTACTTCACTTAGATACAAAATTAATCTTACACTTCTTCCATTAAAAGTAATGGATCAGTATAACTAATGGTTGATTTTAATGACATTTTCACCCGAAATCGAAATTCAACCTTAATTCTTTCATAGCACGTAAAGTGTTTTTATGATGTTCTATTTTATGTCTAACAAATAATGAAGAATATTCAAAAAATATATATTTATATTTTATCAATTTTTAAGGTAGTCTTATCACGTAGAGTCATATTTTTGGGATGTTAAACTAGAATACCACAATGTTTTTTATATTTTCTACATTTTCATATAAATAGTGAATTTTGTAAGCAAAACAATTCGTTATTGAATTTTCCTAAGTACTAAAATGTATAAATTCAAACTAATTATTCAAGGATATTATTTCTTTAAAAATAAATATTTAAATGCTTCGATTTTTACTTAATTTAGACTCCGTTGCTATAAAAACACTTTTTACATGTTAAGCATCAATAAATCTTATGTGTGATGACCGACATTCCTTTAATTGTCAATTATAAATCTATTTCTGGTATATTCTAGAGTTTCTAAAGTTCTTGGCATTGAAGATAAAAATTAAAAAGTCTATATAATAGTTATGATGACCCAGACAATGACCAAAATGAAGGTGATAAAGACTTTTAGATCAATAATGTGAAGTTGAGTTTATGAATTCTAAAAGTTACTTCTCTGCACATACACACACTGTTAATACGTGTCTGAATAATTTAAAAATTTCCTTGGCATGTTTCCATAAGCTTTCAAGTCACAGTTCTACCCTTTTAAATATTATTTACTCGATAATAAAAGTACAGTTAATAATATTGCCAAAAAATTCAATTAAAAAGTATGTATTCCTACACCAATATAAATGTAAAAAAACTCAGTAAAAAAATTAATAATTGATTATTAGATATTTTTTAAAGTTTTCTGGCATAAAAAAAGCCCAATGTAAAAATAATAACCAACTTTATTGATTTTTTACTTCTGTAATTTATCTTATAAAGCCTTACTGGAAATAAAGGAGAATTATTGATCATTTCCCCGAAAATGCATCCCACTGACCACATATCAATAGCTGACGTGTAAATTTTAGCTCCATATAATAATTCAGGAGCTCGATACCACCTTGTGGCAACTTGATGAGAATAAGGCCGTGAACTATCTTCATACATTAATCTTGCTAAACCAAAATCAGCAATTTTTAAAACTCCTTCACTATCAATTAATAGATTTGCTGGTTTGAGATCCTAGTTCATGAAAAAAAAAATATTTTTAATTAATAAGCAATCAGAAAAAATAATATAATAAATAAAGAATAATTGTTTATGTTAGTTACCCTGTGCATCACATTGTTTTTATGCATGAAATAAACTCCTTCAAGAAGCATTTTAAAATAACACTTTATTTGTGCTGCTGTTAACGGTTTGTCATTGTCTTTTAATAGCTCCCATAATCCAGAAGGCATATAATCAAAGACCATTACAAAATCATAACCCCATGGAAACGCATCCAATAATTTAATTATCTGAAAGTCAGGTAAGGTCATCGATGCTGTTTTATGATTGATAATAATTAATTAAATCTTATTTTTTACTTATATCATTATGAGAATATTTTTTTGATAAACCATTGTCTCATAAGTTGATGTTAGAATTTTTTAGTATTAAAACACCCTAGGAAACCATAAAGATTATTGTGACTTGACAGTATTTTTGATTATTTAATACCCTTCAGAATAAATAAAAATTAAGAATGAAATGTATTCCCTCCCAAGTTGTCTAAAATGTCAATAAATATTCTTTTGAATGGCTGATAATGTAAACTACAGGATCATCAACTTCTTTCACTGTTTGTATGAAAAACATCATTTATATTTCAACAAAAGGACAATACAAAGAAGACTAAAATTATAGAACAGAATTTACCCTAATTATTAATTCAAAGATTAAATAAATCAATGTATGTGTGAATTTTGGTTCTCAGTAAATATATGACCTCAATATAAATCAAAACAAACATCAACATCTATTTCTACATAATAAAATTAATTTCTTACATAGGGATGATTTAGTTCTTGTAAAGTTTTGATTTCTCTTATTATTGAAGTTGGTATACCATCATCAATTTTTTTCAACAACACTTTCTTCAAAGCAACATCTCTGTCAGTTTCATTATGTATTGCCTTCAAAACAACACCATGAGCACCTTCTCCAATACGCCCAGTTACCGTGTAAGCGTCCATAATTAAATTTATTACAAAATAAATTTAAACTTTATAAAAAATACTAATATTGACAGTTTCTCGTATATTTATATCAACTACGCAGGTTAATAAATAAAAACATTCTAGGTAAATTATTCTTGTCTACACCTGACGTCAATCAATAAATCAATATTTTATATTCCCACTCTTGATTATTTTGAAATTTAAATTTCCCGCGGTTTAACACATGGTCATAACACTTGCGCAATTGGTATTTATCGGTTATCTCTTTCTATCTCTCTGACTCTTTTCTACTCTCGTACGCCATCATACTGGTGTTTTCCAGTGTTTTTATTGGAATTTTGTGCAAAGTGAAATTAAATTCAATGACAACTAATTCAGAAGGAGTTATTATTATTAGATAAGAATTAGATTGAGGAGTAAATAAAGAAATTTTCTGTGTTCAATATTTAATAATGACTAGTAAAAAAGTACCTACGTTAAGAATTGAAAATGAAATTGACAAATATCGTGGCGAAGGTAACTGGAAAAAGGTTATAGAATTGGCTGAACACCTCAAAGATTTATATCCATCAAATGGTAGGTGTTGACTGATTATTCAGCAATATATTTATGAAATCTTTTATGATTTATTAGAAAAAAATCAATTTAATACATTAATTTTGTTATTTAACCCAAAGTAACTGATGTCATTTCATTTGGTTAACCTAGAATGTCTCGCAAATTTCTTGAGTGGAGAAGGAAAGTTGGAAAGTTTTTTGGAAGAAACACCTCCAATTGATGCTAACATATCTAAAGCCAAAAATGGTCTGGTGGAAGCAAAAAGAAACTTAATTTTGGCTGCTAGTGAGAAAGACAAACAGGTACAAAATGATTAATAATCAAAAACGTGATTAGATAGCAATAATTAATTAATACATTTACATCAGTCATATTGAGATAAAATTATTATTTGTTTTTTAAGTATTAGTAATATATATTTCATCATAACATATTTAATCAGTATTATGAGGAATTCTTAAAAAAAGAATGACATAATTATTACTCAGAATACATCAATTTTAATGTTGTTTCTTCCTAAACATAAAAGGTGTTGATAATGAATCAGTTCTTCTTAATGTATTCTATTGAAAAATCTAAGGTGGTTGTTTATGAAGAAGGGTTATTTCTTCTAAATAAACCAAGAAAAAAAGTCATCTGTAAAAATGTAAAATTTCATAATAACTGTTCGTGAGAGAAATATTGATCATAGCGATAATTATTTTTTTAAAGCAGTGTTTTTTTTTCTCTATTCGACTGTAACGGAATATGTACATAATGAGTATATAGCCAGAAGCGTTATTCATGAAACGAGATTGAATATTAAACCACTTTATTTATTTGCAGGCTGTAGTTGTTCTAGACGCTCATTTATTACTTGGTAAATTGCACTATGCAATGGGACTTTATGATGAGTCTTTACAACATTATCAACAAGCTGAATTACATACATTAACTGAGAAGCCACTACCTCCACGAAGTTTACGAATTATTGCTGAATCATATACAATTAAAGGCTTATGTTTAGAGAAACAGTTACCTTCGTTGAAATCCAAATATAAAATAGCCGAATGGCACGAACAAATAATCAAATGTTTCGAGACTGCAGGTGATTTAACTTTAGTTTACTTACAAGAATTAGATAAAACTCATCAGCAACATCATCAAAATGGTGGTTATTCTCCACAACCATCAATTAATGTTGCTAAAAATATCGGTCCTATTTTGGAAACTGCGTTATTACGTGGTCCATTGTTGCTATTACAATCTGGTAATATTGAAGGATCTGTAAATAGATATAGAGCTATTTTATCAGCTGTGGAAACGACTGCTACGCAAAGCTTACGGTTAACATTGACCCGACAATTAGCAGAAATTTTATCACGACGTATCACTAGTTCTTGTTATAAATCACCGGCAGTGATGGATATACCAACAACAAGTACCTTGACACGTAAAATAAATAGCTTTCCGGTAAATGGTGTATCTGAGTCGCCATGGAAGCCAAAAAAATATTTTGGTCCAAATATATTTGTACCGAAGAATGAAAATGAAGAAATAATTTTATTGTTATTGATTAGTGAAGCAATGGCAGTACGTGATGCAGTCTTAAGTCAATCCCCAGAGTTTAAAGAGGCCAAATTACGCGCTTATGAAAATGCTACGGCAGTTTATGATTTATTGACTGTAATTACTGTGAGATGGAGTCAAGTTGAATTGTTACATGAATCATTTGAACGTGCTATGAAATTTTCACATGAAGAAAATCACGTTTGGACGCAGTATGCGTTATGTTTGATACAATTAGGACATTATACCCATGCTTATTCAGTATTGGAAATTGTTACAAGACTGTCAGCAATTAAAGTCATGCCATGTTTATTAGCTGCAAGACTTTGTTATGAGCATTTAGATAAAGTTAAAGAAGGAATTGAATGGAGCCAGAAGGCACTGCAAAGGGAAATGAACAATCCACAAGGATTGATGTCGAGATGTCATCTTTACATTGGCATCGGAAATAGCATCATGGCAGGGAATACTTTTGTTAGACAGGACAAAATGCAGTATACTACATCGGCTCTAGAGTCATTTCACAAGTTCGTATTGATTATCTTATCGATTTTTTAATGCATGATAAAATAATTTTCTATCAACAATTTTATTGTAAATTTTTTAATTTATTTTATTCTCTTTTTCAAAATAATTAATGTTATTCTATTTATGAGGTCCTCTTTTTTTTTTTAAGAATCATTTTGATTTTATTGATGATAAAACCTTTCATTTACAGTCACTATTAAAGTTAATATGTCGTTAATTGTACATAAACTTTCAAATGAATTAGATAATAAAATTACACCATTTAGAAATTAACGCTTTTTTTTACAGAGCTCAACAGTGTGATCCAAATGATCACTTAGCAGAGTATTATTTAGCACATGAATACGCAAGTAACCGTCAATTAAATGATGCCATGACTCACGTTAAAATATCTCTAAATTTACGTGCTGAACACATTCCCTCATTACATTTACTCGCATTATTATTATCAGCTCATAAACAGTATAATGATGCATTGCATTTGGTTAATTCAATACTTGGTGAATATCCAGATAATTTGAATTTTCTTCATATAAAAGTTCATTTACAATTACATGTTGTTGGTGCTGAAGATTCAGTCTTAACTATTAAGAAAATGATGAAAATCTGGCGTGATTTGTATGAAAATCAAATAAATGTTGATTGCAATGAACAACAGAGTGAAAGACGTAGCGAAACACGAAGTGTTTTTCAACTTTATACTTCGGAAATGTCTGATAAAGATTCAAGTTCACTACATGCTCAATCTCTAGCTGCTTCAAGAATTGAAAATGCTTTGTCTGAAGTCGCATCCTCTATTAGTTCATTTACACCTAAACCTGGACCACAACGAGCTTGGGTACTCCAATTGGAGATTTGGTTGCTGCTAACAGAAGTGTTTTTGATGCTGGATAAACCAGATGCTGCTGCATTATCATTACAAGAGGCTACAAATATTTTTCCTATGAGTCATCATATTATGTATACGGTAAGATACTTTTCGTACATTTTTTTAATTTTTAATTTTTGATGGAAGTCTATTTTAAAGTACGTTATTTTGAGACGTAAAAAGGTTTTTATAATCCACATGAGTGTATAAGAAAGTTAAACTTAATTGAATAATTTTCCATTAAAGTAATTAAAATATGTAATGCTTACTTTAGTACTTTTTGTGCTTTCATTTTTACTGATAAAGTGTAAATAAAAGGGTTATGAAAATAATGGTACCATGTAAAAAAAAATATTATCTCGTATCTAAGGTAGATTTTAGCTAGCTCATGACCCAGAGAATAAAGTACTTTATGTGTACATTTAGCTGTGCCTTATTTTTAATACATAATTAACTAACTGTGGTACCTGGTTGTAGTCAGAAGTTATTTATATCTTCGTGACATTCTCTACTCTAGTAAAAATTTCTAGTCTTGAAATTTTCTAAGAAGACTAGTCTAGAGTTATCTATTATAAAACATTTCACATAAAAAATTACTAGAGCTTTTGGTAATTTTATTAACCAACTATTGAAGTGTGCTAACTGAAACAAAGCTTATCAATCTTGTAAACTGTATTTCAGAAAGGACTCTTACATGAATACAAATCGGAATATAATGAAGCCAAACAATGTTATCAAAATGCCGTTGCAGTCAATCCTTACCACATAAAAAGTCTTCAACATTTGGTAATAATAAGAAATATAACTTATAATTGATTTTGATACGTTATTGTTATTTACTCTATCGTTAACAATTTAATTACAAAGATAATTCAACTTTTGTCTATTTTTAGGGACTAATCTATCATTATCTTGGATGTCAAAGACTAGCAGAAAAAACATTACGTGATGCAGCTAAAATAGACCCCAATTCTCATCAAACTTGGTACAACTTGGGGAAAGTATTAGAGTCTTTAGGGGAAATGGAAACTGCTAACGATTGTATGGCTACTGCATTGGAAGTTGAAAATTCGAATCCAATACTACCAATATCATCTATTCCAGTAACGTTTGAATGAAAAAAAAATTTTTTTTTTCTCAATAATTGGTTGTAAACAGATTTTTTTACTTTGATTTCGTATATATTTTTAATTGAAGCAAAGGTTTTTTTTATTGATTATTTAAGAACATTTGCTCTTACGCCGGCGTAAGAGTGAACTTGACAAGCTGCATGATGCGAAGCATTTCTAAGAGAAATTTTCAAAGTGGTGGAAGAATAATAATTAATTATAAATAAACACAAGTAGTACCTGCTTTATAAAATATGCAGTATTTAACTTATGTTATATATATTGAAATAAATTAAACAAATAACACCTGGGTTAATCATGTACATGTATACATATTAGTTAGCTGGCTAATCAATTATTATTCATTAAGTATTATAAAAAATGTTGATAATATTAAAAAAATATTTATGTATCTATGTACAAATGATTATATTGATTATTTAGTGGTGTATGTATGTAAAAATGGAAAGATTTTAAATAAAGTTATTGATTGAACAAAAAGAAAAATTGAAAGTTGTCTATGATCAATAAGTATTTATAGCATATATTAAAGATTATGAAAATCTAAATATATTGAAGTACAATAGTTTTGATTTATTACATAGCTTAAGTGTCACGTAAATCAGAACAAAAATATGCTTTTCTTTCTTATTTTTCGTCTCATTTTTTACTTCTTTTTTTCCCTGACATTTACGTCAATTTCAATTGTTTGATCGTTACGCGTTATTCTCTGTACATATAAATGTAATAAAGCGAGTTACTTTATCTAGGAGATTATTTGAAACGAATAAAAATGATTATATCATTTTATTTCAAATATGTATATATATTTTTTTTTTCAAGAATATTTTTAAAATTTTCACTTTCTCTTAAAATACAACAATTTAATTAATTTTAATGCAAGATGAAATGGTGTAGGTAAGAAAAAAAAAAAAGAAAAATAAAACAAAGAGAGGAAAAATTAATGAAAAATGTACACGCATAGTCATAGGCCTCTCCTAACTCAATTGAACGTTTAACAGGATTAAATTTTCTCTTCTCCACCCATTTTACATACACTCCTCTCACTCTTTTTCTTTAACAAGATTACAGCTCTATCTCTATCTCACTTTCATAGCGTGTCGCATTGCGCGTACGTTCGCGCACGCTCATTCGTTTTGTCAGTTTACTCAAAGCAATTTTCATTTTTTATTTTTTTTATCTTATCTTTTCATTTCGGTATTTAATCATTTTATATTGCCCTCGAATATATCTAGATAGGTATCAACATGACTTAAATTATTTCAGGTAATGATTTAGAGTCAAATGACGTACTCCTTTTACAGCATTAAGAAATTTAAACTGTAAAATATTGCTCCAAAAATTTGTTATAATAAAAATAACAATAAACATTATGATTTCAAATCTAAAAAAAATATACGATAATAATGAAGGTCTATTATTATTTGTTATTATCGTTGTAATCAATATAATATCTTGGGCATTTATGGTAATTAAGAGATTAAATGATTTGTAAGCTCTCGGAAGCCATCAGCAGGTATACTGCAATGCCTCAGTACTAGGGAGAGAGTTAGCGCAATAGTGTGTCGCAAATAGATTTTGGCGGGGAAATGAAGTAAAGGAGTAAATGTAATTTTGAAAAACATTTGTTCATGGATGACTCATAATGTTTTTTGTTGGATTTAAATTTTATTTTAAAGACGTTATTATGGAAGATATAAGGAAACGCAGCGGCGCGGGAGTAGCTGGCTTTGACCCGGTAGCCAACGGCAGAGTCAGCGCGGCGGCGGCGTCAACGGCGGCCGGCGGCTGACGCATTGCAGGTGCGCGCCGGCCAATCACAAGTGTCCTTAGTATACGCCCGGACCTGTCCTGTAAACAATAACCGCACCCCATAGCTCATTTGAAAAAAAAATTGACTTAAAGAAAAATTCAAGTCGCTAGAGAAATAAAGATATTTTTCTATCCTTGAACAATCTGAAATATTAATATAACAGCGAATCATCAACTTGAATAATTATAAAAAAATCTTTTTCAATAAACCTAATAGCACTAGTTTGATGTCGCGTAGGAAATTGCGCGCGTCGTCATTGAAATCGTTGATTTTACCCCCACTGTGATTCGCCATTTTGATTCTATCTCACTTGTAATGTTATGTCAGTAACTTTAAGGCTGTTATTTGTCTCTTTCTAATTCTCCTATCTCCCCTCAACTGATCTAATCCCGCCACAATTTGCCCTGCCCCTTCTACGGTGGTTTCCCTATTTTCCCCTACAGCGTCGGTTTTGCTCGCTGACGGCGTAGTGATACCACTAGAGCTCGTTCGGTTAACACGGACTCCATTGCTGTTCTGGGTTTTGAGTGCGTTTCACGTCGGCCCGATAGCTTCAATATTACTAGCCTACACAAGGCTTTATATTCACGTTCAAACTTCTAACGGAATTATTTATTAATAAATACTACTTGCAACAAAATCATTAGTTTATAATAACAAAGATTCAGTTAAATTGAGTGTAAATAATATTATCAAAATTTTCATTTTTCAAAATTAACATTTATTTCCGGGATTTTTTTTTGGTTAAAAAAATTCATTCTGTGTGAATTGTGAAGAGGATTACTTTACTTATCTGACTCTTTATCTTCAATTATCTTCGACTTTTTCCAGTCTTGATTATTTTGAGAATATCTATTAAAACAAGCCAACATGGTAAGTCATTATTATCATTATTTTTATTCGTTTATTCTTAGATATTTCATAATACTTGTATTATCAACAATATCATATTTATTTTTTAATATTAACTAATACTATTTTTTTCTATTTTATTATAGTTTGACGCTAAAGAGCACGTGGATATGATATTTTTCACGTCGAGTCTTATCCGCGATACTCACCGGATATGCAATTTTCATATTCTATTCTTAACTATTTCCTGAATTCTCCAATTAAAGAAATTCATATTATACACATTTTATCGATTTCATTCCATTCCATCACCATCTCTACTCATCAGTAAATTCCACAATAACACACTAGGGAAACACCTTAAATCGATAAATATTCATATTTTGTTCAGAAATATTCCAACTGTTAACCCCCAGTAATTTCCGTGCTTTTAGATTTAACATTTTACAACAGTTTTTGTCTCTTATTCAAGCTGATTGTATTACTAATCCAATTCAAAACGTCTCTAGTTACTTTATTTATAACTAGTTATGCATCTCAGTGTGTTTTATATCAAGAAAATGTTGGAAACTTGATAGAATTTTTTGTCAGTCAATCAATGGCCGACACCATTACAAAGTTACATACAATACCGGCTCTTTCGTCGTTACATTCAAATACTACTAATTATGGCGTCTGTTTAATCCTGTTTCTACGTATTGAAATACGTGTTTTTCATTATTTACATCTATTTTTTTTTTTCTAATATCACTAACCTAGTATATAATTTATTGATTAATAATTATCACATACAGAAGGAAGCTTCGAACGTTATTATTCTATCGGCATCGTTCAAAGGAAATTAAATTGTTTTATCATTTAAATAAACCTGGTGTAAAGTGACATGTTCATGCATGGAACAACTTTATTTTCAAATGAATTAAATCAAGCTAAGGGCAACACTAATGGTTTTATTGTTTAAAATCACGCGATAATGAAGATAAAAGTAGTCTATTATAACATGTCAGTTGATGTATGTCAATCGATTAATGTCCTGTTAAACTGCCCACGAGAATTCGTATGTTTTGTAAACTCTAGTATAACGTAACAGCCGTCGAGGTTGGGGTGGTTAAAGAGAAAGAGGGAAGAAGGGATAGTAGCGCGTTGCGGCATTCGCCAATCAGCCATTGTGCTATATACCAAGCTATTGATTTTCGCAGCCACTGCTCTGTGCAGCCCCTGCTTCTCTTTCTTCCTCCCCTGTTTCCTTTTACCCTCGCGTTCCCAGACGACCCCTTACTTGCCGTAGCTACCCTCCCATATTTCCCTTCCACCCTAAAAATATTTTTTTTCCACGTCGTTTACAATATTCCCTCGACATTTTTTCTTTTTTTTTAATTATCAGGTCACTGATTATTTCTTACGCTTTTGGTGATTTTTGTTACTAGGTCACTTATAATTTTTCTTTATTCCTTACATATTGTTAGTAGGTCACTATACATGACTTTATCGTCGTAATAAATTATTTTTATAACGATAAAGATATTTAATTTTTTCGTGACATGTTTTTTTTAATTTATGATAATTTAATTAATTTTTTTACTGGAAAGATTCATCTACTTCTTGGTATTGTACTGAGTTATTTATAGGTGGTGAAATATTTTTTTTTATATCATTAGTTATCTTGTCTATTTGGAACTTCTGATCATTTAACGTTTTCTGGGTGTATAGAGACACTGGAAAATTGATCCAGTTACTTTGGGTCGAGGTCACTCGATTCCCGGATATCCGGGTTAAGATGCAAAAACCCTTACGTTTTCCCTTGATATTTTTATTCCAAGATTCGTTTTATTAATCTTATTTTTATTGCTCTTTTATAGGCTGATCAACTTACAGAAGAACAAATTGCTGAATTCAAAGAGGCATTCTCGCTGTTTGATAAGGATGGTGATGGTACTATTACAACAAAAGAATTAGGTACTGTAATGCGTTCATTGGGTCAAAATCCAACAGAAGCAGAACTTCAAGATATGATCAATGAAGTGGATGCTGACGGTAAATGATTTTATGTCAAGATTATTATAACAAATTAAATACATATCATATTATAAGCAGTTTTATTTTTAAATTAATTTTACTCTGTAATTAAACATGACTGATTTTTGGATTTGAATTTTAAATGAAAAAGAGGGTATTAAAAAGTGGATAAATTTATTTTTAATTAAAGAAAAAAGTGTGGTGTTGATGATAAAAGACTCATAAATTATATTAATAATTATAATATTATTTAATACTTTGAGTGAGTAAATGAAATAATTAAATTATATAATAATTGATAATTTATGATAAATAGGCAATGGAACGATTGATTTTCCGGAGTTTCTAACGATGATGGCACGTAAGATGAAGGACACTGACAGCGAAGAGGAAATCAGAGAGGCCTTCAGGGTGTTTGATAAGGACGGAAATGGTTTTATATCAGCTGCAGAATTGAGACATGTGATGACAAATCTTGGTGAGAAATTGACTGATGAAGAAGTCGATGAAATGATTCGAGAGGCGGATATTGATGGCGATGGCCAAGTTAATTATGAAGGTAACTTAATTAATATATTTGACCTGGTTAATCGTAATTATTTAGGTTTTAATTTTATGGTAGATATTAATATGGTAAATATAATATTTATTTACAGAATTCGTCACAATGATGACGTCAAAGTGAACGTAACTTACGTGTAAGGATAATTTTCAATTTGGAGTGGTGTTGACGTACTAAGATAAAAAAAAAAATTAAATACGAAAAAAATAATACGAAGTAAAAAATTTCATTAAAGAAAATTTTAAGTGAATAGACAACAGCAACAACAGCCGCCGTACATCTATGATAACAGTAACAACAGCAAAAACAGGATTAACATAATGATAAAATATAATTTTTAAAGAAGTAAATGAATCAACAGCTGATAAGAAAAAAGAAAAAAATGATTTAAAAATTAATGAATAAATAAAGTAAATAAAATAAAGTAAAATTGAAAAAAAATTATTATTAATGATTGATAATTTTAAGTGAAAAACTTGAAATAAAAACATTTCTTGTACCACGATGTTTAAGAAGTACTTGAAAAAGAAAAAATTATAATAATTGAAAGAGCCCTTATTACTTATCAGATAATATATAAATATATATATATATATTGATATATATATGGTAATGGTGATAACTAATTATTATTATTACTATTATTACTATTAATTATTATTATTGATTCTATGGTTATTATTATTATTAATAGGTAAAAATAATTAAATAATTCAATTACCTCTAACAGTTGCTTTTTTTCCGAAAAAAAGGGTAATTAATTATTTGATTAATTTGTTTTTATTCCACTGAAATTTATATCTTTGAAAAAAAGCTATGAAGAGAGAAAAATTTTAACAGGAGTAATGCAATTTTTTTCATCTACTTTTCACCTCTTTTATTGAAGTCAAGTAAAAAAATTCGTTTTCTTCACTTTTCAATCTGTGTTCTATTTAATTAATTTTTATTTTTTAATTTTTTGCTTATTTATTATGGTTTCTAAAAGAATAACTTTTTTTCTCACCATTGAATGAAGTTTGATGCACCTCTCTAAAATTAATTAAATCAATTAATTAAGTAAGTTATTGATAGTAATATTATTATGAATAAAATAATATGAATAATTATATAATGATAAATTTATTGACAGAAAAATTAAAAGAAATGAATAAAGTTCGTTGGGTAAAAGAGTAATAAAAACAAGAGGAGTTTTAAATTAAACTATACACTAATGTTAGTTAGTTTTTTGAATGCCATTGATATTAAATAATTTATTAAATATCAAATTTTATCAATCGGCTATGATGGTACATCAAATTTTGTTCCTCTTTTTTTCGCTTCTCTTTTGCCATTAATAAAACCAACTTCTTATTTTTTATTCAAATTAAAAAAATTACCATTATTTATTAATTATAAATTAAATGAATTTTATTGTTGAATTAAAAAAACAGTATGAGCACTAATGCTCTTTTTTATCAATGACTTAATCTATTAATTAAATATAATCCTTTTTACATTCCCCTCTTTTGCTCCTTGTTGAAAAACCAATAGAAAGTCGAAAAATTTACTCCTTCAAAACCCTTCGATGTTTCATAACTTCGATGACTTTTCACTAAAAATAATTTTAAAAAATAAAAAAGCAAAAGCGAGAGAGTGAGCGAGCGAACGAGCAAGCGAGAAAGAGACGTGCGAGCGAAAAAAAAAATATAAAAATACAATATTTCAATTGTATTCAAAATAGATTAAGAATAACGAATTGAAAGCAAAAAAAAAAATGATAAACGTCGACACCACTTAATTAAAATAAACAAAGTAAAAATCTTAATTATAATTAAATTTTCAAATCAATTAGACAACAAAAAATTTAAATTTATTGGACTAAAACAATTTTAGTGCGTGTGTGTCAATAAAATTTCATGTGAGATATAAAAAAAAAATTAATTCAATTATAAAATTAGCAAAAAAAAAAGAAACTGAACATGAAAATTATCAAGCATCTTGGTGATTTCAGTCATAAAAACTCATAATAATATATATGTAATATATATTATAAATAATTAAAGAGAGAAGAAAAGAAGAATAAATAAAATCTTGACATTCTCTATTATTTAATATTGAAAAAGAATTTTAAAAAAGTAAATAAAAATAAATAAATATATGAAAATTAATCCGTTCATTAATATTAATTTGTTTCACCTACAATATTATTAAATAAAAGTAAGAAAAAATGTGATACATATTATCTCTTTTCCGTTTTTTCTTCAATTTAATCAATCAATGCTAATATTACAATTTTCCAATGATAGCCTCAACTTTTGCTCTATACTTAATTTATCTTCAACTGATGGCAAGTTGCTTAATTTTAAGTTTTTAAGATTTCTGTAAATATATATAGTATTATCAAACTAAATAATTTCGTTAATTTTAATTATTTAACAACAAATAACACTCAAATAATTTTACTTACAAAAGTCTTCTTAAATTTATAAGTCCTTCATCAGTGACTCGAGGACAATTAATTATTTCTAAATACTTCAGTGAATTTTTTAATAGATCTAGATTACTTAATGCTCCATTACCAATATATTTACAATTCACCAGTTTTACTTCCTCAATATGTTTACAGTCAGCTGAAATAATTAATTAATATTTAGATCTAAAATTACTTGCTTACAATTATCAGACAATTTACAGAATAAAATAGAAGGAGTAATTTACTAAAGTATGGAAAGCCTTCCTGACTAATCGATGAATCAGTGGCATCGACTCCAGAAATAAAATGCTTTGAATCAACTTCTGACAATGGTGATGATGTTGATGACGGCGCATTGAATAATGCATTATAATTATTAACATAATCACTGGATCCCAACCATCTTACAGCAGCTCCATTTCTCATAAGCCATTCGGCACATGCTAAATCCGGTCCCCATTTTGCTATTCTTTCTTTATTTACCCTGATCAATGGAAGTCAAGAGTATGAATAACAGGATTCAAAATTCTGATTTAGATAAGCTTTGTTTATAAACTTATTATTACTGATTGAATACAGGAGTTAGCCATCTGAATAGTGTTTCAAAATTACGTTTTGATATAACATGAATTGGTCTCATCGAGTTCAATATTAACGAATGCATTTTTTTTTGACAAAAATGTTTATTCTTCAGAAATCAAAGTCGTTTAATGGATTGAAAACAGAGCTTAGCCGGAACAAGTGTGATATACAAATAAACAATACAGAGCCATCTTGGAAAGCATCATTTTTAAGAATTAAAAGGCACCTGTTTGTATGGATACAATACTGAGCAATAAGACATTGGAGCAGGCAGAGGATGGCACAGTACTGCTAAACGTCTGCGCAGATGATCTGAATCAGATTTAAAATTTCATGTTGCAATATAAATACTACAATATATAAAATTAGAATGATTTTATCATGCAAAAGATAACAAAAAAATTTCAAATAGTTTATAGTGATTACATAGTTTTTAATTTGCATCTGCTCCAAACATTTTTGGAGTAAAATCGAAAGGCATGTCTATTATTATTCCGATTTGTTTTTTGTAGTATATAAATAATAATAATAATTTTATTGTAAAGAATCACAGTTAATTAAATTGCTAATTCTACATTGATAAAGTGTACTATCGTCTAATAAACCAGACGTTATTTCACCTGATTCAATATCTCTCTCTTCAATGCTGTATCTGAACTAATTTATACCTTCAGAAAATTTTTGGCTTTAATCAATATCACATATGTTTAATATAACTTACAGTAGTAATTTCTAAACTAATAAATAAACAATCGTTGATAAATGAAAAAAAAAACACTGGATAGAAATAAAACAAATGACTTTGAAGATGATCATCATTTTTGATAGTATTTGGTACATTTTGTTTTTGTCAATTCTGATAAAAATTGATAATTAAGTCATTTTTTAACAGTATAATTAATGATATAAGGCTTTTACATTATTATTATTATTAGAAATGGACAAATAATTTAATTGAAAGTTTTATAAACATTATAATAATTCATATTATTTGAATCTGTCATAAAAATGGAAATAGATTGTTCAAATAAAATGACCAGAGATTAAGATGGACTAATAATTCTTTCCCGGAAAAATATCTCCAAGCTTCCTTCTAATGCAGTATATGAAGAAAAATTTTATGAAGAAACTTTTATCATAAAAAAATATTTTACTCTCTTAATCACTCTATTTTTATCGCATAAATGACTAATTCCTTTATTAATAAAAAAAAAAGTTCTAAAAGTTATCTGTTATAGTATAATAAATACTGCCTTAACATAGTTTCGATGAATTATTAAACATCTTTTAAATTATTAAGTTAGGGGGAAAAAAAATTTTCTCCGTGTAATATTATTTATAATTTTTCTGTACAATTATAATTCATGAAGGTGTATCACATTAGATGTTAATGCATAAGATTATGTAGTTTACCATGTTATAATCAAAAGGATTAGAAATCACAGGACTGTTTGCAAATCTTATAATCCGTGCATACACGGATTACATATATAATTCACTAGTTTACATTGTCATAATTTTATCACATTATTACACATTCAATTCTATATTTATATTTATTAAAACCAAACTTGTATTTCCATCAATCTTTGATATAATTGCAATAATTATTCAAAGTTTTAGTAGCTATTGTCAATTTTTTTTTATTACTATTCTGGTCACAATAGGATCAACTCTGTGAATAATCATCTTCTGACCTCCAATAGATTACTCCAAAATTACTCGAAAACATTTTTCCAAGTCCAATCAATAATTCTAGGCAGAAACAAACAGTCACATAGATTAATTCGAAAGCTAAAACTTTGAATGCAACTGTCAATGCATTTTAATCGATAGGTCGAATATGATACGATAATCCTTCTGACCTGATTCTTTGATAGATAGTTTTTTACACTGTTAATTGTTAGTTTAAATATTAAAAATACCAGAGTGTTCTGTCCATATTAAAATATTATTTACTCTTATTTGAATGGCCAATTTTTCTAGATTAAATAAGGATAATATTTTACTGTGCTGATGGGATTTTCAGATAAATATAAATCCCAATTGATGGCAGCATTTGTCAGGATCTTAAAATCATCAATACCAGTTTTGGAATATCTTCAAACATATCTACGTATGATGATCTAGCTTTCATATGTGTATTAAACGTCTCTAAAACTCATTTCTTCATTCAGCTATACCTTTTTGTCCTTTGAAAAAAATCAATAGTCAGAAATATCCAAATTAGAAAATTACTGAAACATTTAACCTCTTATTCACCTGAAAATCAATCACTTCAGTTAAAATATGTATATTTTGTCGAATAACATTTTTTTGTATATCATAAAATATATCTTTTTCCTTGAAAACCACAAATTTGATAAAAAATATTAATAGAATAGACATTGTACATACGTTTCATAGGAAAAAAAGAATGTTTTGATCAATAAATGATAATTTGTTCATAAAAGAGGAAATTTTTAATATGCATAGTACATACAAACAAAACATATAATTATTATCTGTGTTTATTTAGTATCACTGTACATCCTAGTTCATTGAAATCCACTAGTGTATTGATAAGCAATTCTGCTGATCCATGCCATATATCGTCCAAATGATTTTGTCGATTTGTATTGTTAGCTCACAGGTATATCAATGAGACCTTGACTGTTGTTTTAAAAATTTTTTCAAATTATGCTTTATGATTATTTTTTTCGGTAATTTAATATCTTCATCCTCAAATGAGAAATTATTGATTATTCTTGGTTATTCACCAATTAGAATGCAAAACATTGCATGTATTTTCTGCATTAAAAATAAGAAATAAACAATTATTAGAACTTTATTTTTGAATTTAATATATAAAGAAAAATAAAATTTACTATCATCTTCTAAAATCAATAATTAAACGAAAACACAGCAGAATAATATTTGGAGTGAACCCTTTATAGCTCACAAATCAAATTCGGCTTATTTACATTTATATTCTGTGTTGTTTTAATAAATATTTTTTCAACTTAAAATTGAAAATATGATGGGGATTAATGCTGATGACAAACCTTTTTTGTCTGTTCTACATAGTCATAAAGTGAATCATTCAATAAACAGTAATAGTTGACGATACTTTATGTTTTTTTAGTTGCTCCAATTCTAAAAATCAATTATTCAGTCAATAATAATTATTTTAAAATAGTTAAAATGGAAATAAGTTGATGTCCACTTAATTAAAAGTCATTATTAATGGACAAACGATTAAGTTATTCTTACGTTGATAAGATAAGTTATAAAAAATTCAATCACGGGTTTGTTCACTTTGATAGATTTCATTTGAATCCATGACTGAAGCTCATCCTTTGAATATGGATTGTATGTATAAAATATTGATTTATCTTCAGAGTTGAAACAGATGAAAAAACTGTTTATTATTTCAATCTCCATATTGTTTCTAAATAAGTAACTAATTCCCAAAAACTATTTTAATCTGAGATTCAACGTAAAAAAAATTCATTTTAAGAGAAAAAATATACTTGAAAAAATAGGTAAACCATTATGAATTTTCATAAGAGTAATAAATCATTTTTTTTGTATTAGACTTGATGTAGTTATAAATTGGATATTTATTGACAGTCGTTGCACAATAATCGGTAATTTTTTCAAATATCATCGCAGTTTATATATTATTGAAGAGATAATATATAATATTTGTTCTTCTAGAATAGATCTTCCAAGTTTAAATGTTGTTATTTATTATTTTCGATCAATAACAGGTTCAATTGTTTCGCCTCCACGAATTTGTCCCCATCCAATTAAACGCCAATGCTTTTCAACACGTCGAGATAATGCTATTTTCTCATCGATTTCAGTACACACAGGATTCGTCAAACTTATCTTAGCTAAATCAGCTTTAGTAGCTAATACTCGACCACCAGTACTCAGTGATCCAATATTTACCAATAGCACTTCATTTTTTGATAATTTTGGAACCTATAAAAAATAATAAACAATTTAGCATGCTTCAAAGATATAAAGAATTATTAATAACATGAATTGGAAAAAAGAAAAAATCATTACTTTTGCTCCTTTTTTATCACCCTCAGTTCTTACTCCTAGTAATCGCTTTAATAGATAGTATGATATTTCAAGCTCGGTAAATATTTTAGGTAGTGCACCGACGGCACCAAGTATCTGACCTACTAAACGGTCTGCACGACAAAGTGTTGGTTCAATTTTCGTTCCGACTCCTGAAAAATTTATTTCCATTTCAAGTATAATCATTTTAAAATATTACCATAACTTTTTTTTTTAATCAACCATTTAATCCAAAACTCTGCTTACCAATAAGTCCACCAGGAACTGCAAATTGTAACTCATTTTGCTCAGCAAAAAGTGATACAATTCGTGAAAATATCGGTCGACATGTTAATTTCCCTTCACTGTCCTTCGATACTAATCCAGGCCGTACTTCAATCTCCATTCCGACCTAATTAATTAATTAATTAAAGGAAATATGAAATTGATCAAGTTTATTAACAGTAGGTTTATATAAGAGAAAGAAAAATTATAATAATAAACTAATAATCACTTAATACAATACAATTAGCAACAGATATTAAAAAATACTGTAATTCATCAATTTAAATATTTTTTTACGTTTAAATATTCTATAAATTATAAACTCCCAAAAGTATTTTGTAAGACATAAAGTAAACATTTCATTCATCTTTAATCAGTAATCATACCTTATCAATTTCTAATTCAAGTACATTTTACTAGCATTTTTTTCCTCTTTAATAAAATTTATATATATCTAAATAAATCATTATACTTTACCTTCAGAACACCTTTTAGGATGCTACCACCAGCTACACCCCCTTTTAAATCATCAACTTCACATCCTGGTTTATTCACATCAAATGAACGAATAACAATCAACCGTGGCTCTGAAGTTAAATCTCGAATAGGTACAGGTATTTTTTTAACAATGTACTCGCATAAAACTTCAATATTGTATTTCAGTTGAGCTGATATCGGTATCACTGGTGCACCCTCAGCAACAGTACCTTTAAAGAACAATAAAACATTCTAATTTTGTTTCTTCAATAGGATAGAGTTTTCAATAGGGTTGAATTTAACAAGTGAAAAAAATACATCACCTTGAACAAATTTCAGAATTTGTTCATATTGTTCTTTAGCTTGGCCTTCTTTAACCAAGTCAATTTTATTCTGTAAAATTACAATATGTTTCAATTTCATGATTTCAATAGCAGCTAAATGTTCTGATGTTTGTGGTTGAGGACAGGATTCATTACCCGCTGTAATAAAATTTTTCGATTAAAATCTATTAATATTAAAATAAATACTCTATTTATAGTAAATTCAGGCTTTATGAACAGAAATAATATAACTTTTGTATAAGAAAAATCGTCAAATTAAAAAAAATGTTAAAGGAGTCAATATTATATTATTTAAATTCCTAATGCCTGAATTTAGATTTTAAAAGATACAAAATATTACCAATTAATAACAAAGCAGCATCCATGACAGCAGCACCGTTAAGCATAGTTGCCATCAAAATATCGTGACCCGGACAATCAACAAATGAAACATGTCGCACTAATTGAAAACGCCCTGAGCATGCAGGACGTAAACAAGGAAATGAATCGTCCTTACTTGAACCTCCGGAAATGTAACAAGTTGGTCGAGGACATTTTTCATTGTCACATTTATAAATTTTTGCATTAGCATATCCTAAAATAGAAAAAAAAATTCACCGATGATTAACAAAATAGTTGAAAAGAAAACAAAATAGTTATTAAAATTTATATACTTTTTTAATTTTCATTAATATATACATAAGATAGTTTAAAAAGAGAATACATAAAGTGATTTTAAACATATTGTTCAGTATTTTTTCGAGTATAATAATAATTATTATTAAACCTATTGTATTATTTATAAATTTATACATCAATAATAGCTGTAACTTCTGATAAAAAATAACTTAAGCTAGTTTGGCAGTTATACATTTTATTCCCAATAAACATTGTTAAGTATTTCTGTAATGTTCGAATGACGATAACAGTATCTATATCGAGAATCACAACAATTAAAACAATTCATTAATTATAGAAGTAACTTTAGGCACAACGATCTTTATTTTCTTTAATTCCGATTGATATATTAACAAATATTAACTATGCTGTTTTTTAATTTATTTGTCTCAATTTTTAAACCAACAAATAACCGTAATGAAAAAACAAATACTAGAACAAACTAAAAATTGTAATGGTAATAATAATAATAATAAAAGTTATCTAGTTAACTATGAAACGAAAATAGTTCAAAGTTTAAAAAAGATACTGTCTACAGGCTTTAGCACCACATTTACATCTCATCCGGTTTTTAGTTTTATCAACTTCATCTTCTGGTGGTAATTCTAAACGTTGTCTAGACAAAGATTCATTATGAATTCCACTCGTATCACCATTTAATTTAATGGATATATTCTTTTTATTCTTATCAATTTTGCTTGTAGTTTCTCGCATATAATCGAATGTTATTTCTTCATCAATCGCAATATCTCTCGTAGCAAACAATGCTAATTTCGGTAAATTCGGATCTAAGCAATTAATCCATACTCCATAAACTGCCGCATTAGGATCACAGGAATGATTAATAAAATGTGAAACATTTCCATAAATTGCAGCATCAACAGTGTATGGACATTGATCTTCAACTTCATTGTAGTCAAGATCGAATAAGTATGTTCGTCCAGCGGCATCATATTCTTTTCCACGTTTTTCAGCTTCTTCACTTGTTATCACTTCTCCTACGTATTCCGTGATAAAAGTGCCTTTTTTAATAGGTTTCTTCGATTTCACTCCCCAACCACGACCATTTGAAGTCCGAAAAATGCATAAAGTTAGCGTAGATCCACGTTGGACTACTCGGTTCTTGCAATTTTCTTTACATTTACATCGTTTGTTGCACTCATAAATTGGTGTTCCTGGTGGAACACGTACTTTGCATGAGCTTGTATATGGAAAAACACTGTCATATTGTGCGTAGCAACATTTTGAACTTGCATCGCAAGAAGAACAATCACACCCTATTGGTGGTTCATCAGGTATAATTACTCCAGCACCAGGGAGGTAATCTTCAATATAGAAAAAATCAGTCGGAGCTGACTCTAAGTCAATATCATTTTCTATTTCAATTGACGGTTTCTTTTTTGTTATACTATTGATTTCATGTTCCCATTCATTCAGAGCATCCAACTGATCACGGCGAAAACTACAGAACATCATATTCAATATGGCTTTTTTGATCTTTTTTACTAGTTCAATATATTCCGAATTTTCTGATGGTGATAAAGACTGATGTTCCATGTACAATTTAATGTTCTTCATCAACTCAGAGTCATTAAATTGAACATTATCAATAGATCTCTTCTTTCTGATCAACCGAGCCATATATTGCTCAATGTCTGCAGTAGTTGGATAGAAATTCTCTTTTTGACGAAAATTTTCTAGTAAATCAGTTTGATTGCTTTCGAAATCTGCTATTAATTCGGGACAATTGGTCAAGTTATCTTTAGGCTCCCATGTGTTATGTTCAGATGCCCAATTTTTCCATTTGATGTAGTAATATACAGTACCATTCCTTAATTTTTTATCTAAAATTTTTTCTACTTCGTAAATATCCGTATCTTCGGTTGATAATTTTTTTGATTTTTTCTTCTTTTTACTACTATTTTGTTTACTTTCTTTCTTTTCATTAGAATTTGGTAAATCTTTAACATCAATTGCTTCGGGTTCATCATTAATTTCATCTTTGATTGTCATTACTTCTGTGGCTGTGGGTGTGGCTATTGTTAGTTTAGAAGTATCATCAAGAGATTTTTTTTTCCTTGCTTCTTTTCGTGAACGTTTCGATGGTGGTGGAGATAAACTTGTTGCTCTTGACCGTTTTTCACATAATGGCGGCATATCACAAGTATCATCATGTCCAGGCACATCTGCTAATTCACCGCTGGGAGTCTCCGCTGCAGGATCTTCTGCAATGCCAAACATTGAAAATTGGCGTCATTTTTTTAATAAATTCCATTTTAAAATTGATTTTTTTAAATAGCGCACACAGCCTTTGTCATCTTTATTTATTTATATTATTGGTATTCTCACTTTCTGTTTGCTTTTTCCTGTTCCTCTTGCATCATTATCTTCATTACTGGATTTAATTTAATGTTTGTACGTACAGGAGTATAGAATTTCAATATTTTATATTCCTTTTTTGAAACATCTTTGATCTTATTTTTAAGTTTAGTTTAGTTCATCAAATATTGAAAATAACCATTTTGACTATTTTTTTTTAGTTACAATATTTTGTTACAATTATAATGGTGAATAAACCATTCATTTATATGTATATATATCAAAAGTTAATTGTATAAGTTATTACTTATGTTAGAGAATGTAAACTTACCAAGTTTAATTGTAATATTCCTCTCCAACTCATTCTTAAAACGGACAGTTTGCACTCCTGATATAGCTTTAACAATTGTAGACTTTCCGTGAGCGACATGTCCAATAGTTCCTATTTAAACAAAAACGTTAAGCTTTGAATAAAAATAGAGTGTAATATGTTTAAAAATGGCCGAAAAATTATGCAAACATATCTAATGCCCATTGCATCGGAAAAAAATTTAAAACCTTTAAATATTTTTTTCTACAATCATTGTTTTGTTTTTATAAGTAGAAAAATTATTTGTACAAAAAAATTAACAATACAGGTTTTGTTAAATAACCATTAATTTTATAATATTAATTAAAACTAATTTTTATTTATTAAAAATTTACCTATATTAATTGTTGCTTGGCGACTTATTACTTCACGTGAGAGAGCTGTGATTTTTTTCACATCCTGTAAGATAATAATATCATTTTATTAAAAATATCTACAAATCTTACTTCCATATTCAATAAATTACAGTTTTCCCACTTAATTGCTGTAAGAAATAGTGAAAATTACCCATTGCATCAGATATTTTCAGATCATAATTTGAGGTTAGCAAAAAACTGAATTTTGAAGTAAAAAAAAAATACAAAATGAAATAAGAACAAATTTGTTTAAATAGATATAATATTTAATATTAAAGTAATATGAATTCAATTTTATTACATAAAAAAAATTTAATTTACCAGCTTCGACAAATCTTGTTTGTAAAGATTTGGTTGCCCAGTTGTTACTCCGAGACCTTCTTCACCGCCCATTTTAAATTATATAAATTAATAGATTTTATCAAAATGAAGTACTAATGATAATAACTATTTATTAAAATAATTTACACTAAGTTTGATATTAATTATTGGTTAAAATTGATTGTAAAGAATAACTGTGACGCGTGACGCGACCGGCAACAGATTCTCGGCCATATTGGCTTTGTAGAAGCGCTTGTCAACTTCCGGCTTGAACGTTTCATGTTTACGCGGGAAAATACAAAATGTTCAAACATGTATAAATTTATTGAACAAAATATTTAATAAGTTTAATAAATATTCATGAAGAATGATAAACCAAATTTAATTTGGAAAAAGTACAAATGTCATAACTGATATCAGCAGTTTTATTGATTTTTTATTATTGGAACGTTTTACTTTCTTTTTTTTTTTTAACAAAAATACATTTCTTTGATATAATTCCATTTAATTATTCATTTTTTTTAGAACCCCGTGATCTCCACGCTGTCAATAATTTCCATGAAAATAATAGAGAGAACATATGTACTTGAGTTGCGAGTAATATAAAGGCGTACCATAAAAGACCATAAGGTAAATCCTAAAATAAAAATTGTATTCATTATTAAAAATACAGAATTATTTGTTTGGTGATTTAAGCTAATCTATAAATAGTATTATTTAACTCTTTACTCACTTGCCACAATTGTATATCATCAGTTTTACCAATTGTTAAGTACGTCCATACATCAGATAAATAATAGACAATTCCATAAATTAGTGGTCCAAATCCCAATACAACAATTCCAATCATATACCGTTTTAATGATTTTATTTGGTTCTTCTTAATCGCTGACAGTCCAATAAATGATACGAGTAAACTCGAGCACCAAATGTATTCCCACCAGAGTGGCTAAATGTTAAAAATATTGATTGTTTATTTATTTATATTTAATACTTAATTGTAAAGGATTTGAGGGTAATTGAAGGTTGACTGAGTTCATTCAAAATAAAATCAATAGAAATACTCACTTGAGGTATTTGTAATTCTTCAATTTCCAAGATAAAAATATCTAAATGGTCTAAAATATCAGCTGATAATTTCGATAACATAACAAAAAATAAAAGATAATGAAAAAATATACAGTACTTCAGTCTTGATTTGGTTTGCGCGCTATAACACAAAAAAAAATATTATTTATACTTGAAATATTTTTAAGTAAAATATAACAAATCTGTTAATTACCTTATTTGATAGTGTGTTGGTACTTTTTGTCTATGCATATAGTCACTGCCATCAGTGCCTAATGCTTGTGATAATGTTAACCTCGATGCCATTATAAATTACTAAACAAAATAATTGATAACTTGAATTTATTCTTTTCTTACCAGTCAAAAATAAATAATATATAATAGGTAAAAATCTATTTTTAACCACGAGGTCTTATTGTCACTTTTTCAACTGATTTCCACTTGTATTTCATTGAATTAATTTATGATACTATTTTCTTTATACTGGTTGATTATCACTGCATGTCTATCGTTAAAATCTATGATTTTTAGTTTACAGTTCAGTTAAAAGAATCGATAAATCTTGTTCGCTTCAAACAGAATGACAAAGAAAATGGATTCTGCATGTCTTCATTCTCTTCGCATTCACGTGCTGCTTGATTGGTTGAAACGATTTAACCAATCGCATTTGAAATTCCCGCGCCACGTGGAATTTTGTTTGCCACGAGTTCAAATTGATTCATTTGAGAATAATAATAACTAAACAATTTAATTTATTAAAAATTCGTACATTTTAATTTATTAAAAATGTTATTAAGATAAAAAATTACTCTAATGAACAACAAATCTGTATTTTAAATGATAAAAGTAATGAGTTACGTTAATTTTTCATTATGTACTGCTTATCAAAGTGGCAATTGAAATAAATTTTCTCTATAATACTGTAACTCTTTAATACTATCTTCGATATCTTCTACTGCTCGATGTTTGTTTCGTTTTTTGGGAACATTTTCAGCAATATGTGGAGCCCATCTCCTGAAAAAAATTAAAAGAATTGATTATCACTGTCTATTTTTTAAATAAATAATCTAGAAAACAATTGTAAATATATTTTCTTACTTGCAAAGCTCCTTTATGCTTGAAACATCAATAATACGGTAATTTAAATATATATCAACATTGTACATATATTTCCTTAAAAAAATTCTATCCATCCATATAGTATTTCCAGCTAGTGGATTAGCTTTTTCTTCAGTAAATGGTTTTAAAAAATCTAGTAATTTACTTTCAGCTTCTTTAATATTAACATTGCTTTTTTTAACATCGTCTATAAGACCAGTCTGTAAAGAAAATAGTTAGCAAGTTAATTAAAAACTAACACTCAAACGAAAATAAATAAGATTTTTGAATTATACTTCAGCGTGGTTTTTAAGACACCATTCATTCATATTTGCCATAATGTTATCAGGTTGATGAATAATAGTATGGAATGTTGGACTAATTATTTCCAAATCTTGATTTGTCACTAAAGCTGAAATTTCCAAAATTCTATCTTTTTCAATATCTAATCCAGTCATCTAAATTAAAATGTTTAATAAAAATTAAATTTTTATTTTAATTTCAACTTAAATTAAAATACGTTAAAAATTAATATAAAAATAACTTACTTCCATATCTATCCAAACAATGTTATTTTTATTTTCCATTTTAAATTGACTAAATTTCCTTTTTTTATTCAGAAAAGGAATCACATGTGGACCTGCTGAGTTGTATAGGTTATGATTCGTTAATAAGAATTTTCTTATCAGTGACAAACTCGTTTTTGTTAAATTCATACTAAAATGATATGATTGTTCCTAATGACATTCTAAAAATTATTTATACAATTATAAAATAGTGTATTAAAAAAAAGAGTGATAATAATAGAAATCAGTTATATATATATTTTTAATGTGAAAATACTCTAGAGATGGATTAAACTAACCATCAGGTACTAGTAATAATGGAGCAATGCTTGAAAATAAATGATCACACTTTCAGTGATAATCAATACATTTATCAATCATTAATTCAAACTTGTGAACATGATATTACAATAATCACTTAGCTAATTGCTAACGAAAACAAGAGTTTAAATATTGAATATTTGTTAATTATAATATCAATTTATTCAAAGCGTCAAATTTCAATCGATACCTGGAAACCAATTGTTTACTTGGTTTAACAGCAATATGGATTTTTATTGGTTTGATTACTTAAAAGGTTTGATTGGTGGAGAAGGAGGTGGACATGCGTAAACATAAATTTGGAAGCAATTTGAAGTTAGCAGCGTATCAAAATCCCGCGTCGCGAGCCTGTTGCCCAGTTTATTGATCTGACACAATTGAACAACCTGCATTGCTGTCATCTACCAAAACAGTTGTACCACGGACGAGTTTAATGTCGTATCGTGTAGTAGAACTCGGGAAAAAATTCAACTTTTTCATTATTTATTATAAAATAACTATTATTTAACGGGTGTTATTTTAATGGATTTCATTTGTGATGATTTTCTGTCGGGGTGACGTCACAGGTTTTTGATAATGATTTTTTAACAACAAAATGTAGAACGAATTTTTTCGTTCTTTTTATCGATGACATTTATGTTATGTGATTTTTATTATTTCATGTCGTTGACGATAGTGTGACTAATAATGTTGCATTGAGAAAAATAACGTCGATGGATCATTATTGTTTAATTATTAATTATAATAAATATTATTGTCATATAGTCAATAATTCATTATCTAGTCATTCTATACGAGTTAAAATAACTAGTAAATCAAAAAAAGTTATAAATATCTAAATATAAAATAACGGAATGCTTTTTTCTAATGAATATAAACGTATGTCAGTGGTATAGATTTAAATAAAATTCAAACCTCAATGAGATAAAAATCATTGAAGATGAAGAAATTTACAATAAAAGGCGTTTTAGACGGTTTCCGATCGTCAGTTGCTCAACAGGTTAAACCTGATCAGGAAATAATTGAAAATTTGAGAAGTGAACACTTTCAAGTTAAAAAAGTAAGTTTATTTCATTGTTATTGTCTGCATTTGATCGCTTGTTATTAATAAGTACAATCTGTCAGTTTTATCAACACCGCCATTATCATTATCATCATTTTTGTTTTTCTTTTATCTACAGACATTCAGACATGGTTTTCCACATCAACCAACAGCTGTAGCATTTGATCCAATCCAGAAACTTTTAGCTATTGGTACTAAAACAGGATCTTTGAGAATGTATCCTTTTTATAACAAAGTCAATCGATATTAGAAAAAAAAAAAGTAAAAGAATGCAAATATTGAACGAGGTTTAATGGAGTAACCTTTTGAAAATTAATTCCTTGTTATGAGAATTAATTTCCTTGACCTGTACAATCAAACTGACTAAAAATTATAGTCTTGGCCGACCTGGCGTTGATGTTAACATCAAACACGAGGGTGGTGCAGCTGTTATTCAACTAGAATTTCTCATCAATGAAGGTGCCCTGGTTTCTGTTACTGCAGATGATACATTACATCTCTGGAATTTGCGACAAAAAATACCACAAGTTGTACAGAGTCTTAAATTTCAACGTGAAAGGTATTTACTTTCTGTTTAACTAATATCAGCTGTGGAAGAGTCGACTTTCTTTTTTATACCCTAGGATACCCTTTTTACTCTGGGATTTCCCTTCTTTATTTCATTGCTTGCTTTAAGAAATGATGCTATTTGCTGCTGACAAAGTGTTAAAGATTTATGCAAATAGGATAAACATCTATTATAAGACTAACAAAAAATTTTAGTTAAACACAATTTATTAACATTTTTACTAATGCTGTTGTAAGGCTTCACCTCATTATTTTTATTGATGCTTATGTTTTCACTTGTTTTAAATTTAATTATTTTTTATTTTTTAGGTTTTTCATTTTCTAGATATTTATTTTTTGAAATGGAAATATATCAGTTATATTGAATTATTTATTGAGAAATGAGATGAATAGTTAATAATCGATTGTTTAAGTGAATCATAAATATACAAGCAGAAAAGATTATTCATATACCGGAAAGACTAGATGCTAAGCATAAAGATTATTTTTCTGAAAAATTTTCAATAAAGTATGATTTTAGCTTTGGAAGTGATCTTCTTTGAAAAAAAAAGTATCATTAAAAATGGAATCTTTTTTGTTCTAAAAGAGAAAAAAGAAATTGAGAGGAAGCAAATTTTATTCAAAGCCATTCAGCTATTTTGAAATGAAAAGAATTTTTTCTTTCGATAATTTGCTACTAAGCGGAGAAGAATTCATAGAATCGAGATAGTATTATTTATTATTTTTTTTTTAAATTCTACAACGAAACATACCATATATATTTACGATTTCATATTCTACTGTTCTACAAAAACACAGCATGTGCTTTCTTCAAGTGTGTAATTAGTATTCCTAAGATCCTAATGACATTTTAATTAACAAACACAAGTTTTCTTCTTATCATTAATTAACGCCAAGTTCATTATTTATTTTTTTTTTCTTTATTTCCACTCATTTCCGATTTGCTGCAAATAATTCAACATGATTCGACACTTTTTTTTTGATTACAGTTGATAAAATAAAAAATTAATCCAGTTGAGTTAAAAAATTAAAAATAGGGGGTGAAAAAAGCCTAAACTAAAGTACATAAAAATCTAGATTATCACGTAAATGAGTTAATGAATCTAAAATAAAGTTAGCTCAGCAGTTACAGAGCCAAGTCGCCAACCAATAGCCGCAGTAACCACGTTCTAACAATGACCGTGTGCTCTTATCACCCAGGAACATCCGATTTCTCTAGCGTTACATTTCATACACTACAAATTTCCGTTTAACACACTTTAGAAACTAGAATTCACTTTTTTTATCAATAAAAAAATACTTCATCATATATACACATGTTTTTGAAAAAAGCTCTTTTTGCCTATTGTCTTTCATTTTTCAACACTTTTTTACTGTAATTTATCTTTTTTCTGCTCTTTTTTCACTCAATCCTTGTTACTGTCCAAAGGATAACGTCAATCCATCTGCCACTACAAAGCAAGTGGCTATATGTGGGCACAGAAAGAGGAAACATTCATGTACTTCACATCGAGACCTTTGTTTTATCTGGATACGTGATCAACTGGAACAAAGCTATAGAAGTGTAAGTATCATCAATATTTCTCACTCTATTCAAACTGCTAACAGTATACAGTTAGCTAACAGATGCCTTTGAGAGAACTAATTTCTACTGGCACGTGTAACCTTGACCCCTTTTCCCTTACTTATCAATTCATAAAAGCTCAAAAAAATCACCCTAAAACAGGCCTCATTTATATTCATCGTTAAATTATTGTTATTCAAATATATTTTATTAAGTATTCATTGTATTCATCGTTAAGCTACATTTTTCAATATTTCATAAACTTACTTTATCGACAGCTGGCCTTTTTTTCGTTTCAAATCTGACCTATTATTGTTCTGTTCGTTTTATAATTGACTGACTGTTATAATATTATATTATTGAGGCTAGAGTATCATAACGGTTAATAATAAAATTACTATTCTTCGTTCGACGGAGCTATTATATTTATGCTCATTATCTCATTATTATTCAAACATATTTTATAAAATATGTATTATGTATATGTATTGTCCAACTTCAGTGAACTCTAATAGTTTGTAGAAAATTATTTAATCGATCATTCAGCTGCAATTTTTTTAATATTATGAGAAGATACTTTATTGTTGCTGCTATATTATTTATATTAATTATATAAAATAATGTAAATAGAAAAATAGTAAAAAATGTGAGATAGAATAGGTGTAAATAATTATTACATGATAAAGGTAAATTTATAAAAGTTTATTTTCATAGTGTGAGTATTCTATAACTGTTGAGTAAAATTGTTTTATCAATATTTGACTTAAGCATGATAAAAACGTTTGACATTATTTGAAAATTTGCGGAACAATTTTTCTGGTAATAAACTATCTGCTACAAGATTGCACTACACCACAAATAATGATTTAATGTATTATTGATCGTAATAATAGTAAAGACTTGAGTTCTACGACAGTTTTCCGGTCATCAAATACAAGAAAAAAAAAATATATATATATAATATCAGACGCTTAAAAAAAAGTTTAAGTTATATATTTGCTTCGAGGCATCGTAAAATGTGTAATCTACTGGCGTTAGACATTTTTTATCCTACTTTTTCTTATAGTCTACCCCCTCATGACCGAGATCTTGCTACTAAAAGAATGACCTCTATTTTCTTCAGACCAATAATTCCTTTTCCTCCCTTTTTTTTTTATTTTATTTATTTATTTTTTTTTTAAATAAAAATAATTTGTCTCCATAGGCATATTGTTGCAGAGTGTGATGAAAGCTATTTTTGCAACGTTAATTTATGGACGAATGATTTCAGTTGACCCCATGCTGATCTTCACTAATAAAACACTTTGATCAAATTTCCAATTTTACATTTTTAAATTTATTTTTTTTTTTTTCCGGGTAACTATTCATCTTTTATTTATTGAATTATTTACTGAGCTATGTTTATCTAGAGTTTCAAAAGAAAAATGTATCTGAAATTAAAACAACCCAACAAAAAACTCCGAAACATTTATCACGTTTATAATACAATTAAACAATAGAATTGATTAATCATCTACAACAGAAAAGTTCAAAGGGAGAAATATTTCTTATTTTTCCCTATATTTCTTTTGATATTATTTGTCTCTGTCTTTTGGGTGTCTATAAACTAGTATAACATAGTGTCGAGCAATTTTACAGATTGCATGCTACCAATGAGAGTAAAAAAATACAAGACGAAAAACAGTGAAAAAGAGAAAACTTTTTTCTACTATTAGTTAAAAACTTCTTTTGTTATTATTATTAGTAGATAGTAACTTTTTGGTCTTATTCGTTAGACGAAAAATAAAAGATTTTCAGAGACTACAGTAGAAAATAGAGGGAATAGTCAACAGTTACTCTAGGTCATACGCACTACGACGCTAACAAATCAATAAATACCCTACTACGAAAATTTTCTCCCCTAATAACATGCTAATTCGACAGTTTAATGATTAATGTATTGAATAAAAACATGCTTTTTTTTCCTCTTCTTTTCTCGATTAATTTTTTTAAATACTCAATCACGATTTTAGGTCAAGGAAAACTCATCCAGGGGCTGTGATTCATCTGAGTGATAATCCACTGGACTTGAGTAAGGTAAAACAACTGCGACACATTCATTTATTTGATGTTTTTTGTTTTCCTACTATCTCTCTTGCTCTCTTTCTCTATTTTAATTTCAAATTAAATTGAAATAAAGTAATACGATTCATTATTTATATCAATCAGTGAATGTTAAATAAAATATTAAAACTTTTTAACGGCCATTTTCTAGACCATTTGTTGGATTTATGAATTTTTCTTATAAATTTCTCAATTCAAGAATTCAATTTCAAACTTTATAAAGTATTAGAATTTATGAAAATTAAAATTTTAATTTTACAAAATCAGTATGCATCTTAGAATAAATTGAAAAAAAAACTCCATTTTATTTTTAAAAAAAAGGCTAAGTATTTTTGTCAGTTGTCATCAGTTTATTAAAGTGTCTGGATCGATTGGGAGGTCGTAAGATTGTCAAATATTAACGAAGCTTTAAAATAAGTAATTTGCAAAAGTAGAAGTAGTTTTTGACGTGATAAAGCCAATTAAATTCTCATTTTCTAGATAATTGAAGCAACAATGATTTTTAATCTTATTTTATTTTTATTTGTCAGATGCTCATTGGCTATGAATCAGGACAAATTTCCTATTGGGATTTAAAAACCAAATGTGCTGAGTGGAGATGTCAAACAGACGAGCCCTTAAGATCAATTTCTTGGCATCATGAGGGTAAACAATTTATGTGTAGTCACACTGATGGATCACTTTCTACGTGGGTTTTAAAACAACCTAGGCCAGTCAGTGTTACTCATCCACACGGTAAAGATCATTTTTAAATCAATTAGTATTTATAGAATAAAGATATCCAAAAAAAAAGTTACAAAATTTTTATTGAATTAAAAGGATCTAAAAGTTGACTTTTCTATTTTTAACATTTCATTGGTATTCAATACTAATTGACTAGTTTCAAAGTTTTAAAACAAATCAATGAACAAAAAGATACTTTTCTATATTTACATAATTTGAAACATTTTTAGTCTTTTTAATGCTGATTAATAATGGAATGATCACTTAAACTGAAATCAAATCAATTAGCATTTTTTCTTTTCTTTGATGATCATTAAAATTACTTATTCATGAATTCACGTTGATTTGACAGCTAAACTGACAAAAGATGGAGAACCTGAGCCATGCAAATCAATTCAAAAAGTCGAGTGGAAGCTCTCTAGATCAGGGTAAAATGAATAAATGAATTTTTTAGTCTTTTTATATCAACGTCAATATGGATTTAAATTCGGAATATCAATAACTAGAATAACAAGGTATTAAACTCTAATCTTGAATGTTTTAGTGAAGCGTATGTTATATTTTCCGGCGGATTAGCTTATGATACGACCGGAAGAACGCCGAGTATTACCGTGATACAGGGAAAAACTACAACTGTTTTGGAAATGGAACATAACGTCGTTGATTTTATAACATTGTGCGAAAGTCCATACACAAGTGGTAATTAAATCATTTATATATGTATATTATTATCATCGAAAATGCACATTAATTTTATTTTCAAGTGCCTGTAGAATCAATTTAAAAATAATCATAATTTCGTTTGGAGTTATCATCAATTGCTCCAACCGTTTAACCTTTATTACTATTGCTACGTTTAATTAAATAAAAATGTCTACTCGATGAAAATAATCCTTAAAGAGATATTCTTATTAAGTTGATGAAAAAAAAAAGCTTCCAAAGTGCATGTCAGAATATTTATTAGGTAATGTTTCATAATTCTTAATCGGCTACTGAAAAATTCATGAAGAAAAGAGAATATTTATTTCGATTACAAAAGTTTGGAAGATTAATTTAAAAAATTGTCCAAAATTTATTTATAAATAATAATTTACAATATGTAGGGAGTTTGTTAAAATAAAATCTCACCTCTTTTTTCATCACCAATTTAATGAGATTATCTCTTTAAATAATATCAAGACACAACAAGCATCACGGTAGACTTAAATAGTGGCTCTTATAATGATATTTATAGATAAAATTATCTTCATTATTATTTTCTTTTGTCTTTATACCTGAATGAATAATTGATTTTCTTAAATTTTTCAGACTTTCAAGACCCTTACGCAGTCGTTGTGCTGCTACAAAATGACTTGGTGGTAATTGACCTACTAACACCAGGATTCCCATGTTTTGAGAATCCGTATCCTATGGATATTCATGAATCTCCAGTAACTTGTTGCGCTTATTTCGCTGATTGTCCTTCGGATTTAGTACCAGCATTTTATTCTGTCGGATCTAAATCACAGAAAAAGACGGGCTTTAGTGAAAGAGAGTGGCCAATTTGTGGGGGAGAATGGAGTCCCAACTCTAGCAGTTACAGTGAAATCATTCTCACTGGGTATGTTTCATTGCATTCTGTTTTATTGCCAAGTTTTTATTGTTAATAAAAATTTATTAACTTGTTTCCATTTTTGGTCTAGACATGCGGATGGGAGTATAAAGTTCTGGGATGCGTCAGCAGGTTCCCTACAAGTATTATATAAACTTAAAACGGCTAAATTATTTGAGAAAACTAAAACTAAGAGCTTAGATGGTGAAGAGGACCCATTGGCTATACAATTAATTTTTTTATGTCCGGAAAGCCGAAAATTAGCAATCGCTGGTGCTGGACGTCATGTGGTGTTATTTAAATTCAAGAAAGTCGAAAGCATGTCAGAAGTTGTGGTAAAATATCATTTCAAGATTTATTTCCTTTTTTTAAGAAAAAAAAAAAAAAACTTCAAGTGGGAATAAATTACATAAAAAAACTTTTTTTTGCTACTCTTTCAAATAGACGTTAGAAATATCGCTTTCTGGTGATGGTAAGGATGCAGAGGGGTCACCAGATCCTGATTTGGACCCCTGCCAAATCCCCGGGGTGGAAGAATCTCGAGCTGCAGAGGCTGCGATGTCGTTAAAAGTCCGTGGAGGATTGCAAAAACGTGCCGCTGGCTTTCAAGCGACCTTGATCTGTTTAACGACTAATAGTGGAGGGGAACAGACGGAAAATATTACGTCTTTAAGCCTGAATTCATCCTATGGCCTGTAAGTTTCTGTGAAAAAAATTTTTTCATCACAGTTAATCTAACATCATCTGGTAACAATTTAAGAAAGTGTAATTTAATGTTTTTTTCTTGAATTTCAGACTAGCGTATGGCAATGAATCCGGTCTAGTGTTGGTAGACATAGTCCAAAAAGTTAAGCTTTTAGTATTAAGTACTTCAGAAATTGGTAGTACAGGTGATCCATATCAGCGGACATTACGAAGTCCTAAACGTCAAGATGACGCAAAAAAAGAGAATGATGACAAAGCTCGTAGTCCTAGCATCGATCAGGTAAGTTATTCATTGTGTTAAACCTTGTTTATCTTCCAATTGAAAGAAATTTTTTTATCAATTTATTCTCTTAATTTTTACTGTTGAATTAAAAATTTTTTTCTTACCTGCTAGTCCGTGTTTATATTCCTTAAATATTTATTGAAAATGAATTAAACCTAAATACCAACGTATTGAAATTCCTATAAATATTTCTTAGGAACATTTTATTGGAATATTTTTCTTTCTGTAGAATAGAACAAGTAATAACAATTTTCTAGGTTTTTCAAAAATAATTTTAAAAATTTTAATATTTTTCTAATTCGGCTTTAAGTCATTTAAATAGGACACTGCTTTACCTACTAGTCGATAATAAATGTCGGTAACACTATTTATCGACATCACTAAAATGAAAAAAATAACAATACTAATACAAAAAAAAATAATCCAGCGAGTATTATCTTGCAATTTTTTCTTTGGAGTTGCGGTATTCTATCCTTTAAAATATCATCACTAATATAAATTAATAAAATAAATTGCAATTGAATTCGATGAATAGCTAAAAAAAATCCTCTCTTTTGCAATATTAGTGTACGATTTAATCAACGAGTCAATCAATTGATAAACATATCATGTTATTGATAAATATTAGAACTGATTGACTGTCCAATCTTCGAAAGAATAAAAAAACAAACATAAATACGAAACCAAACACATTGCAAATGAACCAGATTCATCGAGAATCAGCAACAGAAACCGAGTCTTTAGTAGCACCAGTAGGAGAAAAGGCTTCTTCTTCCTTCTCCTTGCACCATCCTCAACAGCCGACGCACGTATCCCAACAACCACAATTTCACGAAGATTGTCACAGTGTAAACAGTGACAGCCGAGACAACTCCGAAGATGCGTTGCTCATCAAGGAATCACCAGTTATGACTAAGAAAAGTGGATCAATAAGTGGTGAGGACGAAACAACGCGTAAAAATAATCCATGGAAGTCCTTTAGTCTCAAACGACAACTCAGCAGGGTTGACATAAAAATAAAGAGCACATTCACACCATCATCATCATCGTCTTCTTCATCATCAGCATCTACGCACAATGGGGTACATTTTATGTCTTAAAGTTTGTTTTTTTTTTCTCAATCCAAAAATTCACATTGCTTTTATTAGAAACAACTCACATTTTAAAATAAACCACGCAATTAATAATTTATGCTGTGATAATAACGATAAGCAATTTTATTTAAATTAAATTTAATTATTCATTAATGTTTGTTTTTTCATGCAAATATAATTACGTACGGTAATTATACGCGTTATTCTAATTGGCAAGCAGTTAAGCTTTACGCTAATTGAAAGTATTGTAAAATAATTAAATTGAACTGTTTATATCTATATAGATAGAAAACAAAAGTGTGGAATTTATTGGTTTTTATAATTTAATTTTATTCTAACGATTATTTATTATAATCGATAGAAGTAATACTCGGGTTAAAAAGTGTTGTAATATTCAGAGACAGCCACAGTCGACATTTTACTGCAATCCTATGGATGCTGAATCACCGGAAATAAACGAAGAATCGACACCAACAGCATCTGGAGTGTCAGCAACTGAGACTGGTGGATTTGGTAGTAGAAGTCCTATTGCTGCTAGATCACCACGAAGTGAAAAGAAATATGGAAATTTAGCTGAATCAACTACCTTAATTAGCCCTACTAATAATACTATTGATGATAATGAAGATATTGGTTGTGATGACAATAAAAAAAGTCAATCTGATAATTACTCTAGACCAATCGATTTGCCTTTATATGAAAGTAATGATAAATTAATGGATATGCAGAGGAGATTAGTTAAAGGACGACATATGAAATCAAGACTATTATCAATACCTAATGTGAAGAGTCAAAAAAATTATACTAATGAAGCAAGTATGAAACATGATGACAATACTTCAACTACAAGCAACGAATCATTCGCCGGAAATTTTATGAGGCGTTTCAGTAAGTGTTTAAGAATAATCATAATATAAATTAAAAGTAACAATTTAACGAAAATGGAAGTCAACCAAAAATTGTAGACTAGTCGCAAAGTGTGATGCATTTCATGATAAACCAATTGAATGTTTGTTATAATTCATTTATTAAATAATAGAATAATTTATTTTTTTATAACAAATGTGTGTGCGAGTGGGTGTGAACAACATACTAGAATTATTGGATATTTTTTTCATAGATAACGAATTTAAAAAAAAAAAAAAATCATATTGACAGTATTATGTTGGTAAATTAATCATTATTATTATTAATGATATATGTTTTTGCAATTAATTCTTGATTTGCTAATTTAGCATGCACCAAAGTGACTAATTTTATCAAGATATTTAAACAGTTTTCATTTTACGTGATTTACTATCACTAATGGGAATCTCGAAAGATTAATGACAGAAAAAATCTTAACTTCGGTATAAGAAGAGGATTTTTATTTGATGTAGAGTCTTATATAATAGTCAGTCAATCAGTTCCATTAAAGATGAAGTTATACAGAATTAATTATCAAGTAATAGGTCTGATAATTATTGGAAATAAGCTAAATAAAGCACTATTGCTATATAGTTTAGATATAATGCATTGTGGTAATATAGTTAGAATATAATTAGTTTGTTAGTTATATTTTTTGTTATATGTATTAATATTGGAAGATCTCAATCAACTTGAAGCTAATTTTATTCAGGTAGATGAAAAAAATATCAATGTGTTGATTGAGCATGTTTGGATATCAATTGAATCAACATTCTGTAGATTGTAAATCACTTAAAAGAATGTCATCAAACATAAGTGACATTTTTATTGGGGAATAATCACATAAAAATTCTGTTAGTGGTATTTAATAAATTTATTGATTCACTTGCCATTTTTTGGCCTTTAGAGAATTATTGGAGCAAAACTTTAGTGAAGTTGTTTGTTATGCAAGCCTTTTTCTGCTCCAACTCGGCAAGCAGCGTTACATACATAACTGGAATTTATTATATTGAGAGATGATATGTCGAAGACGATTTAAAAAGGAAAATTATTGACTTTTTGAAAAATAGTTATTGCTAGTAGCTTCCTATATGGAATTTTTTAGCAATTATTTTGGGTTATTTATGATTTGCTGTGAATAATATATACAGGCTATTAATTATTATATATTTTATAACATTTTATCCATAAATATTACTTTTTAAAACATGGAGAAAGTTTTATTTTTAGGATATTTATAATACTTTGTTCAATTTCTAATTTTGGAAATGAAAAAATTGAAAATATTGATTTTAAATTTAATTTTAAAAAATTTATATCATATAGATTGTCTATTCGAATTTTTTTATTGTTTATGATTCTTTATAAATAATTAATACCCTTTAAGTATCAATTGTACCAAGTCATGAGGCTTTGTATTTGAGCTTTAAAGCTTAAATTAGATAACTTTATTGAAGAAATTCATATTTCAATTTAAAAATGATCCATAACATGTTACCTTTTATTCATTAACCATAGAAAGTTAAAAAGAGAAAAATTTCAAGTTCTGCAGCAAATTAAAAGCACTTTCCTTTATCTAAAATGCTTTTGCAATTATCACGAAAAACATGAGAAACTTTTTGTTCTGAATAGCAAAAGAAAGCTTGAAATAATAAAAGTACGTTTGTTCCTGAAACTCTACAGAGCCTCTCTTTTTCCTTGATATTTCTAACTTTTTAAAAACAAAACGAAAATTATAAGATTTTTTTAAAATATATAATTTAGTTCATTATAACATTCCTCATTTTGTCGACACAAGACATGTTTATGAATCATTAAACATAGCAGCAAGTAACAAAAAATGATTAAAAACAGTAGCTTAATAGAATATTCAAATTTTCCTAGTAGTATAAGTCAATAATCAATACTTGTTGTATCCCTTCAGTTATTTTTCATCAAGTTTGAAATGAATTTTTAATACATAAAAATTTGAAAATAGAACATGTCAAGTTTTATTTAAATAAAAAACATAAATTTTTCACTTGACTTAATTGATTTTAAAAATAATTAATTAACTTATAATTTATTTAAAGATAAATATATTTATTAACATAAAAAATATGAATTAAAACTTTTTAACAATATTTTTTATTTGAATAGATCATATTCTTTCATGCAAAAAGCAGCAAGTATTATCAGATTCGATATAAGCGTAACTAATTTCTGCATAATTAATATTATTCAAATTTAATCTGCTAATAATTTGTTTATCACGTACATAAAATGTATATACCAATGATATATCACGTTGTTTACAAGTATTTACCGAATAAATCTCACGAATTTCAAACATAATTTACGTAAAAGGTTTGAAAATCGATTTAGAAGTTATTTATTATTTTACAAGATAAAAGTACTCGTTAATTGCTTCGTAAATTGAAGCTTTTCTCGATCCAAAGTTGATTACAATCTACAGAACCGTAGACTAGTATTGAACTTTTTACTATTAAAAATAATAACAAACAACATAACTTTAAAATTAAAAACAAAAGTAAAAATCGTTTAAGAAAATAACGCAAACAGTGACGGTACAAAAATATGGTTTTAGTGCAAAAGAAAAAGAAAGGCAGATGTTTTCTACTTTTTTCTTTTTTTACAGATTATACAAATAATGGTGCAATTATCTAAAAGGATATCATTATGTTTACAAATCTGGTACGAAATTATAAAGGTATTAACTGGTGATTGTTATACTAGACTGTATTTTAAGAAAATTCAATTAAGAGTGGCTATATATATCATTAGACAGAGAGCTTACGGTATAAATTAATTAATTAATTAATTAAAATTTACTATATTAAAAATATCAATTAAAGAATCACAAGTTGAATAATATTTATTATTATATTTAATCTAAAAGTACCGTATGTGTTTGCGATTAACATACTGATAAAATTCATTTATAATTGACTGTAATTAATACCAAGTGTATTAAATAGGATGTGATGATAGAAAACGAGGAAATGTGATGTAATTTTTGGTTATCAGTTATATAGTTGATATTATATAGACAATGTCATAGATGCATAAGTGGAATAGTCATCAATGTTTTTAGAAACACTATAGAAACTAGTTTGATATTTAGATGTCTTGTTGAACAAGGAAAATTATTTTACTCTACTGAAATTGGTATAATTTTTCATTTAAATTCAAAGTAGGATAACGAGCTTTGAATTAATTGCATGATCATACTAGTAGAATGCGTAACAAAATGTTTATTCCCATTTAGATTAAAACCCTTTGACCTGTAATTTTCATCGTAGCAGATTTTATGAACATGTACTTTCTATCCCTGCTTTAGAGTTAACTTGTAGTTATAACGAAAATGTACAAAAAGTATTACTGCTATTTATAATTATGTTTCTTAATTATTTATTCTTTAATACTGTGGTATTAAACATGTGAAAAAATTTTTTAACTAAAATGAGAATTTTTTCATTTTCAAGGCCCAGAACAAACAACTTAATAATCATCGGAGATTATATCATATATAATTTTATATATTTATATATATATATTTTTTATTTATTTATTTTAGTTAGTTATTAATATATTTTTTTTTAAACAAGCAAATTCAAGAAATGATACTCATTCAGTGGATACTTGTAATTTTGACACTTTTTCAGGTACAAATCAATTTTGCGGTTTTCCCTGACAGCAAGTTTGATTCAGGTAAAAGAAAAGCAATAAGGAATATAACTAAAAAAAAAAATTCTTATAAAATATTTTCACAGTATCATTTTTTCAATTTTTATCACCGAGAGAAAAGTAATATTTGTATTTTTTTTTTAACTTCAACATTAATAACTATTTAAATAATTTAGTTCATTATAACTATTATTAATTATGTTACATTAATTTCTTTAATTATCATCACAGTAATACATTATTAAAGAAAAATAAGTATCAAAGACATTTAAATTTATAATCATTTTAATGCCGTATTACAAAAACTTTTTATAGACATTTCTCTCGGTTTTGATCGTCATATAATTATTATTGCTTTGTGCGGCTTTATGATTGCACGTAATAGCATCTTTAAATTTAACAATAATAATGTTAATAATAAAATAATTTATTTTAATATTTTTTACGCTTGATAATGTTTTTGGCACGTTAGAGTGCTCGTTTTATATTATATTTATCAATTATCTTTTTTTAAATTATTTTTAATTTCTAATATTCCGCTGAAATAAGTGATTTACTCGCAAAAATGATAGAAAAAAAAACGAACAGTATCAACATACTTTGATTGACTGCTATTTATTTAAGACTCTGCAAATATAAGGAAAAAGAGATAAAATAAAAGCCACAAATGTTAAACTGTTGACTAGGATTCTCGTAACTCCAAAGGTTAAACACAAAAAAACAGTTTCTGAAAATGAATAATACAAAGCTTAGAAGTAGGATAGGTTATGAAACGTTCAGTAAAAATATAAATACAACATACCTTCAAACCAATACATCTTTCAAAAACCAAAAAAATTCTATGTTTATCGACAATTAAAAAAAAACAAAATCGAAGTCACTTTATGTCGAATTATCCTGTCTGTTCATGTTAAATTTACGTGATTTATAGATGAACGGGATGTGCGTATCACCTACAGCTGGAAGAAATTTGCTTGGTGTTGGTGAAAGATGTGATAATAATAATGATAGTAATGATGGTGTTAATTCAACAATTAATCGTCCATTAATTATCGAATCATCATCAAATGATGAAAGTGGATTAAGTAATATTTTTCGTAAAACACCAACAACAGAATCGCGTCATTCACGTCCCCATGGAATTAGAAAATTACAAAAATGTTTAAGTACTTCAGTAACCAACTACGAGACAGAATTATCAGGTGGTTTGTCATCATCATCAGCTCAGCAATTATTTCATGGTGAAAATCGTAACCTAACGCCAGCTAATCAAGCTTCACAGGCTTCCCAATCGATTCTCAGCAACGTCAGACAGTATAGCAGCTTTGGTATTAATATTCAAACAACCCTATACTTATATTAAAACAATTTAAAAAATATTAGATTTCTTCTTATCTTATCTATCGACTGTCTCTATATAAATCACCATTTCCATTTTCCAATTATCGTCATCACTGAGAATCGTGTTATATTTAAAATATGCCAAATATTTATTGAAACTTTCGAGATTTCCGATATTTTTCTAATACTCTGTGTGCTTATAATCATGTCTTTGTCAATGCGCAGCAATCTTCATTGCTTTAAATTGTGCTAAAACAATTCTTTCTTCTCAATCTTCTTCTTCTTTTGATCTGAATTTATCTATTTCTCGTGCATATATTGTTTTATCGTTCGATGCACTCTGACTACATAGCCAAGCATATGTCTTAGTGGCACTTTGACTTTTTGTTTACTGTTTTTATACACTATTTGACTCTGTTTTAAATTTTTCTTTGTTTTAACAATCAATGAAAATATCACAAAACTCACCCAATCTGTTTTCAGATTTTTTTCTGTTTGTTTTCAAACAATAATCAAACTTATTCAAAATCATCAACATATTATGTTTATATAATTTTATTTTATAAATACTACTACATATTTATGTATGACTAATGACTCAGATAATAATTGACAATTATTTCAGAGGATTTCGGTTTAAATACAATTGAAAGACAACAAAAATGTTATATTTAACACATTATTATTGTTGTTGTGAATGTGCTATTACACGAAAGAATTCAAATTTATCGTTTTTATTTTATTTTTTCATTTTTTTTTTTTTTGAGTATGTGTGTACTTTTTTTTCTTTGTCGTTTTTTTTTTTTTGTTTGCATGGATTTTTGTAATTGTAGAGCGAAAAAACATCATCAGGACTGTATAAAATGTACAACTTTATTTTTCGGAATGCTGGCCGTGTAGACAAGTTCGACAGTACGTTTCAACGTTCAAGAAGTTCAAGTATGTCATCACTTGAAAACATTTCAACGGAAACCATCAGCTGCCTTACTTTTGCCGATTGTTACACTAAAAAAACTGGTTAGTTATTCTTTGTATTTATTCTTTTAATTAATATTCATTAATCTATTTTGTTTTGATATTAACGACATCAATAATTAATTGAAGTATTTATTTATGTTAAAACTTTATAAAGCTTCAATACTTTTTAAGGAATTTTTTTTTTTATCATACTGATTGGCTTTTTTTTTATTGAAGATGTCAACGTTTTACCGACTCTGTGGATTGGCACGTCTTTGGGTTCAATACAAACGGTTGTATTCAATTCCCCAGCATCTGAAGACCGTCATACTCAGCCTGTGATCATTTCTACTTGTAGTAAGATATCAGTTTTATTGTCATTTTGCAGTTACGTCATGCTATATAATTATTTTCCATTATTGATTAACACTTTGGAGAAGAAATGTTGGATAAAATAGCAATAGAGATTTAAAAGATTTATATTTTTCTATAAAATTGAAAACATTGTGTATAAAGACTATTTTAAAGCTTTTTTTTTATCAGATAATGATTGGTAATTTTAAAAAAACACATAAGTTACACAATCAAAATTTTAAAGCGATCAATATGAAACTGTGTCACATCCAATTATTTAATTTACCTAAAGGTTTTATGTATCACCTAATATATGAGGATAGTCTGAGTAGGGAAAAATCATTAATGAATTATTATTGACCTGAGTTATTTTGAAGTTGACTGATGTAGTTCTAGAAATGACCTACTCAACTAAATACATTGGAAAAATTTTTTTAAATACTTTCCTCAATAACACGATTTCCTTGATGTATACTTCATGAACATATTTAGATTCTTTTAAATTACAAATTCTCTGAACTCAACTCTCAAATTTTTTTGTCAGTCAAAGGAGTTAATTAATACATCAAAGACACATTTTATTCGTAAAGTAATATAAGTTTTCAATTTCTTCTTATATCTAATAAAATTTATAATTACATCATTTTTTAGACTGCTTTGAGATCATAAATCGAATTGAGGGAAAAAAATTCTATCACGGTATATTGATACTAATTGAGTTTCTGACCTTTGGGAGCCAAGCCTGAAACTACCATTAATATTGTTTCATTTTTCTAAATAACTGGACAATGATTTGATCGATTTCTCAAAAAATTTTATCAGAACAAAGTTATCTTAAAACATATCGATTAAACTATCTCTTTCTAGTGATTGAAATTGGTTCACTATTTTCTAGGTATCGTTAGAGTTTTGTTATAAAGAGAACAAAAATTTTCTCAGCGATATCTTGAAAATAGTTCGATCAATTTTGATTCGAGACCTTTTTTTCTCGATACAACTTAAAGTGAATTAAAATTGATTAGATTCTGAACTGAATAAGTCTAGATAATAGAAATTTTTTTTATTTCAAAATTCATTTTATAAGAAAAAAATTCAGCTGATTTAGCTCTAAATTCAATCACTCAGAAGTTACTTTGAATGTATTGAAAAAGTGGTTTTGAATTGGGGTTGATTGAACTATTCTTGGACTATCTTCGTTATAAATTTCACTCACATAATTGGACATTTTCTCAATTGCCTAAAATGATCTTAAACATCCTTAAACGTGTAAATTTTATTTAATTCGGTAATTATTCAATGTAAAAGTCTTTTCTCTTAATTTAATGACCTTAAAAGTATCACAGGACTTGTTAATTTCAGCAATAGATCACCACCAGTGTACTAGACACATTCTGGTCTTTAAATAAATTAGCCTGAAAAAGTAATAACAATAGACTTAATTTAATTGATCACAAAAATTATAAGTAAAGAATGTTATAAATTGTAAAGACCTATTGATCATGTTAGTTTGTTGAGTGTAAAGTCACTCAAGGTAGCCACATCAAATAGATCAATATTTTCTAATATTTATTTTATATCAAAATATGGGATAAGAAAAGAATATAGACAGTTAAATGAATATGTTTAAATGTAGTAGAATGTAACTGGAAAAGCAGGAAAATTGATTAAAATTTTTTCATCGAAATAAATAAATAAAGTTTTTAGTGTACTGTAAAAAGCGTAAAAATTGATTACTTGGAAATAATTCACGTCTAATAGAGCAGTTTATGTGCAAGAATAGCATATTAATTTTAAATAATTGAGAAAAAAGTAATTTTCATTGATTACATTTTAAATTCTTAAAGAAAGAATGTACTTATAATTTTTTAATTATATTCTATTAACGCTAATACAATTTATACATATCTCTACATCAATTAGTACTTCATTATTAATAAATTTATTTTCAAATTATTTTATAATAACATATGAATTATGTTTATAGTACAGTTGTTGATGAGATGATTGAAAATTGGTGTAATTTTAATAAGAATAATTATTAATAATTTGCATTTATGAATTTTTTAGATGGATTATCATTTAAGCTAAAGGGATGCATATTAAATATATCATTTTTGGACTGTAATGGAACTCTAATACCCAACTCATATGAACCATGGAAGGATGAAAATGATGGGAGAGAGCGTAGTCGTTCAGCTAAATCAAATAGCCGAATGTCACCATTATTAAATGCACAAGCTAGCTCTGCGGGAGATGGATTTGATGATCGTCAATTCGTTGTTTTAATATCCGAGAAACAAGCACGAGTTGTTGCACTTCCATCACAAAATTGTGCTTATCGACAGCAGTTGAGTGAAACTCATGCAGTTATAAAAGCAGAAATCACTACGATAAAAGGTCTTTGTTTTTTAATAAATTATTCACCATCCTTGTTTTATAATTAATCTTACTTAATCTCTGGTTTTTTCACTTTTATTTTTTACTCCTTTTTTAGATGGTGTTTGTCTTGTTTGTTATGTATCTAATGGCCACATAGCGACTTATAGTCTACCAAGTTTAAGGCCCTTGGTCGATGTTGATTTTTTACCGTTGCAAGATTTAAGGTAAGAAAGAAAAAAAATAACTTTGTTCTATTTATTTTTTCTTCTTATTATTATCTTTATTATTATTACTATTTATTATACTATACATACGTCCAGTTATCAGAATGTAATCATTTTATATTGAACGTTTTATTTCCTATTTTTAATACAATATGATGAATACTTCATCAAAATTGGCATGGAAAACAATTAAATTTAAAAGAAAAAAAGAAAAATGATTCACATTATTGCACCATTTTCAATCATTAAAATGCTATTGCAGGCATGAATTTGTATAGCGTTTAATAATATGAGCACTTTTTTAATGCACTAATTTATTATTATTATTATAATTATTATTATTAATTTAATTGCTTTGATGAAAAAAGCAAGTATTTTTTCACCATTTTTATTAAATTCAATCAGTTAATATTAATCAAATTGCAGCCTTAAAATTGAATAAACTAATACTTTAATTATCAAATAAAAGAAACTATTAATTCACCTTTTTTCACAATCAATATCACCTATAAACATTCAAATTTCTTACGTTTTGTGGATATGTGTAAATATTTAAGAAAAAAACCAATTTTATCATTATTTAATTTATCGATTGTCGCCAAAATGTTACACGAATTTTTTTCCTGCTCTTTTCAGATAAAATTTAATCTTTTTTTATTATTTATTTTTTTTGGCAACTTTTGATCGAAAAATCCAATATCTGACAAAATATACAAAAAATAAACGGTTTTTTATTTATTTCTCTGTAATTTCTAACAGTTTTCAGACAACAAAGCATGGCATTGTAGACCCCATGTTGTCCATATGGGGTCACCAACTCTTTGTAAATGGCGATACAGATCAGTAAGTCATTGAACTAATTGAAAGACCAAAATTTCCTCTTTATTTTTTTATTTTTTTGTTTTCGTACTTGAAAAAGTATCATTTCATACCATGGCTAAATATTCGAATGACTAAATTCATGCTACAATTTTACTATTAAATTTCGAAACAAATATACATTGTTCAAATAGCACACAACTCAAATACAAAATCTCTGAAATAAATAAATGTTGAAAAATGAAACTACGTTGACGGGTATATAAAAATAAAAAAATTCCAGTTGATTTTCAAAATATACTAATTTTATCCAAAAAATTTCTATTTGTTTTTAGATTTAATCTACAAAGGCTATTAAAGTTAGTTCATAAAATATTTTTCAAAATAAAAATTATTAAATATTTTTTAATTTACATTCTAAAATAAATATTAAGAATAATTATAGACACAAACTAGTGGAAATATATAAATAATAAAAGCTTAAATAATAGTTGATTCTATTTTGTTAATTGGCATGTTCAGGTTCAAAATCAATCGATTAGAATAAGACAGAATGATTGCCAATAATTATATTTGATGTGCCAATCATTGGCTGGTCTATTCTGTACTAACGTCCATTACGTCTATTTCAGTTATGCTGATTAGGATATTTTGACAGAGTATATCATAGTTAGGGTATTTAGCCATGATAGCCATCATTCATATTTTTGTTGCTTTCCATTTCCTTCATCCAAAATCCATATAAATAAAATTTAAACTAATCCTAAATAAAATATATAATTAATATACATAAGTAGTGTCCTGTATATACACATTATTATGTTATACTTAATTGTAAATATATATACTTAAAATTAATGAAAATATTTTTCTGTATTATGCATGAAATGGGTAAGACATAACACCTATATCTTACTGTCGGTACAAAAACCAAACAAAACACATTAAATGCCTTTCATTATAAATAGAACTATTATTATAATGAATTTTTAAGTGATATAATAATTGAAAATATTATTAAAATATGTGATGATAAATTTTAAAAGGTGAGTGATTTTTTTAGTATAAAATAAAATAAATAAAAACAATAAATGAATAAATGCTCGCGCTCTGCAGCACCGCAATTAGTTGGCGCATGTGCAATTATAAAAAATAAATCATTAATTGTTTCCGCTTTTTTTATTCTCAATGTTTAGGGGGCATTTTCATCACATAGTGGCTTATTTTTTTGATTAAACATTCATGTTATAGTCAAATATTTATATTTCTTTCATTCAAACATAAAATAGGTGTTAAGTCTTCACCCTTTCGTTAATGTGCCAAGATGATTTTTTAAAAATACATTATACTTATTTATTTGTTAATTAAAATTTATTACAGAATTTCAAAAACTATTTGCCTTACCAATAAAGGCCATGGATTATATTTGTCATCGCCAACTGAAATACAAAAGTTTAGTCTCTCAAGTGATTTTTGGTGAGTTGACCTCTTTTATAAGTGAATCTAAAAGATTCTATTTACATAGAAAATGGGATAAAAATGCTATTGATTATATATTCTTTAAGTTCGGAGTTACCAGAAATGATGGGCGATTTATTTGTAACTGTGGACATGCCAGAACCGCCTAAAGAAAGTTTCTTTAAAGGACTCTTTGGGGGTGGTGCACGTAGTGTAGATCGTGAAGAATTATGTAAGTAATTTTTGAAATATTTCTATTGTATTTTTTTACCGACTTTATCAATAAATTTTTCAAATGCTTCAAGTTATTTTTTTTATAAAGACACGAACAAAAAAGTTGGCAATTTTAATTAATTCTTCAACTCAATTATTCAGTATTATTAAAAACTTTTTTATTGTATTCTATATAACTTTTACTGAATCTGATCAATTATAATCCTCTTACAATATCTCTGTCCATTTATAAGTAAAACTTGTCTTTAAAAGAATTCTATTTCATGGTTGTTTATAATAAGAATAAATTTAATTATTTTTATTTATTTATAAAAGTAATGCTGACTTAACTAAGTGTTGTGTAAAAAAGTTCGTTCGTTAAAACTTGTAAGATTGTTATATAATTTGAAGGGTTGTTTTCTCTCTGAGAACGGTAATGGTTTTAATAACATGCGAACCAGTAGAGAGTGACATAACTTGTAGAGTCGTTTACATTTTAATTTGTAAAAATATCAATTGTTAGTTTTATCAACTCAAGTTCTTATATTTTTTATGAATGAATAATGCAACTTATTAAAATGTATTTTTTAGAAAAATTTTATCAATGTCAAGAATTTTAATAGAAATTTTTCATGATAAAAAAGTACTCTTGGTAAAAAATTTTCAATTTTAAAATAAACGTTAGATAAAAAATTAATGTACAAAAAAGCGGATTTTTTAAAGAAATATTTTCTTTATTCAAGAATTAATGGATTATAACTTGGATTATAAATTTAAAAATTCTATTGAAGTATTTAATAAATATAATTTTTAGTTATATTGCGTTTTTTTAAAAGAATTCTTTCTTTAAAGAGTGGTAGTTTTACATTTAAAAACTACTCTAAAATATTTAAATACCACAAAGGTTGGTTTTATTTCATAGCAAATTTTATAAAAATATGTTCTTTACGTTTTATTATAATTAACACATTACTGCTCTCTAAAAGTTAAATTTTTTTCCTTGGCATTGTTCAAAGGGTTGATATTGCTCATCCATTATGAGATTTGTAATAAAAAATTTTTCATTTTCAGTCTCTCAGAAATAAATGAAGCAATATGATTTGATTTAAAGAAATATTTTTATTAAGTTAGTAATAAAAAATGAATTTAAAGAGTAATTTTTTGAATGAAAAAACTTTTTAATAACATTTATATTTTTTGATTATTTGTACGTATAATTGACTTTAAAAAAGGACATGTAATTTGATTAATTGAAAATAGTTGTAAAATTAATCTGTTCATTTTGGATACTTTTAAAAATATGTTCTTTTAGAATAGTCATCAAACGATGTTTATCTTATTTTGTAAGCTTGAAAGGAATATTGATTAATTGGTTAAATATCAATTTAGTTGGAGAATCGAGTGGACGAGCATCACGTACAATTGCTAAACATATTCCGGGGCCGAATGCAAATACCGAGGCATTAAGAGAACGAGTTTCAACAGCAACTGGAGATGTGGCGATGGCACACCAAATGGTAATGGAACGTGGAGAAAAATTGTCTCAATTAGAAGAGAGAACCGCACGTATGATGAATGAATCTGAAAACTTTGCGTCTTCTGCTCACGGGCTTATGCTCAAGTATAAAGATAAAAAGTGGTATCAGCTATGAGTAATTAAATTAATAATTAATTGTTAGTGAAAAAATAATTCAAAAAAATTAATAATTGAAAAAAAACAAACTTTTTAAAATGAAAAAAAAAAAAATTGTTTGAGATAAATCCATTTTATCTCAAGATAACTTATTACGCACAGAAATTATCAAAGAAACAAAACAGAAATTTTAAGTAGTATAATACAAGAGAAGAAAAAAATAATATTTAATGAAAATATTTAAAAGGAAAAAAAGTTATCAATCGTTGTTATTATCCTTATTCTTATTGAAGAAAGCGTTCATTATCATCATTAAACAAAAAAAAACTTTAAAAAATAAAATAGAATAAAAAGAAACTTGACGTAAGGTCAAATTTGGAGAAATTTAAGAATTAAAAAAAAAAAAAAATAATAAAGAAAAGCAATGAAAAAAAGTTTTAATGGAATGAATTTTTATCGAAAGAAGTTGTATCACAATAAAAATTATTGTTTATTATTGTTTTATGTTGGTTTGATTAATAAATATTAATTATTATTAAAAATATTATTCATGTAACTATGTATATAGTCCATGTGCACACGAATTTGAAAGGAAAAAAACACACACACAATTTTAAAAATATAAATTACTAGAGAGAAATATGAACAATAAATAATTAATGTATCAATCGACAAAATTGAAGATAAAAAAATTATTTATAAAAATATAAACAGTCAATATTGAATTTATATCTATTTATTATTTATCAAATTTTTTTGTTACTTAATAATATGATTTTATGAATTTTTATAAATATTATTATTTGTTATTAATAGTTAATTCATTCGGACGTCCCTGTGGATGAAATGATGAAAACATGCCTATTTGAATTGAAAAATCATGTTAAAAAAAAGAGAGAGAAAGAGAGAGAAAAAGTATTAATGATTTATTTGAATTTGTTTTTTGTGAGAATTTTAAATCTCATTAAGATAAAGAGTGATTAGTATTAATTGAAATAATAACAATAAACATGATTACAATAATACTTACTAATAATAGTAATGATAATGATAGTATAATACTAATGACCAAAAGTAACTGTTTTATTAAAATCCATACATGTCGTTAATGAATGATTATAATTATTGTAGAATAAAAAAATTTTGAGAAATAAAAACTACCTATATTAAAAAATTACAAACATTCAATACATATTTTTGGCCCCATAAATTATTGTGCAGTTGAGTAAAAACAACCGAATATTAATACATCAGACACTATTTGGAAACAAGTAAAAACTAAAAACAAACAAATGGAGAGAAGATGATATAAATTTCGCAGAGACGTCATTCCGAATGCATTGACAATAAAAGCAACAACTAGCTGTAGATTGCTATTACTAATGATTTATTTAATTTTAATAAAATCAGTCTTAGCATTAGCAATAGGGTCGATTATGAGAATACCAACAGGAACAAATAAGTATTAATGAATTGATTAAAAAGAAAATAAACAGTAATAATACAAACGACAGGAAAAGAGTCGAGAGATTGTATTAATTAATAATAATTGGAGGATAAAAGAAATGATAATATTAAGCTACAAAACATTAATCGGTAGAAGATAATAAGGAGACAAATGTAGTTAACAGTTAGACATGTTATGTATATAATAATAATAACAATGTCAGAAAAAAAGTAGTCAAAAATTAAATTAATAATGATCACAAAAAATATTGAATTATATATGTTATAAAAAACGATAATATTAAATAAAGCAATTCATTGAACAATTTTATTATGCATTTATCCTTCTTTTCATTATGCTTTATTACCACTTCTTTTGTCATTTGTAGAGATAAATGATAACATGCAACGCTCGAAGGAAATCTCTTTATACATTTTTATACGTTTTTTGTTTTGATTTAATTTTATTCTAATTAATAAAAATATCGGATTTCAGTTTCAGCGCAGTGATAGTAAAATGCAGATATTGTTTTTTCTCTCTATTTATCAATTGTTTGTTCATCCATTTTTGTCTTTAGAATTATATTGTTTTTTTTTTATATATAAAAAATTTCTTTTATTGATATATATTTTAAAAAATTTCCTATACTGAATGAACTTTAAGAATACATTTAATTTCATTCAATTAAATACCTCAAAGTAATAGGAATAAATTAGTTTTCATAATAAGATGTCGATAGTATCAATCATCTTCATAAAAATAGAGTATTTATCTCAATTATGAAATAAATTTAATTATAGATTGAAAGTTCTAATTGATGGCATATTATCATAGTTTAGTATATTTATTTTTATTTATTTTTGTACTTCGACGAAGTTATTTTCACAATAATTAATTAATATTTGATTTAATGACACCATAAACTACGATATATTACAATAAATAAAATAATTTCGAATGATTTAATAATAATTTGAATAAGTTAACATGTGAAAACATATAACAATACTTTATTACAACATACTGTGACTTTATGAAACATTTTCTATGGTATCCAAGCAGTATTGGTAGTAAAGGGGTTATTATATTATTTGAGCTATTCGTATGCCTTTGTCCTTGCTACAGAATTGAAAATAAAAAGGAGTTATTTTACTTCAGAGCTTACAAGTTTCTAAAGAAATTTATAAAGGTAAATTTATTAAAAATATTTACAAACATTTCCCTTTTTGGTTTTTCTTTTTTTTTTTAATTTGGACATAACTATGTTATTTTTTTATTTTATCATAAATATTTAAGGCCAAATGGTTTTAAGTGAAATAAAAAATTAGATTCTGGTAAATAAATAAGTTTTTTTCCCGAGTGAACGTAAAAGAAAGACTAGGTCATAAGTAGATTTACTTAGTTGAGTCCAATTTTCCTTAACATTAAGAACCTGTGGACTAATATATATTTTTATTCACTTATTTTATTTTCCGTTAAATAAAATCGAATAATAGAAATAAAACAATAAATAAATCAATGATTATAGACAGAATGCTGTCACAATATAATACAGTATCAGATATTAACTCAAAATATGATGATTAATCATCAATTAAAAACTTTCAATAAATAATTCAATAAAAATGAAACTTTGTATTCAATATTCAATTTAAACTGGGCTATAATTATTTGATGAAATATCTCTGACACTTCATAATTATACAATATAATAATACATGTATATATTTCAATCTATACCAATTGATATGTAAAACAAATCAAGTGTTTGAAGTCAATACCAAGCTGTGTATTGAAAAGCACGTCATGTTATTGTAGAAGAATAAATAAATTTTAACGACAATGTTTTAATTTTTTTTTTTCTTTTAGGATATAGAACATGTCCTAGTTTTATGTAATGTTCATTAAAAAATGTTAATCTAGGTCCTAGATTCTAAGTGGAATAGAAATATTGATAACAGATCGAAAGAAGTGAAAAAAAAGTTTAATCTTTGGTAGAAAAACGTATCGTATGCAATAGATGTAACAAGCTTCAAATTTTTCGGTTCAGCTATTTTTGAAATCAATTGGTTTACTTATCTGATTTGCAGACAGATTGATGGAATGACATTCGAACGAACTTTTCTCTAAAAGCACGTTTTTCGAAAATCTAGTATTTTATTGCAACGTAGAATTCGTTATTGACTTGAAGCTCTTTTCGACTCCATTTTAGTATGTCTATTAATATGTAAAGAAACATAACTCGATTTTCAAAATTCTATCAAAGCTTTTGACAGTTTTTTGATAGCAGACCTCACCAATTCAATTTATCTAGAGAGTAGAAATGACAGTATAACAAAAAATAGTTTTGAATTGATAAATATTTTGTACTAAATAACTAAGGAGATAAAGAGGCTCATTTATAAGAGGAATGTTTAGTCATATCTGTTACATAATCTATGTGCTTTATGATTAAGTCCTCTACAAAATAACAGACAGCAAAAAATTGTTATCACTAGATGAACAGTTGTACCTGAATTATGGACCAGCACGTAGTCAACCAGATAAAGCATCTTGGTACTCACCTATCCTTTATCTAGTTTTGATATTTTTCTTTTGAATTTGTTGAAGTTTCTCAGTGTCTCACTAAGACGAAATATTAATCTTGGCTTAAATTTACTAAGCTGCATGGTAAGCATACTTCCCTTCTGATGACTATAGATGTTACCGCGAGGAATAATGAAATGAAAATTATTCATAGAAACTTGTTAATTTTGTCAAATAAATTATTGTTCTATTTATTTTATTTATTCACATTTATTATTTTATTTATTATCAGAACGATCACAATAAAAAATTACGATTATTTTCTGGTAAAAGTATTATATTATAGTACGCTTAACGACAAATTAAATATTAAATTTAACGGTTCTCTAGAAGTCAAGTGATACTTCTAAGTAAAATTAAAGGTTCTTAAATCATTTTTATAAGTTTACAAATATAAAATTATTTATATATTTGAAATAATAATGAATATTTAAATAAATAATAAATAAGTTACTTATTCATTTGTACAATTTATTTATTTTTCTCAAGAAGAGGAAGTATTTATGTGAATATTTGAAAATTGATCTCAATTATAAAAAATGTTTTATAAAATTCAATTATGAATACAATATTTCTTTAAATAATCAAAATCATAATATAATGAATAATTTTGCATACCTGGAAAAACTTGTGTCTATATACACACTAGAATTCAGTGCACGTTATGCATATTATAACAACATCACGTTCATATCAGAAAGAATAGACTCACAGTTACCTTTCTGATTATTTATTGTTGCTTTCAGTCATGAAATATCCTGAGATTTTCTTTTCTAGTTCTCTACAATATCGAATTTAACGAATACAATTGTAGAGTCACTGATAAACTTTAAAAACAAAGAGAATATTTAAACAATACAGAATACTCCTCAACTTTTCAATACTTCTCTAAAATATTCCCCAATAATCATCAATAATTCCTTTCAACTCAGAAAAACAACTCCAACATTAATGGATTTTTTACAGAGTAAAAGCTATCTTTTTTTTTATCATTTTTTTTTCTTTCTCAGTCTTCAAAGCCATGAAGATTAGCAGGAGCTTTCGAGTTGAACAACCTCATCTTTTTATTTGTATTATCTCCAAAGTGATGTTGGTAGAATTAACAGGAATTTATTTCAGTATCAAGGTATGCAGTCAAGTGCACAAGATAATACGATTGAAATTCTTAAAATGCAATTAGCATTGACACCTACACATGTAAATGAATGTCTTGATAAAAAGCCATCAGATTGCATTAGGATAGAGAGTCTGATCATGCTGATTTCAAGCTGATAGAAGTCGATAGCAGCTGAGACTTAATTTGTAGAAGGTCATTTTAGTAATCGTCTATTTAATAGACTTTCGAGAATGGGTGGTTGAAGCATTTACAAAAGACATCAAATATATTGCCAGTCTTGAGGAAGACTGTTAGTACGTATCCAATCAACGACGTTAATTTTTTTAAACAGAGCATCGACAAATTTATTGAGCTTTCAATTGGTTTAAAAAAGCAATTACATCCATTTGAAGAACATTAATTATCATTTATTTATGTTTAAAAAAAAGCTGGTAACTATAATTGCTTATGATTTTCTTTATTAATTGGTTACAAACATTTATGATGCATAATGGTTTCGAGTTATTAACGACATCTAATTGACTTGTTCACATTATTGGCCTTAATATTAGTGTGTATATATATTTGTTGTATATATTTTTATATATACTAACGTTTAAAAAATATTATAAACAATATAGAAAATAATGATGAATCGAGATCAAAATTCTTTAGAAATATTTTCTTGCACATAATTATATACTGAATTTATTAAAACGTTTATAAAAACTTATGTATATTAACATTAACTAACATCTATCTGAGCTTGAACTTTGTATCTAATATTGCGCATTCACATGTGTTAATATTCTCAAACCCGTATTTTTCCCAAAAGTCGTATTTTTTTCCGTCTTTTATCGAAAATTCGTTTTCAGCTTAGTGTTTATTGTTAGAGCTGGCCGTTTTAGGATTTGTAATAAATATGACGTTTGCAATGACTATCTTATAAATGATGGAACAGTTGACAAACATAATAATGTCAGTAATCCTAATCCATATACTGCTGCACCACTGTCTGACGTCACTGTAACAATCAAAAATAACAATCATAAGTTTTTAATTGAAAATTTTAGCTGGCTTCAACAACTGAAAATTTTAAAGGTACAGAAAAATATGTTTTTTCTCAAAAAAATTGTCAATTTCCCTAAAAAAAATTAAATTGAATGCTATTTTAGGACTATGAAGGAATAGTAATATTATTTAGGGAAAAACTATGTTTTTTTTTGTTTAAAGAATAAGAAACATTGATAATTAAAGTATCTATGAAGTTTGTATATTTAAAAATAGTATTCCAAAATATATCTTACATTTATATTTATATTGTGTGAAATTTAAAATTTAAAAACAATTGTTTTCATTAGAAATATTTATTTTTCTAAATTAAAAACAATGTTTATTCACTGCTGAAGTAGCAGCTATATGAATGATAATTGATGAATTGTTTTAATTTCAATTTTATTTCACAACTGAAAGACAAATGATGAATTCAAATTTCCAAGATTAATATTTTTTCAAGAAACTTAACTTTTATTTGTTCATTATCTATTTTATTTTTTTTTTGAAAATGATTCTGTAATGTATTCAGTAATTACATACAATGTTTTGTGAAAATTTCATATTTCTTTGATAAATTTTTTTTCATTAATAAAATATTTCTACAAAGTTTTGAAATAAAAATTGCTGAAAACTGATATAATAAGTTTGTCTCAGAAAAGTTTTACTCCATCTTGAAATTGGAACACTTCAACAGAGGAATGATTTTCGTGTATCTTTGGAACAAGTTTTTTTACTCGAAGCATTCTTTACAAATTTTTTTCTGATGTTTCAAAAATGATAGCGACGACTGTTTTCAGTTTCGAAGATTCTTTTGTCGAAACAAAACGTTTAACAAAAATGTTCAAATGATAGAAAACTGTTGGTAGAAATATATTACTAACATATAGACTTCTAGTCTGGGTGAGATTGCCACAATCAATAGAACTCTTGGCAAGCTTATGGTTTAGTTTCAGACTAAATGAAACAACATAAACTCTACAATAATTATTTGCAAACCTTTTAAACCAACCTTAATACAACTTTTAAAGTATTTTCCAATACTTTTTTTATATAAAATCATGCAAACTTGCTTTTGCTGAGTAAAGTAATTTTTCCAAGAGCTAAAGCAAATACAACTTAAATCCATGGTAAATTGAATTTAGGTCATGAATATTACAAATTCATTTATAATAGTTTTTATAAATTCTTCTATTGAATTCTTCATTTAAATCAGTACTAATAAAAAATATGAAAATAATTATAATCTATTTAAACAAGACAATAAATTTTGCTAATTAAATTCTCTAACAAAAATTCCATTATCATTATTTCAAAAAACGAATATATTTTCAATTGAAAATAATAACCAAGATAATATCTTCCAGAACTGCTATAAAATAAAAAATTGATTGTTATTCTTGAAATGGTAATGTTGTGTGAAATTCAAAACAACTTGTTTTCCATGAGTAAACCTCGTAATCACTACAAAGTTGGGAACCATCACTTATAGAAGAAAATAAATGTAGATTCATTTATCAATGGAAATGAAAATAGTAGGGTAGACTGTCTTCCAAAATGGATTAATTCCAGATAACTAAACTATTTATGGACAATGCTATAATGGAGTAAACGAGTTGTCATTTTTACCAACGATTAGTTATCTCTAGTTAACTAGGTCACAGTATCAGCCACTTTCAGCATTTGAACTGTTTTTTTCTAACGAGTGGAAAATACGTGGTTTTAAAAAGAATACATTCTTTTTCTACCTCTGCAATATTTTTTTTCAACCCAAGAAAATTGCTACGATAATATTGAGTTGTAATACCAAAGCAACCTTCCACAAATATTAAAGCTTAATTTCTTTACATTAAATTTTAATTGAGATTTTTAGTATTATTCTAGAAAATAATATTGTATTATTTATAAGAAAATAATTAATTAAATACTTTGAGTGTTGAGTTTACATTTCATGCAATAAATTATCTTTGTTTCTACTTAAGTACTCTAGTTAATTTACGATTTGTAATTATCATATTAAGTTTAACATAAATTTTGAAGAACTAATTACTTACAAATACCTCAGAAAATAAATAAATCAACGATACTTTAAGAAAGGAAGTTATTAGAAGCAGTGAAATTTTTATTAGATTAATTTACTAATTTAACTGAGTATAAGCTTAAAATATTAGTTTGAAAGTGAAGAATAAATTATATTAATTGCTAAATTAATTCATAAAAACTCATTGGAAAAATTCTATTATCTTGATTGTTAAAATAATTCTCCAAAAGGTGTTAAAAAAAAAAAGAATATATTATTAAATGATATCTAATTTTTTTCTTGATTATAAAGGTTTATACTTTATTCATTGAATTAGTTATTCTTTGTAATAAAAAATACTATAGTTAATTCAGTTTATCTTGTTTTCAATCAAATATGAATTTTTGCTATACATGAAAATTTTTTCCTCTGAGTGAAGAAGAAATCTTTTTGCATAAATTGTTGGTTTAGTTATAAAATATGCATTGAATTTACTTTTTCAAATTTATTACAATATTTTAATAGGATTTCGTTGATTACTATCAGATCACTACAATGAATAATTGGGAAGAATATTTTATTTAATATTTTAACTAAAGTAAATTTTTAAATACCTCTTTTCATCTTTTGATTAATTACTCTTCTATTTTATGTCTATTATTATTTTTAATTTCAATTATTAATTAAGATTTTTATGCTTATTACTTTAAAATCTCACTGAAAATACTGTTTAATTTTTTTTCAAAATAATTTTTGCTCAAAAAAATTCAACATAATACAGAATAAAAGAAAATGAGGGTCAGAAAAGAGTATGTGATAATAAATAATCTGATAAAATCGTATTTTTTTTTTTTTAACAAAACAAAATATCATATAATGATAAAAACTACACTCAGATGTAATTATTTTTCATAATAAATTTCATAAATAAAAAATATTATATTAAATATTTTGAATTATTGAAAGAGAAGGAGATGACGAAAAATAATTCATAATTTATATGATAGCTAAATAGAAAAATGCATCATTTGATATTTCTACCATTATCATTATTTATTTAATTTCAATAAAATAATAACAATGAATAATAAATCTTGAATAGTATATTATTTGATTAAAAATAAACATTGTTCAATTAATAACAAATTTTTACAATAATTATTTCATAAATTTGATAATTTTTATTGATTAAATTACGTAAAAACAAAATTAATATTTAATGAATGCCCAAATTGCCTTTTTGTATAAAAAATAAAATACGATTTAATATTGATAAATTCGTGATGGGTTTTATTATTAATAATAAAATTCTATAAATTTATTATTCATATATGTTTTACAACTTTTCTATTCAAGCTACTTGAACTAAGAAAAACACGATCAAAATGAAGCCCTGTTCCTTAAGAATGACTATACTTGTATTATAAAACTCTTTAGAAATTTACCATAGGGGGTTGATTGTAAAAATGTACCGAATGTTTACTGCATAACCACACCTCTCAAACTCAGACAACAAACTCCAATGTATTATTTTAGTTGATTATCAAACACAATAGACTAATTGAGGTGGAGTACTGTATCACTACTGGAAGTAAAGTAATCAAGATAAGTCTGTTGTTAAAGATTGTAAATAAAGATTACGTCCAGGTCGAGCATGTCTTAATGGTGTTCCACTTTACATACGTAGCGAACTTGTGAGTTCAACGCTTTTCAAAGCATTCGTTGAAGATAGGGTGATCATGTTATTGGTTGGTGCTGTCGCACAGCAGTCGATATGGAGCAAGATTAGAGCGGTAGCCAGTCTTCTTTTGATCATTTCATTCAAGTACTTGGTATTGATCTGAAGCCGATAGAACATTTCCATTGTTTTATTACACTTGAATAGCTAGCATGTTGTATAATCATGATACAACATTATATCGTCTTTACAAGTTATCACAATAATGGTTTTGCCATTCATACACATTTTCAAAATTGGTTGCTTTTGTTAAAACCACAACTAAGACATCACATTTATAGTTGAGTTCTAACTCTTTGCAACTGATTCTGCTATAGATTCAGTGAAACTGTTTAATACCGTTCAGGTATTATATATAACTAGGTCACCAGTGATGAAAGATCTAAGATAATGATGAGATGATTTAGGAGTATTCCTCAAGAACTCTAATGAAATTTGAAATCCAAGTCGATTGTTCATTTCTTGCACTTTGATTTCTACAAGAAGAAATAAAAGTACCACGTCATTGGAATACATATCATAGCATCGTTCAGACTACTACAGGCACTTCTGTTTGCTAAAGCCTCTATGAAGATCAAAAACACAGCAACCGCCTTTACTTTGTCAATACTTAATCGATATATTTGAAAGCAGCAATGTATGTTCCCATTTATTGCTTGCAACTGGCTTTACTATGAAGAAATTTTCCAGTCCTTTAGACTGCACATCCAAGATCTAAATCGTCCGATTGTATTGATAACCATTCTAGACGAATCTAAAAGTGTTTACAGAGAGGTATCAAGTACTTATTGATTTCATGATAATATCAATAAGTAAGATGTAAAGTATTCATTCACAACGATTGGTCTGAACCAGGTGGATACGGTTTATCGTCCTAAATGATTGATATCAGCTCTGTCACTTTAACAAGATTTGGGATTTTCCAAGTGAGTGGAGATTTTGATAGCAGAATTACTGCTTTTTCTCAAGTACATGGGTATGAATTAGAGAATAAAAATAGCAGCATTCAAAATCGTATTGAGAATACATGAGGGAAAACTGAAGGAAAAATGGGGTAATGTTATTTAAATGAAAAATGCAAACATTAGGAAAAGAAACATAATCAAAAAAAGAGAAAAGTAATCGTTAAGTTTAAGAATATCCCATTCAGAATCTATTATTTTTTATGGATTTCTATTTTTGCAGTGTGAGCAGATAGGGCAGGTGTTCGTGAAATATATCAATTTTTAAGATTATGGTTGAATAAATTTGGATATTTTTAGGATAATCGAGCTGTTTTTACGCTATTTTGTCATCAATAACGCTACCAGGATTATTTTATATACATTTATCACAATTTATGACAGTGAAGGGATTGGTTTAAAAAAAAAAAACAATCTCAAAAAGTGAAGAGTGTCTAGTCTGAGAATAATTTTACCTGAAGATTTAGGCAATATTTTATAATCACAGTTGCGAAAAAATGTATATTATTCAGCAACAGTCAATTTTTAAGCTGTTATTTATGCAAGTTGGGCTTCATGCATCGATATTGTTTGTGAATAAATGTTTAAATTAAAAATAAACGCCATGTGGGCAGATTCAAGGTGACAAAAAATTAAGGGTCATAAAAATAACAAAATTTGTGATAGAAAATCGTTCATAAAATAATAATAAAATCATTTTAACATGCAATTAAATAGTCGTAGAGATATTGCTGATATCAACAAAAAAAATAGAGTTTTAAAACGAATGATTCATAAAGAATTTTATTATAGCTATATATACCAGAGAAGTAATGGAGGATTTAAAAAGTTTAATAAGAGCATTTTATGAACAATGAATATCTCAATAAATGATTAAAAAATATGTGAATTAGTGTGTAATTATTGTTGCTTTTGATCTCTATATGACTTTCGTGATTAAAAGTTTTCATGACGCTCTAAAATTTAACCCAGTGCAAAGTTATTGTCAAAAGTCTTACACATGAATTAAATGCTCCAAAATTTTAGAGCCGGATAGCAAATGAAGGATTTGGAAGAGTGAGTTTAATTGCTGCCTTTCCATCTCATCAGTAAGGATTGTGTTGGTCATCTAAGCTGATGGCATCATCCTTTGGTCTTGTTACTAAGCATGAATAATGTTACTTACAAAATCAAATAAAGTTAGAGGCTCATCAAACATTTATCAGGATAATTCACAGTTTGGAAGGATTCCTCCATCATGAACCTATCATTGAAGACAGAAGTATATGCTAAACAAGTAAGACAACCTATAAACTTTTAAAGATTAATGGCTTTGTTTAACTGAAGATTAAAGTATAGGTCGTTGGCTTGTTAAACTATGATGATGTTAAGTATCTCGATGGCTAGATCCTCAGAATAGAACAGGTAGCACCTAAGACGCAACTTGAGATTCTTGATGAGAGCCTAGAAATGGAAGTAGGCCAATATTCAGTGAGATACTAAGAGGATTAAACTTCTTCTACTGGCTTATTCGGGTAGCATTTTCTTCTATGAAACGGTGAACGTATGAACATAGTAAGGTAAAACGATGAAAGAAACCCTCATAATATTTAACCGCCATCTTGAAAGTCAGCACTCTTTACTGTCGATCAATTCTTTTCAGAGTCCATAAACTTGCTCTTTCATTTTTTATTGTAGTAATCTCTTGTTTTTAATTGTATTGAATATTTTGAGATAAGTTTATTGAAGTTGAAGATATTAGGAGAAAAATGGAGAATTTAAATCTAAGCGCCATATTAAAGTGGTGATACTGTGTGCTTCGAATGATTTAGAAAGTCAATACTTCGTTCTATACTAGAAACCCTACGTGAGAAGCAATAAATTCAGAATAAATTGCTCTTTCAAGGAAATACATGAAGAATAAAATATTCTCAGTCTTTGAAAGTGATGACTATGGAAGAGTTAGCCTTCGTAAACCCATGTTTGATGTTTTTCTTAGTTTTTTATTTTCTCAATTGCTAAGGAGGAAATCGAACATTACCACAGCTTTAGAATTTATGCTAGATTTTAATGAACACTAAAATATCAAAGATGAAAAGATCGAAAATAAACTAGAATTTTTTTTTGAAAGAAACAAAAAATAAATAAAATGGATAAATACAATAATTTTCTCCTATTTTGTTCATTATTATTATTAAATATCTCTTTTAAAAAAAAAGCTTTGTAAAGAATTCAGACAAATGATTTTAACAAACTAGAAAAAAAGAAGACAAATTTCCACCAGGATCGCAGCAGCGGAAATTAATTGATCGATACATCAATGAAACAATCTAAAAAAAAATGACTACTATTAAGAACAATATCCGTCTTCTCTTCAGTCTCGTCTGAATAAAACACATACAGTTATAAAAGAGTTCACATTATACATTAATACCTGCAAATATTTCATGTAACACCTAAATCTTTAATTGATCAATTCTTTATTCTTTATCATCTTACATTTATTTTTCGAATATCAGTTTATTTGAGTTGAAGATTGGTCAAATTAAGAAACTAGTAGGTCAAATAAATAAATCGTAACAACAGGGGGTAATTATAAATTTGTCTATTTGCTTTGACCTATTGACTATGTCTATTAGCAGAGTATCAAGAGCAAGCAAAGTGTTATTAGCCATCTATTAACGAGGAATTATATCAGTATGTCTATGTATATACATACAAATAGATATTTATAAACATTATGTCAATTTCGGTTCTTAAGGTAAATGACAACATTTGTAGGTCACCATGTAATAGGTTACCAGTTCATATTGTTACATAAATTGGCAAGAAATGAAGAAGAGTTATATCATGAGTAATAATAATTAACCAAAAGGGAATACTTTGTGCTGTAATAAAGTAATAATATGATAGATGGCCTAGATAAGCTTTATTTTATTGTTAATTAATTCCCAGAAGTTTAAAAAAATGTTTTCTTTGAGTTACTTATTTTAGCACTTTAACTGAACCATTTATTTTGAAAAAGTCTTATTTGACATTTTTCAATTATTTTTAACTATTTAAGTAATAAAATAGTGTTTTTAGCTAATATAAGTATTGTAAATTAAATCATAGATAGCTTAATTAATAACAATTAATTATAATCAAATCTACAAATCCTAGTGTTTTATTTCAATACATTAAAAGTGTTCTAATATGACGTCATCCATTTGATTAACATTGCATCTTTTTTAAAACGTTTTCCAGTGTTTTACAAATGAGACAACGTTAATCAAATGGATGATGTCATATTAAAACATTTTTAATGTATTAAAATAAAACACAAATATTTGCAGTGATTAAATGTCATTTTTTTTTTAACAAGTTTAATATTATATCAATGTTTTTATTAGCAAAAATGCAAACGTTATGAAATACTTGAAATGTTTGTTCTTTGAAATGAGATTTATTGTGCCTTTGAAGATATAAAATATAAGGGAGTGAAGTCTCTTAACGAATGTAATGTAAGCATTAACTGCATGTTAATTTTAGCCGTGTCACCCTAAAGTTTTCATTTATCATTCAAAGTATAACTACAATAATTTTATAGATGTATGAATGTAGTGTTAATTAGCAGTTGTAATATTTTACCTCTTTCAGGAACCGGCTCCCAAGCATTCAGTTGAATATCCGTAGTAGCTTTAAACATTCCCGGTATTTGTGTTATGCAACGGAGATTCAATTGGCTATTTGTGTAATGGTGAGGTTGCAACGTAACGCGTATCTCACTCCATTGCCATTCGGCTTCAGGATCTTGAACACCATGTTTCTCCGAAAATAATTGGGTTTTTTCATTCAATACTGATGATTCCACAGGCTTAATCTGAAAATCAAGTGATAATTAGTCATTAGATTTAAATTATTTTCATTAATCTTATTAAATACCCGAAAATTTCGGCTTAATGTTGTGTTTCATGTTAGAGTTTCAAACAATGGTGTTGAAAATTTTAAAGTAAAGAATTCTAATGACATAGAAGTAGATGAAATGAAGTCATTATAAACAATTTAGTAAAAATTAAAATTGAATGATAAACTAATAAGATATAGAGCTGATTTACTTTCATTTTTAATTACAAAATTAAGTCATGACCAATTACAAAAAAAAAACATGAATTTAACCTTTTTATAATTGGATAAATTTTAAAAAATGCATTTCTTACTTTCAAAGCTAATATTTGTGTACACAATTTTATCAGTACCTTTCATATGAAAGCTATTTGAATCAATATCAAATATTTGTAGGAAATAAGCTTTATTTTTAGTTGATACATAGATGATCTGATCAAAGGACAATTCGAGTATTCACAATTAAAGCATGATAATTTTTGTTCACGTCTGAAGTCCAATATAATTAACTGAATTTAGACGACGGTCGAATTCTCATCAACTTGCCATATCTTAGAACGTGCACTTCCTCTTACCGGAAATGAGATTAGTTTCGGGGACGCAATTAAATGAAGATTCTACTGACGACTATAATTATCTTAGTTTCTCTGTGAAATTTTTGTTAATTTTTTCACCAAGTCTCTTTCTTTTGTTAATAAATTAGTGTATTGAAATAGCCGAAAATTTGTTAGATAATATAGACATAAAAGGAATATTCCTGCACATTTCATATATATCTGCAAATGTTTTCTCATACTTGTGTAAATGTTAATGTTGGTTATCTTCATACGTACTTTAGATAATTATTCGTGACAAGATACTTATTAAAAATGATCAAGTTAATAGCAACATTAAAATGAAGTCTTATTACAGTGCATTACGTTTGTAGGCAAATGAAAAATAAATGTGTATTTCCATAACGTAGTATCTTTCTATAACCTTACACCCTTATCTCGCATATGTCAGTAGTAATTGTCCCCAACATTTGCTCACCTCATGCTTACATTGCTCGTCACGTGCTCAATTAAACCTCACCCAACAGTAGCCTTTAGCTTAATTATCATTATCTAAATCAGAAACTTAATTTCTCTTCTTCAAGAGATACTCTAAAGGCAAACCGAATAACCGAAATCCTCCACCTACTTCATCAAATCATCATTTATTATAGATAAGGCATCGTAATATTCACAGAAGTATCAAGAGCTATTGAAAATAGGGGAGATCAAAACAGGGTACTTGGATGTGTAATCACACTTGAAAGTCTCTAATAAAATTTTTTTGGACATTAATATCAATTATAAAAACGTTATTATATTAAAAAGTAAAAAGACACATTTTTTATACTGATTTATTCATAAGCCCTTAGGCTCTCTGAATTTAATTTCAGTGTCAATGGTTTGTAAGACGGAAAATCTGATATGAGTTTCAAAACAAATATTAATTTTTTCAATTAAAATATTCACAAGATGTTTTCTTTATTAAAAAGAATCGTTTAATTTTCAAGTCTCTAAATTATTAAATTTTTTAAATTAAATTATTATATAATAATCATAATTAAAAATAATGTCAAAAAAATTTTCTTGTATTTCATTGAAAATTGTGTGAATGATAAAAATATTGATTTCATGTAGCTTCTAAAAATCTATGATTTATACAAAAATTTTTTTATCATTTATAAATATCAATGTTTATTTATTATTTAAAAAGTTTCCAATGATATTATAAAAACATACAAATAATTAATTTTCAAAATATGAGTAACAAAAGCAAAGCAAGAAACATTCACAGAATAAACCATACTGTATTTATCCAAGGAATGTTCTTGAATCTTTAACTAAACAATTAACGAGTGCACACTCATGAAGCTTTTCGTAACATAAAACTACACCCTTTCATTATCCGGCTATAATTAGCAATAACCTTTTCTGTACCGGAAGTATAAGAATTGCTCGACGAACTTTGTGCCATACGAGACTCATTACAATTAAGCACAATTTATTATACATGAGCTTTTAATTTGTATGATGCATTTTTAAGACAGGATGTTACGTTAAACTGTCATGTTTCTATTTGTTGCGTATGATGAGACATGCTTATTTTAATACAAAAACTGGTATAATTTTAGTACATGAATGCTTAACAAGGTGTGTGCATTTAGAGTCTTATGACAGTCAAGATCTCTTTAAATAGCATGTATATAAATTTTTATTTAATAAACGTTTTCTCTTGGTGTGTTTAAAAAAAAAATATCAGCTCAATGATAAATTAATAGTAATATTGATGATACTTACTAGCTCATTATTGAGCTGAAATGAAAACTCTACTGGTGGTTTTGATGGAGGTACACTACAGTTTGCTCTCAGCAGATCTCCAGGGTTGTATCTTCGTCGTTCGGCCTTGATTGTGGGCTTGCGTGCTGGTAAAGCTGAAAAGAAAATATCATCATTAGTTTTTCCAATAAATATTGAAGCCATATTTATGTTTTAAATTGCGGTTTTTCATTTATTTATGTATTTATGATTTTTTATTTATTTACTCGAATGATTATTCAAATATTTCTGCATGAAAAAATCAGGTAAGGAAAAAGAAAACCACACTCTCAGAAATTTACACGTTTTCCTAGCAATTGAGTCCATTTCTACAAGAAAAAAATTAATTTTATTTCAAGTTTCTTTTCATGGGATTCATTTGTGCAATTAATTTTATGAGAAGCAATTTTAATTAATTATTATTAAATAATAATGTAATGTGAAAATGTTTGAGTGATATCGATGCGGTTATTAATGTCGATTCTTGTAAGTTTCGATTAGAAGAATAATTTTTAATCAGTAATAGCTGACTTGCTGGTATCAGTTGACAGTGACAAATCGTCCATCACTCATCACTAGCATGCTTAGTTTGGGTGACAACTTTAAATAATTTTCTACTGATCATCGTTCCCCTAATAAGCCATATTGGTAAGTATCTTAATTAAGTTGTGATCATTAGAGGGTGATATATAATAAAAACATTTTTTCCCCAGAGTACATAACAATAACTCGAACAGATGGCTTTAGACGAGAAGCTTCTATAAACACCATTCTGTTGAATATAAATATTTTTTATTATTATAGAAATCTTTTTTTCTATTTAAAATGAAGGGTTCATCATTTCAGAGATTCATGTTTGTAGCATAAAAGATTTTAGGAAATCAAAATATTGAATTATTTGTTAAAATTTAGAAAGGTCTGAGTTCTAAGTAAATACTTAGTTTAGAGAAGAATTAATTCTCTTAAGTGTAAGAAATGAAAAAATTTAAGAAGTTTCCACATTAAACAAATATTTGTAATTATCAGAGTAGTTTACATTAGAGGTCTGAACGATTTTCTTCTTATTTTTTTTGTTGATTACTTTTCAAAGAATCTTTAAAGGTCATATCAATATGACATTGCTTAAGAATCAACATTATAATGAAATATTTCAAATAAACAGAATTTTCACACTTGTAATATGATAAAATACTTGGAATACATTTCAGAATAATTTTCAAGAGATAATAATTATTTTAGAAAGAAATTTTTTTCCATTATTGCAATTCGCAAATTAGTTGAATAGTTTGGATATTCATGTAATTGACTAGATCAGTCTGACAAAGCTTGAAACTATCTACTAGATGAGAGGTCAACGAGTCAACTGGTCAGTTAATCTATGATGACTGGTAAAATATCTACCCCAATTTATTTAACCGATAATTAGCTTGCCTGCTTTTATCGTCAAATTCTGATAGGTTCTGATGAGCTTTGATGGTAAAGATAGCGATTTCTACTTTTCACACAAATTCCCCATTGTGTTCCACAATTAAAATTGTATCTTCAGACAATACCATCCAGAAATAAAAATGCTTTTCAAATAATAGATTTAATTAGACAATGTATATCTATTTGAAGATTAAAAAGAAATTTTTTTCCATGAAAACATATCAACTAATCTGCTCTATTCATCCGTTGAACGATATCTGCTATAGTTTCTATTTAATGAAGTGCTCTTATTATTTTATATATCTTTATGAAAAGATTATCTCTTAAAATGACCAGATATTTTTTAGAATATATCAATAAAATAATCTTTTTCTATGCTAAATATAAAATCGAATTTCGCTAAATTTTATATAATTATTTTCAAAGAAAAGAATTGTCAAATCACAAAGACTTACAAGTCTATCATTTTCCTAAAAAAAAAGTTCGCTGAAAATTTTTATCAAATTCAGTGAAATCATACGTAATTTTGATCCATCAATGCAAATTATTATAGTATATAAAACTAATCTATTGGAGTATCAAGCAGACAGTTGCGTGCAAGTTGCTTGAATATATTACCTATTAACTTCAACGTGAATAACAAGTTTTTTTTCAATCCACTATTATTCTCTTATTTCAACCTAAGAATCACTATAATCCCATTCCCCCAAAACAAATCCAAAAATTAGCTTTCACCGAGTGTAATCAAGCAGGCAAAGATAGTTGGAGAAATGAAACTTTTCAAGACAATGAACATGAGTAGTCCTATTGGTCGATTGCGTGAGTTATATACTGTCAAAAACAGTATTACACGCACGGTACATTAATCTTCTTACGCCTAATCTTTACTCAAGATAGTAAGGTCTTCATTTGTTAGAAGCATTTAATTGTAATGTTCGCTAAGCCATGGGTAGAAGATAAAACGTCTATATCTGTTACAATATTTTATCATAAACATTATGATTGCAATGTCTGATACTAACTATCCAGACTGCCTTAGAGCTATGGAATTAAATTTATTCATTTATTTTTAAAGATAAAAAAGAGCATGGAAAATTTGATATATTTTGTCAGCATAAAATCGGCGACAGAAACGAGATTAACTGATAACATGATATTCGTATTAACATTTTACCCTTTGAGGGAAGATTTTATCCTTCTAATGAACTTATTAAAAATTAAATTCCAAACTTGTTGATATTTCTGTGATGTAAATATTGAATTTAACTAATAAATTTGGATGTTTACACGTGCTTTATTGATTTGATTATTATTTAATACTTTGAGTTTTATTACATGTCCATAAACGTTAACAGATATACAAATTGATTAGAAATATACTGACCAGAACTTTGAACATTATGATTAGTATTAATTATTTCCTTCCCACACTTCTGTTACAATAAAATTAGAAGAGGGTGCTACTAAATAACTTGTTAGTATACATCTTATCAGAGAAATAAAAAAAAATCTTACATTTAATTAAAAGAAAAGTAATTATGTATTTTTATATTCAAATAAAGATCCTAATCGATGGTATCATCATAGGAATACTTGGAGGTCACGCCTTAATTTGAAACAAAAATTAATGCATCTGGTTGATAACCATCAAAGTGAGCAAAAAGCAGTATTTACATTTTAAAACGGCTTTCATGATGCAATGTGATTGTCCCCTCTCACGAAATTCATTTATAAATTGAAATGTTATCTGGTGATCTACAGTTTTGTAGGGTTCGTGATCGAATATATTATGTTATTGCATTTAGAAATTGAAAAAGTTGTTAGACTACTAATTATAAGCTTCAATATCTATTAGTTGTAATTATAGTAATTTTGTATGATCAAAGAATACTTACACATTACAACGATTTTTTTAGTTGCAGTTTCCGTAGAAAAAGTCGGTGCATCCGCTGTTACTTCACAGGAAATATTCCCAGTTAGACCAAAATCAACATTTTTTATTGTTACTTGACTTTCATTTGAATTCAACGTCTGAAAAAAATAGATCAATTTAGTTATTTACTTTTTGTTTAATGTTTTTAAGTATTGCATTATTAATACAAGTTGATGATGATTGATAATACTACAGTGGAATTGATAAAAATCTTCAATAATTAATTATTAAAAAAAAGAAAAAACATTCTAAATCTTATCTTTTTTATTTTTTATTGCGAATGTTGGTGACAGTGAGAAAAACTTATGGTGCTTTCAATCTCTAAGTAGATATATCGAAATTTCTAAGTACTCGTTATGATAAACTTTACAAGTACCAATAACTTTAAGATCTTCTATTTATCTTTATCATTCTTTGAACAAGTTCTGGATCCTTCTAGTATATTTTAAAGTTGCGTTAACCATCAAATATATTTATATATATATATATATTGTAAAGTTCAGTTGAGTTAGCTTAAATGAATTAAAAAATTCCAATCTTGTTATTATTGATTAAACATATTGATTCCATCAGAGATAGGGCCAACTTTTTAAAACGCTGTAAATAAAAAAAATTCAATAAACTGTATTGGAAACTATTTGATAAAACTTTATTGCATGGATCCTTTCTATTTATTTTGTATCTAAATTATTTAAACCATCTTTTTTACCCAAATTTATTTGCTATTCTTATTTGATAAAATAAAACTAAAAATGATAAATTGAATTTTTTGTATATTTTTAACAAATCGTCTAAAGATTTCTCTCTTTGTTTTCTTTGATTATCATGGTCTGTTAAGAATCATTATCAAAGCTTTGTTCTTTCTTTCAAATAGTTAATTAATTTTCGTATATTTTTTTGCTGAGTTGTTTCTTTTACTATAAAATATATTATCACTTTCATCAACTAGAACATGACTTTTTTTTTTAAATTTACAGCCTTTGATGTTTAATTTCATTAATTTTATAGCCTAATCGTGTCAGAGGATCTTCTGCTTTAACACAAGAATCACTTCAGTTAAGTTCCTTATTCTTTGATGGTCCGAGATAATATGAGTAGTAAAAGGATTCTCTACAACCGAAATCTGTTGAACTAAAGTCAAATTCTGTCAATATAAGTTTGACGAATATTGGCACAAGAACTTTCCAAGTCACTTTTGCCAATTTCACACAAATCCCTAAAATCTTAAAAACACGTCAATTTTGATGTTGATGGAAGTTGATAAAAGTCTTCTCCACTGGCTAGAAGTTTATATTACCTTCATTTCGAAGATATTATGAACCTCTCTAGTCGTAAAGGTTTGTTTCAGGCAGCTTTGACTTTCAGAAGCTTTTCATGTACTAAATATTCGGTCTTACATAGGACTTTGGATCATTGTCTAACTACACCACCACACCAAACTCAATCTTCTTTAAACTACGATCTGGTTTCATAGAAGTTGATAAATCCTTTGAACACCACAAAAAAGTATTATGATTTTTCGGTATCAATGAAAATGTTGTTCTACTTTCTAAAAAGGAATTAATGGAAATTATTGAGAAACTAAAAGCATATTTTAATTAACAGTTAGAAAACTATTATTATTTTAATCAGTATTATATTTATAATCATAAACAGTGAATATTAATTCATTTATTTTTGTAAAGTATGAATAAGAAAGTAACTGAGCTGACACCTGAATATTTTTTTGATGGATAAACACGACAACGAACTTTGACTGAACATGAATATATTTTTAGTGATTGAATAAATTCTTCTTTGAAAGATTTTCAAAAGAAACCAAAGTATTAAAATATTTTTAAAGCCTGACAACTATGGCTTCTTTTCCATTTTAAAATAAGTCAACGTACAAAATTATGATAATTTTTTATTTAAATAAACAAATCTTCTTATAAATTCTGTTATTTTTATTTATTTTTGATCGATAAAATAATAAATATCAATTCCATCATTGTTCTGTTAAAAGTGTATTTAATATCGGTCATAAAACTTTATGGAATTTCGGCAACATATCTATCATACCACCAAGTACTTAAATTTATTTCAATATAAGTGTTCAATTGATATTTCATGTGTTATAAAATATATATTTTAGTATTAATGAAAATACTGGAATAAAAATTGTATTCTTCTAAATATCGATAAACAATAATGCAACAGCAATAATAGAGTTTATATAAATACGACGAATAAAATGAATATTAAACAAATTGGAATGAAATGTGAAGAACAATTAAACTATTTATTCATTTATCACACAGTGATTTTTGTGTGAGAGATGAAGTGAAGAAATATTTCAGGTAATCAAATGTCAGTGGTTAGCTCATTTACTCTTCTCTAATTGCAGAAAACTATGCAAAAGAGTACTTATGTACGCACTATTACGTGTCAAAGGATATCTTGTGAAAAGTACCTCAACATGAACTATTAGCCCTAAATAGTTCAATTAGTGCTTCATTATAATGACTACTTTAGAGGCAAATTATTGATGAAATGAACTCAAATGGTTTAGATATCATTGAGACATTGTGTAATTGCATTTACAAATTTAACACCGTCACCAATATTCTTATTTCAAAAATGTTTTTCAATTGTTATCAATTTTTATTGTGTTTCTATCTAAATGTAAATTTTCGGCTATAACCGTAGCACCAAGACTTCTTTCAATCCAGATGTATTCTATGAAAAAAAAAAAAAAAGAAATCAGTAAACGTTAGGCATTCCATGCATAAATAAATATTTCGTATTATCAGATTATTTTAGTCACCGAAAACTTCTGTATGGAATATGTAAGATAAAATATAATAATAATCACATGCACATATTAATGAGAATATTTTATCTATATTATATATATGTACAATCAAATTAAACTCACATCAACTTCGATTCCAGGGACATTAAATATTTTCGTTGATGGCTCTTCTTTGGGCACATATCTGTAGAATTCGTGTTTTCCACGATACCATTTCAGAGAGTAGAGGTGAGGTTTATCCAATATGTAATGACATCGTAAAATAACTTCATGACCTCGTTCAACGATTTCTGGTATTATTTCTAACGTTACGTTTCGTAAACATTGTACACCTTGAAAAAACAATAAAGTTTAGGATTAAATAATAGAAAACATGCAAATTACACAATATTATTAGCAATATATAAAATTCTATTTTTTTTTTTTTGGAAATTGTAAGTAAGAGAAAGACAATAATGCAAATTATCAGGAAAAATAGCAAGCATTAAAGAAGTTTGTCAGATATGTACTAAATCTCTAAACCGAAAAATAGCTGTTAAAATAACAGTCAGTTTAAGAAACCTTAAATAAAAAGGAAAAGTTCCTAAAATGAGATACTCTCTTTTCATAGATAAACTTTAAAATAATGATTAACTTTTTTCATTAATTATAAAAGTAATAATTAATGAAAAAAGCTTTCTTCATACACTTCAATGAACTAGATTTCAAAAAGTCTAACTCTATTATATATATTTTAATAAAATCCTCATAAATTTTTTATAAAACAACTTTCGGTGTTTGAAGTTTTGATATAAAATTCACCTTCAAGTTAATGGCAATACTTGCAATTATACTTTATTAAACACCAGAAACTCTTCACTCTTCATTTCTTATTATTCCATATTTTTTACATTATCTTGTTTATTATGACTATTTCCTTGATAGTGTACTACTATGCCACTCCACCAAAGCTTGTCTTCCATTGTGATCTTTCAGGCTCTAGCTTTTCCAGCTGTCCCATTAAAGGCTATATCACTAATGTTCTGGTTATTTCTTCATGTTATTTTTTTGCTGTTATTTCTTCAAACCCCTCAGCCGTATATTGCCTATTTCAGTTAAAGATTCTTTTTAATTTCATTCTGTCCTCGATTTCAATCTTGTGTTGTTTTTGTCCAGTTCAATAGCACTGACGAGTAATGTAATTCAATTTTAAAATTCGTAAATGGAATTCTGTCAAATACATCAAATCAACAGCACTTGGTTATGATATGTTCAATATTTTTATGTTTTCATATTGAGAAGAGCTATTATGCCTGTTATAAACCAATATGATGATTCAGATTCATCCCAAAATTTTTATTTCCATCATTTGGTTATTATAAAAAACTAAAGATAATGTTTAAATAGTCAATAGCTGTTTTTACTGATATTTTTTTTTATCATGCTTGTTCAACAAAAATATTTTAATAGACAGAATACGTGGCTGTAATATAAACCTTACTGAAACTATTTCTTGATACCTTCTGCTATACTTCATGAATTATACAACATAAACTGTATGATTTTCCAATTTAGATGACCAGTTTACAAATTTTTGTTCAAAAATTGTTTTGTTTAGCATCAAATATTCTGAAAGAGCTCTTAAATCCATCACTTGATAAACTATTTTCCAATTTTTTAAATATTCGAATTTGTACCGAACTACTTCATCAAAAATAGCAGATTTGAAGTTAAAATAATGAAAAAAAAAAACATTGATAATAATTTATGAAGCCTGAGATTTGTTTTACTCCATGTTTCATTTTCTTGAAACACTTCAATTCGATTTCTAATTCTAGTATAAGTAATCAAACTCTTCTTTGCCTCATATTGTTCTTTTCCTGATAACTAAATCTATTCATTACAAACGACTATTCTAACTCTTCGTCTTTCATGGTTAAACTTAGCTATCAGTAAACAATAGATTGTCAATCTATTGTTTATAACCAACTTTGTTTACATTTAGTTGTTGCCATTTGTTGTTGATTCTCCAACTTCAATCACTTTTGAAGCATCTTATAGAGTGATTACTTGGATCACTCAATTGCTGTTACCAGAACTCTTGCATGAAAACAGTGTCTATCATCAATGTCAAAGCTTTTTAGAGTAGTAGCAAAGAATGAGTATAATAGTTGTCATCCTGATAGGATACCATGTGGAATTTTGCTTCAGAGTATCTATTACCTGTAAGTTCATATCCTTATTCTATACCCTGTAAAAGAGAACATTAGTATAGCCCTGAAGCTAAGAGCTATAGACACGTACTTACAAGTAATGGATATTTCGTAGCTAAGATTTTGTGACAACCGACCCGTACAACAACCATACCCAGTCTCCCCTATCATAGTTTCAACCGTAACTTGACTCTACATTTTAGCTATGTAACCACATGGTAATCATTGCTCTCTACTCTGTCTTGTGGTCTAGAACTCCTTAGAATTTCAGACATAATCATGACTCATATGTCTATTGCTTTCTTCAAACATAAAATCTTATTTAAAGCTGCTTATTCAGAATATCTAACAATTTATTCAATTAAACTGTATTTAAATTATTTCCTCTGAAAATTGCCGAAATAACAAATGCTTATTTGTTGAAGAAATTACTAAATTAGTAAAATATAAATGTTCACAAATTTATCTACGCAGAAATTATTCAAGTTGTTTTATCTAAATATTTATGAGACATTCTCCAGTACTTGCCACAGTTATAGTAGCCATAACCATTATTTCGGTTATAATAGTTATTTTGTTATTGCTGTTAGCATACTGTGGTTGTGATAATTAAATATTTTATTATTAAATCATAAAAATATTATTCATCTTTTTGAAATTTATATAATTAAACTTTTGTCTATTTGGCCAACAAATAATGGCTATCAGTCATATCAAATAACCACTTCAGAAGAAGAAATAGTTTGATTCAATCTTCTATAAAAGTTGGTTCAGCTAAAATCAAAGTAACATAAATGTTCCATGTCTCCTACAATTCTAAAACAGAAGACCATAATGTTCTTCACACTTTCAACTGGTCTGTCATATCCCATATGTGAATATCCCACAATTTTCAACTTACAAAGTTCATTTCTATTTCATTTTCCTCAAATTACATATATCCAGATGAATGGTTGATCTAATGATCAATGCTTCAGCATCAGCTTTGAAAGCAACACCGGAATCTTGCTAAAATTTCGTTAGCATACATAAAATGCTTGTCTTTTATTCAGGTATTCATTGAATAGGGATGAAGTGAAGTTCCTTGATGCATTTGTATCCAGCATATTCTATCAGTTTGTTGAAATATTGCTTATATTATATAAGTCATACAATTTTTTTTTTATTATGTCATTGCTTCTTAAGTTTTCTATTCTCTTATTGTAAAATTGTAAAATCTTCCATTCAATGTAAGTTTAATCTCACACCAGATTCATTTCATCAAAGTCACTTTGATATCTTGGATGAATAGAGTTGACAATAAAATCATGGCATTGTTATCTGATATAATTTATTTTTAAATATTACTATTTTTTGTAAGTGATCAAATGGTATTTCTTTATATTCTACACAATTGGATTTCTATTTATTATAAAATTGATTTTAAAGTTGTAACGATGTTGGTAAGCATTTCTGATCTTCTTTTTATTATTAACTCTATCATTTCATCAATTTTATTATATGAAATATATTTTTTATTTGAAATTTTATCGTATGTAGCTTTTGTTGTTCAATATCGAACTCTAGTTTTTTCTTTCTTTCTATCAATAAACTTTTGGTGGCATCGAATTTTTATATACACATATATATATTATAGATAGTACTTGCTGCTTTTAACTTAATGGCTTTTATAATATTTCTGTAAAGCCTTTCAACTTTTCAATCTTAAGCCGTGGATCTAGAATTTGTAGAGTTTTAACAGAATAGTTCTCCAAACTGTCATGTCTTAATATAGAACTGCATCCAAATCCTTCTTGAATCCTAAATACTAGTACAAATGGACACATATGTTGTTAACAATCAAGTATAATCCGGGTGGTTATATTTGGTGTTGGCTTTTATTGCTATTGGAGATGAGAGAGATGAAGTAGATTTCATAATTTCCTGATTCTTCATATTTATTTAAGTTATGGATTAGGGTAGATTATAATCTATTTTTGTCTTATTGAAAATATATATAGATATTATTTTTATTTGTTAGTAGTGGATAAAAATAACCAAAATTGAAATATTAATTACTGTTGTAGGGAAAAGTTAATTAAAATGTGCAATATATCTTATAGATCGATAGCTTTATCAATCAGGGCTATTTTATAAGACGGATAAAGATACATTGTTTCGATTACGATAAATTTAATTAAATTTGTAATCTCCAACATTCAGAATAAATGTTGAAATTTAATAATTAAAAAAATATATTTTTTAATTAGTCCATTACATAATTGCCAAAAATTATAAAAACAAATTCAATTATTATTTGTTTAGTTATTTTTTCATTATTTTATTCATTATTTATTATTCTGCTGTGTTTAATTAATATTAATTTTGAATTATCAATTATTTATTTGTGAGTCAGCTCCTATTGTTGAATTTATCAACTACTTCAAAAATGACATTATTCAAAAATAATAGAGCTCAAAGTAATAATATACTAGTTGTTAATAATTTAAAATTAAATAACAATAATAATGTTGTACTAAGTTTCTTATCAAAGCATGAAATTTTGGTTATGAACGATAAACCATTTTAGTGGGCTTAAATTGAAAATAATGTTGAGGAAAATGAATGAGATTTATAACAAGATGTGGATGGTACTTAGATCTAATTTAAGATTGAACATAATAACCTATCTAACAATAAACATTTCAATTTACGTTATATATAGTTATTATTACTCAACAATGATTGCAACTTCTTTTTAATTCATGTCTAGTAAAATCATAATGTTTGGAATTTACAGCATTCAAGCCTCTCTCTCTCTCTCTCTGTGCTTATTCTAAGAATTCCAAATGAATGAACGTAAATTTCGTGAATTCATTACTTAAACACAATGTCTAGCTCTACATTCATTTCAATATTGTTAGAATGTTAAATTTGATTTATTTTAATTTAATAAATAAAATATAATTATTGATGTTGAAAACAAGTATCAATCTATTTTTGAAACTCAATGGCGATAAATTACTGAGAGTATTTGATGTTAATTTTTTTCAGTAATTTTTACAATTGAATAATTTTTCAATGGATATTGAAGTTGAGTTCATTTGAAGTTATTTTCAGTAACATACGAGAAAGATTCAAATCTCTTTAATAGAAAAATTAAATTGAATTGTTATAAAATACCAACTAAGTATTAATAAAGAAATAACGTTATATTTATTACACTATTTGATTAATTTAGCATATAATGATATTGTAATATACTTTCCACTTAATTTTGATGAATTAATAATAAAAATGAAAGTAAAGTGGTATTTTCTATTAATAATTTCAAACATTGTCATTAACTTCTATAACGTAAATCATTGATGTTCAAAAATTAATAATGAATTTTGAAATCAAATCCAATTCTGGCATCACTAATTCTCAAATTTCTCTTCATTGTAATTTTACAAATTATTCAGTAATATTAATTAATTAGTGATAATTTGTTTCAACACATGGAGATGATGTTTAAAAATATATGAAAATTTGTATTCGCAATCAGATAAAATACGAAAAGGTGAAAAAAAATTCAATAAATTCACACAACATAGTCACAATTTAAGACTTCAACCACTAGAATATGTTTTCATAATAACTTTAAAACTCATATCAAGTTGAAAACAGAATTCACACGCTCTGCACTTTTCTTTTAAACGTATCTCAACTTCAAGATTCGAACTCACGATACTTTGGTTACGATTCATACTTGGTATGAATCTATGATATTTAGCTGATTAAATGTTTGCATTTCAAATAGTCTATATATGTAGTGATTTATTTATAGAAAGACTCGTGATGATAAATATTTATCATAAATTTGACTAAAAACACCATAAATATTTTCAATGATTTTATGACAGTTTAAAAACAGAAGATGAATAATTAAAAATATAAAATAAATTGCCATGTTATTATTAATATTTGCAAATAAATAATGAATCATTAATTAAACAAGGTACCGATTGGAATAAAAAAAAAAAAACTTGATGCTTAAAATTTTGAAGTAAATAACGGTTCATTAAACAGCTGAAATTTTTATGGTGAATTTATTGATAAAAAATCTCGTTCATTAATAGTTAAAATTTCCAATACTAACATCGATTAGAATGATAAAATATTAAAAGAAGCACAGGTGACATTACTTTATCTCAGTATTCTTTACATGATTAATGAAGCGATTCGAACTTTCACTTGGATGAAGAAAATTTTTAATTAACGACGAAAAAAAAGAAAAAAAAAAAAGAAAAATTTGTATTGATGAAATATATTTAATTAATCGTGATAACGTTTAATATTAATAATATTAAATATGTAATATCAGTGTTTTACTAAAATGTTCAATTATCCATATACCTTGCAAACAATGTCCTTATTGACAATCGATTTAATCTTATCTCAATTAAGAACTACTGACTGTTGGCAGCTTAACGTGTTTTTTGGCTCAAAAATATCTTTGCTTTCTTTCAACGCCAATTTTAACTTCGATGAAATCCAGTGATATTTAGTCCGGTTTTGATTAATTATTCCTAAATAAAAAATTAAACAATTTAATTGTTTATTATTATATATTATAATGATTAAAATACTTATTAATTTTTGAATGAATATTTAAGGAAAAACTGTTAAACAGTGCGTAATAGAATTGATAGGCAAGTGAATAACAATGTGAAACATGTCACATGAAATAAACCGGAGAATATTTATTGCTCGTATATATATATATATATCTATAAATTTATAAAGTCTTTCTACCTCTCACTTCGAAGGAGTACAGGATCAAAAAATAAATGGAAAAGAATTGTGGATGAAATCCACGATGAATACTTTTGTAGAGACATTAAAATATTTATGGTTCACTAAAAATATATAGACAATTGAAATTCAATTTTTTATCAGCTAATTATCATTGAAATTACATTACCTCGCTCATAGTATGGTAATTTACTTTGTGCAAAAAAAATTCACTAATCAGCCAAATAGTCAAAAAAAAAGAAATCCCGAGCTTTAGAAAATAAAGTGACACAAGTATGAATTAGTTGATACATATCTCGACATTTAATACTTCATCACATGGCAACAAATTTAATTGACGAGGCTTTTTCAAGCATTCGGGGGTTTTTTTTTTTGTTTCAGTCGTCAGAGTAAATTTAAGCTTGAGTGAGTTTAAAATTTTTATCGTTTTTCTTAATATTGAATGTAGACACTGTCAAGGGACAATTATACTTTTTAATCGTAGCAGAAACTAATTGTCACAAAATTGAGGAAAATTACAGCGAACTTTACAATCTTGATGTTTCAACTATAGACATAGAATAAAAAGGAGTATTTTTTTTTTTGATATGACTTTATGATGTTTTTAATTCTGAGAAAATACCCAGTTTGAAATCAACTCAATGTCATTGGACACAAACGTAATGCTTATATTCACTGAAATCATATTGATTTGAAAACTTTGAAGGGACAGCAATCTTCATATTAAAAAAGTTTCATTAACTTGGATAAATTATCAAAAAACTAAGAAAAATTTTCTTTTCATTTAAGATATTTGTTTGTATGTTCGGTACATAACATACTTGTTCGAGAAGAAAGAAAGAAGGGACAATTTGAAGAATATTAAATAAAAATGTCTATTTTATTGCTTTACTTTACATTTCAATAGCAATAGAATGTATTTAAAAAGCATATTTTTCGAATGAAAAAGAAAGAGAATGAATTCTATAAAGGTAAAGTAAATTTTTTTTTAAGTAATTTTCAATTAACTTTTAATACTGCTATGATGTACTGAGACTTTCATTTACTACTCAACGTCGCCTTTGTTAGAAATCCAATTTTTCTCAATTTTATTACATCTAAGTTATTAGGAAAAAGACCTTTCCAATTTCCAATTGAGTTATATTAACTTTAGATTTGTAAAAAATTTTTGATAACAAAATGTTGAATTTTTATAATTAAGGATCAAACAAGAAAAAGAATATCAAATAACACACTTTGACGAAAAAAAAACCTCATTTAGGAGTTAATTGATCTTTATAATGATCACACACACACAAAACTAGAAACATTTTTTAATTTCATTTCCGCAATAACGATGTAAAGTAGAGTCAACGAAGCAGTTTTGCATAGACAAAGAGAAAGAACAAAGGGTTAAGAGCAAGTTTTGTAAAACGGTTTAAAAAAAAATATATATATATTCTAAGCTTACCTGTAATAACAACAAACATAATGATAGCATTTTTCCAAAATATATCAGCCATTGTATATATATATATATATATATAATAAATTAAAAATAAAATCGACACTTGCACAATAATATTTTATTCAAAAAAGTCCGTCCTCCGAAGAACCTTCACTAATTGTCTTACACATTTGCAGATTTGTTCATTGTCGGTTTTTGACTCCAGAATATCCGACTCCAGTTGAATTGTTTGTATAAATCTTGCCGAATAAAGTAACAACACCCTTGAAGATGTGCTATTTCATTTTAGCGTGTTAAAAAAAAATAATGTCCCATCGAAAGAAATTTTAGCAAATACTGAATCCACTATTTACGCGAACAATAGATCTCTCAGAGATGTTTACTGAATCGCTTGATTCAGCAAGCTTTTATTCGCGGTTACTCACTTCACTCTGTAATGCGCCGATACATACAAGATTTTCACTGCGGGTTGCCCACCGATTTCTATTTATTGTAGATTTTCAAAAAATTTTATTTCAAACTCAACTCGTTAAATCCAATTGTCCTCAAATTGCCGGTTATTTATTCCAATATTATATTTGACGACTATTTGAGACATTTTCAGTGAAAATAATGAAATAATTCAGTTACAGTTATCACAATACTATTGACAAGATATTAAGATAAAGCTTATGAAATGTCGACAGGATAAATATGTACGTATAGCTCTCAGAAATTACGATGAGTGAGACTGAGCGTCGCCGTGCGTACTTTTGCTATTATAAGGCGCACATGCGCACCACATGTCTCTGATATTCTCTGCGCACTCGTTTTTGTTCAATCTATTCGCCCCATCGCATCCCCCAACTTTTTTATGTCTACTTTTTGTCTTACGCTCATTTTTGTTATTGGTAAGATTTTATCATTTTTATTTTAGCCTTTTTTTTTTCTCTCAATCAACTGTTATAATCAACTAGGGATATTCTTTATCATGTTTTATGTAACCTATAAATACATATACATACCTAAATCCTAACTCTAACCGTGGATATGAAAAGGATATCTAGATTTCAATGCGCAGGGAATCCTCATAAATGTATAGAATATTTGTTACGTAACAGATATTTCCTTTGACAAGTCTTTAGACAGTATATTATTTGAAATTGATTCCAATTAACTGAATAGACTATTGAAAAGTAAATTCAATATCTATAAAGTCATATAATATTTTGTATCATCAGTTTATCAATGTCATGATGTAACTCAACAAAGTGATAAAATAGCAACCAATGGAAAATTCTAATTTAATGACATGAAAGCCTCTTATATATCCTGCACATCAATAAATCTCATTTCTTACCATGAAAATCATGTAACACAGATGATGAATTTCAGTTTTATTTTTAAATCTTAATTATTACAAATAACAATTAAATCACTTTTATTAAACCAAGAAGAAATCTTATTTATCTTTGGAATTATTACTTTTTAATTCATTTTTATATCTGATGCATAAAACTACTAATAAATAATAATAATTATAAAATGTAAATAAATATAGTTAATAAAAGAATGAAGGTTTCATCAAATTAAACTCAATTTGTAAAATAATTAAAATTCAGGATAATCTCTTTATTTTTGACATGTCAAACTAAGCACAATTCAATGCTTGTTTAATTTTTCATTGAAATTATTCAAATCAAATCTCTATCATAATATAATTTGAAACTACATGTGTTCATTATTTTTTCAATATAAAATTCAATGCATGAAGTTGAAAAATATACTATTACAATTTTTCATCTCAAATAACAAAAAATTACAATTAAAAGCAAATGCTTTAATACAAATTGTGATAAATAACTGTAAATAAATTTATGTTTTCTATTGTTTTGTTTAATATGTCTTGATCAATCAATCATTATTCAATAAAGTAATAATTGTTACTATATTACATTATTCAGTTTTTCCACTTCTAGAAATCAATTATTAAATATGGAAATATATTTGGTTATTCTTTTAAAAGCATTGAACATAAAATAAGTTAATTAATTTTCTTCCAATATATAAAAATTCTTTTTTTCTCATAAACGATTGATTTTTAATAAAGTTTAATTAAAAGTAATAAGATTGAAAAAAAACTTATATTTACTTTTTACTATTTATCAAAAAGAGTTTAAATATTGATAAAAGAGTATTGATATTGAAATGAAATAATAAATAATTCATAAATTATTTTTCTTAAGTCTACACTTGATTGAATGTAATGTTAAAATGTATTGATATCTTGTTAATTGGATTAAAAAATAATATATTCTTCTAGTCTTCTAATTCGCGCATCAAGTGTACAAGACGGAAAGTTTTTAGTCGAACGTTGAAAGATTAATTAATTTCCCAACGACTTCTTCAGTATAAACTGACACAATTTAATATTGCGTCAAGTGCATTCTCTAAGAGTTAAAATATTGGAAATTTTTTCTTCAGAATTCTTTCTGTCATTAATATATTTTTTTGTTCCATTTCATTTTTATTTCAATCACCGTGAAAATAACTAATAAATTCTTCATTACTCTTAAATATCTTAAGTATCGAAAGAATTACTAAATTTTCAAGAAATACTCTAAATGACACAAAAAATGTGCAAGTAAGTTGTAAAAAAAATAATATAATGTAATTAAATGATGAAATTGCAAATAATCTCTATTTAGAGTCTGATACCTATTTTTCTTGGAAAATGTGAAATTTCTTCATGCAAATAGAAATATAATACCACTAGGATGAGGACAAGAAAATTGAAGAAAATATTATTCCGGAAAAGATTTATTAATAATATGATACATACTGACTAATTTCTACTATACTACTTATCATGATAATTATTTGGTTATTATTAGAGCTGTTACCACTATTATAACGTTCTATTCGTAAATGTGCAAAAGTATTTATTATTCTTACTTCTACACGCACCTGTGAAACAACTATAAATACCAAGCGTATTACATATGTTTACATATTTACATATACAAATGGTACATTGAGAATGGATGAAATAAAATTATAGCAAACAATGAATTCAAAATTACCACCCCTATTATAGATTGATTAATTATTCAAATAATGATATATTATGTGAAATAAAAATTATTGTCTCTTAACGTCTCATATTTTATATATTCATTATTTAATCATTGACTTGCTTATTACTTCTATTTATTAAGTGTTTTTACTTAATTTAATGATAAGTTCGATTAAATAATTGCCAAATGTAGATAATTATATAATTTTCAATTTTTTCGATATTCAATATTTTACTTAATTAAATCATTATTTGGTGTACTAATTAAATTATCTTATGATATTTCATGTTAATTCAAAAACTTATTATTAAATTAATTCTCCAATTTTTATTGAATGTTATTAGCTTAACAGCTGCAACGTTTAATATTACGTAAATTATTAATTAATTTTATCACGTTTTAATTACTATTTTATAGAATTTTTATACAAAAAATCAACCTATATGAGAATCGAATAGGAAACGTCTATATTATATGTATATTGCGTGTCAATTAACGACAATTTCAAATTTTTTATGTGAATTAATTATTTGTCTACACAAGAATTGATATGCATATTTACAAGTAAATTATTACAATCACAATCTTGACTTATGTATGATATAAATTAAATTAAATACTATTTAATGAAATAAAAGTCACTACAATAAAAATTACTTCAATTACTTGAGACCTAATGTCTAATATTAATAGCATAATTCATACCTTGATTTGGTGGTAGTAGAAGTATCCATTTATTATCAGACCAGTGAAATCAGAAGTTTTACAAAAGATACTACAGTGAATTTTAACTGGGTGATTATTTGAGATGACTATTTTTAATGGTATAAAATAATAAAAAAAAGCTAAAAAAATGTCATCTAGTGTAATAAATCATAATTTGTACTTTATTGTCTTTCAACATGTAGGGTATAAATAATTATTCTCCTTTAAAGTTCAACCTTTTACTACCAGTTTGTTATATAACACTTGAACAAGCTTCAAAAAAAGCCCACATGGTTTAATATTTTTAATCAACCATTTACAATAAATTATTAATCATACATAAACATAATCTATCATTACAATAATGGTGTTTCATTTAAAAAAATTAAATTTTCTTTTAAAGAATCTTACACTTGTTAAAGTTAAACTGGATATTCTTTGTTCCTATATAAACATTGCACTGTTTGGTCAACAATTGTTCCTTGAAAATAAGACCATTTTTGGTACATACTATAACTTTTTAATGAATAATCAAAAATATTTAACAGAGTTTTATATTCATCTTTAAATATTAATAATTAAAATTAACATCTAAAAACATTATTTTCCTCCTTTGAATTTTTAATGCAATTCATAATAATTTTAATGAATTATTATAAGGATTACATAGGCACTCATAAACGTATTGCTTTATTTACATGAATTATTAAAAGATAAGTTATCTGTCAAAAATATGGACTTAATCGAAATTCAATCTTCTATAAATATGTAACAACGTTTGTTACATTTTTGTTATCAACAAAAATTGTTAATTAGATTCTTTAACTCTATACTTTAAATGCATCAGTTATCATATCTAAATTCTAAAGCTTCAACATGTTGACGAACTTACTTGCTAAAAATGATAAAGCTTTCGAGTTCTTTCTTATATATAAATGTTATAGCTAGAGTTTTTGGTTCTCTTTTAAAAAGAACATTTAAATGTATTACATGTCTATCCATATACTTCAACAGCAAGATTATTTTTATATTGAAAATTTTTACATATATTTCTTTTTACTGATTATTGCCTTTATTTTACCATTTCATCATCAAAATACAGTTATGTGATAAAATATTTCCCTCATAAAGCTTTCATATCTATATCCTTGCATTAATATTGATTGTAATTACTCGACATTTAAGATAATCCTAATGACGTTTCGTTTATAATTTATAAAATTATTAATCTTTTATTCATTCAACTGGTTCAGATATTGTTCTAATTCAATTTTATTTTTCAGATATAGCTGATTCATTCCTGAATGACCTATTTCGACTCTTATCTAATAATCATTGGCTTCTGGGTGTATCATGTTCTTCTTTAGAAATCTTCCGTTGTTTTAATCCAGTGGCCAAATAAGAAAATACGCAAATTACTGCGTAGCAGATTTCTCTCGCCTATGAGGAAAAAACTTGCTTTATTTTAAACTCATTTATTAGATTTTAAAATATTGAACTTGGTTATTTAAAATGATGTTATCACACTATATTCAATACTATCATTAGAAAATAACTTTTCAGAATGTTATGAATTAATTTATTCGGTTAGAAAAGTTAATAATTGTGTATTTTAAAAAACAAAATATAATTAACAAAAGAAAATGTGCGTCATACCATCATTATCAGTGATTAATTTTGATCTCTATTTACTCACCATTGGTGATTTGTATTTATGTTGAATAATTTGCCGAGTTTTAGGATCTAGAAAAAAAAAAAGATCAAGTGAAATTAGTTTAATCCGTAGTTAAAGTGTGAATTAGTTGAAAATATTGATTTAATCAACTCACTGTATTCCTCCAATACAAAGATGCCACCATTTTGAGTGAAGCATTTACGAATACGTTCGAATTTCACGAAGAACTGCAAATAACACAACAAATATTGGTGCCAAAATTATATATACTATCTGTACTAAATATCTATCTATTGCATCAATTTTGGTCTAATCCCGTGCAAAAAGGTGTGGTTAATTAATAAACATTAATATCACATCATAAATTATTATTAATAAAATATTTAAAATTATCTTATAAAAATGGTCTATGCCGATTTCAAAAAAATTCGGCCATTCACTCACAAGTTTTATACTTGAAATTAATTATAGAATAATTAAAATAGGTGAAAATGGTAAAAAAAAACTTCAATTAATTAAATCTTAAAAGAATTCTTATATAAACTGGATACTTTAGAGCTATACAACATATCTACTCTAGGCTACTAATTTTTAAAGGATTTTTAATTCGACCACGGTACAATCTTCTAATTATTTTGTAAATATTAATCATTATTTCGATCACTCAGATAGCCATACAAAATGTATAGTGTCTTTTATAATAACCCAATAGTGGAAAAAATGGGATACTTTAAATTGTATAATGAAGTCAAAAGGATGACTATCATGATAAAAACCTATCTATGAGGACCTATTATAAAATTGGAGATATACAATCACATGAACATACTTGCCTATCATAAAATTTAATAAAGGTAATCATTAGAGCTCTTTTATCTTTCTGTTTGTGATCATGAATAATCAAAAATCAACATCAATAATAAATTTTAATATAACGATATGAACACAATGATGAATTATTTTCACCAGAGAAAATAGAACAACATATGACGACAAATTAAAAAATTATATCACATGAATATTTAAAAAGCCTCTGCATAATCGGCACCTGAATGAAGATCAAATGAAACACTGTTGGATCCTATATCTGATGACACCAAAATTCACTGGAGGATGTTAAATAAGAGCAGATAACTCACAAGGGCCATGTTTGTTAGTATCTTTTAAACATTGCAAATTTTACTTACAGCAGCTATAAAGCACAAGCTATACATTAAAGCAAAGAAGATAAATTATAACATTTACATGCAACTAAAAGACAATAGTTACATGAACAGGATAATAAAGAGGGGTATTAGAGAAGCCATTGAGATATTAATAGAGTATAATATCTTGGCAAATTAGACTGCTAAATACTAGGTAAGCTTCAATAACAGCTGTCTTAAGTAATCTTAAAGATAAATGCACTTGGTTTGATAAATATTTTTATCCAGTACTTCATTATGTGGATAGGTAGTAAAGCTACAAAAATTCTTTACATTCTTCAACGTGATACAAAAAAGACGTTATTCCAAGCGTCAGTACTGGATGTAGTACCAATTAAAGTATACTTATGGTGAACAATAAATTTCATGAAGATGATTTTCATGATACAAAGGTCATAAAAATAAATATTTCTAGGTGATGATTAATGTCAGGTATAGCTGATTTTTTTGAAACATTTAAATAATGACAATGAATCACATTATTGATATGAAATTTGATAGAATAAATTTACAAAATTAGCAGGTATGTTTTATTGAATACTAATTGGTAAACTTGTAGCTGGAAATATGAGATAAAACTGGAGAGAAAAACAAAGTAATGTTAATAATAACTGTAATTAATTATTCTCCACAGTGTGATCAACATACTGGATAATATAAGTATGTAGGAAAAAAATTTAATCCTGTCCAAACCTCCTCGTGACTACTTATATACGCTGTACACTTAACAACACTAGAACAATCACATAAGTATGCACACAACGATAACACAGAAGAAAATCAGCTTTTTGTTGTAATAAAAAAAAAAAATGAGGCAGTTTCAAAAAACAATGAAGAAAAGTTGAAGCCAGTTATGAAATAACAAGTCCACTGAAGTCACCTTCACACTACACAGGTAATTGTCCACAAGTCTACTTTAATCAGTAACTGCAGCCTTCTTTTCACCAAAAAAGAGGAGGTCAAGTGTTTAAGCATGCACTTAGACAACAGGTTGACTTGGAAAAAGAAATATTTTAATAAAGATAAAATGAAAGAAAAATATGAAATTTACTAAGATTTTTTTTTTTAGAAGTAAGCTATCAATTTATAATAGTGATAATAATCTACCTATATATATATACATAACTAGATATAGGCTTTGATGATGATGATAATAATCATCAATAGGTATTTTCAATCGTTGCTACCCCATCATCATACAAATTAACTAGATGTATCTGCTTCAATAAATACAGCTAGTTTTAATAAATGACACACGAAACCATATTGATGTATTGTTATTTAACTTTTCTTTATCTAAATATTATTTGATTCTGGATTCTATTACATGGGATAAAACATTAGTTAAATCACTTCATAATAATATTGATATCAACTATTATTATATTCATTTTAGAATTGTTTTGAGTATAAAGATACAGAAAAGTAAATTGTAATTTAAAGAGTATATTTTCTATTAAAATATGATAATAATAGATTGCTGAAAATTTGATCATAATCAGCTGAATGATATAATAATTAATGCTTTAATAAAAGGCTCGAGATCACTTTGAAGATCTTTTGAATTTGAAAGTCAGATAATGAATTCATTTAATATTAATAATTTATAAAACTTTTTGAGATATTATTAACCATTTCAATTACTGTCAAGTACTATTAATAAAAATGTTTGATAAAATAATTTATATATAATATTACAAATTATCCTTCATCAATACCAGTCTATTGAAAGCTGAATTTAAAGAGTCTTTTTTAATTTATTCTACTCTAACTAATAATCACAACAGACATAATTAATGTAATTATATTCAAGTTATCTTTTATAAACCTTTATATTCTATTCATGAATTCTCAGCTGAAAGTTGTTTCTTTTTCAGGTAAAAAAATTTAAAATAGAACTAGTCTTGAATCAAGATCAATAAGTATTATTCAGCATCTTTTTAATTATTTCAAGGAAAAAAAATCCATTGCTAAAAGGTTAGACTCTAGAGTGTTCTGTCTGTCCATCAATCAGTCTGTCTTTTTTTTTCAGGATGTGTATTACACCGTATACAAGATAAAGGATCTTCATCTCTACAAGTACGTTTAAATCTACTTTGAAAAATGGTATGAGATTTTTATGACTTCATATGTAAGTACCATATGAATTTCTCAAACAAGAGATTTTTGATTCAGATAGGTATTCATTCACATCTCAGACACCAAAAGCCCTCACCTATTTTCACATTTTATAAATACGCTGTGAAATATTTATGAAAATGTTTTAGATATGAATACATTGACAAACTGTAATGCAAGACAATAAGAAAATAGTATTTCACATCAAGCTGAATATATTTAAAATATGCTAAATACACCTGTCAAAATGATGAAAATTAACGAAGCAGGTAGAGCACTTAGCATTTCATTAAGCAAGATTATTACACCGTTGACAAAGTACATAAAAATATTCACTCATCATTTAATTGTAAATTTCGTTTCTTTACATATAAAGGATAATTAAATGTTGTGAAACAACCTCTTGAAGCTACAGGAGGATCTGGGCTAGATTATTTGATGCAGTAATATCAAAATAGAAAGGCTCATCTACACAAGAACAATAAGATATAAATAACTCATTAACTTCATTGTCGTGGGAATTATGTATCAAAATTGAAACCTAATTTGAGAATTATATTTTCGACTTAATAAGTTGGAAATAAATAAGTAAAATGTGCTTTTTGGCATGTTAATTATTTAGATACATTGATTTTGATGAGTGAATTTAGGAAATCCGTTCAAAGTTTCAAGATAACAAGTAATTGAGAATGAATTCATTCATGAACATTTTCATAATGTTCATGAGAATGATTAATCTAAATAAATGAGTTGAATTTTTTAAATTTTAAATCAATAAACATCAAAAACGAGGTCTTTATGCATAGAGAAAGAAGTCTTTAAGCTAAAATTGAATACATTCATGAATTTGAATTATTCAACAATAATTGTAAATAATATTTTTGACATTGATAAAAAATGAAGCACAAAGTGTTTGGAGCAGGAATTAAACAAAAACAATTAAATTCAAAGAAATTTCTTATTTTATCAAGGCTAGATTCAAAGTAAGCGAAAAATTCCTCAGAGCTTTCTAAAAAGTAAAATAAATTCTGACATAAAAATTATTTAGAGATCAACATCTTCTTAAGCATCACAACATTTCTTGTTCCCCTAAATTATGATTTCAAGTGTAAGATCAAGAATATTACATAACAAAAATAACCTCAAGACTTAAATTTTTAGACTTGGTTATTTACAGTTAGAACCGAAAGCTACACCATCAAGAGCCCGTTTTGTGTCGTCGTGTTGCAGAAAATCGAGTAATAAATAAGTAAGCCCACCATGCAATGAAATAACAGTCCAATGTAATCGTTTTACTGCTACTCCGACAACCATTCGAAAACTAGAAGACGGATATATAGAGAGATGAGTGCTATATCCAGACAGCAGTCGTGAGGGCAAAACGAAAAATGGGGTCCGAGGACAGATTCAATGGAGCGTAGACTGTAGTCATCACTGATCAACAAGATAGAAGGATCTTGAGAGGTATTTCGATTAAAGTGGTCGAGTTGTAAGACTGAAAAGCATTCTTGCAGAAAGACCAAGTTAAGTTGTAAACAAATCGGCTGGAATATTGGATGGTCATGAAAAAAATGCCCTGAAGATCAAGATGTCAGAAGTATAGAATTAAACAGATGTTTTCACAGATGATCAGTATGATTGGTAACAGCCGGTAGTCGTTAATTAGGGGTCAGTATTTCTAACGTAACTTTTATTGGATTTTTTATTGAATTTTTGATGAAACCTTGGACCCAGTTGGCAACTTTACACAGAAATCTACTTAAGTAAGTCAAATACATATTAATTACTAATTAATTCATTGATAAATAATTTTTTATAATTATTTATACAGAGATCATTTTGCTAATGAAGAAGACAACAATAGAGGCTTTTGTGACTAGAGAAAGTACAGCAAAAAAAAGTCTATATTTTTTGTATGTCTAATATAAGTTCTATAATTGGTATCGGATGTTTCTGAATGTTTTGTCTATTTTTAGAAAAATACACTTAGTGTAAGACTCTGCTAAATATAGTCAAGTTTTGACGACTACTATACAGATTTCATAATGTTGAATTTGTAAACTTCTTCCAAATACTCCATTCTCTATTGATTCAAGGAGTATAAACAATTCATAGGACGTGTGAAAAATAAATAAACAACTAAGAATTCACCTAAAAATCTATTCTTTCAGAAACAGAAAAAATTTACATTAGTTTCTTTCTCAATACAAAAAAAAAATCACAGATTAATTCTTCAAAGCATACAAAAAAAGAAGAAGTTTCTTGTATTTTACAACTCACTGAATTTAAGATACACTCTGAATGGTATGATACAAAAAGTTAAAAAATTTTTATAAAAAAATTATTATTATGCTTTATTCAATATTTGATATAAACCTTAATATGCAAAAAGATTTAACTTTATTTTTATTTTTCAGTATCCTGATAAAATGAAAGAGAATTAAAAAGCATCCCTCATTTATTTATCAACACGTAGAAGAAATAACAAATTTTTTAATACGTGTAAAAAAAATAGTCGTATTTGACATGAAAATAAAATAATTCAATTTCTTCTAGAATCATAATGAAAGAAGCATAAATCCATACATATATAGCATTAGAGCGACACGAGTGTAAACCCGACACGATAAAACTAAAAGCTGTTAAATCTATGTAAAAAGTGCAGAGTATATTTTTTGTACGAAATTTGGCTAAAGCAAAATTTTATATAGCTAGGATCAAAAGGTTATTTAACTACATCCATTTTTGTATTATTAATAAAAAAAAAAGGTATGTCATTATTATATACATTATTTGAAACAGGGTATTATTTTATCATCTAGTTTCCAGCCTCTCTTTATACTTTTATGTAAAAAAGTATCACTGTAGAACGTTTTTCATATCCTAAAAATCACTGTTTAAGAAATAGAATAGTTTTCATTCCTCTTCTAACGTATGTTAACATATTGTCACATACGTGGCAAACTGAATAAAAGCTCTTATTGATTTTTCGTTAAATAGCTGCGTATATTATGTGTTTGAATAGTGCAATCTAACATAATGAATCCAATATTATTTACTAGATAAATAGATACGTTATTTACCAATAAAACTGTAAATTTCCATAAACTTGCAAAATATTGAATTTCCATTATTTCGTGTTCAGTTAAACGAATTTCACAACTTACACGATAATGGTACTGAGGAATCGAATTGTCTCTCTACCATAGAATTCACTGTAAATTACACATGAAAAAACTTTCATTAACTACGAATAAAAAAAAAACTAAGATTTAGAATAACATTTCAAATAAATTCACTCATTTGCTTTAACATTTATACCAATAAGAGCATTTTAACAAACTATCAATTGGAAATCAATGACATCACAATTTTTCAAAATTCCTCATAACATTTTCAACATTTTATACTCCTAGCTAAGAATTTTATATTAAATCATTATAATACTGTTGATAAGCAATAAAACACAAATTGAAATATTGTGAAAATATTCAATTATGAAATATTCCATTTTGTTTAGCATCCAAAAGACTGACTATATTTGTGGATTAAATATAAGATTATACAGTTATAAATCAGGCATTAATTCATCAGCTATTGTGAATAAATAGGGGTATAGTTAAGTCCTATTTTTGTACAAACTGATTATTTGGCTATCTGAGTTCATGTATATTTAATGAGCATACTCCAATATATCCCGATGTGAAGTATTACTTAATACTGGAATTTGAAATGAAAATATAGCATATGATAAATATTATAAATATAATTGTTTTTGATATCAATTCTTAATGATAGAATTTAAATAAATATAAGATAAATATTTATAAGAATAAATTCAATTGGTTTTTAATTAGTAATCATTCAATATTGTTCAAGTGTTAAAAAAGTAATTTAAAACTCAATTAATATACAGTTATTAACTAACAGTCACTGGTATATGAAAAATATTTCTCGTAATTGGAGAAAAATTTTTAATTTTTTTCCATGGAAATACTATTCAGCAAAACTCAATCAAAATCTTCCAATTTTCATCTATTCAAGAGCTAGATTTATTTATCAATCAAGTATGATAAGTAACAATAAAGAGTGGAATAATATTTAGTGTTAAATAAAAACAGTAATAACAGTCAATTTATTTATAGTTAAATATTATTATTAAATAGTGATAGCAGTAAAAATAAAATAAAAGCAGCATGCAAGTCAAAAATAGTACTAACAACATCAACTACACAATTTATTATTACAATTATTTGATAAATATACCTCAAAATCCTGGTGGTGCAGCCAGAAAGAAAAATAATACCATAAGATACAAAAAACAACAAAAAAAAAATATATATGAATTCGATTATATCAATACGAATGTCATTTTTATATCTAGATATATATACATTTGGAGATAATCTTTTTTTTCATGTATATATACGTAGAGAAACCTAGGGGTAAGATGGGGTGTTGAAAAAAAAAATTTAATATTTACAAACCGCATTGAAATAAATAAAAATTTATATTGTTGCATTTTTTTCTATTTCAATTGATAATAATAATATGAAAGGAAAATAAAATATTGAAAAAATATTTATACGAAAATGCAAAATTTCACTGCGGTTCAGATTGTCATTGATAAAATCATTCAATTGAAAATGCACCTAGATTAATTTTTATAAGTTAGTTATGGTACAAGAGAATAAATTCAATAAATGAAAGAAAATATTTGAAATAAATTTTACATTTGAAATATTGAAATAAAATTAGATTAGAGTATAGACTGTACATCAAAAAATCTGTATGAAATTTGATAATTATGAGAATGAGTGTATAAAGTAATGTGAAATAAGTAGAAAATAATGTTATCTATAATTCAAGTATTTTTCACCCCATTTTGCACTCCATTCCCCAGTGATTTTTTTTTTATCTAATAAGATGAGCTTCTTTACCGTCCAGTAGTCGTACTTTGGATTTACTCATAGCCATAAAGTACAACCTAAAGTCCTAAAATATTCATTCGACTATTGGAGAATTAAAGCAGAGAAGTTATAAATCTTCCAGCTACTCATTTGAGTTTCCTTTCAAATATCAGCAGTAGAATGAATGATACTCTCAGTCTCAATCATGTTACATACTTAATCACACCATAAATTTCAACTGATTGCTACGAGTCATCACTTCTATATACAAAGAATTCTCTATAACTTTGAGATTTTTCATTCTTATTTTTTTTTGACCATTTTTTACTGTCTTTACTTCTCAATGTAACACTTTATCAATATTATTATTGTTATTATTAATATTAGTATTATTATTATTGATATAAGTTATAAACAACTAACTAAAATAATTAAATTAAAATGAAAAATAATGTAAAATAATTACTTATAATCAACGACTTAATTAAATTTAATGATTAAAACTGATTAATCAAAAAAATTTAATTTCAAATTTAAGTTTGTATTTTCCCAATTCATTTTGCACACTGATGCAGATGAATTAACTCAGTGTTTGGCAAGCCTGCACTTGTATAAAATATTTGCACAAAATTTATGCGTAATGAAATGAAACGCTTGAAATATATTATAAACCAAGAGAAAATTTTAAAATACATATATGTATTTGATTATTTGAATAAACGTTCAACATAAAATGATTTAACTGATTTAATTAGAGTTATTAAAGTAGCCTATTTTATTCACCATGTCAGAAAATGTATAGATCTACTAACAGTACACTATTAAATGTGTAATTAAAAATTGAAATAAATTGGAAAACCATTATTCTTTATTGCTAAATAATTTTTGGAAAATTATAAATTAAAATGACTCAACTTTACAGAAGCTATTAAATATTATCGTTGATCAATCTACTGATTTATTCACGGTTGTTTACAAGAAATTTATGACCAAGAATTTATGATATTGAGATTGTAAAATAATTGAAAAAAGTCATTATTCTCTGATCAAAGTAAGGAAATAATTATTTTTCGTTATAGATAAAATAATTAATAGCTACTTTTGATGTTAACAATATTCAAAGATCCTTTTGAAGATAGATTTCATGACCTGGTCTAGGAATTAATCCACCACCATATTATAATGCTTGAACACTACACTACTCAGCTGATTGAAAATATTCAGATGTAATGCGCAGTGAACGTAACGGTTAGATTTGATTAATTATAAATTAATAGCATCAAGTTTTCATCATTTAAATTATGATGGGCTAGCTGTTAATGTATCAGTTATTAATTCAATATTATTCTTAGTCTGATATTTGATTAAGAGAATCTCTTGGGGTTTTCTGAATTTTAAATGAGTATTTCTTACATTATGAAAATTAAATTTATTTCCATGAATAATATATGTAATGTAAGATAAAATAAATATAATATCTTTCGTCTAAAAATTCCATCAACATTTTTACAATTGAATTTATCATTAAAAGTTTTATTTTTGGTTGGAGCATTTATTGTTTAAGACTCTTATAGCTTGGTCGAAAAAGTGAACATTAGCAATTGTTAAAATGTTTTTTTATTTTTAAAAGTTATGGATTTTATGTTAGTAATAAAATATAATTCATTGCTATTGTTAAACTAAAATAATTTCAACTATTTTTATAATATTTTTAGAATTTTATCCAACAAATCTATTTTACCTTGTTAACTTAAATATTTTTTATTCAAATTGAACAAATAGATTGTAATTAACAACAAAAAATTATTCATTGAACATTGAATTGTATATTTGAAAGCTAAAAAAAAGGTGAAAGATTAAAAATGATTAAAAAATAATCCTAATAGTTGAGTTTAATAACATGATTGTTTTTAAAATAAAAATGTAGCATTACGATAAATCATTGTAGAGGATTAAGAGATCTAAAAGTGAAAGATTAGATAAACTTGGAACTTTTAGGGTTACTTATACTTTAAGCTCAGTTATTATCTCTACAGAGAAATATCAATTATTAACCTGTTACATATCTATACACATATATCACTAATAACTGAAGTTATTAAGTAATTTATGATCAAGAGAATCAATGTCTGGACATGTGCTTATTGGTAAAGATTAGCCTGGTATTAATGTTCGAAATAGGACTAATATGTGCTAATACCATTGAAGTTTACGGGATTGTAGGATCCTTTTCATATAATTAACGTAAATTAATCACCACTAATGTAATTCTTTAATTGTTTAGTCCTATGGAATCTTCATTCAATCAATCAGTTTAATAAGATTTGATAAATGAATAATTTAATTAATTATCTGTATTAATTTAATAGTGGAATTTTTAGATTTGAAAATGAATTTAATATAGTTTTATTTTATAACAAGAAGAATAATTTGGTTTTTTAAGTCTAACGCTTTTGTAATGTGATTATTAATGCTTTTGTCATATATAAATGTAGTATTACTCGAATGTAGTGAGCTCCAATAACTTGAAATTGAATGCTAAGTTTATTTAACCCATCATGAAAATGAAATACTTTGTATTTCTATAGATTTGTCAAATTATTATAGCTATACGAAAAATCATGATCGAAAATGTTTGATGCTTTTGAAACTGATTTTCAGATAATTGATCCAGATTCAATACATTTAATCTCTATTTATGATATTATTTTTTCCATGTTTGAAAAAAAAGCCTATAAATATAGTTTAAACTGATGGGATATATAATTAAAATTAATTTAATTACGAGATTCATTAAAACTTTATGCAATAATATCATAAGTGGATTAAAATATTCATTTCAAAATATCGTTTCACAATTTTATTTCTCTCAATGAATATTATAAATAATGAATAAAAATTTCAAATAATCTCATCATTAAATGTTTCATCTCAGTATTTTTTAAGTATATATTTCATTTATATTTTTTATGTTTCTAGAATGATGATGTCGAAAACAATTAAAAATATACGTAATTGGAAACAAAAATTATCCCTAGTAGTCAGTCCTGATGTCAGAATTTTCATTAGACTTACATTTTTCTGCTTCAAAAAAACAGCAAATACATACGTAAATGACACACTTAGGCTGCATACGTAAGTCTGCCATCAATCTTACGTTGATTTGGCTACTAGGGTATATTAATTACCAAAATATGTAAAACAACAAGTGAGCGATATGCTTTTATCGAATTTTTGGTTCTCTGGTTATCGTATTTGGTCTGGTTTTTTATCGTATTTAAAAAGAAAAATGATCATTTTATTCTTTTTGCACAAGTACTCTCGATATGCGTATTGAGAACACGTTTACTAGAATGAACTTCAATCACCTTATGATATAAAAATTGTTTTAAAAATGTTTTGCACGGAAAAAGTTTATTAAACCGAACATTTTTTTTCATGAAAAATAAAACAGCATTTCTACATGTCAATTCTATAGAATTTACATGTTTTATTGATAGTTATTCAGCGTGAAAATTGGTTTTCTTTTCAATCAATTTTTTTACGTAAATAATTTTTCAATTATTATTTTATCATCAGTTTAATCTTTGGCCTGAAGTAAATATTCAAATTTATCATTAGTATACTAATTATTACAATAAATAAAGTAAATGTAATTCTAAAAAATTTAAAAAAGTATATAACTTTTATATATTTCATTCGTTACATATATTTTATTTCTCTACTCAACTACTATTTGAAACTTTTTCCATAAAATAGAGATTTTCGAAAAATATTTTCTTTAATGGATTTTTATAAAAATCTAATATCCGGATGATGCATTTTTGATTGACATCTAAAGATCAGGATCAACTGTCTGCTTACTTCTACAGCAACTACCACAAAAAAAAATATTAACTCACAAGTGAAGAGTTCAAGATTATTCATTCAATAATTTCCTTTTTTTTCTTTTGTTATTTTCGATTACATGAAAAAGAAAATTGTTATTAACTCATGAAAATAATTTTAGCATTAAATCAACAAATTGATGTTCATATAACAGTATTTAAATAAAATTATTTGAATCTAAAATGGAGTAAGTACCAGGCTAATAAATAAATATATACAATCAATTATACATTATTATTCATCACTTTCTACTGAGTTGAAGAAACACTTGAAATGAAAAGAATCCCAACAAACTTAATCTTGAATCTAGAGTCCTAGAGTAAACAGATTCTGTCCTCACAAATGGTAAATCTCTTTTTAAACTTTTTCTACTTAATAACATATTAATGCTTGAAACCAACATTTATTTATCCAATCTATTCATTGAATATTGCTATACTATCTTTTCTTATTGTACTGTTCTGAATTAATTTCATTCAGTAATAAATTTATTCTAGTATCGAAGAATATTAAAATTAAAGAAAAGACGTTGAATTTACAATGAAGTCCATTTGAAGACTTTTCAATTATTGCAGGTGAACTTCAATTTCACAATTCGTAATTCAATTGACTCCATTATTTATATCTACCGTAGATAACGAAAAAAATTTTTAATTGGAAAAATTCTTTGAATATATTAAAAGTTTACCTGAGACTGTGATCTTGTTTTTTTTTTTTTATATTTTTCATTGATCTTCCAAGAATTATTTATTTCTTAAAGTATCCTAAAATTTATATTTATCTTTGATCTCGTCTATTTAGTTTGCAATTAATAATTAAAATATGGTAATTAAAAATCATTTCCGTTTGTTGAATGTGATAATGTCAATTAAATTTACGCAATTCGTGTACCTAGTGATTAATTTTCATTGCATAAATATTTGTTTTATTAAACAAATAACTATTAGGTATAAAAGTTGAAATTTTTGTATAAAAAAAAAATACTACCAACTAAAATAGTCTAATAAAATCATTAAGTCTTTAGTTTATATCAACCTTAAATCATTCATAACATAATATAATTTATTCTACTGTGTGATTTATCTGTACTGGTGGATGTGATTTCATGATATTTGTTTTATTGAAGAGAAGGTAAATAAGCAAATATTGTAATACTTTACATGCAGATATTGTGCATTATTTTATATTGATAGGAATTAATTACAAATTATAATATTGTTTAAAAAGGATAAAAGAATGTACATATATATATACATGTATATATAAACATATGTGTAATTTACAAAATTTTTTCTTTGATCAAAAAATAAAATACTTCACCTTTCATTTCCAAATCTAAATAGTTGTATCTACTAAATAATTTATTTAAAAATGCAAGAGAAGAAAAAAAACAAATGCAGAGTTGCCGAATTATGATAAGTTTTATATAATGAAAAGTGGAAATGCAAAATAGTGATTTTAAGCTTTAAACAGGAGTTGAAAAAATGAATTAGACACAAATGTTTAAAGTTTTATATAAAAATGTAGTTAAAAAACTGTGCACTGAAGCTAAAAGTTAATGCGTAAAAGTGTAAAAGAGCACACAGAGTTTGAAATTAAGCTTCGAATTCATGCATGACAAGAGCTGACCAAGAAAACAACTTTTTTCCAAATTGCGGATTCTAAAGCAACTTCGGTTACACTCAGAGAGTTCAAATGAATGGCCCCCTTCAAGGATATTGAAGATCAAAGTTCTACCTTATCCCTCAAGATGTGCTAAAATAGTCTTCAATAAGTTCCCTGAATTTACTAAATAACTGGGTTATTTAGAATCTCTAGTAGAACTAATCATAAAAGGTATGAAATAGTTTCATACACACTAACAACATTAACATGATTAAAAGATAAAGTTGAAAAGAAAATTTTACTTTAATTTCCTTTTTAAATAATAAATAGAATTAAATCTCCATATGATACTTTAAAATAATATTTATAATATTAATTCATTAAATATATTTTATTTATCATGAAAGAACCAGAGGAATAAAATTCTATCTGACAACTTGTCATCGCTAACCCTTGAGCATATATTAATGATCACTTCTAGAGGGAAAAATAATGAAAGGATAGAAGTGCGTCCTTTTAAACTAAAGTCATCTTTACACGATATTCATTACAATCTTTTGATTTTATCAAAGAGTAGTAAATATTCTAAAAAAATCAACCTTTATTCCGAAAATCTATCATTAATATATTTAATACGAAAAGAAAACCCCTAAGAATAGTTAATATTATATATAAAAAATTTAAATGTACTCTTAATATAATATTAATTTAACATCCTAATAAGTAGAATTATTGATAAACCTTAATTCTATCGTTAACCAAAAAACAAGAGTAATAATAAGCCTTTAAGGTGCTTAAGTTTGTTACGTCCATTATATGAGAGAAAAGAGGTTAATATTTATGAAGATTAAATAGTAGGATATTGAAAATAAAGTTAAAATGAATTACATTAAACCAGAAAAACCTGTATTATATATGAAAAAAACAGGTAACACAAAAATCAATCTAAATAAAGTGGAGAGTATCAATTTAAAATAGATATTCTTTAATCAACCTTTATCAACTGTTCGTTAAAAGGTCATTTAAAATAGTTTAATCTGTTATACTATTTCCAAAAAAAGCTAGTTGACCTTATATTGATTTTTACTACTTGAAAATGAAAAAAAAAAAAATTGTTGAATATAAAAGAATCTTTTTGATCAAATGTCATGTTCCTAATGAATAAAATCAACCTTAATCTATAGATAATGGAATGTATTTATTTTTGATAAATCATATAGCAAAAAAGAAAATAAAAAAATAATTCCTGCTATTATAAATGAATACTTCAGCTGTATTTTTCGGCAATATCAGATGAACTAAACGAATACGATATCAGAAAATGTAAGAATCTACATCACCTAAGTGCGTCAATGATGCTAAAGCAACTGAAGAAGCAATTTAATAGCACAGTCTATTAATCAGAACCGAAACAAATATTCTTCATAGAATGATGATATACAAGTGAGAGTGGATGAAGGCGTGCGGTACACACAGTGATTGTTTTTTAATAATTAAATCGAGGAATTGAGTTATATAAATAAATGTGAGATTGTGCGAAAGCATTAACTAATCAAGGAGATGGTGAATCTACTCACCATATTGCTGTATGAAGAAATAATCATACCAATTAATATATCTATCTAATCTATAGGGTTAAAGGAAACGTACGTACAATAACATTACTCAACACATAAGGGATTATTTGTGTGCTCATAAATTAATCACCTAATTGATATTAACGTGTTTCATTTTCATCTACTCATTTTCTACTTCATCCTACTTGATTACTATCTCACGTGCACGATAAATGACAGTGTCCGTAAGATCGTTTTGTGTTATAATGAGGCACGTCTATTATTATAATTATAATTAATATGTAAAATTCAATTAAAGCAAAATTTGCTTACATGTTTTTGTAAACCTGGATTAATAATAACATTTCTGTTATATATATTGAAGATTGTTTCCTTAATTAACGTAAAATGAATGATACTTTGGTTATATTTGTAATAATTGTTCGATCTTGTAGTGTTTGATTTTTAATTGGTCCTTTAAATTTTATAGTATATTTGATATTAATATTAAAAATTATCTTATTCAATAAATACTGTCAATCAGCTAAGTAACGTAGACAAATGCTAATAATAAATTAGCTCAACTTAAGTAGCTCCTGCTTTTTTTAGTATAATAATAATTAACAGTAATAAGTGACGTTTTCGATAAATTTAATTGCCATATGAAAGTATGACATTAAATTAAATGAATATATTCTTTTGAAGCTTTACACATTTCTTGTTCCTCTTCTTTTCATATTCTAGATTATATATCTCATCTCCTTAACGTTGAAATTTGATAAATTTTTTGTAGGAATATTAAATTTCTTGGAGATTAAAATAATAGCAATAAGAGTATCTTGAGTTCTTTATTTTTGTGGATTTTAGTTGATTATAAATATTACCTTGTTACATCCTGTACCCTTAGACAGTGACCCAAATTAATATAATTCAGTAGACGAGAAGAAAATATAAATAACATAATACTATTTTAAATACTTTCGTCATGTGATAAGTAGAGATTAATATTCATCTACTGGATTATATTGATGATGTATTTGTTTAGTTTGTATAAAAAAAAATTGATAATAAATAAAGACATTATTTGATGTAAAAAAAATTATTAGCATTTTGTCCTAAGATTTATAATCAAATAATCAACGTGTTGAGAGAAAATTTTGCTATCATTAGTGTACAAGAATTGTAGATGATGTACAATTAGCTAAAAGTACGTCTACTTGAGCTGATCTTCCAGTAAAGTTATTAAATATAATTTTAATGAGATGATATGATGGATGATGATTCCAAAGAAATATGTTACTCAAATAACTTAATAAAATTAAGTTAATTGTTGATGTCTTAAAATACCACGACAGACGAGTTGAAATGAATTTCACATCATTTTTTTTAGGTAAAAAAATGATAGCAAAAAAAAATAACAAAAAATATTTTCAAATGTATTGTGATGATTGCTGATAAGAAATTATAAGAAAATATAATAAATAACAAATAAATATATAATTCATTAAGTAATGTAATATAAAAAATTTAGATTCATACCTTGCTATTGGCAAATAATAATCCAACACCCTCGATGCACACTTGAAGTAATCCACCTTCACCAGTTTGCAAATCTTGTACTGGAAACTCATCTCCCAATTCAACCCCTAAATTTGCTCGACCTCGCATCGCTGCTTTTTCAATGGCCTCCTTGATGCAATAATACAGATCTTTGCACTAATAAAAAATAAAAAATTAATAATTAAAAAAATATTCCATATACTTGTGATTATCATAATATTTTATCCAGTAAAGATAAAAAAATATTTACTAAAAGTTTCTTAGATTTACTTTTAAAAATTTCTACACGCTGAAATTCGCACATTTCAATCGAATAAGCGGCTTTCTATAAGCCGCATGTATTTCCATAATATAAGTTAAGTTTGAATAAATGTAACAGATTTGTTAGACTATAAAAATCTTTATATCATATTCACATATAATACTAATATACATTGTAGTTACATTAGATTTTATATTATTTTAAGAAAAATTGCTCCAAATTAAAATGTTTTCAGATTTAATATTCATTAACCTCTTGATATAAAATTTTATTTTATACGATAATATTTTAAACTAAAAATATGACAATATTTTAAACAAATATGACTCAATTTAGTATGTTAAAGTTTAAATAGATTACAATAATAACAGTTAGTTTTTTAATTTTTAAAAATTAAAAAATCTGGTGTCATAGCATTTACCTTTTAAAATTAAATTAATTTTTAACAATCAATAATTATGCTTTTGTCATTTTTATCTATTCAAAATATCAAAAATAATATCAAACAATGAAATAAAACATCAGATATTATTCTAAATTTTTACTTTCATATTATTTGAATTTATTCATAATTGAAAAAATTAAAATTGCACATGATTGTAAGTAATTCTTCATTTAAAAGTTCATCAGTAAAATGTAAAATACCATTCTTATAAATTCAATAATCATAATTCAGCCACTTGTTAAAAAATAATTTTAACTTTAAAATGATTATTCCCGATATTATAATTATTCTTATTACTGAAAGAAGTCAGGAACTAGAGCAGAGCCAATAACAGAAGATTTTCTTTATGCTTTTTTTACTTTTAAGTTAGAGTCAATTGATTTTTGAAAAATACTTGATATCTTACTGGTTCTTTCAAATGGAAATAAAATATTTCTATTGCTAGTAGAATGTTTCTTTACGTCATCAGACAAATCTGTACAGATACAGATTGATTGAGTGTGTCATTTATAATTTAACAGTCATCAAATATTCACTTTTCTAATATACTTTCTCAACCCTGTGTACTAGCTATAAATATAATTAACACTTCTATTTCAGTCGTGCCTCTTACTTCCGTTAATTAAGAATTAATAGGACATCTAGGGCACTAGTATCATCCTAAATAACATTGTCAACTGGATCATGCCGCTGTATCAGGTATTACTATTGATTCGGATTAATGTATTCTGTCTCATGCTAACCTACAATGAGCTATTGACAACAAGAACCGATTGGGTTTGATGTCAATTGCAAAATAATTCATTCTTTTGCTTAATTTTGAGATTGACTCGTCTATGTTTTTTTTTCTTCTCAACGAAACAGACAATATCAGTAATATTATTGAGTACATAAGTGAAAATATGATTGTATATTCAAAACACTCGAATAAAAAGTAGATAAATGGATGAGAGAATTAAATTGCAATTGTAGATGTGGATTTATTCCAAAGAACATACACTTTTGACAGTTTCAATATGATAGGTAATCAAGCATTAATAGATGTAACTGGCATGTTCGTAAAAGAGAGACCAGCATGTCGATCAAGAACTGACCAAACGTCACTCATCACTTGAGATAACCAAACGCATTTAATGTTGTTGCTTCCTTTTTATTGAGTTTTTATGATCTCACCATTGAAGTATCAACTGTCATTTTTTTGTAATGTTTGAAAAAAAATTTTCAAATATTTTTTATAACTAAATTTGATATCATTGAAAGTAATGGGATTGTATCAATAAAATAGCCAATATATTGTAATTAATCATTACAGAAAAGATAAATCACCTTTAGCTAATTAACCACATGTTGATGTCTATTTTTATAACGACAAGTTGTAAAAGTAAATACATTCTGTATTATTGAGTTGAAAATAATCCAAAACTAAAATTTGAATGATGCGATTAAGATTTATACATCATATGCAATGTAATACGATTTGCTTTTGGGAAGTATTCAGCAAAGCAATCTTCTTCCATAAGCTTGCTAAATCTCAGACAATATTGTTTACGAGTACTTCAATATTTAGAATGTTGGAGAATTCTTACTATGAACTCTCAAGAGAGATTATAAGAATGACTATTTATTTTTCCATGTTTACTGTACTGAACGAAGAATCTGATCCAAGTATTAGCTCAACTGCTTATTAGAATACAGACTAAAAGTCTTTTCACAATTTTTTTATCATTACTCCTTTATCTTTGATATCAATCAATTGAATCAATTACTAGAAATTTTATTCAATCATTTTTTTATCAAACTCTCTGTTATTCAAATAAAATGTTGAATAAATAATTAACAAGTTCAGTTCGATTTTCAATTCGTAACCTAATTTTTATACTCATTGAACCAGAAAATTTGAATATCAACAAAAGTTATACTCTATTCATGATCTATACCAAAACAAGAATGTATTCATCAATAATATAAAATTCACATGCCACACATTCTTTCAATATCAAAATTCAAGGGATATATAGTTGGAGTATATATTCACTCCACTCAAACTCCCCAACATCACTTAACTGTTCTCCTTCATCTCGATGTGATGCTAAAGATCTTCCTGACTACTCAAAGCGCATTCCAGCCGCAAGTCATTTTAATGTCATTGACTGTGTAAATTATAAATACTGTAGCTAGCAAAGGCAGTTTCATTATCTTAAAGAATTTCAACGGAGCGTAAAGTTCGCAGGTAAATATACACCACTAAGTTATGCAATTGTAGGGGTTTGTTCTCTTTCATAATCTCATACTGTTACTATAGGCCCCAAAACGTCACGTGCCGTTCAATCACGGTTGAAAGTTCCTCTAATGTTGCTAGAATCCGATTACAGTCTTTAGTTCATATTTTATTAGAGATCGATTTTCTAGTTACAGAAGAGAAGATTGTTTAAACACATTGCATAATTTAATAAAAAGCATCTATCAGGCGACCAATTACTCTTTGACGATTTCCACTTTAAATAACCAAACAGTTTATATAACAAATTCTGAGTTATTTATCTATTTGATCTTCAAATACCATAAAAAGCAAATCGGTGATAAGCTGCTTTCAGAACTGTCCAAACTTTGAGGTAACAATCATTTTGGCTTGTATGTATTCCATTTAATCCTTCAATATGAAGTAACACTTTAAATGGAATGATAGGCTTAAAATCCATTCAAGCTGGAGAAATAGAATTGTTCAAGTTGTTGAATAAATTTTGTTATTCTCCATCTGGGTAAATATCAACTCCTATCATACTATTCAACTCGTGTTACATTACAATTATGGTATTGAATTCAAGCCGAAACTGATACTCTATCCGGTCATGATCACCGAATGGCTAAGAAGCACTCCGATTAAATCAATAGTTTTCAGTGCATTTTAGCACCTTCAATGTGATTGAATTTGAGATAAAAGTAAAACAGAATTGATGTCAATTAAGTACTGACATTGTCCGGGTTTCATTTCTATCGGTTTATTGTGGAGAATAAAAAAATTGAACAAATTTGACAACCGGAAGGGAAAAATATTGTAGAAAATAAACAGTATCTACATTTTATTTCACTATGGTTCAAATCCTACTTTAATTCAGCTGATCGGCCGATTTATATCGGAATCATGAACATGATACGACCTTTTACAAACTTATTTAAAAATTTCCAAGTTCTTCTTTAAACTTAATTTAATTAAAATTTGTTTTTCTCGGATTACTTTCTAATTTTTACATATCCATTTATCGGCTTAACAAATTAACTAATCATGCAAAAGTAAGTTACTTACTTTTTTGGTGTAATAGTTGTGAAGCTCCAATTGATCACCATTACGTTTGGATAAGCATAGCACCTTATTCTTGGGACTGCAGGTCATATTCACCAACCGTTCGTACCACCAACGTTCCACGATCACGCCATTCGACGATCTCAAAACAAGTCCATCATGTCGTACTTCTAGGAAACGCAATTCGCCATCAACGTCGCCAACATGAACAGTGAAGGATTGTTTATGCATTTGTCGAGACATAGAGGGCTTCAAATCGATGTCATTCCCGTGCTGAAATTAAAATTGTAACCGGTGAATTAAAGTTCTATAAATTGATGATGTTCATTCAGAATGAGAACATAATTGACTCAAAAATTGGTTAAAATCAAACAAATACGATTGAATTTCGTAACTACTGTAATCAGATGAAACTTTTGATTGAATACCGACATATAAGTATGCTAATTTATTACTAAATAATGTTTTATTTCTAGTTAATCATAAAAATTTTGTTGCAAAGAGAAATCAATCAGAGAAGCATAAAATATGGAATAATAAAAATTACTTACCAAGTTATCAATTTGATCAAGTAGTTGATGTAATTCTTGACTGTAAATCAACCCGATATGACTTTTACCCAACAACCGACGAATTTTTCGTTTCACTTCAGTTTTATCAACATTAAGCATCACTAAAATAGCAGTCAAATTGTGAAGCAACGTACATAATAACCGGTCTTCATCATGTTCTAAACGCCGGCGTTCACTGTCATTTAAATTTTTGTATCTGGAATTTAATATATCAATATTATCAATAAATTCCTTTACTTGATCTTGTCACATTCATAGCCTACCTCTCCATCATTTCACTAGGCCCTTGGTCCATACCAATAACATCTCTCTCCTGTGACACGGCATCTAGAAATGCATCTTCCCAAAATTGCATTTTATCCCAAAGATGTAATCTCTCTTTGCCTAAAAAACCTACAATAAAAAAAAAAGGTGATGTAATTCCGAGTGACAAAAAAAACAAATATCTTCTCTGTGATCTAAAAATATATTTTTGTCAGTTTGAATCTAACAATCGGAAATAAAAAACGTGTGAAATTGAATAGAACTTTTGAAAAAAAACTCCATACCAATAGATTTATTTATTCATTTAAAAACAGTTGTGATAAAAGGAAAAAAATTTTGAAAAAAAAATACATTTTAATTTAAATAAAAAAGAAAGAAAACAAACTTGAAATGAAAATGAATATGAAAGTAGATGATTCATAATTCACGACTGTTTTATAAATAAAAAGTATGTAATAAAATAACACATTATACTATTTATCTACAAATATATGCTTGTGTACGACATTAAACATAAATAAATAAAATGAAGATTAAAAAACCTAGTTGACTTTTGTAACTTATACAAGGTAAACAAACATTTTATAATTGAAGTAATTTTACCTTCAAACAAATATGTTCTCGCAGCTTCTGGACTTGGAGTCGACGCAGTTAATACTGGACTATTACCATGATAACGAGCATTAAGTGATGATTTACTTGACCATATACTACCCCGTTTTTCACTATGAGTAGGTTCTGGTTCTCTGTCAACTTCAGCATCAGATGGTGTATTCTGCGTTGATAATGGTGTTTGATGAGGTGTACGAAATGCAAGATTGCTTTGTTGTTTATTTCTTGCTTGCGATTGTGCATCACTTGGGTTTATGATAGATGTTATGCTAGGCCGACTACTATTACCCTCTCCATCAAACGATGTCAATTTACTCAATAGTTTTCCTTTTTTCGAAAAAAGATCGAGAAATGAATCGGTACTCGAATGATTATTATTATCGTTCGATGATATTGCATGAGAAATTTCCAAGTGAACTTGATTGCCATCTAATTGAGGTTGAAAAAATTTATATTCATATTTTAAATTCATTTTAAGAGGTAATACCACTCTAGAATTTTGAAAAAGTCCATTTAAAAAGCTTTAAAAATTTATTGAAATTTCAAAAATATTTCGCATTGTAATTAAAACCTTTTCAAATTCTAAAATAGTATTATTTATTGAATATATATTTAGGATCATAATAATATTATTTACCATTTAAATATTGAGATGATAATTTTTTAGTGATATCTACAAGACTCGACTGTTTACTCGATCCATTAGATCGTAAATTTTCATGACTCTCGAAAGAGCTTGCCTGCAGATTAATTTTAATTTATTTGGTTATTTATTTTATTCACTCGCTTTTTTTCTCGTGATAAGATAAAATATTGACTCACTTGCAGTAAAAAAGGCGTCTCAACAGCACCGTCAGTGAGATCTTTACTCCAATAATGGGTATGAGCAATTTCCATCAGCTGAAATACTGATGCCATTCCACCGAAACTATTGTTATCAAAAGTATTCGCAAGACCATTAGCTACTGCTTGAAGGCACATGAGCATTCCTTTATAAACTGATCTTGAAATACACTACACAAAAGAAAAAATAAAATTCAATAAAAGACAATATCTTTCAATACAACAAAGAATGTTATTAAAAGAAAAAAAATAACTCAAATATATTTACCACATCATCAATGTGATCATCAGGACTAATTTTTTTATTAATTCCTCGATTTAATTTGGTAACGATAATATTACGATAGCTTTCATCTTCCATTAATTTTTTTAGACGGTTTAATTTGAAGAAGCCAACTCCTTCCCCAGCAAACACTTGGTTTATGACCTTTAATGAATTTCAGTTACGGTCATGTTTGGATTGTGCATTCAATTAATAAGTAAATCAAACTAAAATCACGATTTTAATTTACCTCATTTAAAAATGCTTGATTGTCGTTATTAATATTCGTCCTATCAATATTCTGCATCCTCTGCATATTTTCACTATAATTTTTACTTGTCATGTGTTTAATTAACGTTGATTTATCTGTCAATCCAGGTTTACCGCGTTTAAATGGACTAAATGATAACGGTTGTGATTTGTCTTTAATTTTTTGAATATTCGAAGCTAAATCACCCCGATTTGAAGTACTTTTACTGCCAAATAAGTCACTGAACATGTTACTCGTTTGTGTAGCTATTCCATTGAAATCACTGCTCACATTACTAAGAAAATCACGGCCTATATCGCGACGTTTATTTCTTAACTCGGGTAAATTACTATTCGAGTCTTTCCTTATCGATGGACGCGGTGATGAATGTTGCTCAGGAGAAGGCTGAGATTCAGCTAAGCCCTAAAAAAATAAATATACTTTAACGTAACAAATTCTGTCCACGTGAACTCAATTTTCCCAATTATTAATTGGTACAAGACAATTTGAGGTTCACTGAGGTCTTTTTAATTTCAACAGAATAAAGTAGAAAATGATTAGAAATAATAATAGTCATATAGTATAGTAACTTTTCCATGTTACATCGAACTTCATAAAATAAATAGATAAAACTTTATTTAATTATGTAATTGTAGATAAATGTTGGTTCAAAAGCAACTGTTTATTTTGAAAATTATGCGAAAGTGGAAGAATTTAGTTATACTAATTACCTTCAGTAACCCTTTCTTTGTAGCAACTTCTTTCGCACTTTTAGTTAAGTCTTCGAAAGTATTTCTCCCTGCATAAGTTAAATCATCTAAAGTATTCTTGCTAACCCCTGCAGCAGTTCTACTGGCTTCTATTGCCGTTTTTGATGCTTCTTGAACAGATTTAGTTGCTTCATCAACAGCTTTCTTCGTTTGTTGTGTTATCTATTTTTAATAAATAATTATGTTTTAATATTTGATAACAACTTATTTTATCTTAATAATGATGCCTTACATGTCCCAGTGGAGCAAAAAGGCTGTCTTCTTTGGCTTCAGAAATCCTCTCTTTCGCTTGATGTTTGAGCTAGATGAAAGGTTACAAGTAGAATTTATTTTATATAAAATTATTTACGATAAAAGAAAACAGACCATTAAAAATTAATATACCTTATCCATATGAGCCAATAATCCATCTTGACTGCTTTGTCGTGTTGTCTCACGAACTAAATCCTTAGCTTGAGATGCTATTTGCTCAAATAATGAACCTTGCGATGCTTGTCTTGTAACAACGTTATTGCTACTATGTCCATCACCACTATTTTGTTGATGTGAATTTATCGATGAATTTGGTTGTCGTTCGTTGACATTTGGCTTAGCATGGAATGTATTTTCACCAATTGTCATTTGTCGGGTTAAAAAAGGTCCACCAGAAGTATCGGTAGATGATTTTCGGTTTACAACATTGGAAATGTTTATTGGAGTATCCAGATTTGACAAGATTTCTTCTTGAATTGGCTGAAGATTCGAAATAGAGAAAATAAAATTAGTTTTTAGAATTAATAAAGTAGAAAAATGACAGAAGATGAACGATTATAGTTTTCGAATTATAAACACATCAGCAAGTTGAAGTTGATCAAACTAAGAAATTACTCAAGTACTTGATAAATAAAGGAATGATTAAAATCATTAATGGTAAAAAGGTAAGTATTTCTACCAGTCACGTGGATGATCAAGGTTTAAGTTAGAGAAAAGTAAATGAGAAAATTTCAGCTGTTTCTACAAGAAATGTGATTAACTACTTTGGAATTCAAGTTGATTATCACTCTCAACTTTTAATTTACATTGAAGTACAAATAAGGAAAACTAGAGACAGGTTCAAGACACTCAACAGACTTTTTTTCCAATCAGCACATCTCCAAGAGAACCAAAGTAATTCGTTATTTGCGGCTCGTTCGGCCTTTAATCACATATGCCTGCCCAAGTAGAGCGATGGAACGTACTCGCTTGCAAGCCTCGCTCAATCTTTAAAAGCGTCATGGCACTGATTATGCTATGAATTAGAGCAATTAAGCTTATACGACAAAGCTAACGTGCCGAGAATCGATTGTTTCCCGCTTAGGCTCAATAAAGACTTACGTTGGATTCAGTAAAATCATTAACTATAATCAAACTCAACTCCTTTACCAAAGAAGAGATAATAACATCAGGTGTTAAAGGATACCATAAACCATAGTATTTTAAAATCTTCATAATATCTCAGTGCTATATAACTTGTAGTAAAGAAAAGAGGATCAGGAAAAATTACCCTTCCGTAGTAAAAAGTCGTGATTCATTGCATCAAAATATCAAAATTGACTCTTCAAAGGCACTACAACATACCCTACAAAATAGGGATTTGTACAAAGTAGGAAGACAAATTATATAATCTTTCAGGTTGAATCTTACTCTCTTTGTGCAGTGTACCACGATTACCCTGCATGGCAGGTTAATTTTCACTTAATCTTATTTTCTGTGTACCAAATTCGGTTTGAGTATTAATGGATGAATGAACAAGCAGTGGTCAGAAGAAAAGCTTACAAGATGGACACTGCCAATCCGTACTAAACTCTTTGTCAACTAGGTTTACCTAAAAAGGTATCATTGACCATGTGCTGCTCTAAAGCAAGAAAAAATTCAAATGATCGTACCAAGAAAGTATGAACATGCTGATCTATTTAACAACATGTCCACGTGGTGCTAAATATTATCAACAGTCAACTTGCAATTAAAAATATAGTTGAAGTCATATTATTAAATGTCGAAAGAGTCTTAAATTCAATGTGGCAAAATGAGTTGATTTACATACTCATTAGAAATCAATTTCATTGTGAGTTTATCGAATTTATCACCAGCATGATTTTTGATTCCAGATGTGTTATGAAGAGCACTAATATCTTATCAACGTCTCTTGACAATGAAGATAATTTACAACAGGGTACAGTATTTATTTTATTTGTTTCTATAATTTGGCAGTGATATACTCAATTTATTCACTCTAAATCAAGGTAACAATACCCGTAATGCATTACCTATCATGATAATTTCAAAATTTTAACATCATTGATCAAATTCGATCTAGCCATTTCTTGAAGTAAAAGTCTTTTAATCACGACCTATACAGAAAATTTGACCAATAGTGAATGAGACTATTCCGTTGGATCCCAAAGTGAAGCACACCTTCGGCTTTTCCGAGTTTAGCCGAGTGAGAAAGAGATTGATGCTCTTATTCGAGTGAGCTCGAAGAAACCGAGTTTGACCGAGCAAAGCCAGCACTCCCTCATGTATTTTTATACCTTAAATAAGCTATGTTTAATTTATATTATTTTAAATAAATTATTTATTGAATACTCCTAATCTGAATAGTAAAATTTCTACACCTTATTTTCAGGGACCTCATATTTCTATTACCGCATCATGTATTATATTGTTAATTGATTAATTTTTTATTACGTAATTATGTAAATAACGTTATATTTTAAACAATTGTTTATACTTTGAGAATGATAAGAGATAGAACAAATATAATGAAATATGTAAAGTGTATTTATACGAAGTTTACACTTTTAGAGTATTTAATTATAATATTTTATAATCTAAAAATTATAAATTAATTGTTTATTAACAATAGAAATTATTCAGCTAAATGAGTATTATTTCATAATTTTTTTTTAAATCAAGTAATATTTGTATTATGGAATGAAAAATTAAAGTGTTATATGTATAGTTAGTAGTATTAGATATATTTTTCATCATTTATTTACATAAATGATGTTTATTTATAAACAATTGCTTTTATTTTGAGAACAATGGAAGATAGAAAAAGAATTGATATTAATAGAATAAAGAATAAACCGTTTTTAGATGTATTTTAAATCCTCCAGTTGCACACTAAAACTTATTTCTTTACAAGACTTTTCAAGATCCTCGGTAGTATAGTGGTCAGTATCCCCGCCTGTCACGCGGGAGACCGGGGTTCGATTCCCCGCCGGGGAGGATTATCAAGTTTATCATATTCACATGAATAAAGACATATATATTTTTTAAATTTTTTATTAATTAATTAAGTATTTTGCATCTCTTATTTAATACCGTTTTATTAGTTTGTGTAACGTCAGTCTTTATTTTATACTTCAAGTGCTATTCGGTGTAGTTATTCAATAATTTGTTAAAATTTATGGAAAATACATTATTAATATTAATTTATCAAAGTTATATAAAAATAAATAAAAATTTTTTGTATTATATTTATAAAAAGGCTCGATTTATATGGACTTATTTGTTTATTTGACGTTGTACAGTGGTGAAGTAGTTCACTTGATGACGTCGTAAAATATTACTATTTAGATAAGATCCACAGAACTTTTATTGCACTATGCACTTCATTGCAAAACATATAAAGTGAAAATTTAATAGAATTTTGTCATAATATATTTTTTATTTTTCATCTTAAAAAGTAAAGGCATTTAATTAATACCGAGTTGTTCTGAATATTACTAGCATCAATGTAACTTCCTATAAAAAAAAATTCAAAAAGTTTATTTGTTGATGAACTACAATCAATTGTTTAAAAAACACTGGTACTTTTAATGTAAACAATTAAATATCTCGAGTATTATTAATTATAGAGAGTTGGAACTGGACTCATTTTGAACTTCCCAGTAGGAAGTTATTATAATGGGTCGGATTTTGCGATTTTTGTTTCAAAGTCTCCAGTGTATACACGTATATTCGTATGTGAATTTGAAATTATTTTTCGTCTCGATTATCTTGAGAACAAAAAAGATATCAACATGGAACCAATTGCATTCGATGCATAATTTAAAACTAATTAATTTTTCTACAAAATTAGTTCAGCCATTTTTTGTGCAGAATCAAAAAACTGATTAACTAGCTGCGTTTTGCAATTAAGGCAAAATTTTCACGCCTGATCTTTTAATAATAATTATAATTAATATAATTATAGTAATAATAATTAATTTTAAAAACCACAAAAATCTTTTCATCCTTTCCATTTAAAAGTCGTATGGGCCTTCCGGGTTACACTCAAATCACTAAAGAGCACTGATATTTTTATTGTAATAAAAAAATATTTACATTTATTTATTATATTCATTTATTATTTATTTACTTATTTTAGGCAAATATTTGACCCAAAAAATTAAAAAAAATATTAAATTAATTATAATGAAGCAATTTTTTATACATAAATAAAGAAACAAATTTTTATAAATAAATAAAAAAATTACTAACTTTAAGAAATTGATGATTTTTTAGGTTTTTTTGTTCATCAAATAATTAATAAAATAATATTGAACAAGAAAACTACAATTTCTTTATCGAAAATACGATTTTTACATTCCGATAGTTATGTCCTTTTCTAGCGCGTGGTGCCGCCTATAGTGCTGTCTCGCTTAGATACACGGGACCACTAAAATGCGAAAAAATCATATAAAAAAAAATCAGCGCACTTTCGTTTTTGGGCACATTTTTTCTACAGGTCATTACGGATATTTTGACATTAGAAAATTAAAAATTGCCCTTTGTACAAAAATTTTCAACACAAATGGAGCCAAGTCTCCTATATTGACTGGACTAATATAACATGCGTTCATAAATACTTTCTGTAATTTGTCGTCGTTAAAAATGCGATTATCAAACGACATTAGTTAATATTTAAAAAACTTTAAATGTTCGCTCTCTTTAAACAGTATTAGCTGGACAATTTGTTTAATAATTTAATATTAAAATACATAATTTTTACGAAAATTACTATTTTTAATTAAAGATCCATCCCATTATTTCCTACTGATGGTAAAATTAGAATTGAAATAATGAGTTTTAACATAGTCATTATTATACCTCAACATTTAATAATATAACAACAGTATTTGCAATATCAAACTTATCACGATAAATTATTTATACGTATTTATTTGTATTTAAAAAAAAAAAAAAACGCCCATTTCAATTAACTATACGGAGTAAGTTTTACATCAATAACCGCAAGCCAATAATCTATTTTAACGCTTACAGCAATTGGTTGTAAAAAAACCTATCAAAATAAAAATCATTGTGGGCAGTTCTAGCTATAAAGTTAATTCAATGTGAAATAATCAACAGAAAGATTAATATAAAGTATTTTCTAACAGGCTTAATTTACAAGACTGGCACCATAGCATCTCGGAAGTATTGAAGTGATTATATTATTGATTTTGTGGAAGGAAATATTAGTAATAATATAATTTTCCAATAGACTGATCGTACGCAAAGGCCACTTTATAATGGCTACATTGACAATCAAACTTAATTATATATCCTCCAATTATACGATAATAAATATGTACCATCATCACGCATTGAACTACATGTCCATACGCTGGGAAACAAGAATAACACATCAGTAAATACATCATGCAAGCAAGGTTGTTCTGATCATAAATTTACTGTGTGATATAATGAAACAACAAATTTTCCAAAGTAACGAAATAAAAAAAAATATTTTTTTTGCTTGCTACATTCCTACCACACCGTGCCCTCATTGATTCTTCGTTATAAGCCTAAATCAAATTACTTGTCTCATTTTATCCCATTTGCACTTCCATTTGCCCATCCCAATGCCACTCTAAAGAGATTTTGCCCACTGGTTCCAGTAGCTTTGAATGTGTACAGGATAGAAACAATAAGCTAAAGTTCCATGATGCTCTTATTAAGTTGTTCTGTACATATATGAGCATATGTAGACATCATCACCCTTTAATCATTGCACGTTTCTAAATTAGCACAACTGTTGAATATAGGCTTTATGAATTTCAAGAAGCTGTCAGCTTTGATCATTCAATGGTTCAGTTGCTCATTTTCCAAATATCAATTGGTCACAAATCATCCTAAATTATTAGCATTTCCATCTTCTAATCTAAACTTTATTGGATGTACGACTTCCATAACAGCATTTAACTGATCTAATTTATTTATGTATCATTTCATTCTACTCTAAATTAATCAATTGATGGTTAATTATCTAAATAAGAATTATAGACTTATGTTGTTAGCAGCTGATGTTTGTGTCACGATAATTAAGTATTTTTGGAGAAGTCAAGTTTAAACGTTAATAATCGAATGTAATTGATATTGATGATAAAATAGATTACAGGGTGATAATTATGATAATTAACCCATGGTTCAAAGATTTTCATTTGCACAAATATGCTATTATCGTTTAATCAAGTTAACTCGAGATCACCAACTGTTGAATGATGTTTGTACATTAATAAATATGAAATATCTTCTACTTTTTTTCATTAAAATAATTTTTTTAATGTCTAATATGCTTAAAGTCTTTGTTTTATCTACTTTGAATAAAAGAAAATTTTTTCCCCCCAATTGGATTTGATGAGCATAAACTGATTTACTTAGCTGTTCAGTATCAGAGAAAACCGCCTGATTTATCTAATTTATTAAAAAGGTGTCCGATAATAGCATCAGTTTAAATTCTGATAAATGAAAGATAACAAGTTTTTTCAAAGTTAATCAAATCCTTCAAATTTAATTTACTATATAATAATCTAGAATTTAAAACGAAATTTTTTTACTTTAGTTACGAAATTTAATTTAACTTTTATATTTGAACATTCTGCTTCATAAAACTAAATGATAGTATTTATGGACTATTCACATTATCGAAATAACTTATCAAGATAAAAAAATGTATTTAATAACTTTTAAGAAGCTTTAAAAAAATTTTTTAAGCCTTTTTCAAAAACGAGAAATTTTTTATTCTGCCAGCTGTTTTATAAAATTAATTTTTTTTTAAATCACAATCTTCCTGCTTTTCTAAAAGCCTGATTAAATTGATAGAAAAAAAAGTGATGGTTTTTATTTCTATCTGTGATCATTTTTAATTCAACAATTCAACGTCAATACGCAATTCATCTTAAGATGACTTATGATAAAGTTATATCATAAGCTTCTTATTTTCATCTACTATTGTAATTAAGAAAATTAATTATGATACTTACCATTTTGTTGAATTGAAAATCATTGTTATCCTTGGGATTGAGTTCAAGTTCCGAGTCCCGATTAAGACTAGAACTGCTTAAATCACTATGACTAGATGATGTACTAACTGGACTGTCGGGACGAGCTTGACAATCTTCCAGGATTTCAGGATACTGCAATGTTTCCGGAGGATTATAAATTGTCTTCGAATCTATTGTAAGTAATATCTGTTGAGTCATTTTTGCCCCGTTGTAACCTGAAACAAAAATAGTAAATATAATTTAAATAAATTCTAGTGACCCGTAAAAGTAAGTTTCTGGGCCAAGATAAGCCAATTCAAGGTCTCAAGGACAAGTTTTAATTTTTCTTTCAATTATGTCAAACTGCATTACAAATCATTATATCATTTCATTTGAAAGAAAAAAAATAAAGATTTTTGTAAAAGAATTTACTATCATACTTACTTGGTGATAAATCAGATGAGACCATTTCTGATACAAAGTCAGATAATGAAGAGTATGAGGAACTGGTGCTCTCTGCATCTTCAGAATCAGATCCACTTTCATCAGTCGGTTGAGTCTCTAGTTCTTCCATGGCTTTGATAGCATTAACTAGAGAGCTCGATGGATTCCATACTGGAAAGTTAATTGCTTCTAATGAATCGGCGAACCATCGAGGTTTGTCACCAATTTGCGCAGGATCATAAACTCCAGTTTGAACACGTAAAAAAGCTACATTATTTGGAGTCAATGACCATTCAGCCAAAAATTCAACCGCTTGAGTACGTGCGAATTTATCCAAAAATTCATTCGTTCTCGGGCGAGATCTTAAAAATGAATTTATTTGAAATGCTACCACTGGCCTTGGATATAACCTCAATGTACGTGTATGTTCGGTGAAATTCGCTAAAATATTTTGCGAATTGAAAAATTTAACCATCGCAACTCGAATTGCAATATCTACAGAGTCTACATTATTGTCATAAATTAAAGGATTGTAGGCTGATTGGTTGGCCGGTTTTACTACCGAGGGAGTATTGTAAAAAGTACGACTTGGACTCGATGTTATTGACTTTCCTGGTGAACTCTGGGGACTGCACTGGGTCGAATTACCATAGTCAACACTCGATCTGGCACGTGTGGAAGAAGCAACACTGAAAAAAATGTTAGAGTATGAACGATAATGAATACAGAAGTCTGATGCAAGCAAATAAGAACAAAAAGATATGTAGGTTCATTTTATGGCTCATGATCCTTAAGTTTAACTACATAATAAATGTTTTTTTAAAGACAATAAAGATAAGTAGAAGTGGCAATTTCTACCTCAAGTATTTAATGAAAGAAACTAAATATTTTTTCTTTAAAATTATCAGTGAGGATTAATTGACATACTTATAAAAACTGCAATAAATTATTTACACAGAAATTAAAAAAAAAAAAAAACAAAAATAACTATCGAATTTCATATAAATAATTTTAAAGTCAAGGAAATAAGAATATTGAAAGAATGATGAAAATTATGTGCAATAAACAAAGTTAATATCATTATTAAAAACTAAAATTTCTTATAAATTCTAAGCTGTCAAATAAAAACACTAGTAAAATCCCCAATTTTTTTTCTTAATCGTAAGAATTTGTAAAGTTCAATAAAATCCTGGTGCCATAAGATAGGATCTTATACTATCGTAAAATTTTACATACCTAAGGTTTGAATAATGTGATGCGGTACTTTCTCTACGACTATTAGGCTGCAATCCAGATAGTGGAGACATAGAAGACTTCGATTTCATTTGATGAGTTTCTGCTGCATTTGTTATCATCTGAAATTCAAACAAAACCTCATCTCTCAATGCAACGTATGGACCGGTAAAAGAACAATAATTAATTATTCAATTATTCAAACTAGAATACAAAATAATAAATGCTAAAATAATTACATTGAAACCAGCTTGATCCATTTGTTGCATAGTTTGTTTTAATTGATTTTTTAATATTGTTCCTTCTGGTTCTGGGAATGCCGGGATAACTGCATCTCTGCCAGTTGATGAATGTATTTTACCACTGTCTAAATCAACGAACCAAATGTCCTCTGGCATTTTAAAGGATTTTTTGTATACTAAGAATGACGCGGGGATGCCAATTACAAATGGTGTAGGCGCCAACAGTACTTGTTCCGCACAAGCCATGCAAGTTGGTAATAATGGAATTGTTGGAAACATGTATTCTAAAGGATAAATCATTGTTACAAACGCCATTACTGACATCGATAAAGCATTATAATCCCGAGACTGTAGAACAACCTGAAACAAAAAAAAATTACATTTAAAATACATTATCCTGGCTCTAGAAAGGTATAATAATAAATTTTTTTCCCCCCTTCTTAAAAAAAAAATGTAAATTGAAAAAAAATCGATCAAATCATAAATTCTCTTCTTCTTAGGACTAGTAAAGTTGCCATAAACACCTGAATTTAATTCCCTAACTGATCACGAAATTACTAAAGTTAGGAAACACTTAATAATTTATCATAAGCATGCACAAGTTATAAAACCCCTTAAACTTAACTTTAAAACTTATTATCGAAATGCCAAAGTTAACAAACACCATGACTTAAACTTCAAATATCGTATATCAATCAGAATGGAGTACTCAACATCAAATTAATACAACATCAGTTGTTTAAGCAAAGTTTTGGCACTGTTTTTACTCCTTACATTAAGTTCTTCAATGACGTTATGATTAAAACCTTTCTCTAATTATATAAATACTTATTAAACAAAGTAAAATTTAATTTTAGAAATAGAGATATTTCCCTCCAAAATAATTATTATTATTATAATAAAATATTCAACACTTTTCATTTGAATATCATAATTTTCGCTCTAACAATAGAAGTTAAAAATAAAGAAATAACGAATAAATAAACTAAATAATTAAAACAAAAGCTCTACATGTTTTAACAAAACCTCAAGACTATTTTACTTGTTCTCATAAATCATATGTGAAGATTTACTGCTTATTAAATTCAATAAAAAAACCAGATATAAATTTATGAATACATTATTATATATATTCAAGCTCTTGAAACAAATAATTTAACCATGTTATAAACCGGAATCTCCTATAAAACTTGCTAATTAGATATGTAGCAAAAAATTACTCAACATTAAATGTCAGTCATATTTGATTTAAGATGTATATCTCAACACTCCATTCATCAAAATTAGTCGAGCTTTTTGGTCTGTAACCTACAAACATATCCATCTACATACATATTCTCTCGAACATTCACCCTCTTCAGTCAGTGCAATCGGGTAAAAAAAAAAGAAATACTCTACTGCAGCACTGACATAGAACTGTACTCTATTGCTATTGGTTGGAAGCAAAGCCTAGTCATCTTGAACATCATTGGACTCAGCAAGGAATCCATCAAGCAGAGACAATTGGGCTATGCTATCTATTGCGTAAGCCTCAAATCTGACGATGTGGCACACATCGGGTGATTTGTCATGCGAACGATTAATGGTAATTGCAAATTTTCATCAGATAATCCAAAATCGTCTGGAGATGTTTGCGACAAATGATCTAGTATATGAGCATCATTACAAGTAAACAAGGTTTGAAGTGTGATAACTAATTGCTCATACAAATGGTATGGTATTTAAAGCCCTTTAACAGCACCAAATACATGAATATTTTCTCTTTCGCTTTTGATTTAACTCCTTTTATTCAATTTTCTCTCTCATGATGTACAGAGCACGCGCCAAACTATTCTCAAATCACGGAAGCATTGACTTTTCCCTTTTAATCCGCACCTTCCCCCTCCTAAACTCACACTGTTCCCTTTCAACCCCGCACATCCCTTTCAATTCCAAACTCTCTCACCCTAGCCAACTCCCCATAACCAGTCCTGATGCTTGACGTCGATCGTGCAAATTATTGTATTTTATTCACTGTTATTCAACATCCTATTGATTGTTATTTCTTTTGATAAATTGCTATGTCAATTGCAATTCATCCATTAAATTATAGTCTCTAGAATGAAATCATTTTAGTTAAACGAGTTATGATCCAATGAGAATAATAAATGTTATTGACACTAGTATAACCATACTACCTCACCAGTTTAGATTTTTTGTTGTAAACGAGTAGATATTATTCAGAAGCTTTTATTACAACTTTTATTCATTGACTTTTGTCGAGATAAAAAATGGCTTTAAAACCCTTGTATTAAATAGACACTCGTTCAACCGACAAGTGTAAAGAAAGATACATTCAACGTCAATTGTTTCAATTTTTTAAAAAGATTTTTCTATCGTTTTCTATCCTATTTAAACGATGACGCGTTAACAAAAGTTTTATTTGTTGTTAAAAGGCATACAAGTAGCTATTAAATTGAGAAATAAAAGTATCATAAAACATAATAAAATTATTCCTGCTTCTTTATTGTACACACTTTCAGAAGATCAGTTTTAGAATATTTCGTTGGAATAAATGTTAGTCTTTATGTAAAGCAAATGTAGCGCTTGTGTTCAGTGAATTTTTAATGAATGGAATCAAATATGAGGCAAACAGACTCGTTGATAGACGATTAAACAAATTCTCCAAGTATTTGAAAGATTTGATACAGATAAAATATTTAATTGTAAAATACAATTGTTCACATCAATATAAATTAAAGAAATTAAAACAATTTGAGAACAATAGTTTAAATAAATATTCTTAAATTGATAAACTGAATGATTTTAAAGAAACTTATGTTCAAACATTTCAAGTTAATTGTTACTTACAAAAACAAACTCAGACAATTTTTACTTGCTACTTTTATCAACAAATAAATCTCTTAAATTTATAGTCTAAAGAATAAATAAGAGCCGAAAAAACTGATTTTTTTTTGGTAGTTTTTTTATCTCTTTTTGGCAATATTTAAGTGAATAAACAAACTTTTATATTTTTAGTAATCCACATAAAGCTTATGTTTTATTTACTTTTGATACTATTATTATTATTTTGTTATTCTCACCTTGTTTTCCAATAGAATTAAAGTAAGAACTCTCAGACATACATCGACGCCCAACAGTTCTAAAGGTAGATGAAGTGGGAAATCCACGAGGGAAAATCGTGTATGATCAGGAAGCGCAAAACATAAAGGTTGAATGCACGGCGATAAAATATCAACTTCAACTCGTGTTTTGTTGGGAATTGGAACTGGAGCGCTGAGCAACCGTAAAATCCATGTTTCAATCTCCCGAACATCATGCAACACAAGCGACGATGTCCCTTGTGCGCCATGTGAAGTCAATAATGTCCAAACAGATTCTCTGTAAAAAATATATATCGCAATAGTTATTATTTCTTTTTTAATATACTCTCTAAAAAATTATAGTGATAAACTCTATCAAATGTATGAGTGAAAAAAAAAATTCAACTTTTAAAAAACGAAGTACGTCATGAATATACCGAGTTTTTTAAATAGCTCTTACAACTTTTTTGCACATATTATGTCGTCATGAATATGCATTGTTCAAATAATCTAAAAAATCAATAAATTTAAATAAAAAAATAATTATGAGTCATCAGCAGATAGAATGCACGTTTTATACGAGAAGATAAAAATTTATTTTAACAATGAAGTGTGTATTTTTGTTTCGTTAGATAGGTAAGCTTATTTAAAAAAATTAAATCTTCAAAGGTAACGAGAGCCGAATTAATATAAGTCAAAATAAATATGGCAGCTAGCCTGTTACTTTTTCCCTAAATAAATTATCAGATTATACGAAGATACATATATGTATGGAAAAATTTTTTGGATATAAATAACCCTATATTTAGGTAAATCCAACATATTTTGAACAAAACAAATTGTATACGATATTCAAGAATTTTTCTCTCAATTAAAAACAATATAATTCATTAGTTTTAAAAATAATTTTGGTGGACTATCACAAAAAAAATTTTGATAAAAAAATAATTCACAACAGTGTTTCTGTTGTTCAATAATAATTTTTTTCATTCATTGTCAGTTTATAAACAATATAGCGATAGCCTATTTAAATAATTGATACCCTTTTATAAACTAATTGTTTAAATGTTTGACAATAGAATTTATAGACAATAAAAAAAAATGTTCAACAATTGTTTCTCTTATTTTTGGTCATGAAACAGAGCTGTTAAAGCAAACATTCAATAATTTGACAATATCAGTCATGTGAAAATGATGATTTTTTAATACAGAATAAGATAAACGGTTATCATGTTAATAAATAAATAACGTATCCCTTTTTTGACAGTTCAACATTCTATGTGATTTACTTGGACAAATAAACGTGAGTAAATTTTACCGGACTTGCTAGGATAGAACACACTCCAGTGGGATGTACAATTTCAGCACAAATTTATGGGCTCGAACGAAACCCATTTGCTACTTGTAAATTGTTGTAAATGTTATTATCCTCACGGTAGAGGTGAAAATTCTCCGACTTGCTTTACTTTTTTTTATATTTATAACACATACTGTTTACTTTTATTTTATTTACATTATTTGAATTTATATTTACTCTATTCACTACATTTACTTTACAGTACCATGGACAGGTGTAACATGGTATCATGTGTTGTAAAAACTTGATGACAACTGGATCATTTATCGAATTGTTAATACCACATTTATAGACTCGGTTACAAAAATCAACGTAAACAAGTCAACAAACCAGTTGAGACTTTAGTTTACGTATGTTAAAATTAAATAACATCATTTAATTAAACGTGTTTATACAATCGTTTAAGATCCATTTACTCACCTATGAGTGAGTCGAGATCCACCAATTTTTTGGGATGATAAATTATCGTTGCAAGCGTCAATTAATTTTTTTAGAATTGATAGACATTCACGGAATCGTGAGAAAAATGGGTGATGAGAAACAATACATAATGATGTTAGAGAATAATTCCGTGATTTCTGAAACAAACATTTTTTATCAATATAAAACATTATTATCTTGTTCATATTTTATTTTTAGTTTTTAAAACAGCGAAAATATTTTTATCATATTCAATAAAATTTACTTTAATCGTGATTAAATAAAATTCTTTATAATAACTTCAACATTATTATTTACTCTATTATTTAAATTTTGTTCAAAAAAAAAAAAAGTAAATTTACCAGTGGTTTGCGTCTCTTTGCCTGACACTTATTATAAAATTAATGACGTGAATAATATTATTTACGTCAAAATTGCTCTGAGCATCAAAGGAATATCTTGCTTTTTTTCTTTTTTTATTTTCCGCAAACCAGAAATGCTGTTTTAATGCATAAAGGTAGTGGATCAAGTTACGGCCAGTATCCTAGTTATAGGTATTCGTAGGTTTTTTTTTTAATAAATACGTTTCACATATGCTTCAGAAGCAAAAAAAGCTATGTTAATACCTATAATCATTTTTATATAGACATTTAAAAGTTGATATAGAATAAAAAATATGAGGAAAAATAATATGATGAGCATATGAATATGTTCGTTGCTAGGAAACCAGACAAAAGTTTTGATGAAGCAAAAATTTTCATTATTATGTTTCACAGATTTCCATATACTTTTAATTTTTGAAAATTTAAATTTTATGTTAAAAATATACCGGCATACTTTTACCTATTTAATTGAGAGTTATTAACAATTTAAAATAAATTTTATAAAAATTCATTGAAGCAATAACAACTGTCCAAATAAATTTCTAAACACGATTTTTTTAAAAATCTAAACATATTTATAGTTTGATCCACTACCACACTATTCGTAGAGCTTATAATAAATGTCTTTGCTACTAGGACAATAAAGTGCAACCAACTGGTGAAGCTATCTTAGAACTTTACAGGATTTTTCCATTTTATCTTGAAAAAAAAAGCGCCACACTCAAGTCTTAGAAACGTGTAGGCAATAAATTTTTCTTACATGATATCGTCGAATTGATTTCGGAGATAATAAATGACTTTCGCCGCTTTCGCTATCACCACTTGGTACATTAACTCCTAAATGTGTACGTGTTGAGGTTGTTTCTAATTCTTTATTCTGCAAGTCTCGTTCAGAATCACTAGGACCAACTGTACAGCTTCGTTGATCACTATAAGTATCACATTTATCATTGTTAGTTTACATTATTTATTTATTTTAAAAGAATAATTTAAGAAAAGTAAATTATTTTACCTTGAAAATGCAGAATCTGTACTACGCTCCATACTTTTACGCCATCCATCTTTTGCTAATTTCATACAATGCTTATCCTTTTTTACAGTAACACTTGAGCCCGTGGATGGTATTGAAATTCGTTCAACTGGCCGATAAAAATTTACACATGTGCCGTAACGCGTTTTACCTAAAACATAAAAACATTGTCACGATATAGTAAAGCTTTTTATTTTGATTTGCATATTTCTCGTATTATAAACTTTATCCATAAAGATCTAAAGAGACATAAATTTTAGATTTATCGTACCAAATGTATTTTAGTAGATATTTTTTTTGTTTCAATTTTTCTCTTCTGATAAGTAACATCTGTTTTCATGAATAAATAGTTTATTCTCTAATAATTATTTATTCATTAACTTCACTATAAATACTCAAAATTATTACGCCCTATTTTTCAAGTATATAATTTTCATAAAACCGTTTACGTAACTGTATTACATCTTACAATACCTTTTATAAACTAATATATCATCAAATTCAATTTTTAGATACTTACAATCCAGTATTTATGAATATTTGTTACCAATAAGCTTAAAACTGCATGAATAATCCATTATGATAAACAAATAGTTTGTATGAAAGAATTATAAAATACAATCCTATTATGTACAACTTTTAATTATGTTCTAAGGGAGAATAGGAGAAAGCTTTGAGTAAACTCTCCATCAGGTTGTATTATGCTCCTACTTGAATCTCCTTAATTGATTTTGACTATAAATGGCACAAAGGTCGCTAGTCACCTCAAACTTCATCTTGTTTCAGAGAAACTACCCACTCTATTACTTCAATTTGGTTCAATAAAATAAATATTATTAATTATAATGCCGTAAAAGAAAAAATTACAAGGCATTCATAAGACGCTTGAAAAATGATCTACATATGTAATCCACCTAAATCAATGATACCAACATTAAATGTAAAAAATTGGTAAACGCCCTTGTCTCAAACAAAAAATGCGTCTCAAATGTAAATACAAAAAGTCACGTACACTCAGATATTTTCATATCCAAAAAATAAATTTGACCTTGTGTGAATTTTAAATTTTTAGCAACGAAATTACTTGCGTACATCATATTTATGACAAATATAATATATTATATCATATTATGAGAATAGAACAATCAAAATTGCTTTTGTCATTTGCAGACAGTGGAAAACTGACATATTCTATTCAAAAACAAAGAGATGATATACGTTTGTTTGAGCTTTTTTTACAAATTCTTACAACTATACCTTTGTCTATTATCCATGATAATTATCTTTTAATATATTTTGAATGATTAATAGCATGACTGTGCGTTTTTATATAAAATAATTAATTAAAATATTTATGATAATTTTATTGATCCAATGCAGTGATGTTTGTTTTATGTTATTATAATAATTTAAATAGCTTCTTTCAACTTTCGTAACTAATTTAACCTTTTGATAGATTTTATTTTAAGTTTCTTGTATTATTATTAAAGGGTAAAATATCAAACGTATGATACGTAATAAAATAATTATTATAAAGCATAGTGAGTCGGTTCACTGCATTATATCGTTTTTCTACATCACCATTAAGCGGTATAATTACTCATCTAAACACTAATTGCTATTATCGCCATTTAATTCAATGGATTTATCTAAACTATGAACACCTACACAACCACTTTGTGTATACAGCAATATGTATTCTAAAATTACAGTAAACTGATTAGGTTTAATTAATTAATTAATGCACTTGTATGGCAATTAATGGGAAGATATATCATTGATAAGAAAGTCATGATGGAGTATTTTTCTAAAGTAAAGATTAATTTAAAAAAAAATATTTATGAAAATTTAGTAAATGTTACAAGCATTATTGATTTCTAATCGCTGTTTGTTTTTTATAGAGGAAATTTTTAGTGACATTCAACCCAAAATATATCTGCGAACGTGAGAAACTTTGGTCAAAGCTTTGGAGATTGATTTACATAAATGAACAAAAATAGACAGTGCAGAAAACAATGTCAGGCCATAAAAAACAATGAGTTATTGATGTCAACACAATATAAAGGGGATCTTCTATTACAATGTAGAATAAAATTGCGAGTACAATGATAAATTATTATACAATTCATAAAAAATATTAATAGCTCTTGGATGATAAGCAGAGACATTTTAACATCTTTATGAATGATGATCAAAAACATATTTTATACAAAGAAAAGTCTAAAATAAAGATTCAAAAAATATAAATCTAAGTTGAACATACTTTTAAAATTAAAATAATAAGTTAAACTTCAAAGTTACATCAAAATGCAGGAATAATTCAAGTTGACCATAAACTGTTCATCAATAAAATTATGCAAATTTTGATGAAAATTTTATATATAATATATTGCGCATCTGTTTGAAATTAACTAAATTATTCGCTGATGATATATAAGAATACTATATAAAATTTTTCCTCAATTCATATTATTTATTCTTAAAAAAATTCAGACCGTTAACATCAGAAGGAATTTGAAATTAAAATAAAATCAATCATTAATGGTGCCAAAGAGGAAATTTTTTACCTTCTTTATGCTTGATTATACGTGGTCTTTACCTTTTTATTCTTCAATTGTGAATATTTATGAGATGAATAAACAGAGATGTTTCAAGAGTAGTGAAATATCTCGAATCAGTTTTGTAAAGTTTATTTGTATATCCAAAATAAATATTTCAAATGGATGAAAAATTATTCCCCTAATTTTTGTTCATTTTTTCATATTAAATTAGAAAATAAATATACAATACTATTCACGAAGGCATTCCCAAGTTGAATAATTAATTTAAAAATATTTTTTGGTGTCTACTTATTGATCCATGTTTTTACTTATTTGCTTATTCACGAAACATGAAATTGAATAATAAAATTATAGATTTAATCTCGTTTTAGATAAATTAGATAAAAATTGTATAATAAACCTTATTAATTTAAATTTTCCTACTAAAGATTATTAAAAATATTTTTTTTTTTTATATTTTTTGTCGTCTTACAAATAAGATTCATAAATTGGAATATGATATCATTGCATTGCTCATTTACGATAGATTTATTAGATAAAATACTCTCCGTCCAATAGGTATTAAATTTTACGGAAGACTGTCTCTTACACAAAATAACATGTTAGACTTACTATCTTTAAAAACAAATTTATATCGAATAAAGGTAGAATTAATTGTGATTTTTTAAACCGTCTCAAGTTTACTGTTTAAAACGGTTCCCTTTGATTGACTCACTTTATGCAATTTCAAGTTCAGCAAATTACAAGTACTGTGACATCACCTATCAATTTTCCTTTAATTTGCATATACCAAGTTTATCGTTAATTTCATGAAATTTGAATATTTGTACATACCATGTATGATTATACGTACCCACAGATAATTTATTGCAATTATAATTTTAATGGATTCATAACAAACTGAAAATAACTTGAATATCAACATCATATCTTACCAGAATCTTTATCAGTGAGTGCAAATGTAAACGACGTTGTTTCCCTTAAAACTGAATGTTTCGGTCCCACAGTAGTACAACCTTCAGGCTGACAAAAATATACCATATCTAGTGGTAATGGAAAATCTTTGTGGTCTTCAACTGGATATCGACGTAGCAATTCAGGTATCTAAAAAATGAAATACTTTAATGAAAATTCAAAAATTTGCTCCACTTCATTATTTATTAAATAAAAAATATATATTAAACAATAACAGTAACAAAATAAGAGACAAAAACTTTATTTTTCCAGTCAAAAAAATTTTTTAATCAAGTTATTATTGGATTTTTGTGCAAATAATGATAAAAATTACTTTTTCACAATAATAGGATATTTCTGAAGAAATAAAAATGTCAAGATCCCTGCTAATAAATCAAACTTCGAATGTCAATACCCAACCAACCACTCAACGAGATTATTTACCAAAATTCAATAATTAATTTTTTAATATCTAACCTGGACTGACGGTAAAGTATTAGCTTGCGTTCTAGTTCCAATAATTGCTAAATAATCAATCAATCGTGGGCATAAATTCTTCTTTTGACCGTCCATTGTGAAGTTTGTTCGTTATTTCTTCTGTTTCCTTTATTTAAATATTTATTTGTATTGTTGTTGAAAAAGCCACTCTATGCTGTTGAAATAATCTTTATATTGTTATAGTAAGACCAAATACACCGATGAAACGTTTATTATATTATATAAATGAATTATGATTTCGTGTTATGGTTGAAAAAAAAATCAATATGATGAATTTTCGCAGATTATAAAAATGCTCTTAAATAGTATGCAAGGTTATGAGCGAAAATTTTCTAGTTAAATAACTTTTTTCTTCAATGTATATAGTTTTTATATCAGAAAAAATCATTAACCACTAAACGTGAACGTCGTCACAACACTAAACTGACGTTTCGACTACATGCTGTATAATCATTCAATATATTATCAGGAGCGCGCGCATTCTAAGGGTCTATTCTCAACTTACATATGTTCATGTGTAGGTTAGAATTGCCTATGTGTATGTTTTATGCGTGAACACGTACGTATTCTATCAAATAATCTAATTTCTTTACTTTACAACAATACATCAACATTAATGTTCACATGAAAAATGCTCATAACAATGTCATATGATAATTACTTCTATTATTAGGTCATTCATAAAGTTGTATGATAAAATACAGAACTTTCCTTTTATATCAGCCTATAAATAATGAACATTACTTATTGGTTTCATACATACTTTCCTGTTGATAACGCACTGCGTTCAGACTATTTGTTATTGCGTCTTTGATACTCCAAGAAATAGGTCAAAAAATTAGGGATACGTGATTCTTATATTGGTTCTGAAATTGAGTTAAAATAAGTTTTATTTGAACATCAAAAAATGACGCAATCCTTGAGCTTTCTTTTCTTCGTTTCCTTTTTACTTTTAATTGAATTGAATCGATATAAACTGGCTAAGTTTTCAGAATTTAAGAAGGAAAGCTTAAAGCTATAATCAGATTAGTTTGGCTCACCAGATAGAATAGGATTAGGAATTATTGCGTATAATATTCATAGGGGGAAAGTTGCTTCCTTCTTCTCGCTTGCAGCTGCAGTTGAATCCAGTTTTGGAGGTCCCGCTCTTGAGTTGAACTACTGCGCAAGGAAAAATCTACCCTCATCATATTCGAAGGGGCTGATCATATCTACATTTTTCTTTTCCTAGAATTTTGTTGTTTTTTTTATCTCAAAATCCCTCTATAAATTATTTTTCTTTTAGATTGTTTGATACATAAACTAACTATCTGATTCTTTAAAAAAAATTACTGTAATTTACTTTATTAAATTTACAATTTTCATTTGTTTATATTTTTATCTGTAATTCTTTTTCTATCATAATCAGCAGAAATATAAATTATTTTATATAAAAACGTAAAAACGTTTATTTGGGAGCGTTTATTGATCCCATAGAATGACGTCTGACATGTGATAAGCTTCCCACACAAAATAAAAATGTCCAATCACACATCTTCACGGGGCGTATGGTATTAATAACGTCATATAGAAACCCCAAAGAAATCGAATAATGTTTATAACATAAAGGAAGTGTATTTAACATAATTCTTTTTTAGGTCATGATAATAAATCAATATGAAAAATTACTTTAGCGCCCAATTTCATGAACAATATTAAAAGAAAAACATCATTTATTTCTAAACCTAATGAAGTGAATAAAAATGATTCGTGTGTAGAAATAACAACAATAAAGAATAGTATTTTTCAATTTAAAATTTAATTGTTTTTTTCAATATATTTGTCAACAAGAAATAATTTTTGTTTAATACCAAATAACGCATCAAATCAGTATACAATATTATTTCAAGTTACAATATGTTTACATGGCATTCAAATATCATTTCAAACAGTTTCCTTAAATTTTAATCAGTTTCAAATACATTATAACTTGGCCAACTTTTATTTTTATTTTCTTTTATTATAATGGCCTTTGATAAATTGCCATTGATATCATCGATAATTCATAAAAAGACTAGGAAGTACAATTTTCCCGTAAAGCCGTATTATTCGAAGATTTAACAATTCCATGACATTCTCCTTCTATAAGAGTACTCTTATTTCACTCATTAAAAAATTATGATGAATATGTCGTAAATTTATCACATTCAGTATTCAAACTCTCATTATAAAGAGATCCAGTCAAAAAAGTTTTACAATTTAAATACTTTTTTTTTCAAGTACAAATTGTTCTACATATAATTGATTGCTAAACTACATTTGAACAAATTTTTAAAAAATAAACGGAAAACTGGACTTTTGTATTTTATTTGAAATTTTATCAGTCAGACAAAACTTTATCACATCTATGTTTCTATGATATATATACAAAAAAAGAAACAAAGTTTTTCGAATTTACTTCAATAAATTTGAAATGACGAAAAATCTTCATTAAATCTTAACAGTATTGTGAAATATATCTCCGTACAGATTCACGATAAAAATTGATATATTTATATATATATATTCATTTGTATATATATATTTTGAAGTCTATGATTTTTAAAGAGAAACTTTGATAAGTTTTACATAAAAAAAACCTTTAATCAACAATTTATAAAAATGTCACTAAAATGTAATCATTAAAAATAATTACTGTTTAGTAATTATTTTAAAATAATCCACACAAATACAAACAAAACATTAGTGATGATTAATTTGATAAAATCACTGATACTTTCAGATTAATTCATTATTTGCACTATTATAAAAATTGATTATCTACAATTATCGAGATGGCTTAGTAAAAATAACAAATATTTATATAAAATAAATTATGAAAGCTATGAAAGGAAATAGAAACTGATCATATAATATAAAATATTAAGGAGGTATTTTTATTATGCCATTGAAAAAATTCAAACCCAGAAATTTTTATTCCTTCGATCAATAATCACATTACTTTTAATATCAGAATATTTATATAAACATTTTTAAAACAAAGTATGTTTTAACTATAAAAAAAATCGAGCTTTTTCTATTGGTATAATAAAAATATTTCCCCAACTAATAATGATTTTTATAAATATAAATACTTTAAACCATATAATTATGATTTATTAATACTACTACAACATTTAGAGCAATTGAAACAACTACTGTGCTATCTCTTAATCGACCAGGTAGTTCTTCCAGCATTGGTTGATTCATTAGATTTTTTACATTGGCTTTGTAACAATAAATTATTCTCCTGTAACATATCTCTCTCTTTTACTAAAGCTGCTATTATATCCTGAGCTTCATTCAATTGTGATTTAATTAATTCTAATTCATCTTTATTGCGTATTAACCGTGAGTTTTCCTTCGATAAGTAATCCAGTGCTAATAAACGTCGTTTTAATTCATCATTATCTTTCTTCAATTGTTTGTTAAGTTGCTTTAATTGTTTTATTTCCGATTCTACTGATGTATTTGGTGTTGTATTACTTACAATATTATTCTTCAGGGATTCAATGTTTATTATTCCATTCTTATCACGATTTAGTTTCAGTTCTTGGATATTTAAATTAATTGGTATTGGCCCAGGTGATGTAATATTATTTGAAGGACGATCCTCATTCAAATGTATACAAATATTATTTAAAGATAAACTTACAGGTAAATAATCTGGTAATATTTCATCTTCTAACAAATCCATCAAACCATTGATTGTACTCATTGACAATACTAAGTTGATATCATTAATATCACCGATTAATCTATCCTCAAAAAAGTTTGATATTTTAGCATTTTCAATTTTTAAATTATCTATAGAGTTACTATATTGAGATTTTAAGTCATGTTCTAAACGTAATTTTACAGATATTTTACAGTCATCACATTGTGATTCCATCCAACCTCGAGATCTAGAACTAAATTTTGTCTGGAGTTCATCCCATGGAATGGAAGTACATTCATCATTTAATATCTTAGCTACTTGTAATTTTATTGTTGACGCAAAGCCCTTTGATTGATGTACCAACTCAATCTTGGATAATTTTAGTGTCATCATGGACACTAAATCCTTCCTTTTACAAGCACTATCTAAGGATTTTTCGCTCTGGGTATCAGGTGTCTCTTCAATTACTTCACTGGCTTCTTCTACTGCTGTAATACTACCTACATTCAAATTGCCAAATAATGAATCCGATTTTTCTTGTTCTTCTAATGTTACGACGATATAATTTTCACTGTCAGAGCTCAGTTCGCTTTGTATTGATACGGTATCACTGCTACCGTCTTCTGGAGATGCTTTCAAAGCAGAATCAATGGAAGTCATAAGATTAGCAAAGCTTTTCTTCATATTAGAAAACCCTACGTTGAAATTGTTTTGGATAAATGCTGCTTGTTGTTGATCTTTTGGATATTTACAAAATTTTTGGGTTTCTGAATCATCAAGGGTATGGGATTGCTGTGTCATCAGCTGACCCACATTTTTGATACTATTTTTATCCGTTTGTTTGAAGGTCACTGTAGGGTGTGAATCCATACCAATCATAGATGAAACTTCACTTAATGGTGTTTCTACATCATTGCTTGTATTAAAACGTTTCAATCCGAATTCCAATCTTGATGCGTTTGACGCTGCTGTTTGATTTAAAGACATTGCTAGAATTTCTTCAGCAGCACTTGATGAGTCAGGAATTACCGACTCTAAATCACCGCCCGAATTCTCTTTCCCAGGATTCTGAGATGGCATGATGAATGTTATTTCTAATTGCGGTATTAAAGCACCAAAAATAAAGGAATCACTTGCACTAACTTTGAGAATATTATTGGTATCTAACACAAGATAAGTATTCATTTCAGTAACAATATCTAACTGCCGTAACAAAAATAAGTACTGATAATGATTTAATTGAACACTAATTAAATTATTTATGTGTGCTAGGACGTGAATATTACCATTTCCAGAATTATTTTGGATTTTCGTACCACAATTATCAGTAGCTGGACTATTGTCGTTGATGTGTAGCCATATCATCAGGGGAAATGCATCCACTAAAGGTACAGGTCGATTCATTCCTACTGCACGAACACCATAAAAATCTGCCCATACTGGCTCGAGATTAAGACACCATACATCTTTGCACTCGATCCATAATAATTTTTTATGTAACTTGCCAACAATGTCGTCTACTGATGATACTGAAAAATCGATGAGTGAAGATTTAACATCAGTGCCTGAAAGAAAAAATAATTAAATGTTTTCGTGAATTATAATAAATTATCAATTTTCTAAATTTACAAAAAAGATAAATAAATCAATTTATTTAATTAAAATAACAAGTTTTATTTATTTTGATTGACTGAAACACATACCTGCACAGTGGCCTAAAAATTTATCAGTAATGACTTGATGGTCATTCTTTTTGTATGGAAAATCAGTCGAAAAAAACATTTGCCCCATTCTAAATGCATTCAGACAATCAGCTAAATTAGCACGAGATGATTTGTCGTCAATAGAACGAACATTGGTTAAAGTGACTCTTGACGTTTGTAAATGGAGTGATTTAGGACGATCGCGTTGATTAGGATATTCATGTTGTGATTCAATAATTATCTGCAAATCAACAATGATAGAAAATCAATCTATGAAATTATACATCAATAGAATGTTAGTATAAAAAATTAATTTCAATTCTTTATAGAGAAAAAATATTTCTTACCCTGGGTAAAATAGCTTCTACCTTTACATCAAAATATACATTCATGGCAGTATCAACTTTATTTTGATTAGACGTCAACGATTGATATAAATGTAATAAAAATGAGTTAAACCACAAACAACTGTACATATCATAATTAATCTGTATTGGATTCAATTGCACATAAAATTTTGGTGGTGGTACTGAAATTAATAACATCAAGTAATCAAAAATATGATGTATATTTTAAATTCTGAAATTATTTTCCAATTTTGTTCATACTCACAAGGAAATACCATGTCACCAGGATAATAATAATGAGTGAACTCAGCATGTAAAATAGTTACATCTTCAGGCAGTAAAAATTTCTCTCTATCACCTGTAAGCCAAAAAACCTTAATTAAACTTACGCATTAAATAAATTTTTAAATCATCAATTTTTTTATCTATTACAGCCAAGTAATTTTATCAAGCTTGTCAAGGAATCTATTGAAAAATACACGGAATAGTACATCTATAACAACATGACTTTAGTGTTTATACAACATAATTTATATTTACTGTGACTATAGGTAGGAAAGTTAACATGAATTATTAAACAATCAGTTGTTTATACTATTTTAGAACTTGGATAATTCCAGTCTAAGATTTCTTAAAATATCAACATCAACAAGTATTGAACTTACTCCACTTCTATAACCCACCATAGAATCATTTTTAATTCATTTTTAATGAGAGGTTGATACGACATTAGAAATAGTTGGTAAAAAAGAGAATATTGCAATTGAATAAATAGAAGAAATAATTAATAAAATAAGTATGAGTCAATACCTATCTCGAGTTAATTAAAAAATTTTTATTTAAAGAATAGATGACTCTACGGAAGTAAAAGTTCGATATTAGAGCTAATAGAGCATAACACGAAGATCCTGATTCTAAAATTTATAAAAACTTTTTTAAGCTTGTCTGCATTTTAAATGCTTCAAAGTCCTGTTAAGTTTGCTAATAAAATTTACATTATTTTTGAAGAATTAGATTTATGCTAAAATATTAAAAGTGTAAATTTAAAAAAATCTGTATGAATATAAAATTTATTAGCCAGCTTAACATTACCGATTTCCCAAGCACAACATTCCCGATACTACTGGAGCCTCTTTGAAGCAAGCACTACTATCTACGACAGTATTTATGCACTGTTAACATGATAACCATGAATGATCAATTGAACAACATGAAAATTGTCATATGCGTATGGATGGCTATCAACTGGTGCCAATAATCAATTAGTGATTGATTGGTGCATATATTGGACTGTAAAACCCTACAACGCATTAGGATTATTGATATGATAATAACAATCATTCTTTGTAACTTCGTTCAACCTGAAGGGAATTGCATTAGCACTTCTATCTTCTATTAAATACTTTTAGTATTTTTTAACTAGCCCAGCTCCAATTAAATAAATGACTTTTTCTATAACAAATAAAAAATAAACTGCACAGAAGAAAATCTAATAATAAATAATAAATAATAAAAAAAATTTCTGCGATAGACGCACAATAAAAAAAATTCATTTAGTACACTACGTGCTCTAGTTATTTAATCTATTCAAACTATTTAATCGATGGAATACCTGTAAGATGCTTCTTCCTCGTTTGCGCTATTTATTTATTAACAAAAAAAGTAATAAGTAAATAAGTATAAATAATTATCAAGAGATAAAAATTACTATTTTGCTCAAATTAATTAAATAATAAATAAATTAAAAGAAGCAAATGGAAAATAAATTTTTTAAAAATTAAAAAAAAAAAATCTAACTTTTCTTTTTACATAGTAATTAATAATATATTAACTGTGGGTTGAATAGAAGATTATAATTAATATTCATAATTAGTTAATTTTAGTAAAAAAATGAAATGTAAATTTTTTTTAAAATTTATTTTTACTGTACCTGTTATAAATTCCTTAGTTGCTGGAGTTTTTGTGGGTGTTGTTACTTTATAAATTGTAAAATCATAGATCCTTATAATGATACACACTGTCATCAATTTTGATAGTTGCTCCGATATATAATTCTTTATTAAGTTATAATTACTATTAATTGTTTTACTTGATAATCTTCGTCTTTCGTTATCTAAAAATGAATGTGTTTCAGCAGCTGTCTCTCTATCATCATCCGATTCCATCTCTAAAACAAATTTTCAAAAATTCAGATTATTGAAAAAAATAATTTATAACGGATGTTTTACATATTTTTTGAAATTTAGTTCATAAATAATATGTGCATTATTTTATCTGCATTATTGATAAAATAAATGCTTTTATTGAGGTCGGTTCACGTAAAACATTGTTACACATTGTTGACTTTTATTTATTATTTTTTTCCACAGCGGTTATTAGATTTTTATGATAACTCGTAAATATCTGTTGTTCGATATGACTCATCAATAAAAAAAAAAGTGTTGATTATATATCATTACCTTGATTTCCATTTTTTTTAGTTGACTGTTTTTGTCCAATGTCAATTAACTCTAAAAATTGCCGACGAAATGCGTTGAAAGATTGCTGGAGCCATTGGACGTGTGGTATTGTATTTTCACGATATTTCGCCCAATGTTTTCTGTTTGCTGTTGCCAGATGATATGGATAATAATCAACTTGGAATTTAACTAGTGAGATCTGTAATGCGCCACCATTTTTTAGTTCTGGATGTGAAGATCTCCCACCTAAAACAGAGTTTTGACTTGAAATTAAAAATTTATATATTTATAGTATATTCATTTGACCAAGAAAAAACTTCAACCTGCATTTGCTTTTATAAAGTATCTTATAGCAAACTTAGTTTGTAAAGTAAAGCCATCAATTGGATTCATTTATTTATCGGCATTATAAAATAAATAATAAAAGAAGATAATTAAAATACTTACTACCGGGATCATCGCACAAATGTAAATCAATTCGTTGTGCTAGAAAATGATATGATGTTTCTATAACATCATAGCGCATGAAAATTTTAGATATTGCTGAATTACAGACAGGCTTTGATTTTGATTGTTGTAATATTTGTTCTTGATACTCAGGTAGAACCTGTAAAAAAAATGTGAACTAATAAATATAAAAAAATATATGAATCATTCGACAGTAAATATTATTGAAATAAATACATGATGTTAAAAAATTAGTCATAAAAAAATATTTATCAAATAGGTGAACGATAAGAAAACAGCATTTTTAAGTTGTAATTTCAAGGATTTCTTTAACAAGCTATATTGTAGACACATTTAATATTTTTCATGTCATGATATTATTGAGAATGGAAAACTAAAAAAACAATTATAAGAAATATATTGCTTAATATACAAAAAATTAAATTTTACCTCAAGTTTTCTTGCAGATTTAATCTTCCGTTCTAATGTTGTTGCTTTTTCAATGAGATTAGCTAGTGAATCAATAAAATGTAAAGCAGCTTTTAATTGGGAATCAGTTAATACCCACAAAAGATCATCAAGAATTAAAACTAATCTTGATCCCATGACAAAACAATCTGTAAAAAAATCAATTCATGTAAATAGAGCAACAGTTGTTATGTTACTTTAATTTAATAAAAAACATTCTTTAATACATGTTGATGAATTAATAATACATCATCTATATATTCTGATGAATATTCTATTGCAAAATAGTACTGAATATGTTTTATTTATTTGGCTGATATTCAAAGTATATATGCATATTTAATATCACTTTTACTTACCAGAAAGACGCTTTTTAATAGTTATACGACAACGTGCTTGGTTTGTCAATAAACGTAACGGAGTCAAATCATGATCTTTAGTACTTCGAGCCTCAATTCTAACTGTTTGCCATTCGAGTTCCTTGAATATTAATAATTGTCCTTTGTCAGAATCTTTAACGCGTGTCATTCTTAAATCACATCGCTGCCAGGTTGGTGATTTAGACTCGACCATAATTCTAGATATCTACAAAAAAAACAAATAATTATTAAACTTAAACTTGAGCTAAATTGAAATTACACAATATTGCACTTAGTTATGAAATTAATTGATTTTTATTAAAAAAAAAAACATTAGAGAATGTTAAATTATAATCATTACCTGAATGTTTGAAACGAAAGCTGGACTTTTGAACGTTATCGAAATCGTGTTAACAGCAACTGTAATACCATCAATAACTTTGTGCATAAATGAATATTTGCTAGCTCCAGAAATTGCTGCAGTACTATTAGTTGGTGATGATAAATTTCGTAGATCATCACAAGTTACTAATTCAATTTGAACTTCATCTAAGTGCTGTGAAAATTTTGTAAATTCATAAATGAAAGGTTGATCGAGTCTCTTAATTTTATTGTCGAAGAGATTGTAAAATTATTGTTGATCAAGCTTGAAGAAGTTTAACTTACCAAAAATATAGGAACACTTTTGAGTTTAGTCCATTGTATTCGTAGAATAACTTTGTTACACCAAGCATTAGTTAGCTTCAACCAAGAAGGTAGTTCAAGTAAATTAGTAAGAACAGCTTCATCTAATTCTAAGTTCAACAATTCTCCTTCTCCTCTTAAAGTGCTCAAATTAATTTGATCCACTGATAAATTTTTGGTAAATCTATGAATAAATAAATCGTTGATAATACGTGTTATTATTTCAATAATAATAATTAATTTTTTAAATAATAAAATAGCAGCAATGAAATCAATTTTTCTTTTTAAAGTATAAAAGATCTATATTTATTACTAAGATAAAAGTTTTGCAGAACGTAAAGCTGAATGTTGTCATGTCTTAAATATAATTAAAGTTAAAAGCCTTCTATTCTACAGGAAATTAATAACAGTTTTAAAGTCTATAATTGAAGATAAATTCTAGAAGGCTTAAAATTAAATCAAAGTTTTTATAGTTTGTAGAAAGAATTTTATGGTACCAAAATAAATAACAAATAAACATATTATGATGTGTAAATATTGTAGAATATTTATATGATAAATCTATTTCTATGCATAAAACTGAGCTTACTTGCAACTTTACTCTTTAGATAAGATCTTTTAAAAATAAAGTTAATCTAAACAAACCAGATTAACTGAAGCTTCCTGTTAGTAATTATGTATCTATATATTGATTATGTTTTAATCCTTTCAGATTACTTTGACTATCTAATTGAAACCATTTAAATATTTAATTTTGAATTATTATTAAATCCTTTAGAATATTTCAAGAAATAACAACTTAAAAAAATTACAATTCACAATTAATTTAATTACTGCAATTAACTATAAAACTTGATAAGATCTTAAACTTATTACCTTGACAGATGTTTCAACAACTGATTTTTTATAATAGATGCCATATTTTCAAAATATTCTCACATCAGTCAGAAGTTATTGTTGATGACAAATTTATATTTGTATTCAATAAAAGTAACAATTTATACGATTTCTTACAATTCTTATTTAATCATGAACTTTTTATTTCCACATCATTAAAACTTTCAATATGAAATGTATCAATATACGATGAATAAGATTCGAAAACTTTTAGGTTATATTTAAGATAAATTTTTTAAAAATCCAAGAGCAGTGTATTTGTTGAAATAAATATTTTTCTGTGTAACTTTGTTGGATTTTTTTTTTTAACTGGAAACATTTATACACTAAATTATACTATGCAAACACAACCATTTGGACTTATTGTACTTTCTTTTCATTCATATCATACCAGCTTGCTTACATAAAGTAGACAGCTGAAGATAAATGATCCTTATTTAATTCACTCACATCCATATTAAACAAATGTATTTACATTATGATATCATTAATTATTATTTTGAAATTTACCGGATAAGTCAGACTAAACCTAAACTTATACCACACAAAACTACGTACTACTGATCGAAAATGTAGCTTTTTATAAGCTCAATGGTCAATTCAAGAAAAATAAAATAATTATTGAAGTCAACCCTATATCTTGGTGATTATATTTTTGCTTTTACAATAGTTTAGTCTTTATCAGTATAGTTTACACCGAGTTCATGTCTAATAAGTCAAGAACCAATTGAGAACAAAACGCGATAAAAAAATATTTATTTCATTATAATTTAATTTTATCGCTCAGTATGACTTTTTTCTATTGTTATTCTGTTATCACTTTTTATGCTCTAAAGTAAGGGCATCTAGTTGTATTTGAATTGGTTTGAACAAATTCAAAAATTAAAAATTACTGAACAAAAAAATTGCAAATACTTTTAAACATTTCTCAAGTGTTTAAAATCTGTTTATTTATTATACTAAATTATGTTTATTGAGATATTACATTTTTAGATGTATTTATTATTTTTTTATACATAAAAAATAGTGTAAACAATGATTGCAGATCTAGGGAAGTCGATGACTGATCGACAAGAGGTAAGGATTAATTTTTTAAGTGACGAATGATAATATCATCATCACAATGTAGCGGCAAATATAAATTTTTCATAAAATATCAAAAAAATTGTAATTTATATTGACATTTCAAATATTTGACTCTCCATTTATAATTAAAAAGAAAATGTATTTATTTAAATATTTAAAAATTTATATACAAATTGAATCATAAATTTTATATTGAAATAAAATTGATTAATTCTATAAATTTCATTTATTTATGAAAAATGAAACTATTGTGTATATTTTCTCTGAATTTTTCTTGAAGATATTCTTACACGTTGATAAAATTTTGTTGATGACCCTATCTAATCACTATCATCTGTATTACGAGCCGTTCGCGTGAGAGGTCTACAACTGTCTTCATCAGATCCGTAAAGCACTTCTTCATCAGAATCATTAATCATTGAAAATGTTGGATTGTCCTTCGTAATAGATGAATCTGATACATAAATAATAATTATAATCAGCAAGTAAAATAAAATGAAGAAAAACATTTATACTGTAACATTAAAGAAAAATTGATTTCTTACATTGACCATAAACACTTTGAATTCCTGGTGCATATACATAAGCCATTGTATATAAGTAAAAATTTAAAACACCATAAAGTGCCATAAATTGTGCAGATGTACGATAATATGTCGAAAGACGTGATGCAAAACTATCTTCTAAAACACCAGCACCAAATTGACGTGATGTTACAATTGCACATACTCCAATAACTATCATTGCCAATAGAGTTAAAAATTTTAGCCTAAGATCTGAAGGAAAAAATTATGATTAATAAAAATTTCATTTATTATTTGTTTTTTTACTGCCAAGTAATCAATTTACTTGTTAATTTTCAACTTACCAAAATATGGCATTGATCTTAATTCACTATATGCTCTTAAAATTAAGAACAAGAGATATACAATATAAACTCCACCGATTGTGAAGAAGAATACTTTGAAACCCTATAAGTAATAAATTTATTAATTTATTAATTAAAGTAAATTGGAAAAAATAATAATAAAGGTAATAATTAGTTAATAATTAATTATTTTAAATAATAAAAATAATTACATAATAATTGGACGTATCAAGTACGTAATTATAAGTTGGATCTTCAAGCTCTGTACACCTTAGCCACGTAGCCAAGGTCAATGCAGCACCCCATAAGCATCCAACAATTACAATTTTTGGTAAATAAAATGTGGATAACTTTCTTTCATTTTGTCTTAACCCATGATAAATGCACAACCAAAATAACAGAATGGCACAAAGAAATGATGTTTGCATAATTGCATCTAACATTCCTGGGATCCATGAGTTAATAAGAAATATCATGGGAAAGAGTGGATCTAGAACAAATGTACGAGATTTTTTAAGAAATTAATATTACAAGCGATAATAAATGATTCAATTATAAATTTTATGGATATCAATACTAACTGTTGTAGAAAATAAGTAATGGAAGAAGAATTGATATCCACTTTTGTTCAATAGACCAATCATTCATTGGATACTTTCTTAAGCAGTGGCCAAACCAACACTATAATACAGTTATTTATTCTATTAATTAGAAAATCATTAATTCAGATTCACATTGACATAATTTAATAACAATTTAAATTCTTACCGCAACAATAAATGCCGCTAGGAGAAAGATTAATCTGAACCATATTTCAATTTGTGTGAATGCTGGATTATAATTTTTAAACTGTTGAAAAAAATTGGAGATAAAATTAGTATTAAAATAATTAAATCAATGATATCTAATAGATAATTAGTATCAATTGAATTCACTCACATAAAAAGTTAAATCACGAATTGTGTAACGTTGATGGAAGCTCTGCAATCCATAAAAATAAACAGTTGTCATATAATGTGTATAATCTAAAGAGCCTAGATGAGCTACAATAAATTCTTCACAAAGTTGTCTTTCACACTTTAAATATCTAGTCCTAAAAAATATATAAAATAAGAAATTCATCAATATCTCTCATTTGTATGTATTTTAAAATAAATTATATAAAAATATCTTAATAAATACCTATTATTGGCAGCATCTGACGAAAGAACAGAAACAAGTTTATTTTCTTGTGTGATTCCATCAATTAAAACATTCACTTGAAAGCTCTTATCATATCTTTCATCTGCAAGACACCAACATATAATGAAACCAGTTAAATACAAATACAACATGTTTGTTTTTTTAATTTAAACCAAACCCACCATCATTATTCGCTGTAGAAATTTTAGCAATTATCCACAATTGTTGACAGTATGTCGAAAGTGTTGGAGTCTTCATAATAAAAGGCCCAGTTGCTATATCAGTGCCATTCAAATGAGCTTTGTGTTCACTTGTAGAAGTGATTGGTGGTCCTGCGAGACCAATAAATATTGATAATCCAAAAGAGGCAAAAAATGCAACAAATACCATAACAAATTCTCGTTTATGCATTGAATAAAGGCGCATTGGTACTGATCTAAACATACAAATTCAACATAAATAAATTCTAGGCATTATTTGATTTTAATTTAGAAGAGAAAATTATTAATACTCTTTACCTTTCACATCGATCATGATGATAGGCAGGTGCTATATATCTGTTAAATTGACTAAATAGATCACTAAACTGAGACAACGCATTTTTAATTTTTAGATTCCATCCAACTGAAGGAAGATAATAGGAATAACCCAAGTCTGCGTTGTCCATAATTATCACTTGAAGCTGATATTAAACTAAAACTTTTACCTATAAATAAATTAAAAGTACCGATAAATATAACGCATAAATAATTTGTTTATATCAACGTTTATTTTTTATTTCACTTTTAAAAATAAGTGATGATTAAAACGAGTATTAAAACAATCAACGAGAAATTATTAAATTAGATACAAATTGGAACACTATGAAACCATATAATTTATTGTAAGTGTATTTACCTCTCACAATAACCTGTATTTAATAAGGTGTTGTTTTCTAGTGCAAATTATCATGTCGAAAAATATAAAAAAAATCTTAGTTTCGTGTCAAAGCAAAACACCCGAAAGCGCCCTCACCCTGTTGACGTATCATAAACAATATTGATTTTCTCGTAGTAGCTCACCCTCACACATATCTATGATCTTTCATGAAGAATAAAATAACATTTACTGATCTGAATTTAATCATCCTATCATATCAGATTAATTAAAGGAAAAAGTACAGTTTCATCATTATAATAGTAATCAATATTTTGTTTCTAAATTATTACTACACACACTTGCAAAAATAATAACTAAATGCTGAATAATTAATTCAAATTAAATTTAAAAGATATCAAAGATGTTTGTAAATATATTTACAAAGATTATTTACATTTTTTTTCGTTCACATTTTATTACAAAATATTGATAAATTAATCCCAGTATTTAATTTTTCCATCCCAACCAGCGGTAGCAAGTCGAGAAGGTTCATGAGGATGCCACAAAGAAGCTATACAAACTCCATCATGAGCTTTCCATTTCTTATATAACTTAGTGGTCTTCCAATCCCATACATAACACTTTCCATCAGCATCTCCGGACACTAAATAACTCATATCTGGTGAAAAATCGAGTCCACAAGCATAACCTGCCACCATGTGTCCAGTGAAGGTTTTCTTTCTATTCATCTTAAATCTATTCAAAGCTGAGAAAATAACTATTTTATTATCCATACTCTGACATGCCAGCCACTTTTGATTTGGTGATAAAGTAACTGCCGGCATCGAGTGCATAGTAGGATCTGCGATATATTTCATGTCAACAGGAATATCCCATTCCCATACTCGAAGACTTTTGTCATCAGAGGTAGTAACAAAGCGCCGGTTTTCATCAACGAAAGTTATCGTGTTGACAGCTCCCAAATGTCGATCATATTCTTGAGTAATTTCTCCGCTTCTTACATCCCAACAGATAATCTTTTTATCACTAGTACCAGCAACAAAAAGATGTTGTTTATCTGGATCAGGGTTAAATTTAGCACAGTAAGGAATTTTACGACTTGTAAATCTGCTGATGCATTCTCCAGTTTCAGTGTCCCAAAGTTTAACAAAACGATCGTACCCAGCAGATAAGAATCTCTTTCCATCGTTATCAAAACTTATGTCTCTCACAGCTTGACGATGTCCAAAATAAGTACGTATACATCTTCTCTCTTTATAAACTTCCCATAGTTTAACTCTACAATCCATACTGCAAGACAATAATAAATGTGCAGTTTTTGGGAACCATTTGATTTGAGAGATTCCTTTTTTGTGTCCATCCCAAACATGAATCTGGGATTTTGGTAAAAAGCATCGTTCTGGCGGAGAATCAGATTTAAGATTAACCCCAACATCTTGAGGAGCGTGGAGGAAGGATCGTCCTTGATAATCCAGAGGATCTTTGATATGAAGAACAGTTTTTTCATCTAATGGTTTCTCTTCTACTTGTTTGCCTCGCTTATTTCGTTTGGCTAGAATTTCCTCAAGTTCGGCAGCTTCTTCGTCAGTTGGTTTTATCACTTTTTGTTCGTCAACATAACCACCCCAAGGACCTAAATAGCCATTTATATCTGATGGATCGTCATTTCGAAGTCTTTTTCTTTTATCTTTTGGACGTAATTTAGTGTGCTCAAAAACTGTTTTTCCACCTTGTTCTTCAGCTAATTCAGTTGCTCCAATTAAAGTACGACCTTCTTCTGCGCTTCCATCGGTAGTAGGATCCAATGCATACCCTGAAAAGATTGTTATATTAAATAATTCTTATTCCATACCTAGAATATTTGCAACAATTCCAAGAGTGATGCATTATGACTTAATATTTACCGATGATCTCAATTGTTCTACTTACCATAACTGGCAAATGTTCTCCTTTGATTTTCAAATTGAAATTCACTAATGTGCGTTTTTTCAATATACCCAGAAAGAATATTTTTCGGGGCTCGTTGTTGTTGAGTTTTGAAAGGATTCTCAGGTCCTACACTCGGTGCAAACAATTCTTCGTATTTAGGGTTGAATTTTAGTTCTGTTACATCTGGATCTACATGAAACGTACATAATTCTGTCCCCTATTGAATAGAAGAAAATCATTAGTAACTCATCTTTCTAAATTACACATTTTTGTTTAAATTCATTAATTAATAAAAGGTTCAACAATCAAATTTAGGTTAGAATACTTACAGTGGGTACAACTTCAGGAGCTGCACAAACCTTTACAGCTAGTGTAGTTACAGAAGGTTTTAATGATGCTGTGCTTTCATTAGTATCATTTTTTTTTAAATCCGTCTTGCTATCATTAACAGTTGTATTTTCTTTATTGCTCAAAATTTTAACAGATCCATCGATTTCATTGTCACTGTTTTCATCACTACTTCCATATCCTTGCAATGCGAGCATTGTAATAATTTTTTTGATAATTTGAAAAAAATTAAAAAATTTGTAGTATTTATGTGATAAATAAACTAATTTACTGCATATTTAACGTAAATATTAGCATTTACTTCAACTGTTCCGACACAGTTAAACGTATAACAAATACACCTAACCTTAATGACATTCGTACTATTGAGTTATGAATTTTCACTATACGTGGCTCTTAAATACAATTCTGTATTTTTAAAATAGACAGTATCGCTCTTTACAGTATATTTTCAAACACACAATAAATAAATTTGAGAAAGATTTTTTTTTCTTAAAAATAACTCCAGTAATAAAGGAATGAAATAATAATATGAAGTAGGAGTATAAAATTTATACAATTTTTATTTAACCTAACACTTAAATAATTATTACATTTATGCTCGTAACCTTTGTCGAGGTTCAAATTCTGTTTCGTATTCAATTTCAACTCTAGGTCGTGCTTTAGATTTTTTCGAAAGATTCAATTTCTTAGATGTTTTGGATTTTTTAGAGTTTGCTGATTTAGGTGTAATATCTTCAATGTCACTATCATCAGTTTCGAAACTGTCTGATAAATCTACTTGCTCTTTTCTACCAGAATCACTATCTGCCTCCTGTTGAAATATTTTTAATAAAATTTAGATCAATTAATTGTAATAAAGTGATATTTTAATGGTAATCAATAAATATGATATAAATTATACCTCTTCATCTTCATAGTCATAGTTATCAGAATCTTCATCCTCATCACTTTCCGCTTCAATAAATCTATGACCAATTTGTTCAGTTTCCATTTCATCCTGCTCCAATTCTTCTTCAACTTCTTTTTCAATTTCTTGTTCTTCTTCTTCTTCATCACTTTCTTCCTCACTTTCTGCGTCAACTTCAACTGATTCTACAGCTTTATCAAAGACTTTTTGTGGGAAATTATAAATGTCATTGTACTGGAAAAAAAATTAAGTTGAATAAAACATTAAACATCTAGAGAAATAATTGAAGTATCATTTCAATAATACTTATAAATATTACCATTCCTTTCTTCAATCTTTCCATAAGTTGTTTTTCGATTGCATTTTCCAATTTAGCAGCAATAAGAGCTTTTTCTTCTCTTCGTCTTTCTCTTCTTTCAATTTTTCGCTGGAGAGGTACAATTTTCTTCTGTCGACGAAGTTTCATTTTTCTCATCCGTATGAGGTATTGAGTTATCTTTAGAAACCTTTGTTTGCATTTTGCTTTAATAAAACCTGGCCAATATAATAAATTTTCGTTTATTTGATGAATAGCTTTTTCAAAATTTCTAGATAATTTGATTTTTTCCCATTGATTTTTTGGCTCATGAATTCTAAGATTTGAAAAAAACAATTTCATGAATGAAATTAATATATTAATGTAAACCTATGAATACATGAATATTTAAAAACTTTTATTACCTCTCTGCTGTTCTCATAAATAAAAATATAACTCCATTCTCTTCACGAACTGTTGCATATTGACTATTAGCTAATGGGCATGAAGATCTACTGCACAAACCTGTCAAATTATATTCATTCCGGCAAAATCTTTGGCCCTTTGTACTAAAAGATGTGCAAAAATATGAGTAAGTCTTCTTGAATATAATTTAAAATGATAAAACAAAATTATTATCATTAAAAAAATATTATTTTTACTTACTTAACTTTGAAAGAGCAAAAAGATTTGTTGATGATACTCCAAACAACCTAAGATTTGAGGTTATCAATTAAAAACACATTCAAACATAGCTCTTATTATTAATTTAAAATTTTAATACTTACATCATCGTGTTGCATTGTTATCAATTAAAAATACTCAAGGATTAAAATATTCTTTAAAGTTTATATTTTTTGGAAAATTACTTGTTTTCTGACCTACTGCGACACAAACACGTGTATCAGATAGTTTAGTCAGAGGTAAAGAAGAGAGACCAGAGAGAAGTCCTCTCTGACGGTAGTGCCTCATAGTGACGTAAGAGCAAGATGGCGGCAATTTATGCTTGGTGCACGAGACACTTCTAAATAAACGTCTCTCTTGATTCAGTTTAGTAAAGTAAGTTGCCAATTTAGAAACAATACACATTTTCAAAATTCATTTTATTCACAGCTGCACAGTAATCATATTAAATAATTATTAATTTCAGATGACTAAATTAATGGAATGGCTGTTTTGTTTTGTATTATTTATGGGTCCATGGACGGCAGCAATTAGTGGAGCAATAGATTCTCCATTCATAAATGAACATCGTCAACTTATTTTATTTTTGCCATTTTTCTTTTTAGTTGTTTTTGGAATTTATGCCGTTACTGTAGTTTTGTATAGAACATTTACATTTAATGATTGTGAGGAAGCTGCTGGAAAACTTCGTACGGTAAGATAATAATAGTTTATTCATCATCATTTTGCGAAAAGTTATTTAATATTTATCAATACATTGAAATTAATTTATTTATTTTTTTATTAATTACAAAAAGATTTATGAAGTATTTAATAAATATAATTGCTTAAAGATGTTGGACTTGTCATAAAAAAAATTTAAACATAAAAAATCTTCATTACAGGAAATAGCACAGGCTCAAGCAGAATTAAGAATCAAGGGAGTATTACCGCGAGATCCAAAAGGCCCTGAATTAATGTAAATAAATATTTATACAATATGAAATTCAAATTTTATACTCAATACCAATGAGTTTCTATATTAAAATTGTTATTCATCATGAATTATTACATAAAGGCTCACTATCATAATTAACGGGAAGTCCACTTCGACCTTTTTCTGCTGGTACTACTTCACTTTCTCCTAATTTCTGTTCAAGTCCTTTCCACGACCGATTATTTAAAAAATTCGCCCCTGCTTTTCCTATTGCTATCGTTCCATCACTCTTACACGTTAAAGCACTCATCTTATCAACATCAGGTTCACTGCTACAATGATTCGAGTGACCACGTATGTTGCCTGATACAAGAGAGACATCAGTGTCTTCTGATGATGTAAATTCAACATAATTTGTGCCACCGGGTAATATTTGTCGGAAATCTAAACAGTAATTCGTAGAAAATTGTCTTGATTTATTGAACGCCAACTCCACTTCAAATGGTGTTAAAATTGGTTTAAAGTATTGCCGTGAATCAAAAATATTATCTTCTGGACATGTTATCATCACAAACACATCAATCTAAAAAAAAATTAATTTTATCATTATTATTACCAAATAAATTATCAGCAAGTGAAATTATGCTTTAAAATTAGTAATCATTGTAAATAATTTTACCTCTGCAAAATTAGCAAGCTTAGCAGGGTTAGGTTTACCAACACTAAAAATATATGATTTAATATTCTGTTGTTTTAAAATACGCTTTATTGATGATAAAGCATCTAAATAATTCTGAATTGCAGTTGTTGCTACAACAATTCCAACAGTCTTAGAATCTTTAAGTTTTTCAACTAAATAGCGTCGTCGTTTCAACCACGTACTGCTTACAACATCGAACTTTGTTATTTCACTTTCTTGAGGATCATAATAATGCCATGTTTTGGCTGGTATACTCATAGCTAAAGCCATAAGAGTTTGATTATTTTTTCCTAAGTAAAATACATCATAATCTTCAATCATATATCCATTATCTAGGTGCCAACATCTTCCAGATATAGTGATTTCATTTTTGTTCTTTTTGTCAGTAAACTCAACATTTGAAGTACAGTTTAATGTTGAGAGGATTAAATTTGGATATTTTGGTTTAAGTACTTTCCAAATATATTCTGTAAATTATATAATTAATAAATTTACACAAATAACATTAAAAATTCCAATTTTGATTTCTTTACACTTACCAATAAGATGTGCGAATGAAATGTCATAAAATAATAGAATTTTATCATCACAATTCAAATAAAATTCACAAAATGAATTGATAAAGTGATCAATATTTAATTGATTCTTTGGTAACATATAAAAAATTGGTAAACGAGCTGTAGGATTTAAACAGGCATGTCCAAAATGTACAATAGCATCAGCACCAATATGATTAGCTGCTACTTCATCAACACAACAACTCCCACACGTTGTGTCACCTAGTATATAAACTTTTTTATCTAGTAATACTTCGAATTTCAAAGCGATTCGCGCGGAATTCGGTAAAAGATCGTCCGGAAACTGAAGACAAACCTGAAAAATATCCAAATTTTTAAAATATTAAATTAATATGATAAAATTCTCTTTTTCTTTATTATTAAATAAACTAATTTCTGTATTTAATTATGATCAAAGATAAAAAACTTGTGCCATAATAATAACAATTCTATGGTATACGTGAATTCTAGTTTGATGCGAATGGCGCATGAATGTCAAAATATCTTCATTGATATTAAAAGTTTAAAAAATAATACATTAAGATATAACAGAGTACATAAAAAGCTGATCAATATCTTGAATATAAAAAAATGGTGATAATTCATTAAAGAATTTGTTTTATCAAAACATTTTTTAAAAGATAAGAACTCTAAATATTTCACCTTCTCCAATCCACGTGTTTTTATCCAGTCAACACATTTTTGAAAATCATTCTCTTCTGCATTAATATCATGAACTCTATGATCACAATTTAATTGCCCATTATTACAACAATTTGATGGTGTCATAATTAGACTGTGACAACTTTGATACAATAACTTTTTGGAGTATTTTACTCACTACTCACTGAATGTCACAATTCAGATTTTATATAAACGGAGCTAACTCACACCAGAGAACCGAGTATTAGTGTTGGTTTCTGTTCTTTGTTCACACACTCATGTTGACAATTCTACAGCGCAACTGCAAAAAACCTACGAAGGTAGACGAGAGCAGAGATCAAAGAGAAAGAGAAGGATTTTCACATCACAGCAAGATATCCAACGTGCCATTTGTTTGCGTGGACCAAATAAAACGCTATTTTTCTCAAACTTAATTCCGTTTTCAGTTGGTAAAACAGAGTTAATAAAATTCCAAAATCTTCAGAAGTGTAATTCACTTGGAAACCGGTGTTTTTTCTGAATTTCTGCAATCAATTGTAATTAACGAAGTTAAAAAGTGATCAAAAAATATGACAATATCAGCGTTAAAGTCAAAGGAAGAATTTGATAAATTCATCAAGTGAGTTAAATGAAAATTGATGATATTTTATTTATTCTAACCTTATTTTTATTTTCTTCAGAGATGAGAAATTGTTGGTCATTCATTTCTATGCTCCATGGGCTGATCAATGTACTCAAATAAATAGTCTTTTAGTTCATTTGGCAAAGTCAGATAACCACAAAGATGCTAAATATGCTACAATCGAAGCTGAAGAAATTCCTGAAGTTTCATTAAAATATAAAGTCAGTGCAGTACCAACAATTATTTTGATAAAAAATTCCAAAGTTGTGGATCGAGTTGATGGAGTTAATCCAGGAGAATTAGGAGATAAAATTGCAAAACATTTAAAAAATGAATCTTGTGGATCATCTTCTGAAAATTCAGAAATTAAATTAGAAGAGAGGCTCAAAAAATTAATAAACCAAGCACCTTGCATGTTATTTATGAAGGGAAATCCAACGACACCGAAATGCGGGTTTTCTAGAACAATCGTTGGCATTTTAGATTCTCTTAATGCAGATTATCAAACTTTTGATATTCTTGAAGATAATGCTGTAAGAGAAGGTTTAAAGAAATTTAGTAATTGGCCAACTTATCCACAATTATATATAAATGGTGAATTAATTGGTGGTTTGGATATTGTAAAAGAAATGAACAAGACTGGTGAGCTCAGTGGCCAGCTTCCGAAAAAATCTTAAATCTGAATTAAGCGTGAGTACAATATTTTTCATTCAAGCATACAAAAATTTAAATATTATTAGTTTGTTCAGGAAACTTTTTTTTTCAGCAGTCAATCAACTGTCCAAGCTTGTATATAAGTTATTTCAATTCAGACAACTAATTTAATGTAATTATTTCAAAACTACTATTGTAATTCGATTGATTATCATTTATATGGGATTTACAACAAGAAAAATGAAACCTCTCTTACAACTATTGAAAAAAAAGGTGATTGATGATAGAATAATAATAATATAATGAATGGTATGTAAGGTTTATTTACATAAGCTTAAAATTACAAAGTCTATATGTAAACTAAACGTACATATTAAAATAAATTATTCAATTTTTTCAAATTAAAAGTAAAATTCATGTTTATCATTAATAATTAATCAAAACTATTATTACAATTTATAATAATAACAGTCTGTAAGAAAAATTAATTCCTTATTTCTTTCGCCTAGCTTTACTTCCAATTTGAGCTCCTTTTTTGGCACCAGAAATGATACCCTTAAATTTCCCTTTATTCTTTAATTTCTTTCTTCTATTCAAAGCTGCTCTCGTCAAAGGAAGATAAGCATAAGGATCATGCTTTCCTTTCTTTTTAATGTCTCCTTTAGCTTTCTTTGATTTGTATTCAGATCCAGGAGCTGACTCAACTTTAGCTGATTTTAATGGCCGATGAATTCCAGATCCACCGGCTCTATATTTGGACGTTGAAACACTATTAGCATCAGTACTTCCACTGAGTTTACGTTTTCTAGGTAAACCTGCTTTACTGGAAGCAACAGATTTACTATCATCCTCATCATTATCTTCATAATCATCATCAGAATCACTCCCGAGGAATGGAAGTTTGTTCTTTTTCTTCTTCTTTTGTTCATTTTCAAGATCATCATCATCATCATCATCGCTGTCTTTAATAATTAATCGTCCATCTTCAGAGGTCTTGAATCCATGATCTTTTGATTTATTTTTCTTGGTTATTCCAGACATCAAATTTTGTCCAGGTTTCGTGGCTGTGATATTCTTTGCAGCAGAAGGATCCACAAAATCAACGATATTTTCAGCACTCTCTTGAATCCAAGTCTGCTTTCCTGTTTTCTTCTTAGCATTCTTTTCTGTCTCAATATCACTATCATCAAATTCTTCTTCACTATCAGCCAAAATTTCTTCCATACTCTTAGGTCTTCTATTAACATTGAATTCATCATCGCTATCATCTTTGTTCTTCTGCTCTTTCTTTTCTTCTTTAAGTTTCTGTTTACGAGCTTCAATTTTTTTAATATTCTTAATTCTTTTATGCATTAATTCATCTGATTGAGGAATCATTCCCACAATTGTATCAAAACCAAACTTTCTGATTAACTTAACTAAAATATCACGAACCTTTTGTCTAAAATGTCGTTTACAATCATCTGTCATTCCAGTAAGACCTTGAATAATTGTTGGCAAATTAGGTCCTATTACTGGTGTCGGAAATGAAGACAAATATACTTTAATGTAACTTAAAGCTGATAAAACGACTTCTCTTGTCGGACCTGTTAGAAGAGTACACGTACAATTTAAAATCTCTTGATTTCTTGCTGCACCTATCGATCCATTATATTTATATGTTAGATTTGCTAAACTCAAAAGAGTTGTGCTAACATAAGTCGGTGTTCCACCAAGACCGACTGTGATCATTTGAATATAATCATCAAAGTGTCCAGGACTACTCATAAATTTATCCGCAATATCATTGAGAAGTTGATAAGCAGATGTTCTACATTTTTCATTTAAATCTTTCACACACATAACTATTTCAGGAACAATAGACTTAAGGAATTCAGTTTTTTCTAGTTTAGGATGAGTTTTAACTAAATGACCAATGCAACGTAATCGGGCTCCCCGACTCGTCGTACAAACTGTTGGTGTTGCTCTAATGAGTATTTTCTGAATACCTTTGCGATTCTCAGAAACAAAGTCTTTACAAACTTGATGGGAACTTCCACAAATTTCTTCCAAGAATCTGTAAGCTTTCTTTTGGTCCTTAGAATTCTTATCATCCATCAAAATAGGTATACACTTTTCGTACAATCCTTGAAGCCGATTTTGATCAGTAAATTGTGTTAAAATTCTAATCAAATCAAACACAGCTTGTTTAACAAAGTCATTCTGATCTGGCTCCTGTAGTTTGCTAAGAGCTTTATCGAACAGTTCCCCACATAATTCCTTAGAAGTAATAGTTAAGTAAACTTTAATTGTATCAAAAGCAGCAAGTCGTTGACCTTCTTCATCAGATCCATTAGGTTTTGTAGTATATAAATTGAACAATAAAGGTAAATAATTTTTAGCAAACCTCGCTAATTCTTCGACATCCTCTTTTTTATCATTTTCAACTGATTTATTGATTAATTTACGTAATGAAGCCATTACTGACAATCTTAAATCTTTCCTATCACTTATTGCCATTCCAAGAACTCTTGCAATACTCTTAAAACTATCCTTAATATCACTGGGATTATTACAGAAGCTTGGAAGAAGAGCCCAAATTTGTGAAGTTAATAACTCATAACTATGAGCACCGATTCCATCATTTTTGTCCTTCAACTCTTTATGTTTTCTTTCGCACATGGTAGCTAATGGTAACATATGATTGATAAAATAGGAAAGCGAAGCCTTGCTGATACAATCCTTTAATACAGGAAGCAGCCAACTTCTTCTCAAGTCGATTCCATCAGTAATAGTTTGTAAGGGAATTTTTCCAAGAACTACTTCAGGTCCCATTGATTTGACTGCCGCTCCAACTGCATACTCTACTTCTGAATTGTAAGTAAATTTATAGGAATCTCTCAACTCTGCAAGTTCCATTAAAACTGGAGACAAATCATCTTGACAAGTAAGTCCTGTGATTTGGAAAAGTACAGCAATCAAGTGGAGAACATGATGCCATGCTGAATTGTATTGATATTTCATTCCTTGTCGAATTAATTGAATAATTTTTTTCAATGTCTTTTTGTATTTGTAAGCATCATCTCCACACATTGGTGGTAGGCAAACCTGAAAGAGTGTTTTAATTGTATGAGATGCTGCTGCAATCACTTCAGTTTTGTCAGACAACCAAAGTTCTGTTGATTTTTCAACAATTTGTGGAAGATTCGCTGAACAGAGATAAAGAGAAGTATTTGCGAGATTCGCATGTGCTTCTTGCATCACAGCAAGCCAAGCAAGAGTTGGTTGTGTATCTCCAGGAGCTGGTTGGTAATCATATAGAGCATTAATTATTTGTGCATTCAATTGTGATGGCAAAACTGACTCTGATGGTTTAGAAACGAAGAGACTATGAAACGTTTGAAAGCAACAAGATGTTACCACTGGATTCTTCAGCGTCATAATTTTTAGAAGGTTTTCACAAATACTTTTGACGTAGGATTTAGGTAATTGATGCATGATATCTTTTAAAAGAGTCAGAACATGAAGAGTGGTAGTAATTGTACCTGGTTGTCCAGCATTTTCAAATTGTTGGAGACAATACTTTGCAATCTGTGAAGCTGCTGGATGATAAGCGGGTGGATTATCAACTTTCATTAAATCACTTCCTTTTAAAATTGAACAAACAGCATGTTGGGCTGCCTTACGAACTTTTGGTTTAGTATGGATAGTAAACGTTAGAATACCATCGAGTATTTGCATTGTTGATGAACTTGACCACGCTACCGCTTCTAGAGCTCGCAATAAGATGGATAAACATCCAATGCAATGCCGTAGAATTAAAAAGTTGTCAGTTTCGACATATTTTGTAAGTACTTGAATAAATACTTGACTTGCTTGACTGAATTGGGCTTTAATAACATTCTTTGGAACCGTTTTTAATCCCATTCCTAGTAGAGAAAGTATTGCTGCAACAGATTCTTCAGATTCTGCTTGCTCTAGAGTTGTCATAAATGCAGCGTAGTATTCTGTTGATGATTCGGTACCTCCATTTTGTTTTATTACTTCAGTCACTGCTGCAAGAACAGCCAACATCTCTTTATGGATTAACGATGATGACTGGAAACGAGTTAGGAAACGACCAAATGACATATTGGTACAATTACTATAATTGCTAGCGAATGTACCAAACGTCTTAAAAGTTCCAGTTGTCATACTTTCGTCATCCTCAACTTCAATTTTCTCTGTAGGATCCAGACCTTGTAAGGCATCATGTTTTTTCAGTGCATCAGTTGTCAAACCCGTAGAACCTATGAATGGAAAATTATCGAATATTGAATAATTATGATAAAATAATAATCATTTTTATAAGAAGAATCATTTTACATACCTGAATTTTGGAAAAAAAATCTAGATCGTGCTTGATCACGATATTTTCGAGTTTGAGGGTTAGAATTTGAACTTTGGCCTTTAGGCCACCTTTTCGCCTTCTTTCTGCTTGATAACCGAGGTCCGAGTTTCCCCATTTTGTTAGTAATCCAATTTTTCACGTGATTTAATTAAACTTATTGAATTCTTCAATAAAACTTATTTTAATTTGACATGAAATACACTCCCGTACACATGTCGTATTGGAGCTTCTTCAACACGTGCACGGATAGGAAAAAAAAACTTTCTAGGAAGTATACTCATGAAAGTAGATTATCGACAGTTGGTAACATTTGGGCAAACACAACATAGGATTTGTGTGTGCAGATGTCGCTAATGCATATTACTTATTTTCAAATTTTTTCTAGGGATTTTAATTTTTTCATAGTTTGTTATTATTTTCCGCGTGAATAATTAGCAGTGCCCTAAAAACAGCTGATCTTCAGTACAGATCTTCGACTAATTATATTTTTATAAACCCATAATTTAACTTGAATGTAACGACACGGAAGTGACAGTAAAATATAAAAAATTATGGGAACCCGAATATTTTTTAATAACTTAAGAGCCATAAGCGCTATAATTATAAGTAATCAAAAAAAGGCATACAAAATCACCTGTGTCGGTGCCGGAATATTAGCATCCGGTTTTGTAACTTATAATCGTTCAAGAAATGCTGATGCTGCAAAATCACAGTGGAATGTATCATCATTTATGGCTGAGCCTATCACTCCAGTGTCTGATTTAAAAAACAGTGAAAATGATATGAAAACCAGAATGGAGTTGTTGATAATGAAAATTCAAACTGACTTTTGTAAGGCTTTGGAGAGTTTTGAAGATGAACAAAAGTTCAAAGTAGACAGATGGTCCCGTAAAGAAGGAGGTGGTGGTATCACATGCGTCCTACAAGACGGTACAGTCTTAGAAAAGGCTGGAGTAAATATTTCGGTGGTATCAGGGACACTCCCACCAGGTGCTATCCAACAGATGCGTGCACGGGGTAAAAAAATGGAAGAAGGTTCTCTACCATTTTTTGCAGCTGGAGTTAGTGCTGTAATACATCCCAGGAATCCTATGGTACCAACTATTCACTTTAACTACCGTTATTTTGAAGTCAAAAATAAGGATGGATCCATTCAATGGTGGTTCGGTGGAGGTACAGACCTTACACCTTATTACTTGAATGAAGATGATGCTCGTCACTTTCACAAAACTTTAAAAGCTGCTTGTGATAAACATAATAAATCATATTACGCAAAATTTAAAAAATGGTGTGATGATTATTTTTTTATAACTCATCGTGGAGAACGCAGAGGAGTAGGAGGAATATTTTTTGATGATCTCGATACACCAGGCCAAGAAGAAGCTTTTAAATTTGTTGAGTCTTGTGCTGAGTCAGTTATTCCGTCTTATATTCCACTAGTGTCTAAACACAAAGATGATGGATACGGATATGCTGAGCGACAGTGGCAATTACTCAGAAGAGGGAGATATGTAGAGTTTAATTTGATATACGATAGAGGAACTAAGTTCGGGTTATATACTCCGGGTGCTAGATATGAAAGCATTTTAATGTCTTTGCCATTAACTGCAAGGTGGGAATATATGCATGAACCGAAGCCAGGCTCAGCTGAAGCTAAATTAACGGAAGTTCTTCGTACTCCGAAAGATTGGTTGAATATTGAATAAGCTAAATGAATAAAATGCCGTTCACAACTTAATAAATAAGACTGATTGTTGTTATTCCATTAAATAATAAATAAAGAAGAGAGATTTAAAAATTATATTTCTTTATTTATTGGTCGTTATAAAATAAAAGATTTATTATCAAACAATAAAAAATATTTTCTATCTTTGATTGAATTTGTAACTCTTAAGTTAATTGCCTGTAATATTGAACAAGAATGATACTAACGAAATTGGATAATATTTATTAACCCAGTTTTAGTTTAGCCATACGTGTATTAAGTTCTGATTCAAACTCTTTCTCATCAATCAACAAATTTTTGAAATAATTATCGGAGAAATTATCCACTTCTAAACTTGAATCAGATTCCCATGATTCATCATCATCATCATCATGTTTTTCATCTTCGTCCGTCGAATCCTGTGACTGATCAGACCATACATCAAAATCTGCCCAGTTTGAATATTCTTTTTTATGAAGTTCATTATTTTGCCAATCTCTTAAAAACATCTTTATTGCATTTTCAGAGTCAATTATTTCTTTTGGGAGAGGACCGATTGGTAGTCGTCTTCGTCGATTTTTATTAAATGTATCTTCACGATTTAGACATGAATTTTCATCTTCAATAACAGAATATTGATCTTGATCATTATTGTATCGTTCATAATTATATTTATTTTTTCTAAAACTTCTTCCAAATTGACGGATTTGTAAATCATGAACGGATGGATTTAAAGTAAATTGCTCCCCCTTACAAGCTTTATTATCGAAACAATACTCTATAAAGGTCCGCCAGTTATGATCCTGTTGCAAAACATCAGGATGTCCAATGACGATTAACAGTGATTTGGCTCTCGTTAATGCAACATTGAATCGTTTAGGATGAGAAAGAAATCCGATAAAGTATTCATTATCCCTTGTGTATACACACGTACGTACTGTCGAGATAATGATGACATCTTTTTCTTTACCTTGAAATGCTTCAACAGTGCCTACAGATATTTCTTCTAGATTTTTATTTTGCAATGCTTGATGTATCATAGTTCTTTGAAGTCTATATGGAGTAACTACTCCAATATCATTCAAGTTAACACTTATTTCACCATGTTTTGAATTCCGTAATTCATTAATATATTCAATAACAATATTAACCTCCGCGTGATTACATACACTTGGAGAATCTTTTATACGAGATTCCTTACCTCGTATAGCATGAAATATTATAGGAAAACCTTTCCTTGGTAACTTGGACCAATTCAGTGCTTTGGTTGTACGCTTACCACTTTTAGCGATCAACTCCCCATCGTAAAATAAAATATTAGGTACATGGAGAATAGAATGATGACAACGATAATTCTGTACTAATTTGGTGACATACAGTGAATCATATTTCTGATTATTTTCATTCCTTAAGTACGGTCCACATTCCATCAACCTTTCTAACATAGACCTTGAAAGCAAAGGTTCTGCTAATGTCGACTGACAAAATGGACCAAGTTGTTTAGGATCACCAGCTATAACTACTTGTCCGCTAATGCGACATTGATTATTAGTATCCATGCTGCTCATTAAAACAAAAGGAATAAGAGTTTCTATCTCTGAAGCTTGACCAGCTTCATCAATAAATAAATAAGAAAAATGATCTGCTCTTAACTTATAAGCGTGAAGACGAGTACATGTCATAAGAGTTGTGACTACTATTTTTTTAGTTAAGAATACTTCTTCGGCTAGAGAGATTGTTGTAGTATCAGCAAAATTAGAAACTGTTTTCAATTGTAGTTTTATTTCTGTACTTTTTCTTGATGCACCATACATACGGAAAATTGTATCATCTACTGAAGAGAATTGATTTATTAATCTTTCAACAATCTCGTCAGCAGCAGAATTTGATGAAGTACATATAAGAATTCTATTTGATGGATTTCGTATCATAATCTGACAAATAGTTTCAACAAGCGTCGATGTCTTCCCTGTACCAGGTGGGCCAAAAACAATGTAAGGGGCTGGATGTGATGTTTTTTTTAATATGTTTTTCACTGCTTGCATTTGTTCAGGATTTGTTTCAATATTTTTATTGATCCAATTTATGTCAATATCTTTGGATTCAGTTATGTCTACATTCTTCTGAGGAAAAAACATTGAAACCATTCTATTTTGATATACCTTGTTAAGAGCATAATTTAGACATGTTAACGTTCGTGTATCACATCTGAATTCAACATTGAATATTTGATCCGTTGTAAATTTATTCGCAAACGCTGCGGTTGCTTCAACAACAACATAATCTTTACCAACCCAAGACACAGTACCAACACAATGATTTTTACCATTTACCTGAAGTAAATCAATCTTATCATTTTCTTTGATCGATGGTCTATCTTCAGATAAATTTTTAACAGGAATTATAAAAGATCCAGCTTGATATTTCGATTCACTAATTGTTTGATTTTTCAAAGAGTACTGTTTCATATCTTCAATCGATTGAGAATATTCAATATAGAGTAATAATTTCCACAAATACCAATAAATCTCAGGAGTCCATTCTTTAAAATTAGATAAACCAGAAAGTATTGTGTGGTAGTCTTGTGCGGGCGGAGGGACTTCATTAGTAGCTTTACCGTAATGATCTAGGGCTATTCTTAATACTCCAGGTATAAATGCTGGGTTCATGTAGAAGTTGGGTGCATTCGAAATGCTGTAAACATGATATGTTTATTAACACCAATCATTAGTATTCATTGAATTTATGTAGAAGCATAAAGAAAACAAAAAAAAAAGAACAAATGAAAACGTTAAATTTAAGAAAAAATAAAACGACTCAATTTGAAAAAAAGTAATTAAAAGATGGCTACTACGAAATTTTTTAAGTATTGCGTAATAATTATTTTCACTCACCAATCTTTCTTACTTCGGTCTTCTATAACATTTTTTATCACATCCGGTATTAAGTGGTTACTCATTTTTTAATATTTGATAATAACTTCCACTGATCAAATCTATAAATAAAACAAAAAAAAATACAATTAGCTTCCTTAAACAAAGGAAATATATAATTGTAAAATGCTTATCAAAATAATAACGATCGGTAAGAAAAAGCGGGAACGCCCTCATTATTTATGAATGACGTAGTTATTCAAAAAGATGAAGCTACCTGACAGTGACCATTTCGGATTATAAATGATCTTAGCCACCATGCAAATGAATGTAAATAAATACATTAAACGTACCTCAAAAGTCAACACTCAGGTAGAATCGTTAAACTAATGATGAAAGTACAGGTATGACTTTTGAAGGCATTTCAAGATATTCAAGATAAAATAGCCAAACAGTGGCAGCAGCTGGTAACAGCGAAGACTTTGTTGCTGGTATTACTTTACAACGCACCAAGCACAACCTCGAAATGATAGGCCAGCTGTTTGTTTTGTTTTCGGGCATGAGATTCACGTGACGCCGGCGGTGGCTGGTGGCGGCGTGTGAGTTCGTCTTGTCTCGCTTACGTTCATTGGCTAGTGAAGTGCACTCATGAACCCGCGAACCAATCATCGTTTTCGTAAGGAACAACGACTAGTGCTTCTACGATGCAGAAACATTTGACATCGATAAAAGCGTGAGAGTGCTTGTGAAGTGCGGAGGTGTCAGACTGTCGTTCATCCGTCGACTCGTCATCGTCGTCGTGATCATCGGTTAGTTATAAATTCATTATTTATTTCTAACTGATGTTAAGAAAAATCATTTAAATGGTAAATTTTGTGAAAAAAATGTGCCTTTAGCTAGTACACACGAAACGAAACAAAGGAATCGTAGTGTTAAACGGGCTTCGAGTATAACTGTTGTGTGTGTATGTATATGTGTATGTCCATGAGTGAAACGGCGCAGTGTTGTGCATGAAGAACAACAAGGATAGGTAGATAGAGACAGAGTCATTTAATCACGAGTATGACAAAGAAACACGAGATTTTTGACGTTTCTTTATGATAAAAAACAAGACACGTTAGGAATGAAATTATTAGAATAAGATGATATTTTATAGAGAATATAGTATGATTATAGTAATTGAGTGGTAAAAAAATGATACACCACGCAGCCAAAAAGCGAGAGGTTTCGTAGGTAGCAACAGTAGTCTTTCAATCCGCGCATACACACAAAGGTCACACATACACGCCTACGCTCAGGAGCGCGCCATCATTCGTATGACGTTTACAGCGTACTTACCCAAAGTCCGTGTACCTCGATTCCTGTATTTCAATTGGCGTTCCCTTGCATAACCCCTCGCGTGTTGATGTGTACGTAGCTGTCTAATATAACGTGTAAAAGGTAGGTAGGTCTGCGTTGGCTCATGACTTACCTCTCATCTGTGTGGTGGTCGTATTCCCGTTGCGTGACTAAAATATGTAGTATAGTTCCCGATGCGATTCAGTTCAAGTAGAGAGAAAAAGCTTCGAGTACATTCGAATGCTTCCACGATTTCAAGTTACAATCGGATCGGTGACAGTCACGCGCGTATGACGCGAGTGACCTCGGCCATTCGATTCCATTCTCTCTTTTAGAGTCGATCATTTTTTATCATCTGTAGAAATATGCTCTTTCGAGAAATGAGTTTATTTTTGCTTGAGATATAAAAAACTATGGTTTCGTGTACATTACAAGTTTGTTTATATAAAGGCGATTATTACGCGCGGGAACGGCGTCTATAGATCGCGCGCACAACGCTGCTTTTGACATGTCTTTAAAACTTGATGGTTGTCAAACACGTACGCAATTAATCTTACGATTTTTTATAAGATTTATATCAGTCATTAAGTAAATAAAGACTCCTAGTCTCTTATAACTAATATTTTTAACATTTAATGATAATATTTTTATTTAAAACCACCATTTGTTTTGAATTGAAGCTGCAGCCATTGTTGTTTTGATCCACAGAAAGCCCATGTGTCACGGTACTCGTGGTCGGTGAACGTACTAAAAGGAAGAGGAGAACTTGGAAGGAGAAGCTAGGAAAACAAAGACTTGAAAAAACATTGGAGAAGTGTAATTTCATCAAAGATTTTTAATTGTGATTGGTCGTGAGAGTGATATCATCGGTGCTGTGACAATCTTCAGTCATAAAAAACAACTTTCTAAGATACTTGGCAGTTTTGAAGTTATTGCTCTACGTGTCATAAAGGCCTGCTTCTGTCACACTTCCATTAACGGTTCGGTGGTAACGTCACGCAAACACGGGGACGCACTTACATCGGCCTGTCCCGTCAGCTCTGACACGATAATTCACGCAACTGCTGCGTGTGTAAAGTCTTATTGTGGAGTTTAAAATCAGTGTGCATGTGTTTGTGTGAAGGGGGAACAAAGTCACAGTGTCATAAGTAAAGTGCCGGCCGGCCGGCGCGAACGATTGAGATCTGACGAAACGCGGGGCGGGCCGGCGGAAAGGCTCCATATAATATTGCAGTAATAAACTTCATTAACAAGTCAAAAAAATATCAGCAACATCAAACAAGTTGAAAATATGAGCATTGCTGCACTGTTGCAGGCCGCTGAGTACATTGAACGACGAGAAAGAGGTCAGTTGTGTCTTCAGTACTTTGAGTATTTTCCTTTGTGATTGTTCGTGATTTTTTTCTTTGACATTGTGTATTGCTACAGAAGCTGAACATGGATATGCTTCGACTATGCCCATACCTGATGATCTACGGACACTCTCCAAAAGGACAAAGACGAAAAAATCCCAGGGTAGTAGGTTGGTATTATTATTTTAATTTACATAAGAAAAATCAATTGACATATTAGAACATTTTATCAAAGCTGAAAGGATATTAAATATTTATTTTTCCTTTTCAGGACTACCCACAATGAACTGGAAAAAAATCGGTAAGTTATTCTTAATGTCAAGATAATATAAATTATTCTTTCAACAGTTTTCCAATTATCTCATGAAGTTCATTATGCTGTCACTGTTTTTCAACTGTCCGTTTGGATTGGTTACATGCGACTGAATAGTAGGGGAAAAAATCACTTGCAAAATAAATAAAAAAAAAAAAAGCAGAGTAGAAGGATTAGAGACGCAATGGAGTGATGTGATGAGAGTTGGAAGAGAAGAAAAGGACCACTGGACTCTGGAGGTTTCTTCTCTAACCATTTGAAATGCATTGAATTTTTAAGCGGCTCTCTTTGTAACGCCATTCAACGCTTTCCACTTTAACAACGTCTTACTCCCTCGAGGTTTTTCAGGATCTGATCGCGATCTTCGTCCGGTTGGGCAGTTGTAACTTGGCAAAAAACTTGAGATATAAAGCTCTGTATGTTTCAAATTTATACGATTCGCAGATCCTCGTGTCGCGCGGCTTTACCATGCAACTTTTAACCTTGACATAAGCTTTGCTTTTTCTTATTGTATTACGACTACCGTTCATTCAATACAAATGTAAGTTTCGCATCAGTGAACTTTGCAAATTGTTGATTTTCTACCTATTACTGGCGTTCTTGGTGCACCAATCGTTTATTTGTACCGTCATTGCCGGTTGAAGCCTGTTCACCTTGAGCCCTTGAGGACAGTGGAGCTCAATCGAAAGTTTTTGAAAATACTTTTATTATCAACTAATCCTAAACTTAAATATATGAAGAAATTTGCAACTATTAATAATAACGATTATGATGTTAATGTAAGAGAAAATAATTTGACTTAAAGTTTCTATCATTTTCTTCTTTCTTTACTTTCCAACTGTCATCCCCTGTCTCTTATGGAGGTCACTAGATATTTCAAATGAAACACGTATAGCGTTCTGGTACAGATGGCAAGTTGCCATGCGTCGTCAACATTCAAGCAACAACTAAGAGGAAGAAGAGTTTTCAAGAGATTGGAGAAAAAAAACAACTAAATTCTTTAGTAAAAGTTAACGAGGAAATTATTATGTAAACATTTACGCAAGCAAGATCATTTGTCATAGTCACATCTATCATGGGAAGTTTGAAAAATTATTGAGAGCAAATAAAAGAATGAAGAATATGCAAACTTCAGGATGAAAAATGATGATCAACTAGAACAAAGAGACGCGATAAAATCTGCATGATCCGTGAGTGATAGACATGACGTCTAGCCACAGCAATGACGTAGCTTGAGTCCTGAGGCGCGCAAGGGGCAAGTTAAAGTGTAGAAAAGAAGAAAGGAAGGAAATAAAATTGACGGGAAAGAGGAAAGGGCATGGACGAGTCAAGCTGAGGGGTAGAGACAACATTGAGAAGGGCGAAGAGGTGAAGGTAGAGAGCAGAAAGGGGAGAAGGTGGAAGTGGTTGAAGAGGAGGATGAGGAGGAGAAGGGATAGTAATCGATACGACGAACATTTCGTACGGTCGATACTCGGATACTCCCGCTAACCAGCGGGTGGGATCCTAGTCAGTGTTATGTAAAATACGTGACGTGGGCTGACTCGCCTCTTACACTTCGCCTCGCTCCTGTTCACATCGTGTTGCGTGACGATACGCTTTTTTCTCTTCTACTAAACCTCTTGCCAGCGTAGAAACAAATTATAATTGATCTTGATTTAGAGATGCGCCAATCCAACAAGAATATCTTGTTTTATTTTATCCCACGACAACATCTTTTAATCATCACACTGAATAATGATGGTCTTCATAATATATTTATGAAAGGCTTCTTGATCAGCCTAGATCACTCTAGGGGTTCTCCAAATGATATTTATTCTGATGGAAAAAACATTGTCTCGATTAACTCATGAACCTCTGAAGTAAACACTGATATTCAGTTGCAATCGCAATCCCACGGTGGAATGATATATGAGACAAAGGTTACGCGTGTATCTTTTCTTTCTGGGCCGGGACTGTATAAGGCATGCGGGTGCTACAGCAAGTATTACATGGCTTATGTAGCCACACTGCACACTCTGGCCACGAGACGAGCGTCGGCCAAGTGCGCGATTATTGTGGCCAAGCTTGGCAACGATGCAGAGTGCATCGCCCGGCCATGAGTTAGATCGCTTCAACACTCGCCTGTAAACAACCTCGTAACTTTTGCCTTCTTATTTTCGCTCTGCTGCACGTCATTGATATTCTTTTTCTATCGTACAATTGATAGTAATGGCAATGATTGCAAAAAAAAAAAAATTGAAAGAAAGAACAAACAACATTTTATCTGGATGATGTTCAATTTTTGCTTTTTCTTTCATGTTTCAGACGAGCACACCTCAGGAATTGTCTTGAGAAACTGAAAGTTTTAGTGCCTTTAGGACCTGAAACGTCTAGGCATACAACGCTTGGTTTATTGACCAAAGCTAAACGCTTCATAAAGGTATAATTGTTATTATTAACCATATTTCACTGGTTGACCTTAACTGGAGTTGTTATTTAAATTTATGATTTTTTTAGAACTTAGAAGAACGGGAAAGAAAACATACGGCGCACAAAGAGCAATTATCGCGAGAACATCGGTACCTAAGAAGACGATATGAGCAATTAACGGGTCAATCAAGTATCCATGGATTACGTGGTCTTCAAAGTTTTGATAATAGCATTCATGGGTTGAGCACGAGTGCGCCAACAAATTCTTCCTGCAATTCAGCGGCTGTTGCTGTAGCCACTGCTTTAATGTCCAAGAGACGAAGTGTTTCTGAATGTTCCGTAACTACCGTCTCTTCTACTGGTTCTGCTGGCAGTTCTGGCAACTCCGAAAGATCCACGGGTAGTCCATCTGTCTCAGAATCTGGTTTGTACCGCATTTAAACACCAACGATAAGTCTCCTTTGTAGAGAGACATTAGTCTTTATAAGCACGATCGTTAATTAATTTTATTATCATTATTGTTACAGACGAAGTGGACGTGATTGGCTACACTAGCAATCAGTCAGATACTGATGATCACAGCAGCGTACAAAGTAGTAGCGATAGTGGCGTTGCAATGTCTACGTCACGACTGACTCTTTCTGAAATGATGGATAATCTTTAGGTAAACTTTTTTACCATTTAAGTCTTATGTTAACAAACACTTGAGAAACTTGGTATATTTATAACTACCATTGCAGATAAAATTAGAATTTATGAAGGACGGAACATGAAAAAGGAGCATTCCGAAACTATGATGATAATCATGATGATAATAATGTGCCGAAGACCTAGCAATTAATTGGTTTATTAACGTTTTATGATTAGACTTATTGAAGAAAAAATCACGGGGTGCAAAAAGTAATATATCTGCGGATTTATTAATTTTTCCACTGTTTATTCATCAGAAAACTTTCTACATGAGCTATCAAAATCGTACTAATTCATGACGTACTATGTACAAAGATAAGGGATTTTTTTTTTTTTTCAAAACTGTTATTGAGTCATGAATGGTTAAAAAATGATTCAAATTATTTATTGGTTCTACAAACGTTTTGGTTGTATATTATTTAATATTTCAGTAAAATTATTGTATATACACTTTTAAAAGCGTTGATATACATAGTGATTATTGCTTGTAACAAAAAATAAATTAAAAGCGCTAGAAGAGGAATACAACCAGACGAAACGTTGTCGAGGGATCGAATATTAAATTGCAAAATAAGTAGAGCAAATTGATTAAAATAAGCATGAGAATATTTTAATTTGAAAAAAAAAGGAAAAAAAAAAACAAAAACTAAAAAGAAAAAAATTAACCCAGATTCAGTAATATTTTTTCTTTATCTTATATCAACAGTGCTTGGCACTTTTTAATTTAGAGCGTGTAAGCTTTTTTATTATCAATTAATTTTATGCGTGATAATTATTTATTATTTTTCTTAGATGTCGGTTTTACCAAAGTATAAGCGAAAAAAAAAAGTGTATCAACAAATGAACAATAGTAACACAAAACACTTACGAAAAGTTCGCAATATCATTATTATCTTTTATACGTACTTTATTGTATACTTTATTATTATTTTAATTTATCATTTCGATAAATGCTCGAAATCTGTCGAGGTCAATAACCCCGAAAAATTTACATATTGATAAAAAAATATTAAAGTTCAAGTGCAGAGAAAACATAACAAAATATTTAATAAGATTAAAAGTTAAATTGTTTGGCACGAAAGAATAACATAGATAACACTTTTAGCTGAAGCGAAGGACACAACTGTCATTAAAATTGATAAGGCATGTGATCCCTCGCATCGGGCATTCAACATCAAGAGGGTTCGTCAAGGCTCTTCGGCGCAAATTTCAACTGATTTATTATTGGAAAATCTTAAATCAATTTAGAAACGTACTAATTAATTTTCTAAAATGCAAAAAAAAAAAAAATTATTCTCATAAATATAAATGCTTAAAAAAACTTCGGGATGTTTACAACAAAGTCCGTGCTATGCGGACGCGCAAATGACACAGGGACGCGTATCAACGCGTTCATAAATAAAATAATAAAATAATTACAAGATACACTTTAAAACAAATTATCATATTATTAAGTATTAATTAATAATAAACAAAAAATAAATGATTAAATATTATCGACGTATGCAATATACTTTACGTCGTTTCGTATATAATATGTATATTGAAAAAGTACAAATTCTATAAGTCCCTGTATCATGCGCAACCCGTGGGTCAAATATGTGAGATATGTTGTTTACGGTGCTCCAGTGGTAGCGTAATAAAATGTGTATTATGTGAGCGTGGGAATAAATGATTTGATGTGTAATTGATGCTAATTCACCAAGAGATGAAATAAAGAAGTGATCATTGTAGCTTGAAAATAATAGGAGACTGATGAACGAATGTAATCAATGATCTCGGAATTTGGATTTAGAATAAACTATATAATGATTTAATGAATCGCCGATGAGAAGTGGCTATCTTCTGGATGCGCAATGAAATAACAAAAAAAAAAAAAACATTTTTTTCATATTAATGTGTGTATGTAGCGTGTAATTGATTGTGTGTGAATGAATTTAATAACACGGTAGTGATGTGCATTGAAATAAAAAAATTATTTGTATAATAAAGTGGGAGAGTTTAATGGCATTAAATGCGGATCACGCAGCAGCAATACAAATTAATGCAGAGTAAATGCGCGTACGATAAAAATTGGGATAAATATTTAAATAAAACAATTTGTTATTTCCATTTATTGAACATTTAAAAAAAAATTGTAAGTTCATTGAATGTATGTTTTAAATGAATGAGGTATTATTGATTTTTTCTTTTCTCAACCGCATTAATGAACCATCGAATGATAGAAAATTAATTTTAAAATTGAAAAAAATTATAAAAACAATATTAAGAAAATAAAAAATAAATATATATTATATATATATATATATATATATATATTATAAATGAAGGCGTAAAGACATGCCACGATTAATTCGCGTCCAGCGCTGTCCGGTCTAATCTTTAAGAATCTTTCGATAAGTAACTTCATTGATAACACACGAGACAAGCAAGATGAATTGCAACTTACAAATTATTAATTAATTACAATAAAAATGGGTGTTATTTTTAGATGTCTATTAGATTATCAGTACCAAAAACAAAAATAAAAAAAATAAGAATCAATTTAAATAAAATAAGAGTACTTCAATATTACAAAAGTTTACAAAATATAAAAAAAAAAACAAATGATATATATACAAGCATAATAAAAAAAAATATAAACTACTACTAATACTATACTGTAATTGAAATAAGATTATTAATAATACAATGATGGAAGATCTGGAGAAAAGTTTGTTGAATGTAATTTTACAAATAAAAAAAACCTGTACGCGCACATCTGTTTAATGATAACCAAAACAATATCTTCATGTCCGGTATATTAATCAATCAACTATAATTGAAATAAATTAAACTTGATTTATATGAATATATATATAAACATACATATATATATAAGGGCATTTACACCAGTGATTGAAAGTTTTGGTATCATTGGTCAGATTGAAACTTTCTGGGCACTTGATTGTCATATGAGGTGATAAACAATTCTTCACACATTTTTCTGCTTTCATTGTTTAGATGCGTGCTGCAAATGGAAATAAATGATATAAAAAAATATATATATGACGATATAGATTAATTTAAGTAACAATGGATCTTTAAATGGAGTCCATTAAATTCTTATAAAGAGTAGAATGTTATCTTCATCGGGATTAATTATGTACAAGATCAAGATGTGCCTCAAAATAAAATATTTAAATCGTAAATTGTAGATTTATGTTACAAATAGATCTCTCAAGGCCAAAAATGCAAGGCTGTCGTGGCAATACTCCTTCAGAGTTAAAGTGCGGTCCTTTTCTCAGTCGTTGTTGAGCCACGTGATGATTAATGACCAAATCATATGCAGATATGCGTTATATCAAGCAAAAAACTATTACCGAGGCACATCAAGATCTAAAATGCTCCGAATAAATACGTGTGACATGATAACATTTAAAATGATAAAAAAAAATAAATAAAAATAGTAAAAGTGATATATATATATATATATATAAGTCGGCAAGAGAAAAAGGGTCGACACTAAGAGCATTTAATCAATGGTAGATACAAGTTTAGATGATATTAAAAAAAAAAATAATAATAATAAATGAGGAGAAATATAAAAAAAATTGATTAACCAATAAGGAAAATAAAAAATTTTTAAATATTATATATATATTTAAAAAAAATATATATATATATATTCAGTTTGACGTTTGCAATGTGCAAGGTCGCAAGTACATTTTAAGAAGATGACAAATATGAGCATGATGTTATGTAATATTCTAACGATCATGTTAATAGAGAGCATGAATTATATGGATGAAAAACAACTTTAATGTGTGTATGTTAATAATATGGAATACGCCTGGAAAAAGATAATAGCATTTTAAATAGGCAAATATAAAATTCTAAAAATAAAAAATAAGATCAAAATTGATATTTATTCGCTATTACGTTTCAAACGAGCTGCCTTTGATTAGTGTCCTATAAATCATTATGAATATTTTCATAGTGATTTATGAAACATTAATTGATGTGTTAAATAAATGAAATTTGTCATAGCTCGATATTATATAGAAGATAAAAAAAAGCAAATATGGTGGTGAATAATGGTAATGGTTGTATAAAATATTATTAATATCATCCATAAAGATCGTTATGGTTATTGATTGATTTATTAATTAATATTAATTAGTTGAATGAATAAACAATAAATGGAATGAGAATAAACTGACTTATGGTTATTATATTGTAAATATTTCTTACAAAAGCTACTCATATTACAAACTTATGTTTCAAATCATCTTTTGATTTTTTAGGAAATAAATTTTATGTATTATCCATCATTCTGTCATATTTCTTTTCAACAATATAACTGAAAAATTAAAAACTCATTTGAAACTATTTGTTTTACTTTTTATTTTGTGTAGTTTTACCTTGAAATAAATACAATTTTATCTTTTCAATGCATGCTTGTTTAAATATAGAAACATCAAGATTAAAATAACTTTAAAATTTTAATTTGACTTTGTCTTAACTGTATTAAATTTTAATAATTTTTTAGTCAAAAAAAATTGGATTTAAAAATCCCGCTTTAATACTGATGACATCATAAAGTCAAATGAATAATTAATGTAGTGATTAAATCATCGATAATTTTCCCAAACGAACATTGATAAATTATAATTATTTAAAAAATTTAATTTCTGTTATTCTTTTATTTTATTCTTTTTTTGTTTTCAACATAGTAAAAATAAAAAGTCATGATTCTGACTAGTGAGGTAGTGCGCATCAAAGATGTCTGAAACGTCAGTTTGTGCAGTAAGAAGTTCACATCAGAGCATATTTTTTTACATATACACATTACGTTTTGCAATAAACATTTGTTAAAAATGCAGTGAATAATCAAACAGTGTTGTAGTAATTCGAACTTTAAAGAAAAATATGGCGCCGACACGAATTATATTAATGTCATGTGGAAGTTATAATCCACCGACAAATATGCATTTACGAATGTTTGGTAAATATACAACACACAATTATTGCTTGATCAATAGTAATAATTTGATATGCTATAATGAGTCGATTTTTCTAGAAATTGCACGAGATCATTTACATCGTATGGGTACACATGTAGTTGTAGGAGGAGTTATATCTCCAGTTCACGATAGTTACGGAAAAAAAGAACTTGCTAGTGCTGAACATAGAGTGGCAATGCTAAAAGCAGCATTACAAAATAATGAATGGATAAAAGTAAGCACCTGGGAAACTCGACAGAATACCTGGTCAAAGACTAAAACAAGCCTTACGTATCACCAGAACATCCTGAATTCAGTCCTACAAAATTCAAATGACATAAAAAATAATGTTGATACTCAGGATTTAGAGTGGATTCCTGAGAATGTTAAAAATGGATCAGACAAAACCCCTATCCAGATAAAACTTTTATGCGGAGCAGACCTTTTAGAAAGCTTTGCAGTACCTAATTTATGGGCAGAGGAAGATGTAAGTTCATCAAATGACCTTTAGAAATTTTCCATGTGATTAAAATCCTTTTTTCCAATTACAGATTGATGCTATTCTGGGTCAACATGGCCTGGTTGTAATCACAAGGGAAGGATCTAACCCAAATAAATTTATTTACGATTCTGACCTTCTATCGAGGCACATGGTAGACTATTTATTAATAATTCATATTAATTATTTAGCCAAACTTTCTTAACTAAAAGTTTAATTATAATGAAACCATTGTTTCAGCACAATATTTACATAGTAACGGAATGGATATGTAATGAAGTAAGTTCTACGAAAATTCGAAGAGCATTGAAAAGAGGAGAAAGTGTAAAATATCTTATTCAGGATGCTGTAATTGATTATATTCATAATTGTGGTCTCTACGATGTTAAAACTACGTCATCGACAACGTGAGTTTTAAGTGATTTCAAAGAATGTTGTTAAAAGTTACTTAATTTTTTCGTTAATGAAATAATTTATTTTATTTATTTTTATAACTTCAACTACATATGATATTGAAATATATTGTTTAATTATATTTTCACGCTGCTTATGGACTCTTAAAGTAAGTTATCATTGTCTTCAACAAATAGCGACAATTATTTGCACATTGATTCAAAGTACAACAGTGCTTTTTTGACACCGTCACCAAGTGATGTTACAATGGCGAGTCCAAGTCCAGTGGAAATAATCTCAATTGATATTGCTGAATCTCTGATACAAAAAAATATTCAAAATTCACCTAAATCTAGATTAATTATCAATTCAGATGATACCGCACGTATGCGTGACAAGTTCATGAATATTATTAGTGAAAATGATAACAAAATTTCTAATGTAGGAATTAAGTCTATTTATCCAGGACAAGCAAAACAGATTATTGCCACTGAGACTGGAGAATCGCAGATATTTTGTGAGGTAGGTTTACATGAGACAAGCACAAGCGTTCCAAATAATTTTACTAATGGCACAGAGCGTGATAACAATAGCACTGAGTGTGAAGTGAATGATAAAGCAGAAAAATGCGTTGAAGAAATTGATGGAAATATTTCTTCATCAATATTATTAGTTAATGAAACAGTTGAACAAATTCCTTCGAATGTTATTTCACCAGCAGATGATTCTGGAGAAGTAAAATCTGTGGAATCCGTAGTTTTTAATTGTGATAAAAAAATTTCAAGTGTTCAATATATTGAAGTTAAAGCGACAATCTCACCACCACTTTCTGTTCCTGAGGCTGAAACATCAAAGGATGATAGTCAACGTAAAGAGATTTCTCAAACAATTGACCAACCAAGAAGATCTTTGACCAATTCTAGCTCTAAAAATCTTGATATTGATGGTAAGTACCTGAAGTCTGTGAGAAGTACCCGAAAAAATATGAAACAATTGCATACTCTTTCGGAACAAGTGGTACCGATGATGGAAAGTGACAACAAAAGTTCAGAAGAAAAAGAAGAACAAGTTGAAGACATTAAAAATCTTGAACGATCAAAGAGTGTTAAAGAGAATAACTCTCAGCATAAAAATTTTCAAGGTAGTCTTGAGTCCATTAATGCACGTAAGCCTAAAAAGATGTTATCCAAGAAATCTAAGAGTTTTGAATATATAAAAGGTGATTTATTAGTGAAAGAAATCAAGCAAATAGATTTTAGTGATAAACCTTCAGTAGATCAATCACCAAGTTCTACAACAATTGAAAAAATAGAAATACCAGACGTAGATGATACTCAAATTGGTGATGAATATTGTTCAGTCTGCTGTAACAGCTCTCCAGTGGATGTTGATTCACCCGAATGTGAAATTTGCAGTTCGACCCATTTTCAGAACATTGAACCTATTCCGACAGAACCTCAGTGTGAACTTTGTGAAATTTGTGGTGATATCGCAATGGATTTGGATGTTGTTGCTTCCTCTCGACCGGAGTCAGAAGAGCAACTCGAAGCTCGTTTGTTTGCTGGATCACGTCACGTACCTTTAAACTTGAAGAAAAGAAAAATAACTTCTGGAGTGAATATGGATGGAAGGATTTTCGATATTGCTGATGAAGATGCTGATTGTGAAGACAATGGTGAAATTCAAATACCATCAATTGATAAAAATGAAAGAGCACCATCAACTTCAATTGAAGAATATTCTGATGATGATTCTACTCTCGATGATGTTGAATTTGAAATTGAAAATTGTGGATTAGATACAGAAACAAACCAATCTACTGCTACAGTAACAATCCAGAAAGATGACACATCTTATGAGAAAAAATTAGAAGATATTTCCAACATTGAGGATAAAACTGATCCTAAAAAAATAACTCGTGGTAGTTCATTAATCAATCGATCAGTGTCTAAGCCTGACTCTAAGAAGCGTTACTCATCAGTTGATGATTTGCCAATTTCTAAAAAGACTGTGAAATCAATTTCTAAGGAGGCAATTGAAGTAAAAGAACAAATAAAAGTTGCTGGGTCAGTAGATAATATTCGCATGACAAAGACAAATAAAAGTTCTAATAGGTTAAGAAAGTCTGCTGATGACGTTGGAAAGAGCATAAAAGAGGAAGAAAAGTTGGAAGAGTCCAAGCAGCTACTTACACGTCAAAATGAGAAAAGTTCTCGTCTTGAACCTGATACTATTAAATTTATCATTGGAAAACACGGTTTGAAGATAATTAGTGATAGAGAGACGGCTTTGTAGCTAAGGATTTATACGGGAATGTTATAAACATTCTCGTTGGCATCAGATGGAAACGAACACTGATGTAATTAATAATGAAATAATAATGAAACTTGGAAAAAATTATTTAAATAGATTAATCAAAGGAATTAATGAGTTTAGATGAAATAAATATTCACAATTATTATTTTTTATGTATTTTATCGATACATTGATTAATTAATGTGTCGCAGGAGAATAACTGTTCATAGCATTTAAGAATTTTATCAGATTCAGACAATGGAGCTTCCACTGTATAATTAATTAAAGACTTAAACTAATTAATATAAAAATTGGCTGTAATTTAAATAGTTGGATACATAGGTAAACTTGAACGCTTAATATTTTTATGCACGACGCATTTGCACTTGCAATAGATGGCTTACAATAATTAATCAATTTATACGTAGATTATAATATTCTATTATACTCTAGATTGCTATTAGTTTATGGAGTTTGCGCTTTTCTTTATTACTCTCTTCTTTCTCTAATTTGTAGATGTTTTAATGAAATTTTTATCATTACACCCTGAAATACCTACAATTATAGTTTTTATCATTTAATGATTATAATTAGGATTTAATATAAAATTTAGAATCCAATTCTTCAGTTAGATCAATGTATTCTTTAATTTTCAAGATATTCCAGGGTACTCGAATGACTCTTTCAGTTATCAAACGCTCAAATATAATTACAAATATTTTTCTTCCATTAAAATATTCTTCAACTATACAATTTCTAATAAAACATATTGAAAAAAAAAATTTTTTTAAAAATGATTATTCAGTAAATAAACTAAAAAAACAAGCACGAAAAATAATATTTGTTTAAATTAAAACTGAATTGTGTATGACATTGTTTATTAAATGGGAATGTCTAGTCAGGGCCTTAAGTCCTTTATCAAGAACTTCTGCGCAATCTCCAAAAGGCTATAAAAAAGAATTGTCTAGCATAGAATTGAATGAAGTGAGAAGGAAAAAAAAATAACTGTAGATTGCGTGGAGGAATTATTTCTGATGTTGCATGTGATATGTGTGTTTTCAGGGTACAGCAAAACCTGCATGCCTACTATAAGACAGATAGTTGACTGTCTTATTACTGCTCATCCCATTGGATGCGGTTCTTGTCTCCTTGCTGCTAAACGTAATAAATACGCTATCGACTCTCGTAGTATTGACATCTCCAGTAATATCCAAGAGAAAACAATATGTCTAAATGCTATCGACAATACTCCAATGATCCTCGTAAAGAACTACAATCGCAATACGTAGCATTTAACAGCTAAATAATCAAACCCTAGTGTCTTAAATCCACATTAGTTTTTATTTTAATTTATTTTTGTTGTATTCATTTATTTAATTGCAATGAGAATGATCTGCTGCAACCGCTCGACCAAGACTGAAAGCTAAATCTCATTCTTTACTTTTACATTCTACTATTTGTCTTTACTTTCAGCTACTGTTGTTTGCATTGTTTTCAACGAAAGATCTATCCTTTAATTGCTAAATTAGAATAACTCTTGTGACTTAGTTGTGTTGGTTTATTTGAAATACAGGTTTTATTATTTTGTAATATTTTTTAATGAATTGCAAACAAATATTGCGATAGTGACAATTTATATTTTGTATATTTTAAAAGATATACATAATATTCTATCTATAATTATAAAAAAATATATATGTATAAATATATATCTATTTTATCTCTCATCTGATGTGTCAATATTTTTAGAAATGAATAAAAATAATTGTATATAGTTGAACAATTTGTATTATTAATAAGTATTACATATTTAATTAATCTAAAATGTAATAAAAAAATATATAGTTTTTATTTTCTTGCGACTGATGTCTTTTCAAATGTTTCTTTCTCATTTAATTTTGCATTGAGAATACATAAAAACATGTTAAATTTTAAATCAATCTAATTATAGAAACTTCTTTTCCATGGTGCGTAGTCAAAATAGTGTTTATCTGACGTGTGTCTGTACGTACATAGAATATTGATATATGAAAAAATCTATGAAAATACTTATTACTCGGAATAAAATGTAGTTTTACGATTAGAAAAAAAATATATATCTATCAATTGATAAATGAAAATTGTCTATCTGATGTTGGATACATAAATTATTTGAAGAAATATTGAAGTAATTGAGAATAAAGAGATTTCATAATTGTTAAAACTCTAGTCAGAGTTATGATATTGAGGTAATCAATATGCATAGTACACTCGAATTGTACGAATAATTTAATTGAATAAAACAAGTTTTTCCAGTTTTAAAAAATTAACAAAAAAAGACATTAATTAATCATTAAATAACTTGGAAATATTTAGATTTTTTTAAATGCTTTAATTGTTTTTATAATATTTTTATCATTAAAATTTGAAATGGTAGATACTATTTTAAATGCTTTACAAAAAATGCAATGAATTAAATTATTTATTACACTACTGAAAAAATTTATTGAAAATAATTCATTGTATTTAAAGCTTAAATTATATTATCTCTAAAATTAATTGTTTTAATAAATTTGTGATCAATTAATCATGACGTTATATGTAAAGTTTTATTCATGATATGTAGTATGCATTTATTTTTATTTAATTGTTTATTAAATATTTATGAATTTAAATCAACTGGACAAGTTTTTTTCTCTATTTCCCAGAGCATCTATGGAATAATGTCTATAGTAGTGATGTAATAAGTATATTAGATTGCAGCTACGTAAGAATAAAAATAATTTATCAAAAAATCCTGTTTTATGAATGATAGCACAAGTAAATTGAAGTTTTTTTTATGTATTAAATCATTGAATTATTTTGATTATATTAAGCTGAAAATAATGAAAGTTATAATTAGAAATATTTATCTTTAATTGCTAAGTCTTCTTGACCACGCATTTGACTCAAGTAATCAAGAACATCAACTACCACAAACTCTTGAACTGGTGAAACTTCTTGGGGCATGAAGCCAAGTCTTGAACTTGAAATTAGAGATTCCTGGCTTCCCACGTCTACCTCAGACCTAGATCCTTTCATATAAAAGCCAGCAGTTGTCAGATACCATTGTAGAGAAATTTGAGTTGATTTTACACAAGTTTTGGCTCTGAGTAAACCGTCTGTATGTTAATTAATAGAGATATTTGTCTTTTGATTGCTCCAACAATTATAACATTTATGGTTTCCTTCAACTTTAAGCTCACATCAATATTTTCTATGAACTTTGAACACATTTTAAGGAATAAAAATCATAAAGACATAAATAACAATAGTGTAATATAAAGAAAGTATTTTTAAATAATATTTGCAACAAAAATCTATCATTGATTTATTTTCTAAAGTAAAAAGATTTCAATATAAAATTATTTAATAAACTTTGATTGAATATCAAGATAACTAAAAATAAAATTGAATATGCAAATAAAATAGAGGAGCTTATTGACAAACTCAAGCCTAAATCTATTTATATGAAGAAATCAATATTTGCGCAATAGTTGATGATGTAATAAAAAATTAAAAAGTTGATCATATTCATGCACTGGACTTGCGAATATCCACTCCAAAAATAACATTTTAAGAAATGAGAAATATATTCAAAACTTTAAAAGTAAGACTTGGCTACAAATCACTGACATAACAATAAACTTTCTACTTCTGCTTTATTTCATCCAAAAATATTTTATCTATTTATAAATCTGTAAAATTTTATGCATTTTCTAATTTGAATTTTGATAAACTGAGTAAACTTTGCTTTAAATCTTCTAAGTGCTGACAAACAAAATTTAAAAAAATTTTTATTATCACTTTTATATCTTACCACTGCATTTTTAATGACAATCCATGCTGCATCAGCACGTTGATGATCTAGTATCAACAAAAAGTCATTAAAATATTCTTTTTTATCCAGCTTGATATTAATTTTTTCGTAAGAACCATTTTACGAGACTTCATTTAGCAAATTATTTTTTTTTATCAATTGTCAAGACTATAAAAACTCTTTATAGACATTGAGTGCTATTAAGCTAGAGTTAATAGTCAGGATCATATTTTTCACTGCATATGAAATGACTGTAAATGACCATTATGGGTTTAATAATTGCATAAGGTGATTTAGTGTCAACGCGTAATGTTAAATAAAATTATTAATGCAAGCTCTTAAAAAATTTAATAAATTAACATTAAAATTATTGTTTTATTATTTAAATGGTTACTACAATTAATTGTAAAAAACAATACATCTTCTTTATAACAATTATATCTTTTTTAGCAAAAAAAAAAAGTAGTTTAAACGTGAATTAAGTAAATATGATAACAAGTAACAATTTCTGAAAATTGTTTAGAAAAAAATATGTGTCAAACCTTCTTCTATGAATTGTTTTTAAACAAATGGTAATTTAAATTGGTGATAATTTGTTTTTTTTATATTAAAAATACTTGTGAGTAGTAGAACAATGGCACATAAAAGTCCAATAAATAACACCAGTAAATCACATTGTTGGAGGTAGAATAAAAATTACTTAGATATTCTTCGATTAAGGAAATCAATTACTATATCTAACACTTGTTGAAACAGAATTTCAATATTTCATGAGGTATCTTTCGATATTTATTCAAGTACTATCTACAAAATTATAACTTACTATACCAATTATAAATACATACATTTTATTATTTATATTAAACATATGTTATGTGATTATTTATACTATAATTACATTCAAAATTCATTTACAAATAATTTTATTACTATAAAACAGCAAATGAAAACCATTCGCTTTAGCAATTACTAATAAGATATATATTGTTATGTCAATTGAATGTTTTGTTGAATGAAAATTTAGATGTTAAAGGAATTGAAGATATCATTAATTGTCAAAATTAATTTTGGAATTGGAAATTATTTCAATAAACATAACAAAATATATCTTTGCATCTTAATCAACAAGTTTGATTGTTTAGATAGAATATAGAGTGATTTTTTACCTGAAAATTGATTGTCAATTCATTGTTTAAAAGGAAGATTAAGTGTACAGAAGCACAATTTATTGTACATTGTTCTAAATTTACAAAACTTGTATTTAAAAAAATATATCAATATATTTCATTTCTATTAAAATTTCTCTTTGTAATAATTTATATAGGTTATAAGCTCTATGGAATTGTTATTCTGTCTTTAACAGGTACTTATTTAATTTTAAATTAATGCATTTAAATAATGTTCAGAACGTGTACAGAATTCACAACACCAAGATCAAACATTGTAAAAGTTTAGTCTCCAAAAACAGAAAAATAAGGTAATGAATTAAGCTTATTTTAAATAATGTATCTGCTTACTTCTTTTCTATCTTTTATCTATAATAATTATTTACAAATATATCAACGGTAATATATGCCGTAATTAAATTTAACAGTTTTCTACATTTATTCGGAACAGTGACTAGAAGTTGATAATTATTCTGAGAACAATACTCCTATTTTGATAAATCAAAGCTTCTCCTAACATATTCAACAAACAAAACTGAGTTACAAAAGTAGACAATTGTTTATTAAATAAATGTTTTTAATATTGATTTAAATTTAATTCATTTTTATTTGTTGAATATTAATTGGTGTTAATTTTTAGTTACTTTTAAACCAATCAATGCACAGCCAATAAAGACAGCGATCCAGCCCATAATAACTAAAAATCCTTGATAAACTTCAGATTCATCCCAGCCATATCCTTTATCAATAATACTTCTCAAAGACAATATTGGAATTGTCGTTGGTATAAAAATATAACTTATGTATTGTAAAGCATCTGGCATACCTTCAACTGGCCACAACCAACCAGATAAAAGTACGACTGGATAAAAACTTCCGGTTACAATGTAATTAGCAACAGTGTGAGATGTGCAAAAAACAGATACAACAAAACCATAACATAACCCACATATTCCCATTAGGAATAATAAAAATATGATTGTACCCAGCGATCCATGATATTCATAATCATATTGAGCAAAAGTTATTATTACTGTTACTCCTACTTGGATCACCACAATAATAAGCTGAGATAATATGTGTGATAATAATATTTCTGTGGTTGTGACACCTTGAACTAAACTTCTATTCCATATTCCTTCATGGCGATCGGTAATAATAATTGCAGAAGACACAGATGCTGCTATAAAGAATAATAAAGTATTTAAACATCCAGGAACCACAAAATCTTGATACGTAGCATCTTCTTTACTAAACATTTCATTTATGTTGACTGGTAAATTCATTAATCTTCGTGGTAGTTTACACTCTTCTAACAAATCTCGATATATTTGTGCGAATTTATCTCGAAGATTTTTTTCGAGCCAAGTACCAATGTGATGATCACTCATGTCCAATGTGACTTCAATGTCTCCTCCTGTTAAGTCCTCTGGAATATAGTAATCTATCCGATCTCGTAATGACTTTGAAAAATTCTTTCCAACAAATATAGCTCCAACAACATCACCTTTTTTCACTGCTTTTATAGCTTTACCAAAATTGTCATACTTCACATTATCAACAAAGTTATTGAATGCATTTAAAAATCGACAACTAACGTCAATAAACTCACAGGTACGGTCTTCAGGTGAATATATTACTTGTCCTGTATAATCATTAACATTACAATTCATGGTTTCATGATTGATTACAGCTATCTCGAGATCTTTTGGATCACCACCAATAGTGTTGAAGAATGCATTAATTTGTATCAATGGAAAAATGAATGCAAACAAAATTCCTATTGGATGTCGAAGAAATTGTAAAAGGTTCTTGGTCATAAGTGCTTGAAATTTACGAGATGTTTTAACTGTACGACGTTTATAAACTGATCGTCCATATTCATCATACTGTCTCGATGGAATGTTATAATTTTGATTTAAAGTTTCATTTGATATTTCTCCAAGTTCTGGTAGATATTCACCAGTGCTATCAATAATTCTACCACCTTTATCTGTTCTTTCTTGCTGTTTCTGGCTAAGCTGAAGAAAAGCTTCTTCTAAGGAATCAGTTCGACATTCCTCCATCAAAGCAGATGGTGAAGTTTCAGCTAAGAGTAGTCCTTTTCTTAAAAGACCTATTTTATCAGCAAGTTTAGTCTCATCAATGTAATGTGTAGTGATTATCACTGTTACATTATTTTGTTTAGTAATTTTAAATAGAAAATCCCAAATATTTTCTCTCAAAATAGGATCCAGACCAACAGTCGGTTCATCAAGAACAAGTAAGTCTGGTTCGTGAATGAGAGCACAACCGAATGAAACTCTCCTTTGTTGTCCGCCACTCATATGTTTTATTAACCGATCTGGATCGGGCAATTGAAGAAGTTTAGATAGAAATGAATGTCTTTCCATAATTTTATCATCGTCCATACCATTTATTCGACCGAAATAAAAAAAAGCACCAAGAACTGTGAATTCTTGAACAAGAGAGATTTCTTGAGGCATAAAACCAACTCGTGGACCTGGAATTGAAGATCCTTTAGCACCTGGTCTTCCACCTAGCACCCAGACTTCTCCAGCATCAAGTTTCTTGATTCCTACTATGCATGAGAGGAGAGTTGTTTTCCCACAACCACTGGCTCCAAGTAGTCCATATCTAATGTAAAAAGGTATGAATTTATTCATTTTTGTGTCATTTTTAAAAACATTTTTATGAATTTTACAAATTATTTTATAGCTTGAAACTTGTGATGATTTTTTTTCTTCTTTAAAAAGTGTTCTCATTAATTTCTTTTCGGTGCATTTTTATCAGCTTCTGATGTAATCAACGTGAGTTACAACCAACGATCATTATTATTCATCAAAAAAAAAAGTAAAAGAATCTTTTAAACAGGATTTTTTATTTTTTAATTAAAAAAACAAAGAAAAGTATTTTAGGTCATTTTTCCGTGTTACTCCATTTTTAATGGTTATTTTTTTATAAAAAATTCCGCTCTAAAAAATAAGTAGTTTTGTTAAATTATTCAATAATTGAATATAAGTAGTCTATAAAACGTTCATTATAAAATTTAATGAATAATTAAATATTTAATGAATAATTAAATATGTTCCAATCTATCTTATTGATTTATTTATTTAATTAAAAAATCATAAACGACTAAAATCATTTGTTTTTATAAAAAATTCACATTAAAATACTCAAAGACTAATCGAGAAAATTTATTTTAAACTACACTGACGTTGGAATTTTTTTTCATGTCAACGTGGAATCAAAACAGACATCTTTCCATCTTCCACCAAACACAAATGAAAAAAACAAAAAATACTAACATGCATCCTTGAGGTACAATCATAGATAATCCATCAAGAACTGGTTTATTTTTCCCATATCTCTTAATTGCATTCCTCACAACAATAGCCTCCTGTGTTCGCGCCATTTCAAATTGTCACTTGCACTCTCCTACAAAGCACACGTGGAAGTTTGAAAACTTGATGATCAACCAAAAAATTAAACATCAACAAAATTAAATTCACAATAACTTATTAAATTATTTCGACTTCCAATTAACTAAACTCAATTTTAATTAAAATTTATTTTATTTTAACAGGTTGAATATTGACAGCTGCGGCCCACAAATTGATCTAAAAGGGTCGAACGCGCTCAGAAGACTGCACTACCAAGTCCCGGACCGGATTAGGTTTACCGTTACAACCACTAGCCTACTGTCGACTACTTTACTCTTCTCAGAGGCATACATATTTTGTGATATCCACCTATGTTTTTTGTTTGGAGATTAGACCAGTTTTTATTCTTCAATTTTATTGATATCAATATCAATAAATTGATCCATCAGATATCTTGATACAGAATTCATTAACATATCACTCTAGTATGATAAAAAGAATTGCTCATCGGTCATAAGTTCATCTATTTACATAAAAGGTAATGACTTTATTTTATTTACCATCAAGACGTAATTATATTGATTAATATAAATATTGATTAACAATTTTTTATTTTTTCTAGAAGTTACGGTCGAGGAAGATTGAGTACGAGGAAAGCAATTGTTTTTTTGCAAGTCTTCAAATCTTTATTTAATGTTTTAACCAACTATTTACCCCACCACAGTATACACTTTCTACATTCGCCTATTTATTGTCTCTAATACAGACAACAATAAATGATTATAAATTCTGTGGAATTAATTTGGTACAATGTCAGAGAGAAAGAGGAAATGTTTCTAAAAAATGTAATAACATTGAAATAACTAGATGGTAATGGATAAAGATCGATTCCCATGCTCTGACAATACACAAGTACCTTTACAATTAGTTGCGGAAGTGGTAAAAGTCGGTTGGCAGGTCGTTGAATCGCCTATCGCATCTTATAATTCTCTTTTTTACTCTCTTTCGTTAAACCCACACTGGTATTCCTTCTTATAACGGGATTTTTGTTAAATTTTCGCCTCAGTTGTGTGATAAAAAAAAATGGAGAGTTTGATGCACATCATAATTATCAAGGTAAATGTTTAGTTCAACTATAATTGTTCTAAAAGTGCAACCTTCAAAGTTTTCATTAATATGAATTGAAATTATGTATCATACGTTCATTATACATTTCAACAGATGTCATTAATCAATATTAGGTAATGTAATTTAGCTTAAAGTCAAGTAATCCTTAATTAAATAAATCAATACTGTTATATTAGTAATTTTGTATTATGTTTATCGTCATGGATATGATATTGAACGATTAAATGACGTATTATTGACATATCTTCCCTTTCTCTTTATTTTTTCATGTTAAGTGATTTCTCAACAAGTTATCATTCAAATACAATACGACCGACTTTTAAAGTGCTCAAGTTAGCAAATTTCTCTGAAGAAAGAATGCTTGATGGTTAAAAAATATGATGCTGTTGCATTTATCATAACCAACTGTGCATGATATGCCTTTCATTGAAATTCAAATCATGCGCTTTCTACGACAATCATCTATATTACCGACAGTTGGCAATAATCCATAGATAGTTACTTCTTTATCTGTTTAAGATAAACAGTAATTTATCGTTCATGGGTAAAAAGGAATTTCATGTATCATTTTTCACTTGAACGAGATGATGAAAGAGGTGAAGAAAAGACATCCGTTCATGATGAAAAAGAAGACAATTTTTGCGTGTCAGTATTTTTTGTCTGTATTTAATTTAATTTATGTTAAATCATGGTTTTCTAAATAACAATCTATCAATTTGAAATAGGAATCAAATTGTTGACAGGTATTAGTGAAATATTGGTTAGTTTCACTTTCCAGACTCGCGATTTTATTTATACACATAGATCCATAGTTAATAACAATCTTATGATTTGATAAGCAAAAAAAAAAAAACATTATAATTAATTCTTTACGTTTTTCATGCTTCATAAATGATAAAACAACATAAAAACGTAATTTGTTCTTGCTGATCTTACAACGACTGTCAAGGCAAGCTTCTTTTTAACGGCATTTCCCTGCACGAGGATCAGCAGCAATCGTGTTTTATGCCAACAACTTTTTATTTTACACACATTGTATTCGTTTGTTTTTTTTTTTTTTCTTCCAGACTGGGAATTCCATTACCTTCTGACGCTCCAATTCGCTTCAAGGTAGCTTCGAAGATTTCTGCGAATACGTTTGCATACCTAAAAATAATATTAACTACATAATTTTTTTGCAAAAAGTCGACCTTGACTACTGAATGATTCAATGTAGCTTCATGCAAGGGATCATGAGCATAATTGTTTCATGAATGATTTGCGCAATAAAATAATAAGCAATGACAAGTTGGGTCAGGGGTAATGTCCTTGAGATCAGTCCAAAGTCACTCGAGCAAGTTTGTCAATGATTACAAATGTTCAACGTTTATACAGACAGGGAAGTAAGTATTCGAGTTGTACTCATTTGGGGAGATTTTAATGCTCAGTTGTAATGTACTTCTCAAGGGAAAGTGAAAGGTGAGTTATTAGTTAAAATTTTAATCCAAGTTTTTATGTGATATCAAAACAACTAGTTACAAATAATTTATTCTTGTCTTTTCAATATAATCATGGAAAGTAAGAAAGGATCATTGGAGGGAAATTGCTCTATTTATTGGTTAAAAATATGAATTACATGTTTTTTGCAAGCAACTCAATAACTAACATGAATTGAAAGAAGGAACTGAAGTCGATTGAAACATGGAATGAATTATTAATGTAAAATAGCAGATAAATTTTTTGAAAGGATCCATTAAAATTTACGAAACGCCAAAGCGAGGTAAGATTTTTAAATCTAAAAGAAAAAGAGTAAAAAATTTAAAAGATGAATCAAGAGACTTTTTCTCTTAGAATAAAATTAATCACAAAATTGTCATTGAATGCTTTTTTAGGATTAAAGAGTTGACAGTTGATTGTTATCTTTGTTAGCAAAAAATTAATAATCGTAATTCAATTTTTATTTAAAGAAAAAATTGTAAAGTACATTTTTAAAGAATGATAAAAAAGGTAATGTTTCTTATAATGTTCTTTCATTAAAATTTTTATTAAAAAAAAACTAAAATTTTTTGTTGAATACTTATTGCATATAAAAGAAAATTACTGTGATAATTAGTAACAAAACAACTTTTTTCTCTAGAAAAATTTAAATGGATAAATGTTTCCAAGATCTCAGCACTCAGGTATACTGAACTAGATTATGTATGCTACATTTTGTTTTTTTTTTACATAACGTATGAAAAATAATACATACGTTATTATATTTTTAAAATCTATAAATATAAACTCATACATGAATATGGAAAATAATGTAGTCATCATTCAAAAATTTTGCACACACTCCATCTTACCCTGAACTTCTTACATTTACGAGCTGACTTGGGCAAAGAAAAAAGCTAAATCACTGTGCAGAAATAAAATAAAACGAGAAAAGTTGACATGGCAAGAATAAGAAGAAGCCAAATTGAAGAGAATTAGAGGTTTATTCAGTGACTGGTTATTCTTTCTATATTTTACGCCAATTTTGAATTCAAAAAAAAAATAGCAATTTTTTTTTCATTAACAATTCTATTTCATTGATCTCCAACAACAAATATTTATTTTCAATTGAATATAATTTTGAAGTTTAATTTTTCTTCTTGAAAAAAAATATACTAAATAATGAAACTATGGCTCATCAAGTTATTTTGCTTGTTATTTTTGAATAAAATATGTAAAACGATTGAAAGATGGATATTTTGATAAATGTCATGGTAAAAATATATTGGACTGTCATGCAATATATTTAAAAACTTAAGTACATCAATCCTACATGATTTCTAGAAACTCTCTAACTATGATTTATTCACCAGAAAATGATTCATAAAGATCGAAGGTGGTAAGATGCTGATTTGATATTTTTCTGCTTATATTGACATAACTAAATCTGAAAAAAACTTTCTCTTTATATATATATATCTAATCTCTGTACAGGTGGATCGAAATCAGCTATCAAATAAAATTCATCAACACAATGTTCATTTGAAAGCTGTCTTCAGTCTTTAATAATTAAATCTGTCTGTTGGATTTCACGGAGTAAATAAAAAATATCATGACAGAAAGGTGCTAATTTAACATTCATCATTGTAAACACGACTCGCGGGATGCTCCATCGTCCAATGTTCATGGTCCATGATTCGCACAGCCTCCGATTTCCTCCTACATCTCTACCACTCCATCAAAATGTGCGTCAGGCCACGCGTCATCGGTGGTAAGCCAGGAGACAGTCAATGTTGCACAAGCAGTTTGATTCCTCGAGTGATGCTTGTGCCAGTAGTCCACGCGAGACCCAGTCAGTTCTTCGTGGCTTCAGCGTCGAGCCACTCTCCACTCTTTCAGTTCACCTTATGCGCGTTTTATAGGTCTTAGTGCATCCATGTTTTTGCAAACCTCTGCTATTTTAATCATATTAAAAATTTAATTCCACAAAATATATTGATATTAACAGTGTGTAATTAATACTTTTAACTAAAGTGTGATCTACAGTGTTTGGTAATTAAATTTTTATTTTTTTTACTGTTCAAATTTATTGTTTATTTTATATGAATAATTGAATGACGTGTAGTGTAAATCAATTTAGAGTGTAACTGAAGTTTAAAACTGATATGAAGTATGAAAAATTGGAATTAGTCAACAGATAACAGAGTACAATTATAACTTGTAGGTTGAAGTGAACAAAAAAAAAATTTAATCAATAATGAATTAATAATGACATTTAAATATGTCTGACATTCATTAAAATTTTGATGAAAGAATAATTAATAAAAACTACAATTACATCACAGTCTGACATTTAAAATCCTCATTGCTTTTTATAAAATTCTTAATTTTTTGTTACTTTACACTTCATTGTTGATTAGTCAGCGTTAATTATTTAACATTCGTTCAATGTTTGTGGTCTGATTGTGTAAAAAAAGTAATCAAAACAGAGCAGAGTTGAATATCTCTTAATTATTTATTTTATATCTTAAGGTATAAATTGCAGTGATGTAAGTCAGGTATTTCCCAAATTCCACGACCTAGTTTATAAGAAAAAAAAATAAATAACTGAATGACTTCCGGAATGATTATAAATTTCTTTTTATTTATTTTCCAGACTAGATTGCTTTAAACTCGTCTTTCTATTTTCAAGTATTCTCGTATAATCTTAGGATTATTCTGATATCGTACAATGATTGGTTGATGAAAAATAAAGAAATTCGACGCATTGATTTCACCTGAAATTATCCGGTCGTTCAGGCGATCGGTCCAGCCGAGCACGCTGGTGAGAGTCTGTTACATCACGCTATGCTAACCGTACCTACAAAAGACATGTGCCGGGAGAAATAAAAAAAGATAGAAAAAAAAGTAGATCCATACCTATTAAGGCGGGAAGAATGCTTGTTGAATTTTTTATTAAATCATGATGTATTTGATAAATAGACAACATTATCTGATTTAAATACTCTTCAACAGATATGGAGACGGAGGGGACGCCAACGTCGACTTCAAAAGCAACGTCGATTGAATTGAAGACCCGGCGAACACAATTTCAACCAAGAGTATCGACTTTGGATACTAGACGACATCAAGCAGTTTGTGTAAGACGGGCTTTTAAAAAATATGGCCCAAAAAGTAATCCAAATATCATCCTTGATGGTTTGAATATGACAGTACCCAAGGGTTGCATGTAAGTTTTTATTTGCACGCAATATGTTGAATAAAAGCTATTTAGTTAATCTTTTATTACGTGTAGATATGGACTGTTAGGCTCAAGTGGATGTGGTAAGACAACATTACTGTCATGTATTGTTGGAAGAAGACGTTTGAATGCCGGAGAAATATGGGTACTTGGAGGAAAACCTGGATCCAAAGGTTCTGGAGTTCCTGGACCAAGAGTTGGTTATATGCCTCAAGAAATAGCTCTCTATGGTGAATTTTCTATTCGAGAGACTTTTATTTATTTTGGGTGGTGTGCTGGAATGAATACTCCTCAAGTTGATGAAAAAATTGACTTTCTAATTAAGGTAAAAATCTATAAAAACTGGTATTTATTTATTTTTACAAAAAAATTAATTAATTTTTTGTGGTGAAATTTTAGTTGCTAGATTTACCCAATGAGAACAGATTTGTCAAAAATCTTTCTGGAGGTCAGCAAAGACGTGTTTCAATAGCTGCGACCTTGTTGGCTGATCCTGAACTTCTTATCCTAGACGAGCCAACAGTTGGAATTGATCCAGTGTTACGGCAAAGCATTTGGGACCATTTGGTATCCATCACCAAAGATGGCAGTAGGACAATAATAATTACTACTCATTACATTGAAGAAACTAGACAAGCAAGTATGATTGGCTTGATGAGAGGTGGGAAGTTTTTAGCTGAAGAATCACCCACAAGACTCATGGAAATGCATCATATGGATTCTCTTGAGGAAGTATTTTTAAAATTAAGCAGACGACAAAATATGGGTTTGCGACGTCGAAGCAGTATATTAAGCAGTGTTACGGGTGTACCTCCAGACATCGACGTCGATGATGAAATGAGTGGAGAGTTTGGTGATAACGTCAGTATTTCTAGTCGTAGACGAAGTATTGCTGTTACTTCAGACGACGAATACATTCCGGAGTTGCCGCCAGAAGAGAAAGGCCACAATAATTTCAAAATGCTCGATTCACAGCACATGAAAGCGCTCATTTGGAAAAACTTCCTGTGGATGTGGCGAAACGTTGGCATGATGCTTTTTATCCTTGGTTTACCCGTTCTTCAAATAATTTTATTCTGTTTGTCGATTGGTAAGGATCCAGTTGGCCTTCAAATCGCAATTGTAAATCATGAATTGAATAGCAGTATGGATTCTTGCGTGCCAACAATTGGCTGTGATAAGACAATGTTGAGTTGTAGATTCCTAAAACACTTAAAAACAAGAAAAGTCGAGTTGATGAATTACGATAGAATTGAAGATGCAAGACACGCAGTAGAAAAAGGATGGGCGTGGGCTGCTATTTATTTTCCTGCTAATTATTCAGTAGCATTGCCAGCAAGATTAGAAGAGGGTCGTGATGCTGATGAATGGGCCATTGAATTTGCCAATATGGATATTGTCATGGATATGTCAAGTAAATTACTAGTTTCATTATCTTAATTGTGTATTACTCCACACTATTACATTATTTAGTATAATTCTTACACCATTACTTATTCTATATAAATTGAAATTTTAGATCAGCAAATTGGCCAATTACTTAAACGAGATTTTTATTATTCATATCAGGATTTTGCGAAAGATATTTTGGTGGCTTGTAACTACAGCGAAAAATTTGCAAACATTCCTGTTGATGTAAATATTTTTTTACTAATATTATATTATTTATAGTTAATAATATAATAATTTCTTGAACACTTAATTATAAAATAATGACTATATAACTTTCTCATAGTTTAAAACACCCATTTACGGACCACGTGAGCCTAATTTCACCGATTTTGCAGCACCAGGGATTATATTAACGTAAGTATTAATTATTAACATAATAATAACAGACATTATTTCCATCTTTCAATTTTCTTAAAAATTATTTTGATACAACTTTTACATAATATTTATTTTAATCTCATTATATACGTTCAATTCCTGTTTGTTTTAATTGTGATGAATTATTTATCACTAGATTCTAACTTATAATTTATCACCTTGGTATTTTTTGTTATTTTTATTTTTTATTCTAGAGTCAGATATTAATAGAGATTCTTTTTTTATTATTATTCATTATGTATCTTCAAGAAATGCGTACTATGTTTTTAAAATAATTTTTTACCTGAAAGATTAGTAATTTAATTTGAATTCATTAACAGGATCATCTTCTTCTTGTCAGTTGCATTGACATCAGGTGCTATGCTGCTAGAACGTAATGAAGGTCTTCTTGAACGGAGTTTGGTATCAGGAATTACAGGAACAGAGATATTGTTTGGACAAGTAGTCACGCAATTTGTAGTCATGACTGGACAAACTTTAATGGTTTTAATAGTAGCTTTTGCGATGTTCAAACTTACTTGTGAAGGTCCAATCGCATGGGTTACCATTTTAACTATTCTTACGGGCTTATGTGGCATGTGTTTCGGTAAGTAAAAAATATACAGAGAAAGTTTGAAAAATAATACAATAAATTTTTATAAATATTATTGAATTATAATTCATTATTGTTTTCAGGATTCGTCATCGCTTGTGTTTGTGATACTGAAAGAAGTGCAACATATATGGCTATGGGTTCGTTTCTCCCTATTGTTATGTTATGTGGCATAATTTGGCCTGTAGAAGGAATGTACCCAGTTTTACGAGCAATTAGTTTCGTCTTACCTTTAACCAAAAGTACAGAATCTATCCGTGCTATGTTAGGCCGAGGTTGGAATATAGAAGAACCAACTGTCTATGAAGGATTTATTTCAACATTTGTATGGATTATTTTGTTTCAAACACTTTCAATATTATTATTGAAATTTAAAAAAGGCTAGAGTACAATTCAGGTCATTGCAGACGAGTCCATAAAATTTCTTTATACCTCGGTTTAGGCTGTATAGTAAAATAGTGATAAGAAAAAATAATTCAATTTTGATAGAATTAATTAGTTAAATAATAGGATAATGAATTGCTTTTACTTTCTTGTACTTCAATCAATGTGTTTGCTCAATGCATCTTAGGTTATTTATTCATTTTTATTAAATAATTGTTATATCACTTTACATTTACATGTATCTATAACCAATGTTAGAATAACTATTGTACAAATAACACAAATCATAACTTAATTGTACATTTTTTAGTAAAATAAGAGTATTCATTTATGTAAAATAATTTATCGAATGATATTTCTTTTTTATGTAGAATAAGTAAAAAATTATATTACTATCTTACTAGTCTTTATGTCTTTTATCATAGTTTATATGTTTTGAAATCATTATATTATTTAAATTATTGGTAAAGAAATTAATTTAAAAAAAATGTATGATTTTGAAAAAATTCCGTTTGATTTAAAAAAAAATACCATTCATAGGTGGCGCTATTTTGTAATTCTGATTCAATTCAATCTATTCCGACAAAGAGAGCCTTCTCTCTGTCTCAGTCTTCTCTGAACACGTGAGACAAAAGGGATGTAAATGTAATAAAATCATCACTGGAATTTTTATAACTTTAAAACTAATACCCTTAATTTTTATTCCGATTGAACGAATCACTATTTAATTTATTTTGAAAGTTTAATTTATACATACTCATTTTCATTGATACACTACATTAAATTAATCAATGCAAGTAAATATAATTGTTTTATGATGGATGAAAATAATGAAGAGCAACCTTTGATTTGTGTTCCTGGTATATATAATAAAAAAAATCTATTTTTCTAAATAATCAATTATGTTATGTCATACATCATTTAATTATAATTATTTTTCTAAAGGTCAAAGACTTTGTTTGTCAAATAAGGTTAACCTCCCTGGACCAGGGACTTATGAACTAGGTGGATACATTTACTCCAAACTTGCTGGCACAGTAGAAATTTTAGATGATGAAAACGTGAGAAAGTTTTATAATTAAATAAATTCTTTCTAATAATGATTATAAATAAAGTATTTTCAATTTCCAGGCAAAAACAATTGTTGTTCATAGTACCGTTGAACAAAGTATCGTACCAGCACCGGGTGATTTAGTTACAGCAATGGTAACATTAGTGAATCAAAGATTTTGTAAATGTATACTAAAATGTATTGGAGATGTAGTTTTGACTAGACCATATAGAGGAATATTAAGAAAAGAAGATGTAAAGGCAACACTAAAGGATAAAGTTGAATTATACAAATCTTTTAGGCCAGGGGATATAATATTAGCACGAGTTGTATCCTTTTTATTGAAATATTGATTTATCATTCTCAAAAAAAAAAATATATTGGATCCTATTTATTAAATAGCTACCAATGACAGAAGCTCATGTGTATTCATTGAGCACAGCTGAAAATGAATTAGGAGTAGTCGTAGCTCACAGTCAAGAAGGTAACCGAAAGCGTTCATTATTTCTATTATTTTTGGTATTTTGAATTAAAAAAAAAATGATTTCATTTTTTCCAGGTATTTCTATGATTCCCATTAGTTGGACAGAAATGCAATGTCCAAAGACTTTAGTAAAAGAATACAGAAAAGTTGCTAAAGTAGTTCCTGAACAAATTGCTCTTGAAAATTAAACTAATTTTTTAGATGAGTTTATAAACATAAATGAAAAGATAAGTTGTAAATAAACAAAACAACACAATGTGTAAAATATGAAATATACTAATTGTATACTCAGTATATTAATAATATATCATTGACTTTTTTTTAGATGAAATGTATAATACTTTTGAAAATTATCAAAATGTCAAACGTGATCCCTTTTATCACATTTAGTCAATTTATAAAAATTTTTTTCAATCAAGTTGAATGCGACTTACTTCCTTTCTAAAAAAAATATAAAATCATTGAAAAATGATTTATTAAATTTATTCATCTTAAAATTATTTTTATGACTCACCCAAGTGGACTTTCTTCATCCATATATCCATTGTGCCTAATACTTCTAAGAAATTCAACATATTCATGAGGTAAACCACAATCTAAGGCACCTTTAACGATTACTTTCCTGTAAAAATTTTCTCAATATAGAATGAATCTATTTAATCACGATTGTGTATTTAATTTCTAATAAAAATATGTACAAATATATTAATGAAGGTAATCTATCATCCGGTAGTTTCGACAGTTCTGTAGGATTTTCTACCATTTTAGTCGTCTGATAGACTCGACATACGTAAACCTTTCCATCAGGGTTAGTAACATCAACATACAATACTCTATATTTTCCCACATGTACTTCTTCCTGTTTATCTAAATTCTCAATCTGATCATTATTAATTTCCCATACTGCACCCCACACCCAACTATTATTTATTGGAATAATTGTGGCAGGAGCTCCTTTCCATGTTTTAGATTCATCTATAAAATCTAGTCGATAATGCTGTAAATGCAAATAAATTTGTTAATGATCAAGTCAATCGAATAAATGATGAAATTATAAGAGTAAAGTGATTATATCTTTTACCTCTAATCTCGCAATATCTTTGAATACTGCAGTTGGATTATTCATTAAAATTCGAGATTTGAGTAAATTACTTCCGTAAGCAAAGTATAACGTGGTGTTACTCATTTTTTCTATTTTAAACATGGATAAAAAAACTAAAATTAAAAAAATAAAAAGTAAAATAATAGAAATTAACTTAATTAACATTATCACTATTTCTTATAACTTGTAAATACTTTTTTTTTATATTGCTTTTAAATTAAATATTTCATTAACTTTATGAACGTGTATGTTGAGTATTATTTTTAATTTAAATTATTTTACTTTCGAATTTTTCGAAACTATTTAAGTGTTGTCGTATTTTATTATTTTTATAATATTTTAAAAATTATTTTCATTAAATATAATTTTTAAATAATTAAAAAAATTTTCCTTACGTATTGTTTGAATGATTGTAGATAAAAATACACTATACTTAACCGATATTTATCATTTAGTACGGAAATCATACATAATATAATGGAATATAGAATATGTGATTAGCTTTGACAAACCACTTGAAGTATTAGTGTAGAAACATTCTGCAACAATCATTTAGAAAACAATTAAGTAAAAAAACAGCTTCTCTGACAATATTTTATATTTATTATTACTGACAAATTGCCTAGTAACGATAATAATTCAATTATTATTACTCACAAGAGTATGGAAAACATTGAAAAAGAATCACAGCCGAAAAGAGACATAATGATCTGTAGTTTTTTACAAATTTATTATTGATTATATATTCAGAAAGAGAAAAAATCATCTTTCTTTCTGTTTCTGCTCTGAATGAAAATATGAAAAAAAAAGAATCTTTTTCTCAGTCGGTAATTGCTCATTGGGTATAGGCCCGACTCAGAAGACACTAATCGTTCAGATATGCTGAATATTTTTTAAAATTGTAAATAACTTGAAAAAATTAGACTAATTAGTCAATAATAAACGTTTATATCCTGAGAAATTATTTATCTTAGTTTATTGCAAATAATTAATTCAAAAAAACGAATATACCGCCATCTAGAGGTTAATATTATGGTCTCCTCTCTGCCTAAATTGAGTGGGTCTCCGCAGTTTCTTCTCTTTGTCTTTTATTCAATGTAAAATACCGGGAAACAAACGTCGAAACGGTATGCTTGTTAACCGGTTTTGTTTGTTGACTATTTTATTAGTCTTTTAGCAGAAAAGAGTGATTTTTTGACAATAAGTTCAGTTAAATAGCATTCTAAATAAAATGGATATCCCAAATATGTTAAAAGATAACTTAGACCAGTCAATGGATATATCCAATCAGGAAAATACACCAAGGAGATCATTTTTGAGGTTAAACACAAAAGCAGCTACTCCTAAACGTAGGTCTCTTCATCAAAATATTATTTCTAAACGATCAGTGGAGGATATATTGAGTCCTAGATTTTCAAATCGACCTAGTAAGACTTCGGTCAGCAATATTGATAGCTTTGATTGTTCTATCACAATTAATGCCAGTGAGTATAAGTTAATTTCTTATTATACTTCGTTTTTATTTATTTATTTATTTAATGAATACTTATTTATACAGGTGATCGAATGTCCAAATATTTTAAATCTAATCAAAATGATTTGTCCAATACATCATTACTTATGGACAGGAGTAACTGGTCCCTTCATGAAATGATGGAAGATAGTGCAGCTACAGGCTTGATAATAAAATCCGATAAACCTTGGAAAAAAACAGCCTCAAAACTATATCAAGAATTTTTAGAAATAGTCCAGGTAAATTTTTCGGAAATTCAAGTCTTCGATGCCATAGCAGATTTTATTCAAAGTTGTACCGATACTTTATCGGTGATGCGTAGTATGCAAGCTAAAGTAGACAATAGTGAATTATCAGAAGAGGAAATTAGTTTACAAAATGAAAGAAATACTTGGAGACTTGTTTATTGTCTCTACCAGAATCGTTTAGCTGCTAATTGTCATAGTCGAATGGATACTGATACTAATGGGAACATATCTGAGAAAGAAGTTATTATGAACTTATTAGCTAATCAAAGTCAAGTTCGAGAATATCAATTAATCATTGATTGGTTAGAAAAGAATGCATCAGATGAGTTAGAAATGCTACCAAAAATTGAGCATTTTACTGACAAAACTGTTGCTTGGGAAAATACTATTCATCAGCTTCAAAATTATCAAACAGGTATAACCTTTAGTTCAAGTAGGCCTGTAGTAACATCTTTAGATCCAGATGCTCCTATAAGAGAAGGAAAGCCCCTTCATGATCTCGATAAAGAAGATGATGCCCGACTTGAAAAAAGAATGTTCCTAGAAGTTCGTTGTGGAAGACTCCAAAAAGCACAAGAGCTTTCAATTCATTGTGGACAACCTTGGAGAGCGGCATGTTTACTTGGATGGCAGCCACATCACGATCCAAATTACAAAAATCCTATGAATGATACTAAACTACCAATTGAAGGTAATCCTCATCGAGCTTTATGGAAACTCACAGCTTGGCACATGTCTCAGGATACTCGTATTGGTACATTTTATCGAGCAATTTATGCCAGTCTCTGTGGAAATATTCATCAACTTTTGGCTGTAGCTCAAAACTGGTCAGATGCACTTTGGGCTCATATAAAAGTACTCATGGATGTAGAAGTAGAAAAAGAACTACGTGAAATGATGGTGAAAGAGTACGTTCCGATGCCCGAAGATTATTGGAAGAATAAAGTATCTTTAGATGAAATTTTCGACAATCTTCAAGCTTCCAAAGATCCAGCAATCAGAATTCAAGCAAATAAGCCCGATCATTTAATTCAAAAGTATATAATTCTCGATCAAGTACCGAAGTTGATGGAACAAATTGAAATTTGGATTAACCAAAAAAGTTGCGAACCGCAGTTTCTAAGATTTCTTGCACATCTCGTTCTCTTTCTAAGGCATATTGGCAAGAGTACTAATGAGAAAGTTGGTGATAAAGTTTTATTAGAATATGTTAAAATACTTACTGAGATCGGAGATCCAGCTCTAGTAGCCTTTTACACAGCAACATTGCCACCAAACGATCAAATTACCAATTATGCAAATTATTTAGAAGGTATAAGAGATAACGATATGCGTAAAAACTGTCTTTCAGCAGCTGAAAATGCTAGCCTGAATGTCGAAGCAATAACAAAGATGGTAGTTGAAAATATAAGGAATAAAAATATTGAAGCTGTTGATACATTAGATTCAGGAGTGGTAAGCAAGATTACAGAAGCTGATTTAGAAAAAATTGATGCTTTAGATTGGTTAATATTCTATCAAAATCAAAGAGAAGAAGCTCTCTGGCAGGCTAACGCTCTTATCCGTTACTTTTTAACCTGTGAAAAGACTGATGCTGCACGTAAAGCTTTTAATAAGGTTTGTTTACCTCAGAATATTTTAAATTCTTTTCCTAATTTAATATTGATTGTTTTGAAATATATAAATGTATATATTTTTAGATTCCTACAAACTCAATTGAGATTTTAATGATGGACTGTCCATCAATAGAAAATACAATAGATCAAACAACAACTGGTGATTTATCTTTACACCAATCTTCTGCTTCTATACGTGAATATCTTTGTTATAAAGCGTATCTGGATGCACAAGAAGGATTTCAAGAATGGTTCCAGCATTTTCATCAAGGAAAACCAATACCACCTGATCCTTTATCATCTTATGCAACATTTACAGAAAAAGTAGCTTATGATCATAAAAAAGCTCAATATGAATCAGATCTTGAAAGATGGAAGTCTACTATGCAACATCATACAAAGGTGAATCTACTTATTTTAAATAACAGTTTTTATTACATCAAAAAATAGTATTTATTTATTTTTAACAGATCATTGATATTAACATTAGAAATGATATTGAAATAAATTTTACATTCAAACTGTCTGTATTTTTTAGGAAGTGAAGCAACTTCTTTTCAATGTCCTTCTCTTTCCACAAGGAGGATGGCTAGTTGATACAAAAGAAGCATCAGTCGAGGATCCTCTTCGTAAACATCAATTGGAAAAACTTCGTTCCCTTTGTATACCAAAAGTAACACTTTTATTATTGACTGTAATGTCTGAAATGAATCAACACATGGAATGTGTTGAATTAGCAGACGTTCTCGCTTCAGAACAGTATAAATTATATAAAGTTTTCTCTAAAACAAGTTTGCGTGAAGTTTATACAAAAATTTGTGAATCATCAGTGGTGTTGATGGACCAAAAGAAAGACGCTTGGGGTTATTCTAAATGAAATATAAAGTGACGAGTGAAGTGGTAAGTGAATGAATATAAAATAATTATTTTTTCATCGTGAGTGAGTTTACAAAACGATTTATTGTCAACCACACGAAGTGAATATAAAATTTGATACATTGATAATTAATCATAATATGTAATGGTAATAAATTGTAATAATAGCAACAATGAGATTGCCAATATAACGAGTTGATAATATTTTAGTCTCAATCAATTAACATATTGACTAAAGCTCATAGTCCGTTTACAAAAAAATTCCATTTAGTATATTTTATTTTTATTGAAAAAAAAAAAATCTTTTTTGCATTGCTTATGATGATGTTTTGTTTTTGGTTGACGATATCCAATAAATGTTACGCCTAAAAGTGGCCTTCTAATTGTAAGTTTACAATAGCTGAAAGATAGCTGGTTCGGGTCAGCGTGGACGAAACGATTTTGTTCGCAATTTCAATTTTTTTAATATATAATTTTTTCAATGAAATAATGATTATGATAATATTGAATGGATTACATACGGGATATATTTGAATAATGTCATCAAAGAGCCTCGTTTATAATCGCAAAAGGCAATCTTTGATGGGAAAGATAAAGAAATAAACTTAGAATGTTAAGTGATTAGAACAAAAATAAGAAGTATCTAGATCTATTACATTAGCTCTCTACTTTATATTAATAATAATATAGATATATTTTTTTTTTATATATATATTATTGACAAAAACTTTTTATTTCTTTATCGTCTGTCTCAATTATTAAGTCAAAACTTTAATTTACTACTTTCAATTACGTCTCACCATAATTTTTGATCCTCCTTGCGTTTAATTTAACTCATCTTTGCTTAATGAGCATTTTAGTCTCACTAGAGCAATTAATTGTACCCTTTGACAATTTATCTCATCACCGTACAGTATTTTAATTCAATGAAAAACTTTAATTACGTCCTTTTCATCTTATTTCAATATAGTTAATGCTTCTAACAAGTTAAAAAATTATGGGTTTTCTGTGCGTTCATCAATGATTTTTTAAACAGATTTGAAAGAACATGAAACTGACATTAATTTTGGTTATTACTTTTATCAAAGTGTAAATGTTTGACAACAAGACTAATATTTACTAAGTTGAAAATTATTATTAGAAATAGTAGTAGACATTAATATTGTTTAAAAAAATATTTTGTTCGTAGAAAAATTGTTTGAAATGTTTTTTGTCTTTGATATGATTTATAGTCCACACTATTCATGTTCATTGAAACAAATTATAACTTATTTATTTTTGTGTTTGTGGCATTAAACGTTTTTTTTAAAATAATTAACAAATATGTAAAAAAATTTAATTTAATATATTTTATGTTCTTTCAAAACTGACTATTATTGACGTAAACAAAGTTTAAAAATAAATTGATAATGTTTTAAAGTTAATTAAAGACAAAAATGAAACACCCTACGGTGATAGTGAATTTCCTTTCTCATTAACATTAATCAATGATTATTTTTTACACAATATTATACGATATATGTGTAGCAAAAGACGTATGGCTTATTGTCTATTTGAATTTTTACTTCACATTTTTCCCTAAAAAGCTAGCCACCCTAGACATTGTCGAGCTGCCCCGGAGAGAAATCACACTTCTTTATGTTAATTGCAATGATAATCGACAACATAGATATGCAAGTAAGACATAACTGATAATGGTTGTCTCATCTTTCCTCGTTTGAATTAATTTATCATTATATTATCTTTTAATTCTTATTTGTAATTGAATTTTTATGATATATTGTTGCGCTTTAACTAGTCGCTCTGGGAGCAGCATTATTCGACTGATCGTCCGGGTTTGTTGGTATTACATTATTGTCAAGTTCACAGAAGTAGGAGATTTATCCGCTTACATTCTAATTACATAACGTACATTTTTTTTTTAATAATTATTTATTATTATTATTATTATCGATTTAGTTCACCCTTAAAAAATGTAAATCAGGGACAAACTTTTTCATTCTCACATCTTGCATCAACAGTACCAATGGGGATATCCCCTCATTATTTTTTATTTTCCTACTTTTTTATTGTCCGGAATAGCCGAATATTGTCTTGTTTATTTGACGAATTATTTTTATCTAATAATAGTATTATTATTCTTATTTTTAAACTTTTATTGTCTTTTGTTTAACTAAAGCACAAATTAATTTTGTCGACCAATCAATTATTTCTTATTTTTCATTAAACTATTCATTCATTCCAACATAAAATATGATGATAATTTAAAATAAATATTTATTGTAAATTGAAAATTATTTTTTTAATTATTATTGACTAATAATTATTTAATTTACAATAAATATTTATTTTTTATACATTTTTGAAATAAAAAATTGTTGGAATAATTTGTTGGTCAGAAGATAAAAATTATTTTCAAAAATTCTATCTAAAAATTGATATAATTTTTTTGTTTCTCTTACTAATAATTAATTTTTCCGTCTACGTATACATTTATCATAATACATTCTGATACATTTTGTTCATTACCTTACTTTCACTTGTCTCAATTGGAGTAGATTGAAATTGAATCAATGATATATTTGTCATCCATCAAATCTTGATGTAGTAATTACAATATAATAATAATTTACAATTGAAATGTTTTGTTTTTAAACGAATTTTTTAAAAACAACCCACTTGGAATCCAGATTAATACAATATTTCGAGAGGAATAAAGATCTTTATATCATCTAAAATGATTATTATTATTTAACATCTCACTATACATTATCACTAGAGAATTTTTTTTAATACTCTGATTATGTATTTTGTTGATTTCTGGTTATTTATTCGTGATCATGAATTCCTCAAAAATACTTTTTCAATTACACGCCACAGTTTGTTGGCAAAACTTTCCCTTTGCAATTCATTTATACTAATATTAACTCTAAATAAGTCTTAGAAATTTAATTAAAATCTACTACTTTCATTAGTATGACGTGCCACGAATAAAGTAATGCTTCCAATTACTCCAATTGTTCTTTGACAGAAGAATTATTGTATCCGAGTGAGTGTTTAAAAATTCGTTTATACATTAATTATTCATTATATATAAAGTACGATTAAGTGAGACATAAAATACCTGCACCCAAGGCACGTTTTATACTTTCACTCCGTTCACTGAAGGTCCACTCGTCTAATATTAATTCATTGATTGGTTATATGTTTTAATTGTTTTTCAAATGATATATCATTTTTTAGACTTTTTACATTTCAGAAATTTTTTAAATTATTTTTCTGAGAAAAAAAATTATTTTCATCTCAAATAAACATTTTAGTTATTTGAAAATTTCTCTTAAGTTTATTTTGTGTTGGAAAAAAAATAGTAAACAATTAAACAGTGTTAAGTTTTTTTTTTACAAAATTATTATTAATAATCAAATTTTCAAAGATAAATAATAATTATTTAATTTTTTAAAATAATTTTAATTCTCAGAGCATCAAAAATTTAACAATAATACGATTATAATAGTTAATGATTTTAATAATATAATTATTGTCGGACATGACTTGAAATACATTAGTTTATCCCCATTTTCACTCTAAATACATATTTCCCGTGAAATTCATCATTACCATACGTATCATTATTGTCAAACAGACAGCATTTATTGTTAATAATTATCATATAGATACTATATATCAATTAAATTACAAAATAATTGTTAAAATCGATTTCTATTATTTTGTGCAAAATTTACACAGTTTACAACCCACCTCAACTGACCTCATGATTTTATTTATCATTAATTAATATTAACATTAATATTTTATGAGCCAAAGAATGGGCTCAATATTATCAATAGTACAAGTACGAAATTTTCTCGTTTGCTGTATTTCTTAAAAGATAAGTTATCATTATCATTATTAGTTTCTAATACTTTCTAAAAATGTGCCATTGCCTTTTACATTTCATCTCGTATTTTTACACAGGAAGGTCAGTTATTTTTTAATTATCATCTTTATTGTCAAGATTTCGTCGTATTGTCATTATATTTATCCTCCCGGAATCAGCATAATTTTTTATTGTCAAACATTGCATTTGTGATCTTTATTTTATTGTCATTAATTATTATTCAGCCGATTCTCTTATTTGATTTTTAGAGTTGATACCTTCCTTTTTATATTTTGTTTTTTACGGACGTGTAAATGATTTCTTACATCTTGTCGTTCCTATTTATTGTATACATAATATATGTTTAATATAATAATATGAAATATTGAATCTGTTAAATCTTAAAAATATTTTGCTAATCTTTTGCGTATGATTAAACCTTAACTTCTAAATACTTTCTTACAACCTTGTATGTAGTTTATTCCATTCTTTTTTTCGCTTATTTAATTGCCTCAGTTATTTGGAATTATTAATGTTAGTTTTTTTCATTATTCTTTTATTTATTATTGTACCTTTCGTGTGGAATTTATTTAGGATATTGTATAACTGGAATAGATCCACATAGAAGACGACAATTCATCTGAGGAAAGTATGAATACTGGTGATGATTAAGAGACTCATCAGCAAAGTAGGCTTAACATTGTTTGCAGTGCCTGTCAAATGAGATTTGTGGCCTGGGTCCTCCACACGAATCCTCCAACCCAGGTTTTTGTGCGTATAACACTGCAACGAGAAGTATTAAATGTCATGAAAAATTTTACAAGCCTTTTAAATTATTTAATCTTATTCGACATCAACTTACAATGTAGTAAATAGCTGGTATTTTTTGAAAATATTATAAGTAAATGTATTTTAGATATCGTGAAAGTACTAAATGACATTTGATGCTCTCTAATTAAAAGCATGGTGAATTCACTTCAAAAGAATCACCAACTTTTGATACAATGTAAACTTGAAAATAATCTTATTAAGTTGACTGAAATTTATTTCAACACTACAATTTATTTTGAGGATTACTTTGAATAAAATAATAATTATTTCAATTTTTTTCTAAAGATGAAAAAGCTTTTCTGATCTAACTTTAATAGTTGATAAAATAAATATTGAATTTATAGGAAAAAGAAAAGTTAATCTATTTTAAAATATAAAATCCAATTTCTCTTATTCAAGAATTAATTTTTTCTACTATCAATTGACTATCAATAAATTTAAGATACTAAGTCTTTGAAATGAGAATAGTTTCTATGAAAGATTTAAGTGGTCCAATGGTACTTGTATCAATGTTTGACTTTTTAAGTAGTTTTCTATCTCAATTAAAAGTAAGAAGTTGTATTTAATAGTGTTCAAAAAGTTTATTTAATTAAAAAAAATTTTACCTGATAATAGAGTACATCCGGAGCATCTTGTTGAACAGTCCAGATGAGTTTAGCAGGTTCTCCTTGATCACAATCCAGTCTAAGGGTCTCAAAGAAGCTTGCAAAGGTTGGCGAATTAGCACTCATATCCACTGTTTTATGTGCCCACTCACAATAACGACCAGTAGCTGTAGGATAAGGATATCCATCTTCACTCCAATTGATACCAGCATAAACCTTTTCTTCATTCTGTTCAGCTTCAGTTTTCTGGCCATAGCCACCTGACATGCTGTCAGTGATATATAATGGGTGATATTTTGCTGGATTAGTCGAGTCACTGCCTCCTTCAACTATAAAAGTATAAGTTTGTCCTCGTTCGACAGTGATTTCTGGGATCAACATGTCATTAATGTACCAAGCAATTCCCCAAGAAGGAAGCCCAGTAATTCTAGAGTATCCTCTCTTGCCTCCAGTTGGCCCAATTCTAGCAGTGAAATTATTCTCATCGGTTATCATAGATGGTGGCCAAGGCTCAAGTGAATCTTCAGGGTCATCAGGGATATTATAAAGAGAGTTGGTACATTCACGAACATTCTTTGATGTAAAATCAATGCGAATATCTTCGCTTGTTTTATCTCCTGCCCAGTGAGCATTAGCTTCTCCCCTTTCATTAAACGTTCCAATCGCTGCGATCACGCTTGTTTCACCGCTTTCTGGTATTATACGATCTTTTTCCGGTTCATTCGTCCTTAAAGGTCGGGTGTAAACGACTGAAAAACAAAATTTAAACATTAAAAAAATTCCCTTTGTGTTATATTTCTAGTTAATTGTTTTTCTTTTAGCTTTTATTTATTAATGTACTTATAAATCATTATTGTGTCATAGAAGATTATCTTTTTTATATCAATAAAAACTCTTTTAGAATGATAAAAATAGAATATAATATAAAACACGTCTCACAATTGAATCTAAATAAAAGTATTGACATGATAAAAAAACCTTTATAAAAATCTTTTGCAGTTAATTTATCATCGAAAAATGTCTAATATTAAAAGAGTCTAAAAATATTTTATTTTAACAAAAAATTTTTAAAGAATCATACAATACAATATTGGCAGACATGAAAAAAATATAAAAAAAATTCGACAGTGAAATAGAAAGTATCTCTCAAAACATTCTCTATAAATCGAGTGATAGATATCTATCAAATTGAATTTATTTCATCAAGTTTTTTTTAGAAAAAAATTTTTCAAGCGTTAAAATGTCTTCATAGTACACTCCTGAGTTACATTAGATATAGATATGTTTATCAATAAACCTGTAGTAACTCCATCTTTCCTGTGTCCATCGATGTAAACAACATCATTGCGTCCACCCAGTCGTTCATCTGGACAAACTCCCTTCTTGCCATCACATTGAGCAAGATCTGACATGTAATAATCTTCAGCAATGAAAGCCTTCTTCTTTTTATCATAACCAACAACCACGACATCACCACCAGCCATTTGTGCCTTTCCTTCTTGTCCTGACAGCCCGAATGCGACATACTGATCCTCATTTATCCTTCCTGAAAGCTTGATCTGCACGTCTTCATTTCGTAACTCCCATTGCACTTGAACTCGACCTTCCAACAGTTCTTTGCAATTACTCAGCTCGTCCATTTCTTGTCTTATTGGTGGACTACTGCTTGTCTGTTGGAAAAAATATAGATAGAGATTAGTAAAAAGAAAAAAGGTATATTTATAGAAGATTGATTTTTTTGTGATTGAAGAAAAAAAAAGAGTTGTTACGTCTAGGTGAGAAAAAATTTGTTATATGGGTCGATATCTTGTACATTTATCTTTTGTTCCTTCATGCATAGTGCTATTGTAACGATGATATCATAAATAATAGCTGTTCTCGTATTATCTGATCGACATGTTTTAAATACAGAAAACATATCGTGTTATTATGAATTGATGAAAAACTCAATTATCATTTACTGATTTAAAATATACATTTGACATAAGTTTTGAATAATATTTATATTTTTGAAATTACTTCCTATAAATTGAAATGAGAATGCTGAAATAATTTTTCATTTCAAATGAATCATTTTAACATAATAAAACAAAGTTGAATCTCCTTAAGTGATGTTATATGTAATGTGTTAGTCTGACTAGTACCAGCATTATCTACTTACAGGATTATACCACCAAGGCGGCTGTTCCAGAAGCAAGAAACAAATATAATAGTAATGAACAGAATGTTGAAGAGCATAATAAACATATACTTTCACTAATGACACATAATATGTTTGCAATAATTTATTAGCATAAATTTTTATTATGAAAGTTTGATTCTTTTCTAAGATTATTGATTATTTAAGCATTATTAACCAAATAAACTGGATAGCTTACCGTGATTTTAGTTTGTCCAAGTGCTGGTGGCACATCTAAATCTTCAGGTATCATGACATGTCCGAAATTGTGTCTATATTGAACGCACCACACTGACAACCAGTCGATGTCGAAGACTGTTAAATTAGCTGGCAGAACAATTTCGATGTCCTCACCATAGTAGGATCGTAACTTTGTCAGGCTATAGGTAGGCAAAATAATTAGATTCTCCTCAATGTTGACTTTGAGTTGATAATTATTCACTCACCCTCCCATTTCATTGGGGACTTTGACGCCCATTGGATTTGGTTGTGAACCAGTTCCCACCCAGAAATATGCATCAGGTCCACCACCATCATAATGGAGATTTGGAATGTATATTGTTTTGGTGTCTAGAATACTAATATTCCCACTTCGTAGTCCATGTGCTAATCTAGAAAATTCTGGCAGTACTCTAGGTCTTGGAATCTCAAGATTTGGTGCAATATTCACATGACCAAAGTTCATCTGAAAAAAGATGAAACAACAGTTGATTAAATAAAAGAGTCTGTGATAAAAAATGAGAAGTATTACTTCATTATTTTTTTTTGGTAGCATCAAATAAAGCAGTTCAATGGTTATCTTCAAATATTGATTATCATGTGAACAGAGAAATAAACTTCTGCAGTTTTTTGCAGAATGAAAAAATTAAATTGGAACAAGTCAGGCATTCAAATGAAATATTAAAGTCAATACTGAAAAAGAGTCTAAAGCGTATGGTAAAATTTAAAAACACTTTTTGTAACGTTCTAGTCAATTGATGGAATAAAATGAATGCTGGTATAAAATATGAAAAAATTATAGCCGATCGAATTTACAAAATACTATATTTCATTAAGCTTTATAAGAATGTTATTTTCATGCTTGTTCATAATCTATTCAATTTTATCAATACAGTTTTATTTTTTTTTTAACAATCATTTTTAAATGTTGGTATTTATCAATACCATTAATTCTTTTATAATACCTTTGTCAATCATTTTGCAACAATAATTGTTTTTTGCTTAGCTTTTTCACTGTGATTTAATAATGAATGACTTTTTAAACTTGAATTTATTTGAAAGATAATTAATTTTTAGAAAGTGAACCCATCAATAAGCTGACATTTAAAATTCTATTAACGTGTTAACGCCTACGAAAAACTCGATAGGAATAAAAATGCTAGGGTTCTTCAAGTGTTTAAGGGCTGAAAAAAAAAATCCACTGGCGAAAACAATTTTTTATTTTGACAAGAAAAATCCACCAAATGATGAAAAAGTAGAGAATCATTTTCCTTTCCAATGAAGTCTTTTTTTTCATTAATTTGAAAAAATAAAAGTATTTTTAGATTTTAACATTATGCTAAATTCAAAAGAGAAGTTTTCGTGAAGTTTGATACAAAAATTTCAATTCATCCTCCTCAGAAAATATAGATGTCTATCGAATTTTCCTGGAGAATTTAACAACGATATTGGTGAATTTTTTTCCATAAGTAAAATTGCGAAGTAGAAAATGATTTTTCCAGGATATTTTTTTTTTTGAATCTTTTCGCCTCTTTAAATACTCTAGAGATCCAGGAGATTTTATCCTTGTTCAACTTTCCTCGGGTTCAATAAATTAAATTCTTAATTCACCTTCTAAATTGTAGTTAAACTATTTTTAACTAATTATCTCCTTTATATTCCAAAATAAAAATTTCGTGTAATTACTAATCGATTCGTTGATTTTAAATCAACTCTCTATCTCATCAATTAGCACAAAATAAAAAATCAATAAAAAAAAAATCGTCAAAAAGTTCTAAAGGATCAGAACAGCCTTATCAATCATGACTTTTACCTCTGGATTTTTTTTCCCTTGGAATCTCACGTGAGTAACTTGTCAAAACGTAGTTAAGGAAGAAAAAAAGAAAACAGATGAGGGTAAAAATCAAACGAAATGACGATGATAACAAGAGAAACTGAGAAATATTACTTCATTTCACTTGGACCGGGTGTCTCTTGACGCTGAAACCAACCCTGATAGTTAGATCGTTTATCTCGTAAGCTTGGATTTAGATCTGGGTATCACAGGGGCGTCCCATTACGGGACTCGTCACCCTCTTATGTTCTCCATCTTCGTCTCACCCTTATATAATCTATTCCCGCAGGCACTTTGCGTTACGCCGGTGACGCCCTTGTGACTGTTATGAACCAGCTAGGGGAATCGAACCGAGAGAGTTAGAAAGCAGAGCAAGGACGTATCGTTTCGTTGTCTGTAAGAGCATTTATACAAAATTATTTTCTCCAGCAGGGGTTGCAATGACGGGACGAAAAGCTGCGTTGGTAAAGATAAACCGCTTACGAATGGAGAAAAAAAAACGATTATCTGAGATTTCTTCGATTCTTTTTTGATTTCAACTGTAGACATTTAACGATCAAGACAATATAGAAATATTTACTAGACTGGAGAAATCTCTTGAGTTTATTTATGCAATTTATTTATCAATCATTCGACAAAAGATTACTCTTTTATTTTTTATTTCCACATACTTTTCTATACTTTTAATTATTTCTTTAATTTGTTAATTCATTTTTATTGAGATATTCATGATAGTAGATTTCTTTAACAAACCACTGAATGAGTAATTAAAAAAAAAGATCTCAATTAATTATTTACGTACTTGAAATGAATCAATTTTTCAAATTTATTTTTCTCTTTCAATTAAAATAAAGATTCATTTGATATCATAATCAATGACACATGTTCTTGATTTAAATAATGTTTTACTTCATACATTTAATTTTTTTTCAATGAATATATATTGAGTTGAAAAAAAGTAATGAAATACTTTTACAATTTGAACGTTCTAGAATGTGTAGTATTAAAACGATACCACACTGTTTCTGCTCTCAAAGTGGACACAAGTTATTGACACACATAGTGATTATATATTGTAAATTAAAGTTAGTAAAATATTAAATAAAAAAATAAAATTACAAGTTACTCTAGGATTTTGATTATTTTCTTATCAATCCAACAAATATTTGAAGACTTATCCTTAAAATATATATATTAATTGCAAGAGATGCACGTTATATCTCATCAAACTTGATATTAACTAAATATTAACTTACTGATTTCCTTTCAATAAACAGAACAATTTTACTTATCTACATAAATACTCCAATTGCATTCATTTTTAAATAAGCTATCATTAAAGATAACATTTAAACAGATAGTTGAATGTAAATATTAAATAAATATTTCCATTCATCTAAATTGTTTCTTATGAAAAAAAGAGTGATGATTTCTCATTAATTGGTAGCTTTGGAGAGATTAGATATCAATTAGTAAACAGATCCTAATGAGTATTTGAGCTTTATAATAATTCTCTGAAAACATGTCATGAAAGTTACATCATATATGAAGACAAATGGAAGCAGTAGCTCAATGAATTATACTGGACGTATGACCGAGGGTTGGCTTTACTGAGTGTCGTTTAACGAGGCACGAAGTAGTCTCAATTTCCGAAACGAGAAGCTCTCAATGGGTGGTCTCCAGGGGTTTATTACATACAGTGAGATAAAAAGAAGATATAAGGTAGGGTTTTATGATATTCAAAGAAGTTTTGATACTAATTATAATGTGGAATTTATTAGTATCATAAATACCTCGTTTTAATTTTATATCTTAACTGAATTTTTTATCAAAAAAAGCTTTTTACATTCTTTGAGGTCACATTTAATTCCAAAACATGATTTTTCATTTGACTTTTGGGATTATTTATATTTAGAAAAAATTATTAAAGCATCAGGAATAAAAAAAAAAGCATTAAAGTATGTTTTGTTCTTTTTTTTTTCACCAAGTTCTTCTAATGGGTGGATGCATAAATATGTACCAGGGACAACATTAAGTGGAACATTTCAAAATATATTTTTTTCAGCTAAAACTTTTTTTAGTATCATGATTTGGACTCTGGTGACAGACCTGGTCATATTTGACACAGAAAAAAATAAGTTCTTCCAACCAACACCAATTTTATTCCAGTAGATAAAACACCTAGATCAGCAAAATTAAAAAACTTCCAAGATCACCAATTTTATGATACAGTTTTCTAATATTTATTTTTAATACATCTTTAGTACAACAGCCAATAAGTCTTGCACTCTTTAAAAATGATTTTAAAACATAAATCAGATAATTAAGAATCATCTTTGAACTATTAACTATCATTAGAGTATAAAAAATTCTGATGAAAAAAAAAAATGAAACTTACGATGAAAATACTTGAATTCCAAAGCAAAAGGTAGGAACCAATCTGGCGAATTCCATCAAATCAAAACCTGAACTGTTTACCCATCAAACGTCTTCCGTCTCATCATCTTTTGCTTAGAAATTCGTGGAGCATTTTATCACGTCGTGGGTAGACAGAAAGTATGTTCCGAGATATTTGGGGGATAAAATATTTGAAAAAGAGAAGAAAAAGTAGCCGAAAGCGAAAGATATATAGAAAAAGCATCGGGGTATTATAAAACTGACGAGAAAGTGACAAAATATATCCAGCCAGGGTTTCTTGGCTTCAGTGGGCGGTTCTCTGCTCAGTACCTGGAACTTTCGCAAGCTCTCGTCCAATCACTAACACTCCCAGGTCGAGCAGATAGTACGCAAGCTCTGCGCGCGCATTTTCATACAACTCCTTTTCACAAGGGCGCAAAAATTATAACTTTTCTGGAAAGGTAGTACGAGGTCGACCTAAGGGGTGTGGAGAAATGATGGCAGCTGAGGTTCGTGGTCAGGCTGCCTCAACGTTAACTTTGCTCCACTTTGCCTCTTTTCCTTTTTGCTCTTCTCTATTACTCCTCTTGTTTGCTGCCATCATACTCTTCTCTTCCCTTTCCAACTTTCCACTGCACATTTGTATACAGTATTTATCCGCTACAAGTCATGTAACCTAAATAAAATGTTATGCATAGAATTTTCATGCATTCAAACTCATTTTTTCATTCAAGCATTCATTTTAATACTCAACCATCCATCATTGGTGAAATTCACCGAGAACAATTTACTCAAAACTATAAAAGCGCACTCTAGACAGAATTAACGATTTTTTACTGATCAGTTTTAAATTACTCCCACTCTCATTTATTCATTTTATTTTTTCCTTTAATTGTCTTTCATCTAGGGGCACGCGTGGGTGTCTATATTTCATTTTAAAGGTCAACTGTTTCAAGAGAAAATCCATGTGTAGGTGAAGATGATTACTTTGTAGGATGCCTAATCGGTCAAAGGTCAGACCAAGTAGTAGGTTGGCAAATGTCTGGAAAATTGTATGTATGTGAATTCATTTTCGCTTGAACCATTATCTGGATTAATTTTTACAGCTATTTGTGTGATTAAAAATATGTTGGTTATTTTTTTTTTGGTGTATTTTTTTTTTGCTTATTTATTTGTCTCCCAGATGGTATTGTTAAATAGTTTTAATAGGTAGTTTATAGTCAATCGTTGTAAAA